CCACCAAAGAACATCAACGGTAAGCCTTCTATCAACGAATTGACATCCCTTCGTTAACCCCGTTTCTCGTAGGGCATAATGGAGTTTCAAATTCCCTAGCCAATTCCTTCGTAATACTCGTAACTGCAACCACTTCCCCATCATGATTTACCTTCCGGATGGCACTATTTTCGTTGCCCGCGAACCAGAAACGCGATGATCTTTAACTGGCCAGCCAACACTGAAAACCGCTCTTCCAGGTATCCCTAACGGCGTTCGCGTAACGTAAGTTGCATACCCTCCCTCGTTCTTTATGCCTTCTTCACATCTTTTCACCAAAAGTTCGCCGTTCTCAGCAGGCGCCACACTTCTTCCTCTCACTCCCGAAAACAATTATACCCCAGAAGTGATGATATGCGGAGGGTCGACAGTTTCCGATAGCGTGTCGCCATCGACCATTTCTTCGCAGACTCCCGCGTCGGCCCAGTGTTCCCGACTGGTTCTGAACGCAGCTGGTATAGCCGCTGGATGGCAGGTGGAGCGTATGCCACAGGCTAGGGTTATGCCAGAAATGGTTTTATTGCCAGATGGGAGAATCGTCATTGTGAATGGGGCACAAACCGGTGTTGCGGGGTATGGGAATGTATGCAACGAGCATCTAGGTTAGAATCCACCGACTTTTGCTAACAGAGAAATTTCACAGGTCGCCAATCGTGTTGGGCAAAGCAATGCCGATAACCCCGCATTTACTCCAGTCGTCTATGATCCATCTGCTGAAGCAGGTAGTCGGTTTTCATCTGCGGGAATTCCTACCACGAATATCGCTAGGATTTATCACTCGACTGCATCTTTGACACCCAATGGGACGATTATGCTTGGTAAAAATATTTGGTCTTACAGTCTCTACGCGATCTCATGTCTATGCATTCTGCCAGCGGGTTCCAACCCAAACGACGATGTAACGACTACCAAGTATCCTACCGAATACAGGTGTTTATGTCGTATCGACTTGATGTTCGACTACTAATTATTCTTCTTGATAGGATGGAGTTCTATTCACCCCCTTACATGGCCAGACCTCGTCCAACCTATACTGGGCTACCTGCTACAGTGAACTACGGCGAAGAATTCACTCTGAACGTTAATTTACCTTCATCCGCAACGAATGTCTCCGGTGCGCTTCACCCCTCCCTTCGTCTTCTCTAACCTTATATGGTACGCATTCAAGTGTCTTTGATGGACCTGGGTTTTGCCACACATGGGGTGCATATGGATCAGCGTCTTCTCAAGCTTGTCTCTTCCCTCTCGGACGACGGTACGGTTCTAACTGTCACGGGACCGCCCACAGCCAGACTATATCCACCCGGACCGGCTTACCTCTACGTTGTCACGGACGAGGGAGTACCGAGTTTTGGACACAAGACTATTATCGGGACTGGAGGCTCACCGCCGGTGGATGGGGATGCTGCGGCCAAGTGAGTCGTTAGAGTTTTATCCAGATGCTCCTGTTAACTAACCACATTCTTTGGCATTAATTAGTATGCTAAAGGCCTCCGTTGCGTCATTCGTAGCCCCTCCGCTGCCACCCACTGAAGGTGAAGGTAGCAATGTCGCCACTGCTGTGATTCCTGTATCAAGCTCTTAAGATACCTGCCCGAATTGCGTATATATACACGGAATCTATCTATGTATTAGCCAATGTGGCATCTATACTTTCTCTTTGCCTATCGTCCGTACTAGTTTTTTTCCCCCATTCTTCGGAAACGAGGATCAGGATTCCCTAACTCGGAACCCCGAACCAACATGATGCGAACGAGACCGTTCAAGCCTATAAGCTCCAATAGGACATCAATTAACACGCCCGCACGGACGAAAACTGGGTTCGACTCCCAGTCAGAGCATGACGCAGAACACCGTCCTTTTTCCTTCCTAGAATTGCGTAAGGAGATCAGGAACGTCTATTAATATTAGACTCGTCAGATACACATGGCAGCGGACCAGCTAAATAAGTATGAGTGGGTTCAACTCCGTGATGATGACTACAATACGAGGAAGTGTACGAGGACGGATGATCTATGGTGAAGGCGGGTGCCAAGGTCCTGTTTCGTGAGGGCGATGTGGATGAGGACACAAAGGGAGACGCCGAAACCACAGATCCGCCCTTCAAGCTTCACTGAGCGTCCCACCCTCTTCTCATGGAACTCGCTAGATCATCGTCCGGTGTTCCTGTCGCACTCTGAACTGGAACTCTCCCTTGGTATCAGAATCGTCTCGTAAATGGCATAGAGACATATAAACGCGATTGTTTGCGATAGAGCTCACGAAACACGCTCTTTTCCTCTGTCAAGATATCAAAGTTTGAGCTTGAGCCAGCGCTGAACCTCTCTTTCAATTGCGTCCGTGAGATGAATTTGGGCAAGTGTGCGAGCTGGGGTCTCCTGCATGGGAACCTGTGAATCACATTCCAGAGCCAAGTCGAGTGGAGCGTACCTCCCGACTCCTTTCCTCCCTGCTCTGTTCATTGATGCAGGAACATGTGGGTTCGACTCCCGCTCAGAACGTATTTGTCTGGACTCCGAGTCTGATTACTGTTTTGGACCTAGGCTGGAGAGAAAGGAGGGAAGACAAAGAATCCACGGTATTGGCTAGTAACGGACGAGTCAGTCTAATCCACCAAGCGGAGAACAATATACTCACATGGGGATTCTCTTATCTCCTTCGTGTCTAATAGCCCACTACCCCAGAGAGCGAAGTCTTGAACCAAAAGAGAAGGGGTGTCGGCTGCGAAACGGGACTGGGATGATAGCGAGCATCTCCTCGTCGTGCACAGCGGGCGCGAGTTCCCGGGTCGCCGATGTTGACGAGATGCGAATGAAGCTTCGTGGGTGTATCGGCAATTTCGAATCACTCAACCGCGTGACTGGCTTTCCCTCCCAACCATGCATCCTCCCATGGTCCATCAAATTGCAAAGCTCCTTGTCCTCCGGGTATTGGAGCCATCTCGCCATCCAAGCGCTACCGTGCATTGATAGTAGCTAGCGCTCGCTCATTAGTCCTTTGCCGAGCCGCGTGCACGCACGACTCGGAGCACCCTACGCCATGATCCCATCACCGAGGTTGGTCTAGACGGTCGCATGTCTTCCAGAGGGTGTCCGACTAGTACGGGATTCTGAATCCTGATTCACGGCCTGTAAACCACGCTATGGACAAGGTCTGGACGCGTGTTATCGAGAGCAAGTGGCGGTCATCGATATTTGGAGGACAGAATACGTGTTCGTCCGACTGCAAACCGGATCTAAACAGACCAACTGCAACGCTGGGTCCCACTATCAAAGCATACATCGAGTGTGGGTGGTGTTTTGAGGATGGTGGTGTGCAATGACGTCGATCGTATTGAGGCGGAGGAACGAGGTGAGTTCCCAAAATGGCAGTCGCGTCTCTTCCCTTCACATCGACATGATTTTGGCACTAGGATATGTACCGTGCTACACTACCAAGCTCGCTTTCCCAAAATAGCAGTCGCGTCTCTTCCTTCCTTTCGCCTCGCAACCAGACCACGATTTCGGCACTACGATACCAAGGAGAGACGCGTTGATGTTTGTGCCAAGAGGAAGGGTACAGTCAGTTGCGAAAGGACCTGTGCAAAGCCTGGATCCTGGAGGAGAGGCCGTCGATGAATGCGCGAGCTAGGTGGATGGTAGTGGGAGGCGGCTAGTGGATTGGGCACTCGGATATCGTTGGCGTGGAACCTCCGGAGTCGACGCGCCTTCTCTGTGCTGAAGCGAACACTACTACAGCACCACCCTCCGATCGCCCTACCGACACCGTGTACTCACATTTCGTATTGGACAGGGAGCAGGTGTTCGTTTTCAATATCCCTTGCCTAAGCCGTTTGTTTATATCGCGTTGCTGTTCCTCCTTCAGCATGTTGGATCCGTGCAGGGACGATGTTGGTGTCTGTGCCAGTCGCTCGCTGGAGGATGATATGGCGGCCGTCCATAGCAGAGGAGTCGCTCTGTTTTTTTTTTCCAGCGTCAAACCTGCTGGGTGATAACGCGTAACGGAGCAGGATTCTGAGGATGCCCCTTCAGTGCGAGGTGCGTGTCTTTGATTCGGAGGTTTGAAGCGTGTACTAATGGGTGAGCACTAGCCCGACTCATTTTCCTGCCGATGCTGAAGGATGGGTAGCGACTATGCATACCGCTGATGGGCGTGCCCAAATCGAGGTGAGGATCGGCCTGGAGGTTGTTTCGGGCTGGTGGTTCCGCGCGCGCGAGTCTTTAGGTCAGCCCCCTCCATCTCTCCACTGAGCCTATCCTGATTTTTAACCGGTATCAGTACGAGGAGAGTTATTATAGGGCATACGGAGGCAAATTATATTATTCCCCTGCAGCGGAATGAAATGTGTACTACTATCCTGATTCCCCAGCGATGAGGATCAAGTACGCAGGTCTGGATGGCCGTCATTCCGCACTGCTTTCCCTCCGAACAACAGCCTTGTGTTCGTTTACCGTCCCGCTGGTGTTGTGAGTCCAATTCCGCTACCAAGCAAGAGTTGGAGGGACATTCAGTCCGGGGCAATGCAGAGGTCGTACAGTGGGACCCTGACGTCGTAATTGGGGTCGGTTCGCAAATTCGCGAAGAATGACGTACGTTCCCCGTCCTTGGACGCGTGTTCGGGGATGGCGCCACTGGGGATCGAAACTCGCATATTAATGAGTGGCTGGGAATATAGGACCGGACGATGGATAATTTAAACGAACAGCACCAGTGCTGATCCTTGGGAGAAAGAGGAGAAACAATACTAGGTCATCACCTTTCAAATTGTCTTTCATCGGGAGTCGAACCCGGCGAAGCTGTATAATGCCAGGTACTCCAAGTTGAGATAGGTCACAGTCTGTGCTGGTCGCTCGGAATGGGAGATGATATGTTCGTTCTTTGTCCATAACAGAGGCGTCACTCTGTTTTTAGCAGCGTCAGAGCGATACTGGTGTCGTTCTGCTGGCCAGTCGTGCTTGATTCCCAAAATGGCATTTGCATCTCTTCCCTTTCGCCTCTCATGTCCACACTACCACGATTTTGGCACCTGGATGCCGAGAAGGGACACACGGACCCTGGACAAGCGAGGTGGGAGGAGCGAAGAGGGCTGCTGGATTTGGATTGGGCGATGACTCGGGCGTTTCTCTGTCCTGAAGCAAACCCTACTACCTCGTGATTCTTCTCGTCCCCTCGCACCACCGTCCTATCCATGAACGTGAACGCCGACACCGTGTACTCGCATTCCGTATCGGATAGAGCCCGAATGATATTAACGCTATAGGGAACATGGCTCGTCAGAAGAGAGGGTGCAGGTGCTCGGTTTCAATATCTCTTGCCTGAGCCGTTCGTCCAAATCGCCGTTCCTCCTTCGGCGTTGGGCCCATGCAGTTCTCGCTAGGATAGGATAGTTCCTCTATTACGGGGTGTGTGCATGAGACTCAGCGGTCTGAAGAGGGCACTAATGAGTGAGCGCTATTATAGATGATCCAAAGGATAGCTGGCATCATACACCGCCTATGGACTTGGACAGGATGCTTGTTTTCGGGTTGATGATTCTGAGTATGGTGTTCTTCATCTCTAATAAACGGAAATCTATTCCGACTTTTTCCCCCCAGTGACAGCTTCAGGCACGTAAGATGGTCCGGCGCTGGAGGCAAAGTGATAGGTCTTTCCTGTTTTCGCTTTGTACGGCCAGGGTGAAATGAAAAAACTCGAGGTGGGCGATTTACCTTCATCCATGCCATTCTCTCGCCTTGGTCCTTCGAATTCAAATATCAAACTTCACGCGTGTATACGCTCTCATCTCAGCCTACCATATTCACCAACCAGCCTCCTGCACCCTATCGTCAACCCTGCATCGCCGACCCATATTCAATGACGCGATTCAATGATACTCTCCAAGCCCCCAACACCAACGGGTGCTAATCAAGAGGAGAGGGAAAAGCTGCCAGTCACATAAGTGCATGGAGGACATCCGACCCGGAACGACGCACCAATTCTGGGAGAGAGGCGATGTTGATGGATTCACGAGTGGCAGGTCTCGTGGAGAGACGTTGTATGCTGATTGGGAGGGATGATGGAACCTCCATACACCATGGTTTCTAGCTTCTACCTCAAATTCGCTCGTGATTCTTGATTCTTCCTATCTGGACGAACGTCCTTCGCACCACCCTCCTTCTCGCCCTACCGTATCGCGCTGTTCGATTGCTTTTAACAGCGTCTTTGTGCCAGTCGATCGGAACGGGGGATGATGCATTCGTTCCTTGTATAGTCGACTTGTCCATGGCCATCCAGCGTCAGACCGAGCAGGATGTCGGCACGGGAGGATAGCCCCTCTAGTGACATCTGACTCTGCAAAGCGCTAATGTGAACGCTAGCCCGACTCGTTTTACTGCCAATGCGAGACGATGGCTGGCGTCGACTACGTGCACCGCCGATGGTAGTCAAGTATGGTGTGCCCAAATCGAGATGAGGATAAAAATGGGCTTGGACTCTAAAGGTAGCATGTTTGTTTCGGGTCGATGATTCCGTGTGTGTGGGTCTTTATGTCAGTACCCTCCATCTTTCTGGTGAGCTCATTCTGACTTTTATCCAGTATCAGCACGAGGAGAGTTGTGATAGTTCGTACAAAGGTGCTCGAGGAGGCAACGTACATCATTTCCCTGTTTTTCCCTGCACGACCATAGTGGAATGTAGAAACTTGAGTGGGGCCTTATACCCTCTTTGCTCGTCTCTCTCTTTCGTTCTCTGTCGATTCATCCAGCTGTCGAATTAAGACCCATAGATTTGGAGACAACCTGACTCAGAGAGCACTCGACGGAAGGCAGTCTTTTCTTATGCGGTGCTATATATCTGGATCGCCCACCGGCATGTGGTGTAGATACGAGAGGGTTCGATTCCCTACCGGAGAATCGTAGGCGTATGATATTTTTGTTTTCTGTTTGGTCTGTTTGGTTGTCTCTCTCGACGCACACGGGCGGTCAGATGGTTAGTGGTCCGGCGCTAGGAGCGTAGAATCCACAATGTGCCAGGACGTGTGTTGATGAAAATGACTCGGAGGAAAAAGGGGGTACCTTATATCTTCAGCAAAAACAACATGTCTGATTTCCGACTCGGAACAGTGCTCTGACTGGGAGTTGAACCCAGTTTTCATCCGTACAGGCATGCCAACTGATCTATTAAAGGTTATGACGGCTAGTCGTGCAGTCGAGAGAGGCGTGATGCTGGCGTTGCCGGCGTCTCAGATGACTGGTATAGATCAAAGGCCGAGGTTTCGTTTGCATCACGCTGGTTCGTGGGTCTCGTCAACGAAGGTACCGCGGGAACCTGTTCTCGCCACTATTAATACTTGGAGTGAGATACTGAGGGCGGGGAGAAATCATCCATACGGAATCCAGGGCTTATGAAGAACCAGCTTGACACGAGTTTGGGACTGCAGCAAATGGATGGTGAGGAGGGGAGTAAGTTTTAAAATTGTCTCACTATGATACATCGTCCTATTGTCACTAGACCTTTGCCCTTGCTTGCGCCAGATTCCAAATTATCTATTGCAAAGCTGAGGCGCTGAGACTTATTTTTAACGATTAAACCGACTCCGACTCGATCCTCATGGATATAACGATGGGCTAGCAGTCCGTTTGTCAATTGTCTTTGAGGGAGTGTGTGGTCCACGTACCGTCTCTGCTCCCCTGCTGCTGCGCTCACATTCAGATGTAGATCCCGGCTGAGATTCACCTTTCGGTTCCAGGAGTTGGGAACTCGGAATCTTTCGGAGCTCCTTTCGCGCATTGAGCCTAGACACTCGAGTAAGTCACTAGAGTGATGAATTATGGTGCTCATACACACATCGCTAACAAGGAGTTGATAAATACTGTAGATAAACAGGTGTGTCAGAATTCGTGGCTCTGCGATGAAGGACTGACGTCTCGGCTGCATGAGATCGATCGCAATGAATATGAGCGTATTCGGCCACATGAGAAACTGCGTCAATCATGAGCTTGAGATCAGACAGCGCATAGCGGTTGGCATACTGTTATAAGAGTGGCTGTAGAACACATGCTGCATACCACGGTAAACCGGTTGAAAAGGTACATAGGTCGACTCTCACCTCGTAACCAACCCGGATATCAGGATCAGCTGCATCAGCCCAACCAACGTCGCAATAGTACTGAGTTTACATGATGTCAACGCTGTGACCCAGGGATAGAACTTGTTGAATTACGGACTTGGGAAACATAGAACTGGCCCGGCTTCTATTCAGATAATAACACATAGCGATGGATATGATGAAAGTAGCTCCGGTGTTTGTCGAGAACATCGCGATGATTTCACTCTACTTTCAGGTGAGATACAGGATCAAACAGGAGTTATGATGGCATGCTTACTTTGATGGTAGGAATGTTGGAGAAGGTGGAAATACTGTAGCTGTTGGAAGTGTCTTGGATTATTGATGATATGCGGTATAATGACACAATCTTACACTCCGTAAACTAGATCTGATGAGAAGAGGGATGTGAAGCGCAATGATCAGCAAGAACAGTACAAACTTACATGTTCCAGTGCCTATGAGAGTGAAGAGTCAATCACAGAGGCACAGACTCAGCAATTGGAAAGCATTCGAGGTTCACGTACCGACATTACAAGCCATGATGAGGGACTACGAGGGAAATACGGTTGAAAAGAATATCCGGTAATAGTAGGATGAGCTTACAAGAAACCAGGGTACGACTCGACTGAGATGAAAGTGTTGTCGGACTGGCCATCAGCAGGTGTTAGCAAAGAGCCAATGCGAAGAGCCAATAAGCGACCTTTCCACAGTCGTACAGCATATATACTGCCCAAAAATAAGTTGTCATGAAGCAGACAAAGCTTAGGTAGTAACGTACGCTTGGACCGCTACTTTGATCAAAGTCTAAGCAGCATAGCATCAATTTAGCTTTATCTACGAGTTTAAAATGGTGGAATACGCACTCCAAGAAGAACATGCAACTGCCCGGGCCAACGAGACGTTAACTGCCATAGCCACAACCAGAAAATCACAATACAAACCTTGCAGCTCCTATCATGCCAGATAAGGTCAGGGAAACGATACGGCGAATATTGAAATGTACCAAATGATATCAAGTTGATCCAAAGCTAGGAACTTGCCCACTATCCGAGTCTCGACGAGAAGGAAATACAATGCGTGAGTGCTAACCGCGACATCTAGTGTATCCAGGACCCTGTACATAATTATCAGCGATCTAGTTCAATTCATGAGTCGGGACTGCTCACCAAATGGCCGCCACCTGTTCAATAAACACCTCACGCTCAACTGGAAGAATAGAAATATATGCAACACGCACAACGAGTCGATAGGGCCACCAGTCATTTGGGTACTGCTTGAAGTACCAGATGGACTGGAGATTTAATATCCCGAATAGACTGCACATCCGTGGTCCGGCATCAGTTGGATGGGGACAGACAGGATCGAAGCTTACATGGCAGAAAGGATGGCTCCTACGAGAATTACCCCGAACGTGGCACCAAGTAGCGGGATGGGTACAGGAGTCAGGTCCATATGGAAAGAGGGGAATAGAGAAAGAAAGAAAGAAAGAGGCTGGTGTTGAAGTAGCAGGGCGCGTAGATGGGATTTAAATATACTTGTTGATCATCACCCGAAGGTGCAATACAGAACAGATGTTGCGGACCCATGAGCTTCTGTAGATCTTTCTCATCATCACTCGTTGAGACTCGAGGATAGGCCTCGGTAAGGTTCAGGCTCAGTTGCGAGACTGCGAAGAAGCAAGGATCTCCCAATGAGCTGGTTAGGGTTATATTGGTGTTCGGGAAGACGATGATCCGCGTGGTCCTAGTGAAAATTTCCGGCAGAGAAGGCAATATACGGGAGTACATCTTCACACAACGAACTGTCATCTTCCGCTCCACCTATTCACTATTAGTTTGATTTCAACACAATAATGGAATAATAGGTGGCAACGACATGTTCCTTCTGGTTTGCACTTTGCCTTTCAATTGCTCTCGCGCATTGATAAAAGTCATCCCTTCAGAGAAGGAACACTCAACAGTTTGAATATTATTTCGTCCAAGATACAGTCCTATGCCGATCAATTAAATCAAGATGATTGTACTAGGATGGAACTCAACCACCCATCTGATTGGTGAGAACATAGAATAACGTACTGACCTCTAGCTCCTCCCCTTCTTGTTGCATGATTTGAGATTCTGGCACAGAAACAGCCGGTGATTGTTTTATAGAAAGATACAGTCCGTGTCGGCATGCACGTATATCGAAATGGGAAGATGTATACTGCAAGACATTTCTGGCGCTCACATCGCTACAACAAGCGCACCGCAATCTTGCTACTCATCTCCATTCCAGAGTACGTCATATGCGCTTAACAGTCCAGTGTGGGGTTGATCCAAAATATCAGTTACCGAGGAGCACAGTTTGGCACCGCGATTGATTTCCTCTACATTATTGCTGCCAAGACCCTCTTTGAGCCATCGTAACGGGGGTGAAAAGGTGTCATGAACAAATATTTGCTGCTTGGTTGTGTCACACGCTGTGCCGAAGGTGGAATGAACGTGGAAGAAAGCGACCAAGGGCCATCAATATCAGAACTGCTCGTCTTTCCCTTGGAGAAGTATCAAAGACAAAAGACATTGAGTAAAAACTATGTCCGGTGCACCCGTGAACCAGAGCCTAAGACAAGGGAGAGCCGGGCCCGGGTGGGAATGGAATAAAGTCAGGATTATTAAATATTATTGAAAACAATCGACGGTACCTTGTTCTCCGATGGTGTATCGGTTAATACATGTGTTTGTCATCAATGAATGGCTGGGTTCGACTCCCAATTACGCTGTCGTATGCGACATTGAAGATTTGCCATTGTCTTCATTTACATATAATTTTGATCTTTCTTTTCAATTTTTGAGTTTTGAGTCTTGATCACTCATAGCCGTTATATATCAGGACCCGTTTATTAGGGTTGCACACGAAACCCTGTGTTTTGACACACACACCGCAGTTTCAGGTAATTTGCCTCCTCAGTCGACCCGTTTCGTGTCTAATTCTATTGTTTGCTGTATTTCTTTATGTATAATCCTCTCAGCGATATACTTCGAGCTCCCGCCATTTCTTCCTTCAGCATGAACTTGAGCCATGAAGGATCCATGCCACAAACGACTAGATGTCGTTTCGGGACCACCTCTCTCCGATGCACGTAAGGAGAGAGGGAGAACTCGTAACGTTACTGCTACGAATGTCTCGCATCCGCCAAAGCATTCAGAAGTGGTACCTCATGAGAAAAGACATCACATTATTTGAGAAAGAGAGATGTGAGTTATAATTGCCTTCCCGTACGTGTCTCGACTTGGAGTACTTTACGTTCGGGTTCGACTCCCGATGAGAGACAATGAAGATGACGAAAAGCGTGCCAGTTTTTTCGTCGTTCTCCGGAGCGGGTGCTTCCTGCCATCTGTTCGTCTCCTCTTGCAAATGGGCAGGACACCGCTAGAGATCTGTCCTACATCACGAAGCCTCCCAACATCACTCTGATAGAGTACCCGTCAATGCGTGCAGCACCTGGGTTCGATCCCCAATCAGAGAATGGAGAATCACAAATGGAGCTTTTTTTCGCCTTGTAAACGAGTCTTTGAAGTTTCTCGTTCATCCGTAAAGTGGAGAAATGGTGAATTAGAATGGCTGTTTGGTAGGTAAATCACCCGGAGAGCCGCACGATAACGCTATTATTATGATTCCGCGCAAATCTCCACGCGGCATCACATAATGAGGACGTAGGGGTGCACGACTACCCAACCTGATCGCAAAGAAGGTTGGTGAATCACCAAAAAAAGACGAAATGCACTGTCTCCATTGGAGTTTGTATTGACGCTTGACTATCGACCCACCCAACACAACAGCTAGGCCCGGGTGTACACTATTCTGCGGCATTGAATCAGTGACTCAGAATTGGGCGTTGATAGTAGCTAGCGTTCGCTCGTTAGTCCTCTCTTCGAACTAATAAATTGAACAAACGCCACGGATCCCGTCATTTTCTTCACCCAGCAAAACGAGGTTGATCTGGACGGTCGCACGAGAATGTCATTAGCGAACGACCTCCTGCATGGTCATTGAAGTCGGCGCGATTCCGATGAACGGTAGCTAACACAAAGATCGCCGCTCGTCTCCAACGACCTGTAAATCACGCCACAGACATGGTCGGTAGTAGCACGAGGACGCGTGTTATTCGTCCAAACACGAAGAACCGCAAACCGGATACGAGAACGTAGGAGGGTGGTGTGAAGTTCGGGTCTACGACCCGCTCTATTCATGGATTCACTGACAGTGACTCTCCTCCAGAGCCGGCCCTTCGTCTCGGGCTCACAACTGGCGGCCTTTCCCTCTCCTCTTGATACCCGTCCCGCTTCAAATAACATGGTGTCTGCCCATGTTGATTGTGGGTCGGCTGACGATGGGGTGGGTGGTCGGTGAGCTGAAATGGGAGCGTATAAACCCAACTGCCATTTCGAGTTCCCGGATCCTCAGCACGATTTCCAAGTGAGTATCCCCTCGGAAATACCATCTCTGATAGAATACTGGCTAATCCACTTGCCAATTGCACGGGGTTCGATTCCCAATCAGAGAGTCTGTAGCGAAGAACGGCTGAGTTTTTTCTTGGTCTGCGCTTGAGGCGGCAGACCAGAGGAGAGGAGTTACAGAGAATATCGCCGGGATGATACTAGTAATGGGCAGTTCCTCGCCATACATGGCAAGCATAAGTTCCCGCCGAAGTGAATGAAACGCGCAACCGAACCGTCCTCTTGTCAAACCCATTCCAGGCATCTACGACCCAGAAGCGGCGGCATAGAAAGGGAGACGCCGAAACTGCTGTGAGTTAAGACTACGGCGCAAACGACTCGGACCTGGAGGGGACCGCCCATCTCGCGTCCCACCTTCTAGCACAGACCCTGCCCGTCTTCTCATCACGGAACCCGGCTCGCTAGATCATCGTCCACGTTCTTGACTGTGCCTGCCGCATTCTGAACTAGAACTGGAACCATCCCATCTCTTCTCCCATTTCAGGGCAAGATGAGGCTGAAATGGCGTTAGATATGGAATAGAGACATACAACAGATTTACCTTTAAAGGGGAGGCGTACTGCTTGACGCGAGTGTTGATGATTCTCTAGGCTCCTTGTCCCCCGGTTATTGGAGCCATATCGCCATCCAAGCACTGTCGTTGGTACTGGGCATTGGTAGTAGCTAGCGCTTGCTCATTAGTTCCCCCCTACGCCGTCACACCAAGCAGGGCGAGGTTGATCTGGACGGTCGCATGGTACGCGATCCTGATGAACGGCAGCTTGGCCTGGAACACGCAAAGATGGGAATGGCCCGTTCCTCTCCAATGGCCTGCAAATCACGCTATGGACGCGTGTTATCGAGAGCGAGCGGCAGAGTACGATTCTGTATGTTCGTCCGACCGCGAACTGGATCCAGATAGCTCAACTGCAATGCTGGGTCCCACTATCAAAGTATACATCGAGTGTAGGTGGTGTTTTGAGAATGGTAGGGGGGAAAAGGGTGCGCAATGACGTCAAGGCGGAGGAACGAGGTGGGTTCCCAAAATGGTAGAGTCGCATCTCTTTTCACTTCTGCCTCACTCATGCGCCGCGTTACGTTCATCAACCAACCTGTGACACCACCACGATTTTGGCACCAACGTTGACAAGACTCGGATAACAAAGAGGGATGATCTGTACTGAGAGGAAGGAACAGTCAGCCGCGCCATGCCAGAGAACGACTTCTGGAGGAGAGGCAGTTGATGAACGCGCGAGCTAGACGGCGAGTATGCTTGAGGGTAGGTGGCCTGGAAGAGAGAAGAGGGCTGGATAAATTTGGACCGGGCGTGGAGCCTCTGTGCATCGCGTTACGTACCAGCATATCGATGACGAACATGCTCTGAAAGTCTGAAAGGAGAGGGCGAGCCGTTCGTCCATGTCGCGCTGTTCGTGTCTCTCTCCTTCGGCGCCAAGTTGGGGTCGTGCAAATTTCCTGAGGACGATGTTGCTCTGTGCCAGTTGCCCGTTCTCACAAGGAACGGGAGATATGTTGCATGGCGACCGAGAGGCATCGCTCTGTTTTCACCAGTGTCAGACCTGCTGGGTGATAACGGAGTAATGTCAGCCTGGGGAGGACAGCGCAAGGTACGTGTCTTTGACTCGGCGCTCTGTCGAGAGTACTAATGAGTGAGCACTAGCCCGACTCATTTTACTGCCAATGCGAGATGATACGAAGGATGGCTATGACTGGCGTCGACTATATACACCGCTGATAAACGTCACGCATACACTCTCATTCCAGCCTACCGTGTTCCACCGACCAGCCTCCTGCATCTTATCGTCAGTCCTGCATTGCCGACCCATGATCAGCAGCATAGTTCAATGATCCTCTCCAGACGCCTAACATCGACATCAACAGCTGCTAATCAAGAGGAGAGGGGAAAGCTTCCAGTCACACCAGTGCATGGAAGACGTCCGACTTAAGACGATGCACCAATTCTGGGAGAGAGCCGCTGTTGGTGGATTCATGAGTGGCAGGTCTTGTGGAGAGACGGTGTGTGGGGTAGGGGTCGTGGAATCTCCATGCGCCATGGTAATTCACGAGTGGTTCTTCCTATCTGGACAAACATTCTTCGCACGACCCTCCTGTTCGCCCTCGTTCCCTATAGACCGACACCGTGTACGCGAACGGGGAACCATCATTCAGAGAGGGCATGGGCTTTAGACTGGAGGAGAAGGAGCAGGAGCTCGGCTTTGACATCCCTTTCTGGCGTTAGGCGAACCGTCCATCTACATCGCGCTGTTTTGTCGTTGGCGCAACTTATCTGGGGACGACGCTGCTTTTTACAGAATCTCTGTGCCAGTCGGCCGCTCTCATAAGGAATGAGAGATGATTGCGTTCGTTTCTTGTATAGTCGACTGTCCGAGCGTCAGACTGGTCGACAACAGAGCAGGGTGTCCGCATGGGGAGGATAGCCCCTCCAGTGCAAGGGTATGTGCGTTTGACTTGGCGGTCTGAAGAGAGCTCTGATCTGAACGCTAGCCCGACTCGTTTTACTGCCAATGGCTATGTGCACCACCGAGTATGGCGTGCCCAAATCGAGATGAGGGTCGGTATGGACTTGAGCTTGGAGGAGCAGGCTGGCGCGCGGGACTTTGGGTCAGTATCATCCATCTCTCTGGTGAGCTCATTCTGACTTTTGTCCGGTATCAGCACGAGGAGAGTTATGATAGTCCATAAGAAGATCGATGCTACGCCTCTCCACTGTTAATATATATGTTAGCTATCGCGTCATAGGCATATACAGGTGCAAAGCGTACTATTTACCTGCACGACTAGATAATCAACAAAGTCTTTTCTTATGTGTACCATCACAACATCCTTTTCTCGAAGCTTGATGAAGGGTCATTTCGCACTACACCCTACCACTGCGAATGATAGCCTTGTGCTCGTTTACCATCTGCACAGGATCGCAGTCTCGTGAGTCCAATTTCAAGAACGAGGAGGCACTTAAGACGTTCAGTCCTAGGTAGGTCACACATGGAGAGTGGTGTATACCTTGACGGTGGGACCCTGGGCTTTTGAATTCGCTCTCGGAGTCGATAACACGTGTTCCCCGTCCTTGTGATGAAGAGGAGCGCATTATTCCCATCTTCGTGTGTTCTAGGCCAGCTGCTGTTCAGTGTTCAAGATCCCGCCGACTTCAACGCGCAGTTTTCATTGGAAATAGCATTATCTCTGTACTTCGCCTTCAAGGCTGGAAGAATGCGCGACCGGCCTCGTTGAAGAGAATGAGGGGATCATAATGTAAGGTATCTGTCTGGGTACAGTGCATCCGACCTGGTGGGTTAATGAACAAACGCTAGCTCCTTCCCTCAAAGTCCCTCGTCGAATAATGTGATGGGAAATAGTCGCGTGGAGACATACTTAGGTCAGTATTCGTTGTCTCTACTTGATGAACCTATTCTGATCTTTTTTTTCGCTATCGGGAATCAGGATGGGTTCCCGCGTGCGCACCTCTACGTTCTCATCACACAGAAGGGGGATAGGGTAATAGCAGAGGCTTACGCCGACTCGGGCTGCAGTGATTTACTACCAGAAAGGCGTCCTACTAAAATCCAATTTACGTGGTGGCCCATTTCTGAGTTCTCCGCATTGATATCATTTTACGAGTGGTTGCATGACTCATCCGCAATGAAAAGGTTAGGACTCAGCACATCGTACTGTCTTATTCTCTGACTGGGGGGTCGAACCTAGCATCAACAAGTGATGTTGGAAGGCTGGGAACATAAGACAGGTCGGTGGTAAGTTTCTCGCCTTGTTCATTTAAACGAACGGACGAAAAACACACTAGGTGATCCTCATGCTTTTGCTGGAGTAAGAGGCAAAACACAAGCAAGACTTCATCCTCTATTGTCTTTCATCGGGAGTTGAACCCGGAACGAACCTGTATAACAGGTACTCCAAGTTGAGACACGAGTTGCGAGTGAATTAGCTAGGGTAAAGGTACGTGCATTTGACTAAGGCAGTCTGAAGAGAGCATTAACGTGTGCGCCAGTTTGACTCGCTTTACTGATGACTGATATCACCGTCGCGTGCGGTGTGCATTCGGTACAGTGGACTTGGACTCTGGGGGTAGCATGAGGCTTCCTCTGTATTGCTGATTCCGTGTGCGTGAGTATTTAGGTCATCACTCTGGTGAGCTTATTCTGATTGTTATCCGGTATCAGCAAGGAAAGTCGGGTTATGATAGTCCGTAAAACATAGTGGAATGAAGAAACTTGGAGTCCGAAGGCGATTATCCTTCTTCACCTATGTCTCTCTCTTTCTCTCAGGGTCCTGGTCCTTTGAAACTCCACGCATTCACGCTTCATAGGTTTAGAGACGGCTGGCTCTGAGAGCGCTCAATGGAATCCTGACTAACAGACGTTATCAAAGTAGAAGTCTTTCTTATGAGGCACTATATCTGGATTGCACATGAGCATGTGGTGCGGATACGAGGGTTTGGTTCCATATTGGAGAATCATAGATACATACATATGTTGATATTTTTTCCAGTGCTTTCTGTTGGGTTGTCTCTCTCAACGCGTGCGGGAGGCCAGATGGTCGGTCCTGCTCTAGAAGCGTAAATTCCACAAAGTCAGAAATGCGCCAAGATGTATGGCCATGTGTGTTGACAAAAGTGATTTGTCTCAGAGGAAGAAGAGGTGTCTTATATCTTCTATTTAAACAGCAAAAACAATATGTCCGAGCAGTGCTCTGATTGGGAGTCGAACCCAGTTTTCATCCGTACGGGCATGCTAACTGATGACCTATTAAAGGTTATGATGGCTAGTTGTGCAGTCGAGAGAGACGTGATGCTGGAATCTCAGATGCCTGGTATAGATCAAAGACCGAGGTTTTGTTTGCATCAAACTGGTTCGTGGGTCTCGTCAACGAAGGCACCGCGGGAACCTGTTCTCGCTACTATTGGTCCTTGGAGCGAGATACTGAGGGAAATCATCCGTACGGAATCCAGGGCTTATGAATAACCAGCTTGACACGAGTTTGGGACTGCAACAAGTGGATGAGGAGGGGTATAAGCTTTTTATACTGTCTCACTACGATACGTCGTATTGTAGACTATTGTCCTTGCTGGCAGGTTCCAAATTATCTATTGCAAAGCTGAGGCGCTGGGACTGACTTAACGATTAAACCGATTCCGACTCGATTCTCATGGATATAACGATGGGCTAGCAGTCCTGTTGTTAATTGTCTTTGAGGGAGTGTGCAGTCCACGTACCATCTCCGTTCCCCTGCTGCACTCGCATTCAGATGTAAACCTCAGCTAAGATTCACCTTTCAGTTCCAGGAACTCGGATCTCTGAATGCTTCGGAGCTCCTTTCGTGCATTGAGCCTGTACACTCGAGTAAGTCCCCAGAGTTCATGGATGACGGCGTTTGGTACACACATCGCTAACAAAGAGTTGATATACACTGTAAATAAGCAAATGAGTCAGAATCCGTGGATCTGCGATGAAGGACTGACATCTGGGCTGCAGGAGATCGATCCCAACGAATATGAGCGTATTTGGCCAAATGAGAAACTGTCGGCCGTGAACTGGAGATTAGATAGCACCTAGTGATGCGCATACCGTTATAAGAATGACTGTAGAGCATATACTGTGTACCGTTGTGAGCCAGTTGCAAAGGTACCAAGAGTGATATTCACCTCATAACCAGCCCAGATATCAGAATCAGCCGCATCAGCGCAACCAGCATCGCGATGGTGCTGAATTTACACAATATCAATGCCATAGCCTGAAAGAAGAAGCTGGATTACGAACTTGGGGAACATTGAAGCAGCCCTGCTTCGGTTCAGATAATGACACGTCGTGATGGATATGATGAAATCAACTGCTGTGGTTGTCGAGAACACCGCGATGATTTCATTCTATTTTCAAGTGAGATACAAGATCGAAGAGGAATCGGATGCATACTCACTTTGATAGTAGGAATGTCGGAGAAGGTGGATATACTGTAGCTGTTAGAAGTGTCATGGATTATCGATGATAATGCAGTGTAATCACAAAATCTTACGCTCCGTAAACTAGATCTAATGAGAAGAGGGATGTGAAGCGTGATGGTCAACAAGGACAATACAAACTTACACATTCCAGCGCCTATGGAAGTGAAGGGTAAATCATAAAAGCAGAAACTCAACAACTGCCACCAACTAGAAAGCATTCAATGTTCACATACCGACATTACAAGCCGTGATGAGGGCCTACAAGGGAAATACGGTTGAAAAGAAAATGCAATAATCAGTAGGACGAGCTTACAAGAAACCAGGGTATGATTCGACCCAGATGAAAATGTTGTCGGACTGGCCATCAGCAGGTGTTAGTGAAGAACCAAAGCGAAGAGCCAATAAGCGACCTTTCCACAGTCGTACAGCATATATACTGCCCAAAGATGAGTTTTCATGACGCAGCCAAAGCTTAGGAGAGTGGAGTAACGCACGCTTGGACCGCTACTTTGATAAAAGTCTAAACAGCATATCAATCTAATTTTGTCTACGAGTTTGAGATGGTGAGATACGCACTTCAAGAAGAACATGCAACTGCCCGGGCCAACGAGACGTTAACCACCATAGCCACAACCAGAAAATCATGACACAAACCTTGCAGCTCCTGTCATGCTAGATAAAGTCAGGGAAACGATACGGCGAATATTGAAATGTACCAAATTATATCAAGTTGATCCAAAGCTAGGAACTTGCCCACTATACGAGTCTCTACGAGAAGGAAGTACAAGGCATGAGTGCTAACTGCGACATCCAGTGTATCTAGGACCCTGTACTTTGTTATCAAGGGGATGTTGTAAATCGATTAGAACTTGGGGCAGCTCACCAAATGACCGCAACCTGCTCAATAAATTCCTTTTACTTGATTTGAGAGCACAAACATATCAATCACGCACAGCGGCTCGATAAAACCACCAGTCATTTGGGTACTGCTTGAAGTACCAGATAGACTGGAGATTTAATATCCCAAATAGACTACACATCCGCGGTCCACCGTCAGTTGGATGAGGACAGACAAGATCGAAGCTTACATGGCAGAAAGGATGGCTCCGACGAGAATTACCCCGAACGTGGCACCAAGTAGCGGGATTGGTACAGGATTCAGGTCCATATGGAAAGAGGGGAATAGAGAAAGAAAGAAAGAAAGAAAGAGGCTGGTGTTGAAGTAGTAGGGCGCGGAGATGAGATTTAAATATACCTGTTGATCATTGCCCTAAGGTACGATACAGAACCGTTGTTGAGGACCCAAGAGCTTTTGTAGATCTTTCTCATCATCACTTGTCAAGACTCGAGGATAGGTCTCGGCAAGGTTCAGGCTCGGTTGCGGGACAATGAAGAAGTAGATATCTCCCAGTGAGCTGGTCATGGTTGTATTGAGGTTCGGGAAGATCAGTTTGTGAGCTGCGTGTTCCTGGTGAAAATTTCCAGCAGAGAAGACGGTAGGCGGAAGTGCATCTTCCCGCAATGAAATGCTATCTTCTGCTCCACTTATTCACTACTGAGAGCTATTGGTTTGATTTCAGTACAACGATGGGCCAATGGGTAATAGCGACACGTTACTTCTGGTTCGCACTCTGCCCTTCAATTGTTCTCGAGCGTCGATGAAAGTCATCTTTTAGAGAAGGAACACTTGGAACATTATTTCATCCGAGGCACAGTTCTATGCTGATAAATTAAACTAAGGTGATTAATGTACTAAGATGACACTTAGCTACATATTTGATAGATGAGGGCATGTGATAACACACTGACCTCTAGCCTCTCCCCTCTTCTCGGTCGCACATTTGAGATCCTAGCGCAGAAACAGCCAGTGCTTGTTTATAGACAACCAGTGTGAGCGTGTATGCACATTGAAGCGGGAAGTTGCATACCTGAAGTCATTTCTGGCGCTCACTTCACTTCACGCCAACGAGCAACGAGCATGCCGCACTCTTCTCCATCCTAGGTGGGTATCATGCACGCATAACGGTTCGGTGTGCGATCGATTTCCTCTGCGCCATCTCTTTGAGCCACTGTAATGAGTACCACAAAAAATATTCGCTGCTTGACCATATGGCGGGTTTCGCCAGAGGTGTCAAGGAGCTTTGACGGGAGAATGGAAAAAACCGGAATGAACATGGAATCGGAGAACGGCCAAGGGCGATCAATCTTGGAGCCGTTCATCCTTCCCTTTCATGAGTATCAAAGACAAAGACAAAACACGTATGAGGGCCCAGGGACATTGAGTAAAAAATGTCTGGCGCGCGCGCCAACTAGAGTCGGGAACAAGAGAGAGCCAGGAGACGAGAACCATGGATCAGGCATCGGGTGGTGTACTCTTCCTCCCCGTTGAGGTGTATTCCATCCAAGTGGATCATCAAGGAGAAGATTGCTCGCACCGGACTCGGGAAGTGTTTTTAAATTAGACAAAGATGCCAATCTGCGGGCCGAGCGTTATTAGAAATATGTCAGCAATTAGCATCGCCTACATACCACAGTCCAATGCTTGATAGTGACTTGCAACTGAGGATCCGGGATAAGGTGCTGAGGGAGATGCGCGTTGGATCTGTACAGACATTGCGCAATGTCACAGAATGATCTAGTAAAGAAGAGGATCGGGTATTACAAACCTGCGAGAATGACGATAGATGACCGTTCCAGATAACAGAACACATACCGTTCCTTCAACGAGCATGGGGTACTCTTCTTCATTACAAGTCCGCCTGACAGTTCGATGTATAGCTAGTACAGAATAGCCAATTTTCTCAACATCTTCCACTTGAGCTGGCGAAAAGTTCTGAACCAGTCTTCCCTCCTCGTCAGGAGTGACTTATTCCCAAGATAGCCATCGACCTGGTAGCAATGAAAGGCAGGGACATCGACCCACGGAAATATACAGGCAGAACTGCGAGAAAGGCAGCCATTCTAAGAGCCACTCAATTTCGGGGAATTATTTCCTCTCCCGACTTGGAAGCTGAAAAGCGAAATTCGGGTGGTCAGGATTTGACGGTATCTGGGGCTGTTTGAAAAGACGACTCATAGGTGAACGCTATACATTTTGTTAGTCTTTTCTTGGAACTCAGTTAGATGCACTTACTTTTAGGGATTGTACCACAAAGTGCATGTATCCGCAAAGAGCAGGTGTCGCTAACGTCCTCGCTTCTCTACATGAAAAATCTCGAGCTGGCACGTGTATATTCTCGGTGTCTGGGGGTGTTCACTCGCCAATTGTCGCCTTTCCATACGAGATGGCTGGAGTGACGTGTCCCCAGGAAGGCAATTCGGCAGGTGCATGACAAGGTTACAGGAAGAAGTCGTGGTGATCCTACTCATATGCATTTCTTCCCTTCGAGCATATAAAAGCAAAGAATACGAGACCAGAAGAAGGATAAGCTCAATGGAACCCAGAGAAAAAGCGCTATATATCATTCCATAGTGTTTCAGTACCTGGGCTTCAAGTTAGATGTGCATACCTGCAAAGTCCTCTTTTTGCAGCCTGCTGTTCCTCCTGCCAAGAGAATGGACTACTGCATATTGGTCACCCCCTTGAGCAAATAAATATCGGGTTAGTGCGCAAAGGAGCTATTGATATTAGATTCATTCTCGAGCCAAGTCAGATATACACACTTCTGATAGCGCACCAGCCAGATACGAGTGGGTGAGCTTGACAATGCGAGGAAGACCGGAGAGCGTATGGAGCGTACGAGCCCGACGAGTCCTTTTTCGTGAGGGTAAGCGGAGGGCGGTGTGGATGAGACCACCGCGCCAACGACTCAGGACCTGGAGCGGACCCGCCGCCCTTGTGACGTCGATCGTGCGGAGGAACGAGGTGAGTTCCCAAAATGGCAGTCGCATCTCTTTCAGTTCTGCCTCACTCATGTACCGCGTTACATTCATCAACCAGCCTGTGACACCACCGCGATTTTAGCACCAACGTTGACAAGACTCGGATGGATGAACTGTACCGAGAGGAGGGATCCTGAAGGAACAGTCAGCCACGCACCTGCCAGCATGCCAGAGAACGACAAGCAGTTAGTTTTGGAGGAGAGGCAGTTGATGAACACGCGAGCTAGATGTCGAGGGTGGGTGGCCTGGAAGAGAAAAGAGGGCTGGATAAATTTGGACCGGGCATGGAGCCTCTGCATCGCGTCATACCAGCATGATGACGAACATGCTCTGAGAGGGGACTTTGGCTTCGAGAGTCGTTGAGACTGGAGGAGAAGGAACAGGAGCTCAGTTCCAATATCCCTTTCTTGCGCTAGGCGAGCGCCGTTCGTGTCCCTCCTTCGGCGCCAAGCTGGGTTCGTGCAATTTTCCTGGGAACGACGTTGCTCTTTACAGTGTCTCTGTGCCAGTCACTCAAACGGGAGACGATACGTTCGTTCTTGTATGGCTCCCGTTCGTAGCAGAGGTGTCGCTCTGTTTTTGCCAACGTCAGACCGGGAGCGCGCCGTGATAACGGAGTAGGATTCTGAAGGTGCGTGCGTTTGACTTGGAGGTTTGAAGGGTGTACTAACGAATGAGCGCTAGCCCAACTCATTTAACTGCTGATGCTGAAGGATGGCTGGCGTTACACTGCTGATGGTCGTTGTAGACTCGGACTCTGGGGTAGGATGCTGGTTTCGGGCTAGCAGGACGTTAGGTCAGTACCGGTACCCTTCGTCTCTCCAGTGAGCTTACTCTGACTTTTTTTCCGGATATCAGCTTCTGGTGCACGAGGAGAGTTATGAGATAGTAAAGGTGGACTGGTGCTGCACAGTCACGGAGAGACCTTCCCTGCAGGTGCTGTATACGACCCGGTACAACGAAATGAAAAAACCCGATTAGGCGATTTACCTTCACCCATGCCATTCTCTCTCTCAGGGCAAAATTCATGCATGTATACACTCTCATTTGAGCTCACCAACCAGCCTCTTGCACCCTATCGTCATAATCAACAGCGTGATTCAATGATCCTCTCCAAACCCCCAACACCAAATTCACGGAGGAGAGGGAAAAGCTGCCAGTCACACAAGTGCGTGGAAGACGTCGGACCCGAGGTGATGCACCGATTCTGGGGGAGAGGCGCTGTTGGTGGATTCATGAGTGGCAGGTCTGGGTTGTGGATCCTCCATACGCCATGGATCCTCGCTTCTACCTCAAATTCACTCGTGATTCTTCGCACCACCCTCCTGCTCGCCCCCGACAACCCACGTTCCGATGTTGTCATTCAGAGAGGGCATTGGCTTTAGACTGGAAGAGAGGACATCCCTTTCTTGCTGAGCCGTTCGTCCACATCGCGCTTTTTGGTTGCTTTTCACAGCGTCTCTGTGTGGAACGGCAGATGATGCGTTCGTTTCTTGTATAGTCAACTTGTCTATGGCAGTCTAGCATCAGACTGAGCAAAATATCCGCACGGGGAGGATAGTGCAAGGGTACGTGCGTTTGACTTGGCTGTCTGAAGAGAGCGCTAATGTGTGAGCGCTAACCTGACATGAAAAGATGGGGTCTATACTCATGGGCCTTCCAAGCAAAGAGCGGTCCTCTTCGGTGTTGCCAGGTCGTTTGCTCCACGGACACTGGGCTCGCGGCATTTCTATTCAATGTTTTCCTTTATGTTGAACCTCGAGCAACTGCTCACTACCACTTCCGCCTCTGGACTCCCTGGACCTAGCACAGCTCTGAATATGACTGCGCTGTTGGACACCATAGCAATATTGCACGGGGTAGGAGTCTGCTGACTATTTACTGACTCGTCCGGCCTTTACTAATGTCATACTGTTCAACAGCACATATTCGAATTCCTCGCAGGGAGAGTCGAGACCTTTGGATCATACAACGATGACACCCGTTCGAAGCCCAAGTGCGTCTCATTGATATTTATTTTGTAACCTTACTGAGATTCTTCAGGTGTTGGTGTTGGTACCGGCACAAGGTCCCAATAAGGAACAGGTATGATGTTAACTCCTTCATGCGACGTACACCAGAGCAGAACGACCCGATATGGCGACCGCGCAAAGGAGGAGTCGATACACAAGTAGTACACATTGCCCATATTGAAGCGGTTACCCCAGCAGCCGAAGACGCGAAGAACGGTGCCTAATGGTGGACCGGTATACGACCCAGAGGACAAGGAAAGCATGTAGGGATTTGCCTTGATCTCAGTGAGACTCGTGCAATGAACGTACTCAATCGTATATTGACGGTCTAAAAAGAAAGTTATCATGACCGAAGTCTATTGCCTGGCCTCTATGCCGAGGCAAATAGACACTTGGGGAATAGAATCGGTACAATTAATCAAGCCGAGATCCTTTGCCTGATTGTTGCTCGACAATTCGAACTTGTTCGTGGCTATGCCCATTGACCACGTCTCCCCAATAGACGGGTTAGAATTTCCTTGAAGCCAATATTTCCGTTTCCCTTCAACATCTCCCTGAGTGAAACAGGTAAGGTTGTCACTGGCTTTTGCGACGAGGCAACGGACTTGATGGAATACTAATCAGGGCGCTCGAAGGTGAACTTGGTCGACCTCCCCACCAGGCTGCTATACACAATATTTTCCAATATTCACGGAGAAAACGTCACGCTCAACTGAATATCTGTCTTGTTGGTAATCACATTCTTCTTTCAATTGCCCGTCCTTTATCTTTCGAGAGATAAACATTGCGTTCTCCTTACCCCTTCCTGAGATCCACCGTTTCTACTGTAATTTTCGCTCCATCTACTCTTTGGAAGTACAGATGTGTGGCGCTTCCTCCCATGGCCGAATTCCGTTCGTTAGAGGACAGATTCCTGTCGGGCAGCGGCGACTAGGTAGGTTCCTATTAGTGAACCCAATTATACAGATTTTTATTTTTATTAGTTCATCGCGATATTGAACCCTGAAAAAGCACCTCGTTTAGTTCACATCCACTTTCTTGTCGAAAGCAATGTTGATGCTATGGGTCAGATAGCCAAGAGATGTGGAGCACTCATAAAGACTCTGCAAACAGTTTTGTGGGCTAGTCAGATAACCGCAGGCTTGGAGCGAGATACTAAGGGGGGAAAATCATCCGTATGGAATCCAAGGCTTCTCAAGAACCAGCTTGGCTCGGGTTTGGGACTGCAGCAAGTGGATGGCGAAGAAAGGAGCAAGTTTTCAATATCATCCTACTCCGATACATCGGCTCATTGTAGAACATTGTTGTTGCGTATAACAGCTTTCAGGTCACTGATAATTTATTGCAAAACTAAGGCGCTAGGACTCAAATTTTACGATTCAACCGATTCCGACTCGACCCTCATGGATATAACGATGGGCTAGTAGTCCGTTTGTCAGTTGTCGTTGAGTGAGTGTGCGATCCGCATACCATCTCCGTTCCTCTACTGCACTCGCATTCAGATGTAAATCTCAGCTGAGATTCACCTTTCGGTTCGAGGATCTCGGAAGACTGAATGTTCCGGAGCTCCTTTCGTGCATTGAGCCTAGATACTCGAGTAAGTCACCACAGAGTTCACGGATGATGGTTTTTGGTACGCACATCGCTAACAAAGAGTTGATAAACACTGTAAATAAGCAAATGTGTCAGAATCTGCGGATCTGTGATGAAGGACTGACGTCTGGGTTGCATGAGATCGATCGCAACGAATACGAGTGCATTTGGCCACATGAGAAACTGTGTCAATCATGAACTTGAGATCGGATAACATATAACGATTGGCATACTGTTATAAGAGTGGCTGTAGAGCACATGCTGCGCACCACGGTAAACCGGTTGAAAAGGTACATAGGTCGACTCTCACCTCGTAACCAACCCAGATATCAGGATCAGCCGCATCAGTGCAACCAACATCGCAATAGTACTGAGTTTACATGATGTCAACGTTGTGACCCAGGTATAAAACGTGTTAAATTACGGACCTGGGAAACGTAGAACTGGCCCGGCTTCTGTTCAGATAATAACACATAGCAATGGATATAATGAAAGTAACTCCTGTGATTGTCGAGAACACTGCGATGATTTCACTCTACTTTCAGATGAGATACATGATCAAAGAGGCGCGATGATGCTTACTTTGATAGTAGAAATATCGGAGAAGTTGGAAACACCGTAGCTGTTGGAAGTGCTTGGATTATCGATGATAGGTAGTTTAATGACTCAATCTTACACTCCGTAAACTAGATCTGATGAGAAGAGGGACATGAATCGCAATGATCAACAAGAGCAGTACAAACTTACATGTTCCGGTGCCTATGGAAGTGAAGAGTCAATCACAGAGGCATATATTCAGCAATTGGAAAGCACTCGAGGTTCACATACCGACATTACAAGCCATGATGAAGGCCTACGAGGGAAATACGGTTGAAAAGAATATGCGATAATCAGCAGGACGAGCTTACAAGAAACCAGGGTACAACTTGACTGAGGTGAAAGAGTTGTCGGACTGGCCATCAGCAGGTGTTAGCAAAGAGTCAATGCAAAGAGCCAATGAGCAACCTTTCCACAGTCGTACAGCATATATACTGCCCAAAGATGAGTTTTGATCAAGCAGCCAAATCTTAGGTAGTAACACACGCTTGGACCACTATTTTGACCAAGGTCTAAACAGCATATCAATCTAGTTTTGTCTACGAGTTTAAGATTGGGGATACGCACTCCAAGAAGAATATGCAACTGCCCAGGTCAACGAGACATTAACTGCCATAGCCACAACTAGAAAGTCACGATACAAACCTTGCAGCTCCTGTCATTCCAGATTAAGTTAGGGAAACGATACGGCGAATATTGAAATGTACCAAATGACATCAAGTTGATTCAAAGCTAGGAACTTGCCCACAATCCGAGTCTCGACGAGAAGGAAATATAACGCGTGAGTGCTAACCACGACATCTAGGGTATCCAGGACCCTGTACATAAACATAAGTGATCTAGGTCAACTCAGGAGTCGGAACTGCTCACCAAATGACTGCCACCTATTCATTAAACACCTCAAGCTCAACTGGGAGAATAAAAGTATATGCAACACGCACAACGAGTCGACAGATCCACCAGTCATTTGGGTATTGCTTGAAATACCAGATGGACTGGAGATTTAATATCCCGAATAGACTGCGCATCATGGTCTGGCATCAGTTGGGACAGATGGGTTTGAAGCTTACATGGCAGAAAGGATGGCCCCGATGAGAAGTATCCCAAATGTGGCACCGAGTAGCGGGATTGGTACAGGAGCTGATTCCATATGAAAAGAGGGGAATAGAGAACGAAAGAAAGAAAGAAAGAAGCTGCTGTTAAAGTAGTAGGACACGTAGATGGGATTTAAATATACTTGTTGATCATCACCCGAAGGTACAATACAGTTGCAGACCCATGAGCTTCTGTAGATCTTTCTCATCATCACCTGTCAAGACTTGAGGATAGGCATCGATAAAATTCAGTCTCAGTTGCAAGACCGCGAAGAAGTAAATATCTCCCAGTGAGCTGGTCAGGGTTGTACTGCGGTTCAGGAAGAGGGTGATCTGCGTGTTCTTGGTGAAAATTTTCAGCAGAGAAGAAAACATGTAAGACTGCGTTTCCCGCAATGATATGCCATCTTCTCCTCCACCTATTCACTACTCAGAGCTATTGGTTTGATTTCAGTGCAATAATGGACAAACAGGTGGCAATAATACATTCCTTCTGGTTCGTGCTCCACCCTTCAGAGAAGGAACACTTGGCGGTACATTATTTCGTCAAAGGCACAATTCTATGTTGATAAATTAAACCAAGATGATTGATGCATTAGGATGAAACTCACTGCTACACATATGATCGGCGAAAGCATAGAATGATTTGAAATTCCGACGTAGAAACAGCCGGTGATTCTTCTATAGAAAGATACAGTCCGTGTCGGCATGCACGTACATCGAAATAGGAAGTTGTATACCGCAAGGCATTTCTGGCGCTCACATCACTCCAACAAGCGCACCGCAGTCTTGCTACTCATCTCCATTCCAGAGGACATCATACGCACCTAACAGTCCAATGTGTGATTGATCCAAATATCAGTTGCCCAGGAGCACAGCTGGGCACAACGATTTGTTTCCTCTACATCATCATTGTCGAATCTCTCTTTGAGCCCCCGTGAGGAGACAGAAAGGTATCACGAACCAATATTCGTTGTTTGGTCATGTCACAGGCTCTACCAAAGGTGTCCTGTTCCCGAGATAGAATACTGCCAAGCCTGGAGCGTTGACGTGAGAATGGAAGAACCGGAATGAATGTGGAAGAAAACGGTTGAAGGCCCATCGATATCAGAACTGCTCATCCTTCCCTTCGAAGTTCGAGAAGTATCAAAGACAAAAGACATTGAGTAAAAACTATGTATAGCGCATCCGCGAATCAGAGTCGGAGACAAGGGAGAGCCAAGAGACGAGGAGAATCATGGAGCGGACATCAGGCGGCATACTCTTCTTCCCTGTTGAGGTGTATTCCATCCAGGGGAGAAGATTGTTCGTACCGTCCAAGGAGGCGATGCAATTGTATGCAGGTGATAAAAATCAAATAATGGAAGACACTTTTAAAATCAGACAAAAACGCCAATCTGCGGGTCGAGCATTAGAAACATGTTGGCAATTAGCATCATCTACATACCGCAGTCCAATGCTTGACAGTCCTACACAATGTTGCAAAGTGATCTAAAGAAGAGTATCAGGTATTACAAACCTGTGAGAGCGACCATACATGATCATTCCAGACTATAGAACACATACCGTCTCTCCCACCAGGGCATAGAACTCTTCCGCGTTGCATGTTCGCCGCATAACTAGTACAGAATGTCCGATTTCTTCAACATCTTCAACACCACGCTCCTGCTGGCAAGATATCATGAAGTTTGAACCAATCTTCCCTCCTCGTCAGAAGCGGCTCATTCCCGAAATCCCAAGATGGCCAGCAATAAAAGGCCGGGAACGTCTGCCTGTGATGCGGGGCCAGAAACAAACGAGAGGAACTGCCAGAAAGAAAGAAAAAAAGCAATTCTAGGAGCTTCGAGGAGTTACTCCCTCTTCTGAAGCTGCAAAACTTTTGGGTCGTTAGGGTTTGACCGTATCTCGAGTTGTTTGAAAAACATGATTCATAGGCAGACACTTTACGTACTGTTAGTCTCTTCTTAGAGCCCGATTATATGCACTTACCTTTGGAGATCATATCACGAAATCCATGTATATGCAAAAAACAGGTGTCGACAACGTCTTCGTTTCTCTACGGCGCACGAAAAGAAAAAAAAAAAAACTCGAGCTGGTGCGTCCATATTCTCGGTTTCTGGCGACGTTAAATCGCCAGCGGTCGCCTTTCCGTCAGTTGGCTGTTCCCAAGGACAATGATTCAGGAGTTCACGGAGGAAAGCGAGATCACGGTCGTTGTCGTGGTGTAGTTCATACGTGTTTCTTCCTGAATCCCTTCAGATATAGAAAGGCAAAGAATACGAGAGAGGATAAGCCCGCGGGGAATGGAAGAAAGAGAATAATACTCAAGATTTTCAAATGTCGTATGTCTGTCTCTGATAGTGTATCGGTTAGTACACGCAGCTAGGTTCGACTCCCAGTCAGAGTGTCCTGATAGAGGCTCTGATTTTTTGTCTTGATCTTCTTTTTCAATATTTGACTCTTGACTAGGTCCTGCTCACTAGGGTTACGCATGAAACCCTGGGTTTTGACACACCGCGGTTTCGGCTCAGTCGACCCCTGCCTGGAGATTTCGTGTCTGATCCACTGCATGTATAATCCTCTCAGTGATATGCCCCACTGAGCTCTATCTTGCTCCCGCTGTTTCTTCCTGGGCTAAGGCACAATCGACTAGTAGATGAGCACGTAGAGAGAGGGAGAACTCGCAACGTTACTGCTACCAATCCGCCAAAGAGCAGCGGAAATCCAGGGGTAGTACTTCATAAGAAAAGACATCACGATGTGAGCTATCATCGCCTTCCCGTACGTGTCTCGACTTGGAGTATCCATTGATTCGGTTTTGACTCCCGATGGAAGAGAATGAAGATGAAGAAAAGCGTGCCCTTTTTCTTCGTTCTTGGAGCTGACATCCGCCCGTCTCCTCTTGCATACAAAGGCAAATGGGCAGGACAAACCAACACCAACATCACGAAGCCTTCCAACATCACTCTGATAGAGCATCCGTTAATGCGTGCAGTGCCTGGGTTCGATCCCCAGTCAGAGAACTCAGCATAGAATGAAGTCAATCTAACTTTTCTTTTGCCTTGCGGATGAGTCTGACAATCGTTTGAAGTTTCCCATCCACCCGTAAAGTGGAGGAATGGTACCGTGTAGATTAGAACGCTTGCCTGGTAGGTAATTCGCCGATTCAGTGTAAACTATACTGTCATTACCCTACTCCTCTTTGGTGAGCATCTCTCGCGCGGCATCGCATAATGAGAATGCAGTGGTGCACAACTACCCACCCTGGTAGCAAAGAAGGTTAGCGAGTCACCAAAAAGATCCAGAGACGAAGCGTACGGACCCTAGTATGTCTCCATTCCAGTTTGTTTCTCAACACAACCATTTCCAACCCTCTGCGCGCGCACTATTCGACAGCATTGAACCAGGTACTCGGAGGAAAACTCGCTCTTTGGGCACTGGTCATAGCTAGCGATCGCTCATTAGTCTTCTCTTCGACCCGCCAAGTCAGATGAACGTACGGAGACAGATGCCCCATGCCATGACCCCGCCGTGTTCTTCACCCAGCAGGACGAGGTTGATCTGGACGGCCGCAGGAGAACGTCATTCTTGAGGGCGAGCGACTCGAACAGAGACTCGCTCCTCTGCAACGTCCTGCAAATCACGCTATGGTCACGCTCCGTAGCGACACTGAGACGCGCGTCACTATTAGCGAGAGCGAGCGGCGGACATTGACATTTGGAGGACGGGGTACGATTCCGTATATTCGTCCAACCGCGAACCGGATCCAAGTCGTCCAACTGCAACGCCGGGTCCCGCCATCAAAACACACGCCACCCCCACTGATGCATTTTTCCAGGCTATTCTTCCATCCAGCGAGCGACTGGCACAAAAAGCAACGTCGTCCCTAGCAAAACCAACTTGGCACCGAACTTGATAAGCAAGAGACGGTCCCGTTCGATTCGAAATGCGAGTACGTGGTTGTCGGTAGGGAACGTGGGTGATTGAAGGCGATACCATCTTCGCGATAGGAGTTCGTCCCTGCTTGGTATCCTATGAACGCTAGAGCCAAAATCGTGATGGTGTCAACGGGTGGTTGAGTGACATGCGGGTGAAAGAGACGCGACGTGACTGCCATTTTGGGAACTCGCCTTCTTCCTCCGCCTCAACATGATCCTTAGCTTCACTAGTCACTCCCTCACTTTCTCTTATCCCTACTATCCTGAAAGCACCGCTTATGTGGACTGGCTATCGGTATCGTCCATAGCAGCTGCTTTCACCAGAGACTGCGTCGTCCTTCTGTATGAATTTGGTTAACGGAACAGGACCCCGATCGCAGGACAGCGTTTTCATCACAAGGTACGTGTTTTTGACTCGACAGTCTGAATAGAACACTAATGAGTGCTAGTGAGCGCTTTCCCGACACATATTACTGCCAATTCGAAGGGTAGCTGGCGCCTATGTGCTTCGCCGGTGTCGATGAACGAGCAAGGCCGTCGAGTCATGTATGCTCGAATCGAGATGAGGATCGGAATAGATCCGGACTCTGGAGGTAGCATGCTTGTTGCGGGCTGGTGGCTTCTTGTGCGTTAGTCTTGTCGAGGTCAGCTGAGTATCTAGGCCAGCTGCTGTTAGTGACGTCAGAAGGCTGGAAATGTAGGACAGGTCTCTTCTGGCGATGGGTTTCTCGTCTTGATCATTGACCACAAAGAACACCAGCCTTATTCCACAGAGAGAGGGAAAAAAACATATGGAGGACATTGTCTTTCATCGGGAGCCGAACCCGGACCGAAGCTGTGTAAACTGGGAGAAGGCAATGGGCCTCGAAAGTCGACTCCCGGTCAGAGAATTATACGTGTGGGGATGTGAGTTCCTGAGAGGGGCAGTAGGATAGATACCACCCCTTCAACCTTCAATAAAAAATCGGGGACCCGGCAGCTGCCGCTACTGGATCTGGATCATAGCCACTTATTGCTGTTTGCAGAATAGTTGGCGTAGCTGCCTTTTTGGGCCTGGTTGCTTTTTTTTGGCGCGAAAGACTTTTCAGCTGTAGCTCGGTCAGTACATTAGATATTTGCTTGAAATAAGATATGTTTCGACATTTCCTGAAGCCCTTGAGGTGCCGGTGCAGTCAGAATTTTAATTTAGTCAATTCGAAAATTCTAGCCTGCTGTGAGGGCTCAGATCAACTTTTCAGCTGTATCTTGCCAACAACGGATGCTACGAAGATGCTCCAAGGGAGAAAGTCAATGTATTCATACAAGGCAAGATGCACAACAGCATTTTTGGTGCCAGAAAAATCATCGCGGTGTTAAATCAAGAGTTGCATGTTTCGACCCGGACCCTGACATCCTAAAGGAACAATAGGATGCCATCACAACTCCAATTCCATTGCATGCACCTCAGAAATGATACTCAAAAATTATCTCAGCTTACCATATGCTTACATCTGGTTACCTTCTCTCGCAGTGATGAAAATGTCAGTTATGCATGCCGAAATTTGAGGAACTCAAAACTTGCTCGCGAAACTTCAGAATTGGGGCTCGCATCTCGGAAATAGTGAGGGAATCACACACATACAAAATTCCATGTAATTTGATGGGGAAACGGAGAAGATATAACTGAAAAGTGATATTGCGACTCGACGGACAAAAAAAGCGATCGAGCCCAAAAAGGCAGCTGCGCCAACTATTCTGCAAACAGCAATAAAGACGGTCTCGGAGTCACGGTCGTCTCAGTGATTGCAAACAACGATGGCCACCTCGCACATTCTGTCCAAAAAATCTACACGATTAGAACGTGATACGTTCATTTTCTCGACAACGGCACCAACAAGATTGGTTCTTGGTGGGTATGACAATCAAGCCACCAGCACGACCTTTGACGAAATTTTACTTAGGACTGAATCAAAGCCTCACCCCGGTATCAAGCGCCACCCTCCACCGCTGGATACGCTTGATAGCTCGACGTATCTCACCATTTACCTTTCATCCAGTCACCATACGCCGATTCGGTATACTGTCATATGCAATTGAACTGAAAGGCGAAGAAATCTCAGCGGCTTCTACGGAATCACTTCCCGCTGGCAACTACGCCTGGTATTGGCCAGGTACTCCGTTAACTTTTACCTTTATACATATTCATTACCAAGTGCAGATGGCAAGCAAGCCTTCCCTGAAATCACCGCGTTTACGCAGCTTGCGCCATTTCCAGAAATGATGCCAGCCGGAAAGGATCTAGAGACCTTGGTATGGTTTTTCATTCACTTTATTCGTGCAAGCTCATCCTTAGGATTCGCCCGACGCCCAGTTTGATGTGGTACCCTCTGTGGCAGAAGCCGTCGTGCAAAGAGATCACCACCGGTGCTTCGTCACCGGTATCATGTCCCCGCCGGACGACGTAGGACTGATATGGGTATTCCCTCCGGACTTCTTTTACCTGGTAAGTCCATTGATACTCCATGAAACTTGGTGCTGACGATATCATAGTTATTCTACTATAAGACAGCTGAAGACCAGCCCCCACCCTGTCCCGAGTTCTTCAAGGTGGCATCCAATGCGGGATTCATGTACAAGCGTCTCATACCATTTTTTATCGGTAATGCTTTCAGCATTGATGTCGATGTAAGCCCTGACCCCTATTGCCATATGAACGCGCGTACTTACTTATTTCTTCGTCAGGACGGTCATCGTATCGTCGTCTTTCGAGACATGGGATCCGCCCAGTCACTGTTACCATCCCATATAGTCGGTAGAGACGGTGAGGGACTCCCAGCTGATAAATTTCTCAGAGAGCATTTTCGTGTCTCGATGCAGGTAAATCTCCTAGGCGGAGATATATGTGAAGACTACAACCACAATGACATCCTCGACATGATGGAGGAGTTGGGAGTTGAAGGAGAAGATTATGTAGAACCACCACCTTTGACCGATCCTAGATGGCAGACCGTGCTGGGGAAAGCAATTTTGGAGGATGTTCTGTTGTCTAAGGCTAGCGTGGCATGCCTAGATGACTTGGATGTGGATTGAAGTATCACGAGCCCATGCACCCTTTGTTCTGAGTCTATATAATACTATATTAGCGAGGAGCCTTGAAGTGTTGGATTGGTAGGGTAATATACATCGAAACACACGGTATAAGTCCGTATCTTTGAGCCACCGTAACAGGGATGGAAAGGTTACTTCAAAGATATCACGAACAAGTATCCGCTGTTCGGTCGTGTAGCAGGCTCTGTCGAAAGTGTCCTATTCCCATCGCCTACATACCACAGTCCAATTCTTGACAGTGCTTTGCAACTCAGGATCCAGGATAAGGTGTTAAGAGAGAAACACGTTGGATCTGTACGGACATTGTGCAATGTCACAAAGTGATCTAGTAAAGAAGAGGATCGGGTATTACGAACCTGCGAGAGCGACCACAGATGATCGTCCCGGACTATAGAACACATCCCGCTCCTTCCACAAGCATGTGGTACTCTTCTTCATCACAATTCCGCTTGACGGTTCGATATATAGCTAGTGCAGAATGACCGGTTTCTTCAATATCTCCCACTTCAGCTGGCAAAAGATCTTGAACCAACCTTCCCTACTGGTCGAAAGCGACTCATTCCCAAGATAGCCATCGAGCTGGTAGCAATGAAATGCGGGAAACATCCGGACCCAGAAACAAACAGACAGAACTGCAAAAAAAGTCCACCATTCCGAGAGCCCCCACTCAACTTGGGGAATTATTTCCCCTTCTGACTCGGAAGCTGAAAAGCAAGATTCGGGTCGTTAGGATATGACCTTATCTGAAGTTGTTTGAAAAAGACGATTCATAGGTGGACGCTATACATATTGTTAGTCTTTTCTTAGAACCCAATCAGACACGCTTATCTTTGGAGATCATACCACGAAGTCCATGTATACGCAAAGAACAGGTGTCGACAACGTCTTCGCCTCTCTACAGTGCACGAAAAAAAAAAAATCGAGCTGGCGTGCCATCCATATTCTCGGTTTCTGGCAGCGTTCAATCGTTAACTGTCACTGTACCATCCGAGATGATCGGAGTAACTTGTTCCCAAGGGAGTTCACGGAGGGTGCAGGACAAGGTTACGCCAGGACAGCGAGATCGCGGTCATTGTCGTGGTATAGCTCATACGTGTTTCTTCCTGAATCCCGGCAAAGAATACGGAGGAGGATAAGCCCGCGGGGAATGGAAGAAAGAGAATAATACTCAAGATTTTCAAATATCGTATGTCTGTCTCTGATAGTTTATGGGTTAGTACATGCAGCTGGGTTTGACTCCCAGTCATAGCGTCTTGATAGAGGTTCTGATTTTTTGTCTTGAACTTCTTTTTCAATTTTTGACTCTTGACTAGATCCCACTCACTAGGGTTGCGCACGAAACCCTGGGTTTTGACACACCGCGGTCTCGGGTAATTTACCTCCTCAGTCGACCCCTGCCTGGAGGTTCCGTGTCTAATTCACTGCATGTATAATCCTCTCAGTGATATACCCCAATGAGCTCTATCTTGCTCCTGCCATTTCTTCCTGAGCCACGGCACAAACGACTAGATGAGCACTTATAATTGCATGTAGAGAGAGAGAGGGAGAACCTCGCAACGTTACTGCTACGAATCCACCACAATCCAGGGGTGGTACCTCATAAGAAAGAACATCACGATGTGAGCTATCATCGCCTTCCCGTATGTGTCTCGACTTGGCAGTACCCATCACAGACCTTTAAATTAGTTCGGGTTCGACACCCGATGGAAGACGACAAAGATGAAGAAAAGCGTGCCAGTTGTTTCCCCTTTCTCCGGAAACGAAGATCGGCTGGTGCTTTTTGTCGTTCTCTTGCATAAAGAGTCAAATAGCCAGGACACCGCCGGAGGAGACCTGTCCTGCATAATGAAGCCTCCCAACACCACTCTGATGGAGCATTTGTTAATGCGTGCAGCGCCTGGGTTCGATCCCCAGTCAGAGAATAAGAAGTACAGTCTGTCCTTTTCCCCTGCGGATAAGTACTACAATCGTTTGAAGTTTCTTCGTCCACCCGAAGAATGGTATCAACTTAGAATGCCTGTCGGGTAGGTAAATCACCCGGAGAGGCGGCGTACATTATCATTATTATGATTCCTCTCTTGATAGCTCTTTTCGTGCGCATCTCTCCAAGCGGCATTACAGGCTTGAAATATAGTGATGCATGACTACCCACCCTGATAGCAGAGAAGGTTAGCGATCCATCCAAAGCTTTAGAGACGAGGCGTACTGACCCTAGTATGTCTCCAGTCCAATTTATCTTGATCTTGTATCTATCGACCTGCCCAACAGCCATTTCCAATCCGACGATTTCGAATCAGGACTGGGAGAGAAAGCCGGCCATTCATCGCCAGTTGGCACTGATAACGCGGTCATTTGTTCAGCTGGTGCTAGCTCATCAGTCCTCTCTCTGAATTGCCGAGTCACATACACGCACCCAGATGGATGGCTCAGAGCGCCCTGCGCCATGATCCTGACATTCTCTTCGCCCAGCAGGACGAGGCTGACCTGGACGGTCGCACGAATACATCATTCTTTTTCAGGGCGAGCGATTGCGATATCATTTCCTGCATAGACAAGTCGGCGCGATCCTGGTGAACGGCAGCGAGCCTAGAACGCACGAGGGAACGACCCGCTCCTCTCCAATGACCTGCAGAACATGCTATGCAGCACTGGAATGCGTGTTATCTAGAGTGAATGGCAGTCATCGGCATTCGAGGAACGATTCCGTATGTTAGTCTAGACGCGAAGAACCATGAACCAGTTTCAAGTCGTCCACGCAATGCCAGCTACTTCCGGGTCCAACTATCGAAGAACACGTCGTCTACGGTCTCTCCATGAGAATGTATCAGTGTGAGTGGCATTTTGTGCATAGTAGGGTTAGAAGAAAACAAGGGTGAGTGATGCGCAATGACGTTCATCCAGATGTTCATGTTGAGGCAGAAGAGAGGTGAGTTCCCAAATTGGCAGTTGCACCTTTCTCTCACCTGCATCATTTAACCATCGTCGACACCAACACGATTTTGGCGCCACCATTCACAGGATACCAAGGAGGGATGAGCTAGTGTCTGTACTAGGAGGAGGGACCCCCAAAGGAACAGTGAGTCGCAAAAAGCCCTGCACGCCTGCCAGTATGGAGAACGACAAACACCGATTTTGGAGGAGAGGCCGTCGATGAATGTACGACTCAGAGCTAGATGGTTGGCACATCCAAAGGTGGGAAGAGTGAAGAGGCCGGCTGGGTTTGGATTGGACGTGGAACCTCCGCGTGTCGCATCATGGGTTCTCGCGTTAGGGTGGTTAGACGACGAACGTCCTCTCCTTCGAATTCATCAATGATTCATCCCATCTATTCGTATCACCCTCCTATCCATGACCTCGACAACCCACCGGAGATGCGGACTATGTCTTGGAGGCGCTCATGAAGAGAAGGCGCTTGGGCTTTGAGAGTCGTTTAGACTAGAGGAGCTCGGTTTCGACATCTCTTTCCTGCGCTAGGCGGGCCGTTCGTCCATACCGCATTGTTCGTGTTCCTCCTTCGGCACCAGGCGGGGTCCGTGTAGTTCTCCCTGGGGACAGCGTTGTTTTTCATTGGACCGGGTAGAAGGGTACGTGCATCTGACTCGGCAGTCTGAAGAGAACACTGACGACTGAGTGCTAGCCTGACTCTTTTTACTACCAATGTGAGGGATGGCTGGTGGCGACTGTGTACACCGCCAATAGTGAGGGTCTTTAGGTCAGTATCCTTCATTCCCTAGTGAACCTATTCTAACTTTCATCCGGTATCAGCACGAGGAAGAGTTCTGACTACACGCAAAATGCGTCGTTTCCCTGCATGCAATGAAGAATATCGACTCGGGCGATTCCCTCGACTCTGTCAACCTTCGTCCGCACACAACTTAGCTTCGAGGAACAGGCGCCACTCGCTCCATAACGTCTGTATTGCACACCGGCATTCGGTGTTGCGTGAGAGGGTTCGACTCCCCGTCAGAAAATTCAGTATCCTTTCTCGGTAATTTTTTTGCTTTCCGTTTCGAGGTTACGGGTTGTCTCCCGCGCGCGGGAGGGCAAGATTCGTATACCTGTGACCGTAGGAGTAAAAACCTGTATCGACATGGGATGAGCTCTGACTGGGAATCGAACCCGGCTGTGTAGATATACTATCCGCAAACCTACTAGAGACTACATAATGGGATTGACGGACGGTACTCATCTGTAAGTCAGCACGCAGTATTATTCCCTGTCCAAACACGCTGCCTGGCTTGATATACATTCCCCTGGTTAACGATTGGCGTAGAGCCGCATCACGATTTGGAATGACTGGAGAGGTATGGAGAGATGATAGAGGCAAGGCAATTCTGCTATCTTCTCCTTGGCTTGAAGGTGGGTTTGAGGCGGAATATGCAATGAAATGCGATAACGGCTTGCGATCTTCCCAATGCATGATGGTACTTGGAGAAGACAACTCGCTATTGAAATCGTGATGGTATTTACAAAGTAGTGGGTGCTAAAATAAAAAATACGGATGTCCAAATCCGTGTAGTGAGATAGTTCGTCTGCACCACACAATGGCGGATTAACACGTCCACGAAGCCTACAACCGCCCCAGCAATTAGCACCCAACCCTCAAAAAAAAACTGAACCAAACACGCACATCTTTCATAGCACCAAGCGTTCCAACGCGGCAAGCCAAGATACTCAGCAATAATCACGAGATTGTAGCCTGCGCCTTGTAAGACCTCGAAAGCATGCGGGAGAACGGCGGTGCTAGTAGTTTCTAGGTGAACCACAGTTAGATGTAAAGTAAGAAGTGAGGCTGGCAACTACTCACCAACAGTCTCATGGTTCAGAGTCAAGATCGTGTTAGGCCGCTTAGCCACGGTGGATCGCAGAGTCTCCAGAACGATACGAGAAACTGAGAGGGAGAGAAAAGGAGAAATCACACTCTGATTACTTGCAAGACGTTATCGTTGGAACTGCTGAGTGGAGGTCGCATAAACGCGATTTTGACTCCGAGGATTTTCTCCAGGGTCGCTGCAAAGTCTGAGTTGGCAAATCCATTATCGATTGGCGAGGAACGTACTATGTGAACACTATCGACATCCCAAAATCAGAAATCTCATGCTATTGAGCTAAGCTAACATACCTTGGTCAGAGGGCAGCGTAACCAGATCTTTATGCGATCGTGTATACCTGTATACAAAGTCAACCAAATTCGCCATTCACCGGGGAGTAGATACTCACGAAGCGACCTGATGACCCTTCCAGATCGCTGCTACCTCCGCGTCTCCGTATATACATCCACTACCCTCACAACATTTACAGTTGGTCCAATCTGGACGGTTCGGGCGTGAGTTAGATCTGGTATGAGATGGTACAGACTAACGAGGAACGTCCCCCTTGGTGCCTTTTGCCGCTTGCATTGACGATGTTCTGCCTGGAGACCCGAAGCCGTGAGTGATGCTTCGAATAAGTCAGGTGTGAACGGCGTACAAATAGATGTCGTCCTACGCAGCGTCAATGTATGGTGCGAAGACTCGTTTATATACATACCAAAGTGAGAGCAGCGGTTTTCGGAACAGATCACACCACCACCGGACTGTCGTTCTGTGGTGCTGGTTTTGGCATTGGCACAAGGTCCCAATAAGGAACAGCCGGGTCCACTGGCAAGCTTGCCATGCGCTGTGGCCACAAGGCTCGTGGGGTGTGAAAGAGCGGTAGCAGCGGCCAATGCGAAGTGGAGGATAACATCTTGAAGTAGGTTGGGCTGAGGGAAGTTTGTATACGGAGACGAGGGAAGGCAATCGGGCCTTTTATTACTGCACATAACTGCTGCTCAGACATAAAAGGCAGTAATCACAGTCTAAGTTAGCGGTCAGCGCCTTTCTGAGGTCTCAGATCCCGAGGCGGTCGTCATAAGTAGCAAATATCTCGCCACTCGTGGGAGAAATCCCATGGAACTCTGACTATTTGGCGATTCTATGTCAAAACCACAGAAAGGTCTGACCGCCTCATAGCCAGGAGAAAGATATATCTGGCCCCGGGGGGTCGAAATAGAATTGGGATGTCAAGCCATCGAACCGTGTTATTGCAAATCGTGACGGCCGTGCTTCCGTTTGGGCTTACCTTGGACACTGGACAGGGAATGCTCAGCCTTCCCCCTACTGGGGCTAGAACCGACATCGACCTATTACCCCCCGCGCGTGTTGAGAGACAAGCAAAATTTCCCACACGCGTACGTATAATTTTCTGATAGGGGGTCGAACCCCTCTCTCGCATCAGTACCGAATGCCGATGTGAATCCAGACATATAGGACTTTGCTGTGTTGGTGATGTCTGCTAGCGTTCATTCCCAGACTCAGTTGTCTCTGAATCTATGGATCTCGAGCTTGAGCTGACAGCGTGACCAGGAAAGAGAGAGAGAGGCACGGATAAAGAAGGCTAATCGTCTAAATCAGGTTGTTTCATTCAGCTGCGGTACCGTACCGAGAACAAACAGGGATTGCGGTGTACGTTGCTTCCTCGAAGGTGCAGCGTTGGGGCCATCATAACTCTCTTCAGTATGCTAATACCGGATAAAAGTCAGAATAAGCTCACCAGAGATATGAAGGGGACTGACCTCGACAAGACTAGTGCACAAGGAGCCACCAAACCGAAACAAGCATCCCTATCTCCAAAGTGCAATCCCATTATTATCAGAGTCTCGATTTGAGCTCGACGGCCTTGCTCGTTCATCTACATCGGTGAGGTACATAGTAAGTGCCAGAAATCTTAGAATTGTACTAAAACCAGTCGGGCTAGCACCCACACTAGTGTTCTCTTCACTTGTCGAGTTAAAGACACGTACAAGCGTTGTTCTGCTATCGGGCCCTGCTGGATGATGCAGCCCCCGGTGAAAACAGCCGCTATGGATGATCTATGTAGTAGCCAGTCCGCATGAGTGGTGGTTTCAGCATGGTAGGGTTGGGAGAAAGCGAGGGAGAGTGATGCACAATGACGTCAATCATGTTGAGGAAGGTGAGTTCCCGAAATGGCAGTTGCGTCTTTTTCACTCGCGTCGTTCAACCACCCGTTGACACCAACACGTCTTTGGGATTCCTCTGTGCTGTTCACACGACCCTCCTATCGTGAAGATAGTATCGCCTTCAATAATCCACCTTCCCCATTAACGTCGCGTATTCGCATGTTGAACCGAACGGGACCGTCTTCTTGGTGCCAAGTTGGTTTTGCTGGAGGCGACGTTGCAATTTACAGCTGCTAGTCGCTCGCTCGCTAGATGGGAGATGACTAGGACTCACGAATAATAGCCTGTAAAATGCGCCAGAGTGTTGTGTATGCTTTGATGGTGAGACCCGGCGTTGCAGTTGGATGTCTTGAATCCAGTTCGCGGTTGGACGAACATAACATACGCAATCGTAACCCGCTTCTCCGAATGTCGAAGACCGCCACTCGCTCTCAATGACATGTGTTCAAGTGCTGCTACCGACCTTGTCCATAGCGTGATTTCCAGGACGTTGGAGAGGAGCCAGTCATTCCCATCTCTGCGTTTCTAGCGAGCTGCCGTTCATCAGGATCGCGCCGTACGATCTCTGCACCAGTCTATATCCCTCTGGAAGACGTGTGACTGTCCAGATCAACCTCGCCCTGCTAGGTGAACACTGAACAGAATGTCGAGATCATGACGTAGGGCGCTCCGTCTGGGTACGTGCATCTGACTTAGCAGTCCGGAGAAGAGACTAATGAGCGACCGCTAGCTACTACCAAGGCCCAAAGTGTGACTTTCCCTCTGAGTCCCTGGTTCAATGCCGTCGAATAGTGTGCACGTAGAGGGTTGGGAATGGAAGTTCGCGTTGAGGAACAAAATGGAATGGAGACATACTTGGGTCCGTACGCTTCGTCTCTGGATCTCTTTGGTGACTCGCTAACCTTTCTTTGCTATCAGGGGTGGGCTCTCGCGCACCATTGCGTTCTCATTATATGATGCTGCGCGGGAAGATGCTTACCAAAGAGGGGTAGGGAATCATGATAGTTTACGCCTACCCTGCGAATTACCTATCAGTGAAGCCTGCATTTTTTTGTTTTTTGTTTTGAGGAACGAAATCCAACACTGAGGAAATGCTTAATGCACGCCTCTTCAAGCAGTGTGGGACTCAAGCCAATGTTACCTGTGCCTACCTCTTGGCCGAAGGTTCGGGCGCAGAGGCTCGATACTCACTCAGTGAAGCCTTCTAACCTACACAATGCCATTTCTCCACTTTACAAGCGGGCGAGAAACGATTGTCGGACTCATCAGCATTGGCATGCGCAAGGAGAAAAACCTGGGTCCACATTCTCTATTCTCTGGCTGGGAATCGAACCCAGCATACGCGCACGCATTAACGAGTGCTTCATCAGAGTGCAGGGTGATGTTGGAAACCTGGGAATATGATAATAACATGGGATAGCGCTCGGTGGGCTTTCTGGTCATGACCATTTGCCTTGGTATTGAGTGACAAGTATGATAAAATGTACCAGCTGGTCTTGATGCTCATTTCCGGAGAACTCGGGGAAAAAATGGCACGCTTTTCTTCATCTTCATTCATATCCTACGCGACGTATACCAACTAGCGCAGGGATAAGGAGAGGGAGCCAAGTTTGGAGTCGGACGTGTCTGGCAGCCTCATGACTAAGAGATATAAAGAGAGGCATTTGCTATCGAACTGGTCCTAGTAAAGACTCAGGCTGCTTAAAAAAGGTGACCACACTGTGCTTGAACCCTATCGGCCTGCGCCCAAGTAAAGATAATGCTAGAAATCAAAATTTAAACGCAGGATGATGATGGTCTGACTAGTTAGGGTTGCACATGAACCGGTTAGTTACTGGCAACTTTTCCCCCATCAGACCGGATCGAAACATACACTGTGAGAAAACTTAAGGATCGGTAAAAAGCTGTAACTTATCCCCTGGAGGTTTTGTGCGACCCAGGACTAGGATTGCGCACGAAACCCCAGGTTTTGATACACCGGGGTTTCGGACTGGTAAGTTACCGGTTAGTTACTGGTATTTTACCTCCCCTCCCTGGAGGATTTTTCGTCGAGGTAACTTACCTGTCATGTGACAGATGTTTGAGCAAAATAATGCCATACTACTGGATGCATATTTGAGTTCTACGGAAAATTCACAGACCGGTGATCTTTATAAATGAATTACATTTCATTATATCAGGAAAATGTATAAAAACACGAAGACGGGAGTATCGGAAAAAATCTGCAATTACGACGCGTCAGTCATGTGATATTAGCATGTGATAGGTAAGTAACGGTAAAATACCGTATCAAACCACCCCCCCTTGGGGAGGGGTCAGTACAAAACCGTATTTTACACCCCCTGGAGGTTTCGTGCGCAACCCTACCCAGGACCCTGGGGCCTAACCTCCGCCAGAGTCAAGATAGTGCCAAAAAGAAATATTTGAAGGCGTAAACGCGAAATATCTCTCTGACTGGGAGTCGAACCCAGCTTTCGCGCGACCATCTAACATCAACTGGGTGACAGGCGCGTGTACTAACCGATATACTATCAGAGATTAATTCTTTTTCCAATAAGACCTAGGGACTACAAAGATTTAAAATACTTACCTTAAACTTCAACACGTTCCTTTCATCGCTCTCCCAACTCGATATTTACTTCCTCAAGGGATTGATGAAGATGCGGTAGTCCTCCATACCCCAGAGCTTTCATGAGAGGAGCAGAAACGGAAGAATAGTCGGTGTGGTTTTCAGGTTGTAAAAAGAGGACTCGGACGTTGAATATGTACTAGGTACGCCCATGGGTTGATAACTAGTAGGCCCAATTACTGAAACTATGGAATGATAGCGCCTCCTCTCTGTCTTCCACTCCCTCTTGCAGGCTTATCTTCCCTCTGGTTTCGTGTTCGTTGTCTTTATATGCTGAAGGGAGGAAACGTATGAATAGCACCACGACTAAGACCGCGACCTGTTCTTCCTATACCCTTGTCGCGCGCCATCTGGAGGTCCATCCCTGAGCTGTCGAATTGCCATCCTTGGGGAGGCGTGACTGTCCAGACAGATCGAATGCCGCCAGAAACCCAGGCTATGCGCGCCGTAGCTCTAGACGGTTTTCATCATGCAACGTGCACTGTAGAGAAGACCAGACTTCGGCGACACGCGTTCTTTGCGCGTATACCCGGGCTTCGTGGTGCGATCTCTAAAGGTAAGCGCATCCGACATAGTTCTAAGAAGAGACTCACAGTATATATAGCGTCCGCCTATGAATCGCCTTTTTCAACAACTCCAGACACGGTCCAATCCTAATGACCCGAATCTCATCGGAAGAGGAAGCAATTCGCCAAGTTGAGTGGGGGGGCTTTTGGAATGGCGGCCCTTCTCGCAGTTCTGCCCGTTTGTTTCTGGCCCCAGATAACGGGTGGTTCCCTCGCCTTTCCTTGCTACTAGCTCAATGGTTATCTTTGGACTGACTCACTTCCGATGAGGAGGGAGGATTGGTTCAGGAAATTTTGACGGCTGATGCTCGGCAAGGACGACAATGAAGACACCGGTCATCATGGACCAGCTATTCATAGAATTGCCAGGCGGACATGTACTGAAGAAGAGTACCACATGTTTGTGGAAGGGACGGTGTGTGTTCTTTTCTCTGGAACGATCATCTATGGTCGCTCTCACTGCAGCTTTTTAAAACCCCATCTTTGTCTAGATCAATATGTGACATTGCGCAAAGTCCGTACAGATCCAACGTGCTCCTCTCTCAACGCCTTATCCTAGATCCTGAGCTACAAAGCATCGTCAAACATTGGACTGTAGTATGTAGGCAACTATAACTGCTGGACGATGCGTTTCTAACACAGCCCACGGAATTGGCATCTACGTACTAATTTAAAACTGTCTTCCATTAATTGATTTCTATTATCAGCATACAATTGCATCGCGATACGAACGATCTTTTCTCCTTGATGATCCACCTGGATGGAATACACGTCAACGGGGAGGGAAAGTAGACTACCCAATGCCCGTTCCATGATTCTCCTTGTTCTCTTGCTTGTCTCCGACTCTGATTCATGGACCTGCCAGACATAGCTTTTACCCAATGTTCTTGGGACCGCACACCTATTTTGTCTTTGTCTTTGATACTTTGCAAAGAGAAGGACGAACGGCTCCGAGTTTGATGGCCCTTGGTCGTTCTCTTCCACGTTCATTCCGGGATTCCTGTTCTCCCGTAAAAGCTTGCTGGCAGTTTCTATCTTGGGAATAAACGACCTTCGACAAGCCTGGTACCGTGACAGTAAATTTTTGTTCGTGGTATTAATCCATCCCCGTTATGTTGGCTCAAAGAGAGAACTTGACAGGGATGACGCAGAGGAAACCAATCGCTGTACTCCTCGACGACTGGTATTTTGGATCAACCGCAGACCGAACTGTTGGACACGGATGATATACTCTGGAATGGAGAATAACAGCAAGAGTACGGCGTGCCCGTGGGTACGATGAAACTGACTTCTGCATGTCCACATTAATTGTCTGTAAAACAAGCACCGGCTGTTTCTGCGCCGGAATCTCAAACCGAGAAGAGGGGGGAGGCTAGAGGTCAGTGCGCTATTCTATGTTCTCACCGATCAGATGTGTAGCTGAGTCCCATCCTAGTACATCATTTCATCTTGGTTTAATTTATCAGCATATAATCGTGCCTGGACGAAAAGCCAAGTGTTCCTTCCTGAAAGATGACCTTCATCGACGCTCGAGAGCAACTGAAGGGCAAAGCGCGAACCAGAAGTAAAGTATCGTTGTCACCTGTTAGTGCGTTGCTGTATTGAAACCAAACCAATAGTTTTGAACAGTGAAGGGAGGACGATGATGTTTCGTTGTGATAAGATGACGACAGTGGGTATTTCTTTCTCTGTTGCAATTGTAACCAGGAACACGCAACTCACTCTTCCTGGTACCGTGACCAGCTTCCATGTGGTCTTGCTGGGAGATATCTGCTTCTTCGTGGTCCCGCAATTGAGGCTAAACCTTGCTGGCCTATCCCTCCAGTCTCAGCGAGTGATGATGAGAAACATCTGCGGTACCTCATGGCTCTGCAGCATGTGTTCTGTATAAGACCTTCGTGTAATGATTGGCAGATATAGTTAACTGCCTGCACTGCATCTTTTCAACAGTCATCTCTTTCTTTCTTTTTCTATTGCCCTCTTTCTGCATGGCTTTGGCACCTGTACAAATCCCGCTTCTTGGTGCCACGTTTGGGGTAATTCTCGTCGGGGCCATTCTTTCTGCTATGTGAGTTTCAACTCCGTCGGTCGACGGCCAACTGACGCACCACTGTGTATAGGCTATTCGGGGTGTCTAATCTTCAATCGCTCTGGTACTTCAAACAGTATCCAAATGACTGGTGGTTTTATCGAGTCGCCGTGCGTGCTTTGTATGTTTGTGCTTTCAAATGAAGTCTAAGGAATTTATTGAACAGGTTGCGGTCATTTGGTTAGCCGCCCGGGGTTCTAATTGACCTGAAACGTCTTCCTGATAACAAAGGACAGGATCCTAGATACATTAGATGTCGCGATTAGCACTCACGCGCTGTATTTCCTTCTCGTTGAGACTCGGATAGTGGGCAGGTTCCTCACTATGGATCAGCTTGAAATCATTTGGTACGCTATATGTTTGCTGCATTGTTTAACTGATTTTATCTGGCATGAAAGGAGCTGCAAAGTTTGTATTGTGATTGTAACGTTGAGACTGGTGGTTAACTTCTCGTCGACAGTTGCATATTCTTCTTGGAGTGCGTATTCTACCATATTGAGCCCAGTAGACGAAACTAACTTGTCATACTTCTCAGACTTTTTCAAAGTAGCTGTTCAAGTGTGCGTTACGTCAAAAATCTTAATTGCTTCATTGACTTGAAAGCTCGTCCCTGGTAGTGTATATGCAGTGCGGCTTTGGAAAGGTTTTTCATTGCTTCTTTGCCCTGACTCTTTGCTAACATTTACCGATATCCAGTCGGACAACACTTTCATAAAATCGTACCCTGGCTCGTTGTATGCTCATCTCACCGATTATCAACTGTTCGTTCATGCACCTTTCTCTTGTAGGTTCTCATTACTGCGTGCAATGCCGGTACGTGAACCTCGTATACCTTAGGGTTACATTGTTTCTGCAGCTATTATTTTCCATTCACTTCTTTAGGAACCGGAATATGTAAGTTCGGACTTCTCTTGCTCGCCCACGAGTGTCTCATATCCTCCTCCTCATCAGATCTAGTTCACGGAACGTAAGTCCAAGTTTGACGCTGCATATTTTCAAGGTCCAAGACACTTTCCACAGTTACGAGATCTCCGGCTTCTCCGAAGTCCCCACCATCAGAGTGAGCACATATCAATCACCATTTGGCTCGTATCTTATCTGATGTAGACTCCAATCATCGTGTTGTTCTCGACGAGTACAGCAGTTGATTTTATCATCGCCATCGCCATGTGTTACTATCTGAACAGAAGCAGGGCAGCTTCGATGTTCCCTAAGTCCGTAATCTAGCCAGTTCCTCTCTCAGGTTATGGCATTGATATCATGTAAACTCAGCACCATTGCGATGCTGGTTGCGCTGATGCGGCTGATTTGATATCTGGGCTGGTTACGAGGTGAATGTCAATCTTGGTACCCTTGCGACTGGCTCACAGTGGTACGCAGCATGTGCTCTACAGCTGTTCTTATAACGGTATTCCAATCACTATGTGCAATAGAATCTCAAGCTCATGGCCGACACAGTTTCTCGTTTGGCCCAATACACTCATATTCATTGGGATCGATTTCATGCTGCCAAGATGTCAGTCCTTCATCGTAGACCCACGAATTTGACACATTTATTATTTGCAGTGTTTATCAACTCTTTGTTAGCAATGTGTGTATCAAGCGCCATCATCGGGGACTCTCTGGTCACTTACTCCAGTGCCTAGGCTCAACGCACGAAAGGAACTCCGAAAGATTCAAGGCTCTCAGTTTTTGGAACCGAACGGTGACTCTCAGCTGAGACTTAAATCTAGATGCGAGTGCAATGGAGGAACGGAGATGGTATGCGGATCGCACACTCATTCAACGGCAACTGACAGACAGACTGCTAGCCCATCGTTATATCTATGAGGATTGAGTCGGAATCGGTTTAAACGTAAAATTGGGTTCAAACGTCTTACTATTGCAATGATTTGTAACATGCAAGCTGCTACACATAACAAAGGTGTTCTACACTAGGCCGATGTATCGTAGTAGGATATTATTGGAAACTTATTCCTTTCCTCGCCATCCACTTGCTGCAGTCCCGAATTCGAGCCAAGCTGGTTCTTCATAAGCCCTGGATTCCATAAGGGTGATTTTCCCCTCGGTATCTCGCTCCAAGCCTATGGTTATCTGATTAGCCCACGAAACTGTTTGTAGAGTCTTTATGAGTGCTCCGCATCTCTTGGCTATCTGACCCGTAGCATCGATGTCGATTTCGATAAGAAAGTGGACGCGAGCTAAACGAGGCGCTTCTGCCAGGTCAAATATCATGGTAAACTAATGAAAATTAAAACCTGTATAATTGGGTTTAATGATAGGAACCTACCTCATCGCCACTGCATGGCAGGAATAGTATCTCCTCTAGAGAACGGAATTCAGTCAGGTGAGAGAGAGCTGGCACATGTCCGCGCATCCAAAGAGCATCCCAGCGCGTTCCAAACCACAACGTTTTGAGCTTTCCAGTAGAAATCTTGTCAAGGATATAGTTTATATATGGCTTGCGTAGTGGAACTAATATGAGGAGCACTTCCAGATTGGGCAAAGATCCTTTAGGGGGCATCCATATGGCCTATGAATGATTGTGAGGAAAACAGAGTTAGCTAACGGTACGTACTGCGAACCAGCTGGCCACATCGTCGGCAGTACCAGTGCTCCGAAAATGATGGCTCTGTCGTTGGGCATGTCCATCGAAGATCGAGATGAGTCAAGAGATGTTGCTGCGATTCTGAAAGGGAGGAGATTCCATACAAAGTTCGCATGATCGTGGAATCAAAGGGAGTCCCTCGTGCCTCGATTATCTGCACGCCATCAACACGCGCATGTTCCAAAATGGAGCGACTGTAGATACGTTCAAACTTGACATACTTTAGAAAAGGCCGCGAGTAGTCCAAAGAGAAGGCATTAATGTTTAGCGAACACGCTGAGATAGAAAAACTTTCGAGCGCTGGCATTTTGAGGATGATCGGGACGATAATATTGGATAAACAGTTGCAGTTATGATTGTAGTGGTCATATTCGCATTCGACTGATGCATGAGTGACACCGACGAAACGAGGGAGCTGCTCTAGTAGGATTCTGGATATTTTGATGTCTGGGAAGCCACTGCAGCGAAATGAGATAGACCTGACTGAGTCGCGGCGGTTTTCATCGGAATAGGACAGAGCAAAAGTTAGAATAGAAGCTATGGCTCTCAGGAAGGGGTAAGGAGAGGGCGATGTTTATCTCTTGAAACGTTAAAGGACGGGCAATTGTAAGAAGGGTATAATTTCCAACAAGGGCCGAAGCTAGTGCTTCCTGCCATCCGTTTGTTTCCTCTTGCAACCCATTTGCAAGTTGCAAATAGGCAGGACATCACTGAAGGAGACCTAATCCAATATCATGAAGCCTTTCAACACCCACTCTGATAGAGCACTCGTTAATGCGTGCAGTGCCTGAGTTCAATCCCAGTCAGAGAATAGTATATTGAAGATTGAGGTTTTTTTTTTTTGCCTTGCGGATGAGTCCTACAACCGTTTACAATTCTCACCCATCCGCAAAATGTGGTATCAACACCATGTATCGAATTAGAACTGCCTGTCTCAGTTGGTAAATCACCTGGAGAGCGGGTATAAACTATGACGATAAAGCTATTGTTATGATTCCTTTTCTCATGCATAAATCTCCATGATGAGAACGCAGTGGTGTACGAGAACCCAGCCTGATTACAAAGAAGGTCAACGAGCCGCCAAAAAAAGATGAAGCGCACTGACCCAAATATGTCTCCATTCCAGTTTGTATTGAGGCTTGACTATCGACCCGCCCAACACAACCGCCAGGCCCGGGTGTACACTATTCTGCGGCATTTAACCAGTGACTCGGAGTTAGGAGTTGGTAGTAGCTAGCATTCGCTTGTTAGTCCTCTCTTCGAACTAACAAATCAAACAAAACGTACCTGCACAGATGCCCCCATGCTACGATTCCGCCATTTTCTCCACCCAGGAGGACAAGGCTGATCTGGACGCACGGTACAGAGACAGTGCCATTTCCCGCATGGACAGGTCAGCACGATCCCAATGAACGGTAGCTAACACGAAGATGGGAACAATCTGTTCTCTTCTCCAACGACTTGTAAATCACGCTACGGACAAAAGGTTGGTAGTCGCATGAGGACGCGTGTTATTAGGAGCGAACAGATTCCGTATGTTCGAAGAACCACAAACCAGATACAAGTCGTCCAACTGCTACCTCCAGGTCGCGCCATCACGCGCACGTCTCTCCATGAAGATGGTGTGTGAGTGGGTGGTAAGGTCGGGAGAAAGCAAGGGGAGAGTGACCATGTTGAGGGCGATGAGTTCCCAAAATGGTGACAGTCACGTCTCTTTCACCCGCACGGTTTTGGCACCGACATTCACAGGATACCAAAACGAACGAACTAGTGTCTGTACCAGGAAAGGGTGGGTGATTGCAAAAATCCTGCCTACCCCAAAGTGAACGAAACTCGTGAGACCATTCTCAAGCCTATAAGCTCCAATAGGACATCGATTAACACGCCCACACGGACGAAAACTGGGTTCGACTCCCAATCAGAGCATATTATGCAACACGTAACCTTTTTTCCCTTCCTGCAAGGTCTACCATCTACGTGCAGTAGGATTGCGTATTGCGGAACAAGGAGATCATGCACATGTTTGCAAGAGACAACTATTAATATTGTACTCATTCTCTAGCCAAGATAACACCAGGGGTTCAACTCCCACTTGGGACGTACCAAGGTACCTGATGATGACTACAATACAAGGAAGCGCGTGGAGTGTACGATCCCGATGAGTGATCTATAGTGAAGGTGTGTGTTCTCGAGGGTGCCAAGGTCCTTTTTCGTGAGGGCGATGTGGATGAGGACACGACGGCATGAGAAGGAAGACACTGAAACCACTAAACAACTCGGACCTGCCCTTTGCTTAGAAGACATATCAGGTCCCACCCTTGAGCACGTCTTCTCATGGAACCTGCTGGCTCGTCGAAATGATGGATGCTCTGAACTTGGTATCAGAACCATCCCTGAGTCGTCTCTTCTCGTAAATGGCATAGAGACATATAACGGATTTAATTTGACACGAGTGTTGAGGATGATGATGAAGAGGGCCCGAGATACGCTAGCCATCTTCAACTGATCTTGATATTAGTTTGGACCTATACTGGAGAAAAAGGAGGGAAGGCAAAGAATCCATGGTATTAGCTAGTAACGGATCGGTCAGTCTAATCCACCAAGCGGAGGACGATATACTCACATGGGGATTCTATCTCCTCTGACTACCCATAGAGCGAAGTCTTGAATCAAAAGAGAAGGGGTGTCGGCTGCGAAGCGGGACTGGGATGGTAGCGAGCATCTCCTTGCACACGGATGAGCATGAGTTCCCGTGGCAATTTCGAATCACTCAACTGCGCAACTGGCTTTCCCTCCTATCCTTCCATGGACCATCATATTTCCAGGCTCCTTGTCCTCCGTGTATTGGAGCCATCTCGCCATCCAAGCGCTACTGGGCATTGGTAGTGGCTAGCACTCGCTCATTAGTCCTTTGCCGAGTCGCGTGCACATGCGACTTGGAGCACCCTACGCCATGATCCCGTCACCGAGGTTGGTTGCATGTCTTCCAGAGGGTACGCGATCGGCAGCTGGCCTGGAACACACGAAGATGGGAATGACCCGCTCCTCTCCAACGATCTGCAAATCATGATATGGACAAGGTCTGGATGCGTGTTATGAAGAGCGAGTGGTCAAGGACAGAGTACGATTCCATATGCTCGTCCGACAGCGAACTGGATCCAGATAGCCCAACTGCAACGCCGGCAATGACGTCGATCATGTTGAGGCGGAGGAGCGAGGCGAGTTCCCAAAATGGCAGTCGTGTCTCTTCGCTTCGTGGATGAGTTGGTGTCTGTGCCAGGAGGAGGAAACCATCAATCGCCAAAAAACCTGCGTGCCTGCGAGCATGGAGAACGACAAGCGCCAATTCTGGAGGAGACACTGTCGATGGATACGCATGCCAGGTGGGAGGCGGAGGAGCGAAGAAGACGGCCGGATTTGGATTGGCATTGCACACATCTTTCTCTGTGCTCTCCACCCCATTGCCTGGACAAAAATCCTTCGCCGATAGCCCTACCGACACCCTGTTACAGTGGCAGACCGGAACTGCTGGGTGATAATGGAGTAGGGTAGGATTCTAAGGATGTCAGCCCGGGGAGGATAGCCCCTCCAGTACAAGATATGGTGGTCTGATTCGTCTGAAGAGGTGCACAAATCGAGATGAGGATCGATATGGACTTGTCTGAAGGTTGTTGGTTCTGCGCGCGTGGGTCTTTAGGTCAGCCTCCTCATGCATCTCTCCACTGAGCCGGCACGCCACACCACAGAAAAAGCGTAAAATATATGAACATGTATATACCAAAATCACTGTTGAGAAAGCTCATCGAAGAGATGAATGGTACTGACCTAAAGTCCCACGTGCCAGCCCGAAATTTGCACGCACCCTCCATACCGACCCTCATCTCGATTTGATACTCGACGATCATCGTAGTCGACGCCAGCCATCGTCTCGCATGGAGGGACTTATCCTCCCCGTGCGTGGACAGTCGACCATACACCGTTCCGAGCGACTGGCACAGAGACGATGTAAAAAGCGCGATGTGGACGAACGACTCGCCTACTAAGCGCGAGAAAGGGGTGTCAAAGCTGACCTCTCCTTCAGTCTAAAGCTGATGGCCTCTCCATTCGCGTACACGATGTCGGAACGTGGGTTGTTGAGGGTGAGCAGAAGAGTGGTGCGAAGGATATTCGACGAATCACGAGTGAATTTGGTGTAGACGCGAGAGGCCATGGCGCACGGAGGTTCCACGACCCCTCCCAATCAGCATACACCGTCTCTCCACGAGACCTGCCACTCGTAAATCCACCAACAACGCCTCTCTCTCAGGATTGGTGCATCTCCGACGTCTTCCACGCACTTGGGCGACTGGCAGCTTTCCCCTCTCCTCCGTTCGATTTGGTGTTGGGAATTTGGAGAGGATCATTGAATCGCGCTGTTGATTATGACGATAGGGTGCAGGGGGCTGGTTTGTGGAACAGGGTAAGCTGGAATGAGAGTGCATACACGCGTGAGGTTTGTGCTGAGAGAGAGAATGGAACGGGTGAAGGTGAATCGCCTAATCAGGTCTTTTCATTTCGTTGTATACAGCGCCTGCAGGGAAGGTCTCTCCGTGACCGTCCATCTTTATACCTCATAACTCTCCTCGTGCACCTGAAGCTGATATCAGAAAAAAAGTCAGAGTAAGCTCACAGGAGAGACAAAGAGTACCAGTACTGACCTAAAGTCCTGCCAGCCCGAAACCAGCATCCTACCTCCAGAGTCCGAGTCCACAACGACCTTCAGCAGCGTACACAGTCGACGCCAGCCATCCTTCAGCGCTAGCATCGGCAGTAAAATGAGTGGGGCTAGCGTTCATTCATTAGTGCTCCCTTCAAACCTCCGAGTCAAACACACGCACCTTGCACGGACATCTTCAGAATCCTACTCCGTTATCACGGCGCACTCCCGATATCTGACGCTGGCAAAAACAGAGCGACGCCTCTGCTACAAACAGAAGCCATACAAGAACGAACGTATCGTCTCCCGTTTGAGCAACTGGCTGTAAATAGCAACGTCGTCCCCAGGAAAACTGCACGAACCCAACTTGGCGCCGAAGGAGGGATACGAATGGCGCTCGCCTAGCGCAGGAAAGGGATGTTGAAACTGCGCTCCTGTTCGTCTAAACGACTCTCGAAGCCAAAGACCCCTCTCAGAGCATGCTCAGCCATGACGCGACGCACAGAGACTCCACGCCCAGTCCAAATTTATCCAATTCTCTTCTCTCTTCCAGGCCACCCATACGCCGTCTAGCTCGCGTGTTCATCAACTGCTTTTCTCCAAAATCGATGCTTGTCGTTTTCTGGCATACTGGTTTTTTTTGGATCCTTCCTCTCGGTACAGTTCGTCCCTCTTTGGCATCCGAGTCTTGTCAACGTTGGTGCTGAAATCGTGGTGGTGTCACAGGCTGGTTGATGAACGTAACGGGGCAGAAGTGAAAGAGACGCGATGTGACTACCATTTTGGGAACTCATCTCGTTCCTCCGCCTCGACGTCATCGCGCACCACTCTCCCCTGCTATCTTCTAACCCTACCATCCTCAAAACACCACCCACTCAATGTATGCTTTGATAGTAGGAGCCGGCATTGCAGTTGGGCTATCTGGATCCAGTTCGTGGTCAGACGAACACGTACTCCGTCCTCTAAATGTCGATGACCGCCACTTGCTCTCGATAACACGCGTCCAGACCTTGTCCATAGCGTGGTTTGCAGGCCGTGAATCAGGATTCAGGATCCCGTACTAGTCGGTCACCCTCTGGAAGACATGCGACCGTCCAGATCAACCTCGGTGACGTGATCATGGCGTAGGGTGCTCTGAGTCGTGCGTGCACGCGACTCGGCAAAGAACTAATGAGCAAACGCTAGCTACCACAAATGCCCGGTACCAGCGACAGTGCTTGGATGGCGAGATGGCTCCAATACCCGGAGGACAAGGAGCTTAGCAATACGATGGTCCACGGGAGAATGCATGGTTGGGAGGGAAAGCCAGTCGCGCGGTTGAGAGGGTAGCATGTTTAACTTTAGAGCACCCAATGCATGTCGTTCGGGATCAATCGCTGTCGTGTCATTGCAAGTCCGAAGCTTCATTCTCACCCCGTCAACATTGGTGACCCGGGAACTCATGCTCACCGTACATGATGAGGAGATGCTCGCTATCATCCCAGCTCCGTTTCGCAGCTGATACCCCTTCTCTTTTGGTTCAAGATTTCGCTCTATGGGTAGTCAGAGGAGATAGAGTCTCCATGTGAGTATATCGTTCTCCACTTATTGGATTAGGCAGACGGGACCGTTACTAGCTAATACCGTAGATTCTTCGCCTTCCCTCCTTTCTCTCCAGCCTAGGTCCAAAACAGTAATCGGACTCGGAGTCCAGACAAATACGTTCTGAGCGGAAGTCGAACCCACATGTTCCTGCATCAATCAACAGAGCAGGGAGGAAAGGAGTTGGGAGGTACGCTCCATTCGACTTGGCTCTGGAATGTGATTCACAGGTTCCCATGCAGGAGACCCCATATACGTCACTTGCCCAAATTCATCTCACGGACGCATTGAAAGAGAGGTTCATGCTCAAGGTTTGATATGATATCTTGACCTGCACGGGAAGAAGAAAAGAGCGTGTTTTGTGAGCTCTTGTGCTCGTTTATCGTTTGCATAGGATCGCGGTCTTGTGAGTCCAATTTTAAGAAAAAGACGTTCGCTCACACATGGAGAGATGGTGTGTACCTTGACGGTGGGACCCTGGCATCGCAATTGGGCTATTTGAATTCTCTCCTGCCACCCTCCAAGTCGATAACACGCGTTCCTCGTCCTTGTGATAAAGGGGAGCGGGCATTTCTCATCTTCATGTAGTCGCTGTTCAGTGTTCGTCAAGATTCCGCCGACTTTAGTTCAACATGCAGTTGTCGTTGGAAATAACATTATCTTTGTATTGATTGCTTGCCTTCTGGAAGGATGTGTGGCCAGAGGATTGGAAATAGTTGTATGGAGACATACCTGAGTCAGTATTCGTCGTCTCTCCTTGATGAACCTATTCTGACCTTTTTTTTTCGCTATCAGGATGGGTTCTCGCGCGTGCATCTCTACGTTCTCATCACATGGAGAGTAATAACAGAGGTTTACGCCGACTCGGGCCGCAACGGCTTACCTACCAGAAGGTGTCCTAAATCCTAATTTACGTGGTGCCATTTCTCCACATTGATATCATTTCACAGGTGGATGAGAAACGATTTAGGACTCAGTACATCTTACTGTCTTATTCTCTGACTTGGGGGTCGAACCTAGTATACATACGCATCAACGAGTGATGTTGGAAGGCTAGGGATATAAGACAAGTCGGTGGTAAGTTTCTCGCCTTGTTCATTTAAACGAACGGACGACAAAACGCACTAGCTGATTCTCATGCTTCTGCCGGAGCAAGAGGCAAAACACAAACAAGATTTCATCTGCTATTGTCTTTCATCGGGAATTGAACCCGGACCGAACCTGTATAATGGGTACTCCAAGCTGAGACACGAGTTGCAAGTGTACCAGCTAGGGGAAAGGTACTGGACAGGGGATACTTGGCTTTCTTCCTGCTTGGGCTGGAACCGAACGTCGACCAGTTACCTCTCGCGCGTGTTGAGAGACAAAAGCAAAAATTCCCACACACGTACGTTTAATTCTCTGACAGGGAGTCAAACCCTCTCGTACCCGCACCCATAATCCAGCCACATAGGAAAACTTTGCTAGCTCTGTTCGTCAGCCAACGCTCCCTGACTCGCTTATCTCTGAATCTATGATGTTGAACAAAGCGTGAATGCGTGGAGTTTGGGGGGACAAGGGCCCTGAGAGAGAGACACGGCCCACCGTTCACGAGTGAAGAAGGGTAATGGCCTGACTCGACTTTCTTCATTCGGCTATGGTGTACAGGGAAATGATGTACTTTGCCTCGTTAAAGACGCAACATCGGCTTTCATAACTCTCTTCATCGTGCTGATACCAGATAAAAGTCAGAATAAGCTCATCGGACATATGAAGGGTACTGACCTCGACAAGCCCAGCGCATACGGAATCATCGACCAAAACAAGCAGGCTACCCTCAGAGCCCAAGCCCATTCCGATCTTCATCTCAATTCAAGCATACACTACTCGACGGCCTTGCTCGTTTATCGACATCGGCAAGGTACATAGTCGGCGCCAGCCGTCCTTTGAACTGGCATAAAAATGTGTCGAGCTAGCACTCATTAGCGCTCTCTTCATACCCGCCGAGTTAAAAACGCGTACCTTGCGGTGAAAACAGTCCTGCGATCGGGGTCCTGTCCGGTTAGCCAAATTCATCCAGAAGGACGACGCAGTCTCCGCCGAAAACAGCTGCTATAGACGATACCGATAGCCAGTCTGCATGAGCGGTGCTTTCAGGATAGTAGGGCTGAGGGAGAGTGGCCAGTGAAGCTAAGGATCACGTTGAGGCGGAGGAACGAGGCGAGTTCCCAAAATAGCAGTCACGTCGCGTCTCTTTCACCCGCATGTCACTCAACCACCCGTTGATACCATCATGATTTTGGCTCTAGCGTTCATATAAGATATCAAGCAGGGACGAACTCCTATCGCGAAGACGGTCTCGCCTTCAATAACCCACGTTTCCTACCGACAACCACGTACTCGCATTTCGAATCGAACGGGACCGTCTCTTGCTTATCAAGTTCGGTGCCAAGTTGGTTTTACTAGGGACGACATTGCTTTTTGTGCCAGTCGCTCGCTTGATGGAAGAATATCCTAGAAAAATGCATCAGAGGGTGGTGTGTGTTTTGATGGTGGGACCCGGCGTTGCAGTTGGACGACTTGGATCCGGTTCGCGGTTGGACGAACATACGGAATCGTACCCCCTCCTCCGAATGTAAATGTCCGCCGCTCGCTCTCGCTAACAGTGACCCGCGCCTCAGCGCTGCTACCAACCTTGTCCATAGCGTGATTTGCAGGACGTTGCAGAGGAGCGAGTCTCTGTTCGAGTCGCTCGCCCTCAAGAATGACGTTCTCCTGCGGCCGTCCGGATCAACCTCGTCCTGCTGGGTGAAGAACACGGCGGGGTCATAGCATGGGGCATCTGTCTCCGTACGTTCATCACACTTGGAGGGTCGAAGAGAAGACTAATGAGCGATTGCTAGGTACTACCAATGCCCAAAGTACGACTTTCCCTCCCAGTCCCTGGTCCAATGCCATCGGATAGTGCGTGCGCAGAAGAGTGGAAATGATTAGCGTTGAGGAACAAAACGGAATGGAGACATACTAGGGTGAGTACGCTTCCGTCTCTGGATGACTTGCTAACCTTCTTTGCTATCAGGGGGGTAGTCGTGTACCATTACGTTCTCATTATGCGATGCCACGCAGAAAGATGCGCACCAAAGAGGGGGTAGGGTAATAGTAGTATAGTTTACGCCGAATCGGCGAATTACCTACCAGGCAGGCGTTCTAATCTACATCGTGCCATCTCTCCGTTCTACGGGTGGACAAGAAACCATTGTCCCGGGACGACGGACTCATCGACATGCGTAAGGGGAAAAAAGCTACGTCTAGACTTCGTACCTTCTCTTATTCTCTGGCTGGGGATCGAACCCAGCATACGCATGCGCATTAACGAGTGCTTCATCAGAGTGATGTTGGAATCCAGAGTATGATCGTAATATACCATGCCGCCGGCAGTAGGTTTTCTTGTCCTGGTCATTTGCCTTTGTACGCAAGAGGACTAGCTGATCCTCGAGAGAGGAAAAAAAACTGGCACGCTTTTCTTCATCTTCATTGTCTTCCACCGGGAGTCGAACCCGAACTCAAGGTCTAAGTGTAATGTGTACTCCAAGTCGAGACACTTAAGGGATGTGTAGCTACCACTAGGTTCCCAAAGCGAGTCTCGTCTTTCCAACCCAGCAACTCAGCTGCCCTCAATCCGAGTCGCACCCTGAGGAATACAGAGAGGCAGCCAAGTTTGGAGTCGAACGTGTCTGACAATCCCATCCAGTCATTTGTAGAGGTTCGGACATAGATAATGCTTGAGAGGCCTCTTTGCATTGAACCCGTCCTGAGTCAAGACTCAAGACTCAAACTGCAAGTTAAGAAAGGTGTTACTCCCCCCCCCCCCTCCTTCTCTGGAGGTTTCGTGCGCATTGCGCAACCCTAGCGCTGCTTTGGCCCCAGGCGGCCGCCCAAGTCAAGATCAAGATAACATCAAAAAACATTAGTATAGCCACCAATCTCATCTCTCTGACTGGGAGTCGAACCTAGCTTTTGCGCGACCAAACTCTAAGCATCATGAAGATGACAGGCACGTGTACTAACCGATATACTATCAGAGATGCTGCAAATGGGTTTCAATAAGATTTAGAACCCACAGATATTTCACATAATTCTTACCTTCAACTAGTGCTGCCTCCCAACTCGGTATTTACTTCCTCAAGGGGTTAATGAAGATGTGGTAGTCCTCCATTCTCGAGAGCTTCCATGGTGGGAACAGAAACGGAAGGGCAGTCAGTGTGGTTTTCAGTTCATGGTTGGAAAAGGAGGACATTGAATACGTACTTGGCGGGTACGTGCATCTGGTTTGATAACTGGACAATTGCTGAGACTATGGAATAATAGCACCTTTTCTGTCTTCCATTCCCTCTGATCTTATGCTCTTTGCCTCCATATGCCTGAAGGGAGGGAACACGTACAAATAACACCAGGACTATGATCGCGACCTCGTTCCTTGTTATATGCCCTCCCTGAGCTGCCAAATCGCCATCGTCAGGAACATATTACTTCAATCATATCAGATGGAAAGGCGACAGTTAGCATATGAACACTGCCAGAAACGCAGACTTTGTACACGTCAGCTCAAGACGATTTTCGTTGTCACGCTCCACTGTAGAGAAGACCAGACGTCAGCGATACCTGTTCTTTGTGTATACCCGGGCTTCTCTGCCTGTTCATTTCTAGCCTTAGATAACAGGTGGATGTTTCCCACTTTCCATTGCTACCAGCTCAATGCCTACGGGTCGCTTCCGATGAGGAGAGGCCAGTGGGAATGTGCTGTTGAAGATGTTGCAGAAATCGGTTGTTCTGGACCAGCTAAACATAGAGTTGTCAGGCAGACGGTTTATGAAGAAGAGCAACACATGTTCATGGAAGGTAAGGTATGTGTTCCGTTGTGCAGAACGATCATTTATGGTTACTCTCGCAGCTTTTTAATACCCCGTCTTTTTCTAGATCGATATGTGGCATTGCATACTGTAACGTGCTCCTCTCTCTCAACACCTTATCCCGGATCCTTAGTTGCAAAGCACCATCAAGCATTGGACTTTGGTATGTAGACGGCTCTGACTGCTGGCATGTTTACAATACTCGGCCGACAAAATTGGCGTTCTTCATCTAATTTAAAACTGTCTTCCATTAATTGATTTCTATTATCAGCATACAATTGTATCACCTCCTTGAGCGGTACGAACAATCTTTTCTCCTTGATGATCCACCTGGATGGAATACACGTCAACGGGGAAGGAAAGTAGACTACCCGATGCCCGCTCCCTGATTATCCTCGTCTCTTTGCTGGTTTGCGGACGTGCCAGACATCGTTTCTACTCAATCTTACTGGAACCGCACATCTGTTTTGTCTTTGCCTTTGATACTTCTCACAGGGAAGGACGAACGGCTCCGAGTTTGATGGCCCTTGGTCGTTCTCTTCCACGTTCATTCCGGTTTTCCTGTTCTCCCGTAAAAGCTTGTTGGAAGTTTCTATCTTGGGAATAAGCGACTTTCGACAAGCCTGGTACGGTAAATGTTTGTTCGTGATATTAATCCATCCCCGTTACGTTGGCTGAAAGAGAGAACTTGACAGAGATGACACGGAAGGAATCACCCGGCGTGCTCCTCGGTACTAACTGGTTCCGAGTCCTATGAATATAGGTATCGGTTATTATGCCAGTTTGGATTATCGTGGGAAAATCTATTCGAGGTATCAAACCTTATCGGGTTTTGCCGACTCGCCCACCTGGCCTTACCGTGGGAATATTTCTATTCAATGCCGTCTTTATCCGCTTGCCTGACCCGTTACTTTCCGTTTTGCTTCCACTGTTTCACATACTCGCTTTCTTCCTCTTCCGCCCGGTTTCTTTCTTTCTTTCTTCTCATTCGACTTTCATTTTTTGCTTTCTTTTTCCGTCTTTCTCTCTTATATTCTCGTCATTTCTTTCTATTCTTCCTCATCGCCCCATAAATCAGCTCGTTCGTCATCTCTACTTCGTCTATTTCCACGTAGCTTACTCTGTCATTCCAATATCTCTTTCTTTCTCTCCTTCGAAATGTGCCTCCGCCTCCGCCTTTTCCCCTTCTGCTCTGTACCTTACCGTCTCTCTCCTGTGCTTGCCTCCCATCTCTATCTCTTCCTCTTCGTACTCGAACCCGATTCGTCGTTTCATCTTCGGCGTGCGTTGTGGGTCCTTGTCACTCGCAACACTCTTGTTCTTCGCAGTGTTCTGAAATAATGTTAATTTGTGTGTTTATTTGTTCATTGCTCGTGGCTTACCGCAGTGTGGTCGCAATATCATTTTCATCCTTATGTGGTCTCCTCAGCACTTCACGAATACGACGGAGCATCGCGCTTCCACTATGTCGCCTATCCTGAACATATGTGGCCTCGGTTGGCTGGTATTGTTTATTATGGAGCACGACACTTCACCGCGCGATTTGTAGATGCAGAGAACCAAGTATGGTTTAACGACGGCATTGCATTAGGTAGACATTCGCTACATGAAGGTCATATTGACGACGTCAACATGATGTGAGACAAGACGGGCAAAGACCGTGACATGTTCATATACAGGCAGGCCAATATATGAAAACTGGTGTGCCCGACGGAAAGAAAATTCATAGGATTCGGACACGCCACGCAGATGCGTTGGCCCTCACCCCACTAGTACTTTGGATCAACCACAGACCGAACTGTTAGGCGCGGATGATATACTCTGGAATGGAGGATAACAACAAGAGTACTGTGTGCCCGTGGGTGCGGTGAAGCTGACTTCTGCTATGCAACTTCTCATTTCGATGTACGTGCATGCCCACATTGATTGTCTGTAAAACAAGCACCGGCTGTTTCTGCGCCGGAATCTCAAGCCGAAAAGAGGGGGGAGGCTAGAGGTCAGTGCGCTATTCTATGTTCTCACCGATCAGATGTGTAGCTGGGTCCCATCCTAGTACATCATTTCATCTTGGTTTAATTTATCAGCATATAATCGTGCCTGGACGAAATGCCAAGTGTTCCTTTCTGAAAGATGACCTTCATCGACGCTCGAGAGCAACTGAAGGGCAAAGCGCGAACCAGAGGTAATGTGTCGTTTCCACCTGTTAGTGCGTTGTTGTATTGAAACCAAACCAATAGTTTTGAACAGTGAAGGGAGGACGACGATGTTTCGTTGCGATAAGATGAAGACAGTGGGTATTGCCTTCTCTGCTGCAATTTGTACACCAGGAACACGCAACTCACTCTTCCTGGTACCGTGACCAGCTGCCATGTGGTCTTGCTGGGAGATATCTGCTTCTTCGCGGTCCCGCAATTGAGGCTAAACCTCCCTCGAGTCTCAGCGAGTGATGATGAGAAACATCTGCGGTACCTCATGGCTCTGCAGCATGTGTTCTGTATAAGACCTTCGTGTAATGATCGGCAGATAACAGCCATCTCTTCCCTTCTTTCTCTCTCACTTCTCCTCATTCTGCATGGCTTTGACACCTGCACAAATCCCGCTTCTTGGTGCCACGTTTGGGGTAATTCTCGTCGGGGCCATTCTTTCTGCTATGTGAGCTTCAATTTCGTCAGTCGACGGCCAACTGACGAACCACGGGTGCATAGTCTATTCGGGGTATCCAATCTTCAGTCGCTCTGGTACTTCAAGCGGTACCCAAATGACTGGTGGTTCTATCGAGTCGCTGTATGTGCTTTATATGTTTGTACTCTCAAACCAAGTCTAAGGAATTTATTGAACAGGTTGCGGTCATTTGGTTAGCCACCCAGGGTTCTAATCGATCTGCAACGTCTCCCTGATAACAAAGTACAGGGTCCTAGATACACTAGATGTCGCAATTAGCACCCACGCATTATATTTCCTTCTCGTCGAGACTCGGATAGTGGGCAGATTCCTCACTATGGATGAGCTTGAAATCATTTGGTACGCTATATGCTCGCTGTATCGTTTCATTGACTTGATCTGGCATGAAAGGAGCTGCAAGGTTTGTATTATGGTCGTTTCATTGTGGCTGGTGGTTGACTTCTCGTCAACAGTTGCATATTCTTCTTGGAGTGCGTATTCTACCATCCTAAGTGCACTAGACGAAACTAAAATGCTATACTGCTCAGACTTTTTTCAAAGTAGCCGTCCAAATGTGCGTTACTATCTAAAATCTTGGTTACTTCATTAACTTGAAGGCTCGTCCCTGGCAGTGTATATGCTGTGCGGCTTTGGAAAGGTTTTCCATTGCTTCGTTTCGCTGGCTCCTTGCTAACAGTTACCGATATCCAGTCCGACAACACTTTCACAGAGTCGTGCCCTGGTTTGTTGTACGCTCATCCTCACCAGTTGTTGGATGTTCTTTTCACGCGTCTTTCTCTTGTAGGCTCTCATCACTGCTTGCAATGCCGGTACGTGAACCTCGGATGCCTTAGTATTACTTTGTCTCTGCAGCTATCATTTTCCATTCACTTCCGTAGGAACCGGAATATGTAAGTTCGGACTTCTCTTGCTCGCCCACGAGTATCTCATATCCTCCTCATCATCAGATCTAGTTCACGGAACGTAAGTCCAAGTTTGACGCTGTTTATTTTCAAGGTCCAAGATACTTCAAACAGTTACGAGATCTCTGACTTCTCCGAAATCCCCACCATCAGAGTGCGCACATATCATTCATCATTTGACTCGTATCTTACCTGATCTAGATTCCAATCATCGTGTTGTTCTCAACGAGCACAGCAGTTGATTTTATCGTCGCCATCGCCATGTGTTACTATCTGAACAGAAGCAGGGCAGCTTCAATGTTCCCCAAGTCCGTAATCCAGCCAGTTCTTCTCTCAGGTTATGAAATTGATATCCTGTAAACTCAGCACCATTGCGATGCTGGTTGCGCTGATGCGGCTGATTCTGATATCTGGGCTGGTTACGAGGTGAATGTCAATCTTGGTACCCTTGCGACTGGCTCACAGTGGTACGCAGCATGTGCTCTACAGCTGTTCTTATAACGGTATTCCAATCACTATGTGCAATAGAATCTCAAGCTCATGGCCGACACAGTTTCTCGTTTGGCCAAATACACTTATATTCATTGGGGTCGATTTCATGCTGCCAAGATGTCAGTCCTTCATCGCAGACCCACGAATTTGACACATTTATTATTTGCAGTGTTTATCAACTCTTTGTTAGCAATGTGTGTACCAAGTGCGATCATCCGGGACTCTGTGGTGACTTACTAAGTGCCTAGGCTCAACGCACGAAAGGAACTCCGAAAGATTCAAGGCTCTCAGTTTTTGGAACCGAACGGTGACTCTCAGCTGAGACTTAAATCTAGATGCGAGTGCAACGAAGGAACGGAGATGGTATGCGGATCACACACTCACTCAATGACAACTGACAGACAGACTGCTAGCCCATCGTTATATCTATGAGGATTGAGTCGGAATCGGTTTAAACGTAAAATGGGGTCCTAGCGTCTTAGTATTGCAATGATTTGTAACATGCAAGCTGCTACACATAACGAAAATGTTCTACATTGGGCCGAAGCATCGTAGTAAGATGATATTGGAAACTTATTCCTTTCCTCACCATCCACTTGCTGCAGTCCCGAACTCGAGCCAAGCTGGTTCTTCATAAGCCCTGAATTCCATACGGATGATTTTCCCCTCGGTATCTCGCTCCAAGCTTATGGTCATCTGATTAACCCACGAAACCGTCTGCAGAGTCTTTATGAATGCTCCGCATCTCTTGGCTATCTGACCCGTAGCATCGATATTGATTTCGATTTGAAAGTGAACGTGAGCTAAACGAGGTGCTCTAGCCAGGTCAAATATCACGGTAAACTGATAAAAATTAAAACCTGTATAACTGGGTTCAATGATAGGAACCTACATCGTCGCCACTGCATGGCAGGAATATTTCCTCTAGAGAACGGAATTCAGCCAGACGATAAAGAGCCGCATGTCCGCACTGACAAAGAGCATCCCAGCGCATTCCAAACCACAACGTTTTGAGCTTTCCAGCAGAAATTTTGTCAAGGAAATAGTTTATATATGGCCCGCGTAGCGGAACCAATATAAAGAGTACTTCCAGATTGGGCAAAGACCCTTTAGGTAGCATCTATATGGCCTATGAATGATTGTGAGGAAAACAGAGTTAGCTAACGGTACGTACTGCGAACCAGCTGGCCACTTCGCCAGCGTACCAATACTCCAAAGATGATGGCTCTGTCTTTGAGCATATCAATCGGAGATCAAGATGAGTGAGGAGATGCTGCTGCGATTCTGAAAGGGAGGAGATTCCGTACAAAGCTTGCATGATGGTGTGTTCAAGGGGAGTTCCTCGTGCCTCGATGATCTGCACGCCGTCAACATGCGCGCGTTCCAAAATGGGGCCACTGTAGGTACGTTCAAACTTGACATGCTTTAGAAAAGGCCGCGAGTAGTCCAAAGGGAAGACATTAGTGTTTAGCGAACACGCTGAGATAGAAAAGCTTTCGAGCGCTGGCATTTTGAAGACGATTGGGACGATAATATTGGATAGACAGTTGCCATTGTCATTGTAATGGTCGTGTTCGCATTCTACTGATGCATGAGTGACACCGACGAAACGAGGGAGCTGCTTGACTAAGACTTCGGACATTTTGATGTCCGGGAAGCCACTGCAGCGAAATGAGATAGATCTAACCGAGTCTCGGCGGTTTTCATCGGAATAGACAGAGTGAAAGTTAGAGTAGAAGCTATGACTCTCGGGAAGGGGTAAGGAGAGCGCAATGTTTATCTCTCGAAACGTCAAAGGACGCGCAATTGCGAGAAGAGTGATTGCCAACAAGGCAGATGTTGTTGAGCGTGACATCTTCACCGTGAATATTGGAAAAGACTGCGTGGAGCAGCTCGATGGGGAGATCGACTAAGTTCACCATCGAGCGCCCTGATTATTCCGTCAAGTCCATTACCTCGTCGCAAAGGTAAGTAATAACCTCACCTGTTTCACTCTGGGAGACGTTGAAGTGAAATATTAGCTCCAAGGGAGTTCTACAGATCGAAACGCGTCTATTGGGGGAAGACGTGGACGATGGGTAGAGTCAAGAACTTGAGCAAGTCGATCGGAACATGCCGATCAGGCAAGAAATACCTCGGCTTGATTATCTGCACTGATTCTATTCCCAATATGTGTATTTGCCTCTCCAATGCCAGCGCAAAGTTTGAAGCACAGCTTCAATACACGAGTCGCCGAGATTAGGGTAAAACCCCACATGCCTTCCCTGTCCTCTTACTCACTTTTGTAATAATGAACGCAAATCTCCCGTACACCTTTGGGTCGTATATTGGTTCACCATTGCTGTCTAAGGGCACCGTCCCTCGTGTTTTCGGGTGCTGGGATAACTGTCTCAATACGGGTAAGGTGTATTTCTTGTGTATTGACTCCTTTGCGCGGTCGTAGGCTGTACGCCACATCGGATCGTTCTGCTCTGGTGTGCGCCGAACGAGGGGGTTGACGCCGTACCTGAAGAAGTTTAGTGACGTGCAAAACGAACATCAGTAAGACGCACTCGGCTTCGAACTGGCGTCCTACATCGTTGGCAGGGAGCCCAGCTTTCTTCCCTGCAGCCTCATAGAATTCGAAGAATGTTTGTACGCCGCTCCAACTGTTCATCGTTATCTGATCCTCCTCGGACAGAGGTCTCGACTTCCCTTCGAGCAATTCGAATATGCGCAGTTGAACAATCTGAGATCCATGGTGAAGGACGGATCGGTAAATAGTTGGCAGACCCCTACCGAATGCAACATTGCCATCTGAGTATTGTGTCCAACGGCGTAGTCATATTCCCCTCGTCCATACAAAATGAATAATTGATGCTTATGGTTTTCATAGAATCGGAGCTGTGCTCCCAATGCGTCCCTCGGCAGAGCAGGAGGCGGAAGGTCTGTGGTTTCTGAGACTTGCAATGTTTGCAAGCTTGCGGAATTTAGAAGAGCTGGAAACTCGGAAGGATACTGTGTCAGGGCATTGCAATATGTCGCTAACAGTGAACTGTCCGCTTCCAGGAAATCAACATTGCAGGGGACTTGAGGAATGTAACGGCTTCGACTGCTGTCTTTCTCTGACATCAGTCGTTTGAGACGTGTATCTGAGAGAGACCAGCTCTTTTCGTTACGCATCCTTTTCAGAATACTCGGGCGGTCCAGTGATTCCTTGTAATTCTCCAGCTCTGTGAGGACCTGTGCATCTGTAGGAACGATAAGTGTTTCTGGCATGGCTGGAGGTCAGACAACAAGAAATGTGAAACCAAGAAATTGCCAATACATGGCTTATCACGTGGCCGTGCAGTCGAGTGTGCAAGTTGTTAGTCTGGCAAGCCGCTTTATAGCAAATTGTTACTATTAGTAACACTGTTAGCATCACGAACATCCCAGGAGCGTCAGTGATAGGCAGGCCGAGGATGAAACTACTGAACGCCATCTGTTCAACCAAAGGAAACTTTCCAGCATCGTATTTGCAAGAAAAGACTGAAAAGTTTGAAAAGTGCCAGCTCTGCTGTGCCCTGCACCAGGTAGGAAGGGAAAATACAATTGAACGCAGTGATTTCCGAGCCAACGGCAGTGTCATTGAGATAGAAGACACGCCGTGCAGCTGTCCCAGAATCGCATAAAAAGAACTTTAGGGCAGGTCACGCCGTTTCCGATTGGGTGCGGCCCCTGATCAGGCCTTTCTGGAATCTTTAGTACTGTCATCCATACTTTCTACCTTTCCTCGGTATACTTGTGCTAACTTAGACACTCTCGAACCCTGCTGCAGGGCACCGCGGTGGTGTCAAGAAAACACGTACATCTATATTAACAACTGCCGCGGATCAATAATCTGTTCCTGGTGATCTTATTAACATCCAAGTTGAAATTGCGCAGTGACTAACGAAGTACGGTCATCTACTAGTAGCATAGAATGGGTTCGGTATGGAATCCCTTCTTTTACGCTTTACATCTCACATCTTCAATAACAGGATATCTACAGAGAGCTTGCTGAGCTCCCTGTTCCTGTCGGAGCACAGTTTCTTCACTCTGGCGACAGTAACTGCACTGGTAAGGCTATCTCAGCTTAGTGCTATCTCCTCTCTAGGGAATGGTATATTTATCAACACTGCACTGTCTAGGCGTCGAGATTACTACTTCAATCCGAGATCATGTTCGTAATGCCAAGCGCACTATGTCAAAGTCCATCTACACGTCACAGGGAGCCGTGCTGTCTTCCCTGCTCCAAGATGTCAGCGATGTGGTGCTTTCGTCACTTTCTCCGTCCCTAAAGTACCGTGCGGTTCTGAGGTCGAAGGACGGGAAGCGTTTCATCGAACTATGGGCCGAAGATAGGCTGTTACATCTAAAAGACGTGACGAATCTTCATGGAGATTTCATTGGAGATGGTCGGTACCCATGTTGAATGCTGATTTCGGATCTCAAATCTATTATAGAATACTTCTCGTCATTGTCATTTTCTCCGAGGGAGGATTCGGTTATTTATACTGCTGAAGCGAAGTCGCCGGAAACAGAGACCTTCCGGTATATGCCCTCGTTCGGGGAAGGGCTAGCTGCTAGGAAAGCCCCTGCACTGTTCGTTTACCGTCCAGGGAACGATACCTTATCTCATATCGCCTTTAATGACCCAGTTATTTACGGCCAAGCGCTCTTTGGCCCCTTTTCCGAATGCGAGACGCTTTTTGCGACCGGTTACGAGCGCACCGCCGACGATCGACTCCTCGGAATCAAGGGATGCTTCAATCGTCCTTCCGGTATCTGGAGAATAGAGCTACCTTCTCTGACCTCCAACGATAAAGACTCAAAAGACAGTCTTCTTACCATAAAGCCCAGGAATGTGACCAAACTTACCCCCAATACCCTTTCATGTCGATCTCCCCGTATCTACAATCAACAAATTTTGGTCTGGATCGCCAATGCGTCGGGCGGCCCCCACGCTTCATGCTCCACTCTGCATACTATGGACCTGACTTCATTGAAGGGACAGCCTAGAACGCTTGTGGAATCAATCTGGGAGCCAAAGGAAGATGACTTCCCCGGACTCTACCTTGGAGCTGTATTGGCGCGAGATCCGTTTATCCTCCATCAAGACGATCCCTGTGTAGTCCTAACCTCGATCTGGGGTTCTCGGAGCTACATACTACGCATCTCTCTATCAACGGGAAAAGTAGACGCAGCGCTTGATACCACAGACAAACACAATAGCGAGCTTTGGAGTTATAGCTTACTGGCTGCCGACGGAAAACAACGAATGGTATTCTCCCGTAGTTCACCCAGGGTTCCTTGTGAACTGATCCTTTGTGAATATGACGTCTCCGGAATCGGAGAGAGCTGGACAGATCTCGCATCCTTTGGCCCAAATTCTTCCGATAGTAAGCCATCTTCGCTAATCCTGATCCCTGATGATGATGATCTTATCGACCGCAGCGCTCCGAGCACTCCAATCTCTAGATGTCCAGATTATCAAGATACCCGATCATTTCCCCACTGAGACCATCGTTGTTCGACGCAAGGATCAAGTTAATCTTCCTTGCGTGATCAACCCGCATGGCGGACCTCATGCAACCACAACAACGGGCTTTGTACCTTCTACTTCCGCTCTAGCAATCGAAGGCTGTGAGTTTCCCCGTTCCCCGCAGCTTACATACATACAATGCTAAGCGTACTTCTCGACAGACGCGATCTCTCAGCCGAACTACACAGGTTCTCTGGGCTTCGGCGAGAAATACGTCAGAGCTCTTATGGGTCAATGCGGCACAGTAGACGTATCAGACTGTATTGCATCAGTGCGACATATTTTATCCCTTGGCCTGGCCCAAGAGGGCCCAGGGAAGTTATTCGTGATGGGAGGAAGCCATGGTGGCTTCCTCGCCGCTCACTGTACGTTCACACAACCACAATTTATGACTCTTATTCACTTCCTTTGTCCCTCCCTACCAGTGGTTGGTCAGTACCCCGAAACGTTCACCTCAGCCGTCATGCGTAACCCGGTCATCTCGGCTGGCGACGTCTGGGGAAGTGATATACCAGATTGGTACTTTAGTGAATTTGGTTATGCCTTCGAGATGTCACAGTCGCCGCCGTATACTGTTGGTTCTCAAGAATATGAGGCATTACAGCACGCGTCGCCTATATCATACGTACAGGACGTGCGTGCTGCGGTGCTTCTGATGCTCGGTGGATCAGACCGTCGAGTGAACCCGAAGCAGGGATTGGGATATTATCACGCTTTGAAAGGCAGTGAGGGGAAGGTGAAGGTTGATTTGTTATGGTTTGATGGAGAGGGCCACCCCCTGGAAGGGGTCGAGGCTTCTCGGGTTGGATGGGAACGCACCCGGAATTGGTTCCAGTCTGCGTGAGTAGTAGCAAGCCGCTTTTGGGATCATTAGTGCGAGCAAATGGGTGGCTGTGACGTTTCTTGGAATTGATGGTGATTAAATAGTACCTTGCCGAGGTTCAATTATGGAGATGATGGCATAAATGTAGTAAGGGTCTCTTGTAAGGGTCACAATCTCCATGCATACGTTCATTGTACCCGTCCATGGATTGTTGCTATGCAGCGCGCTGACTTTCCTTCGGTGCCGCAGAGTCCCCATTGCCTTTTTTCCGGTCCGTTAGTGAAGTCACGCAATGGTGAGATAAATTCGAAGGTGGGACTCGGATAACCCAAGGAAAATTCCATCAGATGTACAAGCGGAGTCATGCAGAAGAACCGGGAAATATCCCGAGAACACTGCACGTAGCCCATCGATGTCTTCACAGCGTATCACAGCCGCCATATGCAAGCAACCGCTCTTCTCGCTCGATGAACCGAGTTCAAAAGTTCGTCTTGATTTCGATATTTGTTAAGAACAACATTCGGAATGAGCCAGGGTAGAATGATGCCTTTCAAATACCCTTGATATTTCACGGAAGCAATGGCTGTTGGTAGAATTGGACTATACACCAGGTCTCTGCTGAGCCATACTTACATCTGACCATGTATACCGCGACATTCCAACAATTGATCTATTGCTTTACAATGTACACATTACACAAGAAGTATGGGCCGTGACATCACGCACTCGACTTTAAGCGCTCCCGTGCCCACTCTACGAAATCGTCAATGGTGGACGGCCAGGCTTCTGTAAAATTATGTCAATATTCGTAGCACATGTAGGCATAGAAAGTACTCGCCTTCAGCGTCGTACTTTTCAAATTTAGCATCGATGCTCCGTACAAAGTCCAAAAACTGGAAAACGAGAACAATCAGAGACAACCGCAATGGGACGAAGAGGCAGACAGACCATAGACCAAGTGTCCTTGCTGACACCCTTGCCACCTTTCGCTTCTAGGTATTCAAACCACCATTGGGTATATTGGTCTTTCCAGCCCTCCTCTGAAGTCGCATCCATGTCAACATCGTCTTCATCAGTGGATGTCGTATGGGACAATGCGCCACCCTTCAATCCGTGAGGTAGGAGCAGAGCCCAGAACGCCTGCGCACTATCCATAGCTACAAAAAATAGACTTCAGCGGACGGTCCGGAGATACGAATAACACGACGAAGCCTCCTGGAGTATACCTTGGTTAGCCAATCGGGTTTGAGCTTCCAAGATATCCTCCAGAAAATGCGTAGCACTGCCAGTCACAGCTAGCGGAGACATTTCGCATACGGTCAATACCAGCCGATGTAGCTGGATGACAGGAAGTGACTTCCACTAAAGTTTGCCCAAGAAGACATTCATTTCGACATTCCTTGGCCTCCAAAATAGACCGGGTAAAGTCCGGTACGACGGTGACTTTGCACCCGCCAATTATATACGCTGCGGCGATGAGACCATTACGCGCGGCCCTCGGGCATTTGGAAAGATATCGACATCTGTTAGCAATCCTTACGCATCCAGTTGGCAAACTGTTTCGGACCAGAGGCAGAATGCACCGCAGTTGAGTAGAAAACACATGAAGCTCCAGCAGCCTCGAACCCAACAAAATACGCCGGTATTATTGCGCTGAGGAAACACGACGACTTTGCTGGGGTCAAGACACTGGATCATATGTTTCTATCTGTCGTAATCGTCTCCCTTGCATCTCCATTCGACTGGCACGAAACAGCCGCGAATCTAGGGGCGCTAGAGCACGCCCATGGTGTCATCGCCGCAGCGTCAGGGCATCTTGGCATGCGACAAAACACCTGTCGGCCAGCCGTAACAGCAGGACAACGCTATCACCGCAGCGAAAGTAAGAAGAAATACTAGGAAAAGTGACGAACCTAAACTCCTCTGACCCTCTGACCTTCCGAAATCAAAAGTGTGATTGTAAACTTTGCGAAAATACTTTGGGTCCGACGAGAGTTTGTGACTGAGCTTTGGTAGCGCTGCCCTCATTGCCGGTATATTATCGCATCTATAATGGTGAAAAGAATTAAGTCAAGCACAAGGTAACCTTGGTACTTCTTACCCAAGAGTCTTCCATCCTTCCAGCCAACCTTGCCTCCCCCACTCACCCATCCTTTTCGACTTCAGCTCATATGCCACGGACAACAGCACAACGTCCTCCGGGTTGACAGAAAGGTCTTCGCAAAATTTAATAGTCCCGTCAATTGTTATCTCGTCACCGTCGGGATCTGCTCGGCGGTTCAGTGGGATCTACGTAAATCCGTTCACAACGCACCCTTGTACTTGTCGAATAAGGCATTCAATTTACTTGTACTAGCCGCGGTGACTGATCCCCCGCTACGACGCGAGACAGGGTCGTTATAGTAAGCATCCACCGCCGCGTCGAGGCGTTTGTATTTGTCTAGATACCGCTTGGCATCTTTCGCTCTGAAATGCAGCGTGTTAGTATATATATTTCGAATATCATGGGCACGCACTGTGCTCCCGTAACACTGCAGAATTGGGCAGTCGTTTCGTCTGACATCTTCTTTGTAAATTTGGTACTTTTCTGGAGCCGGAACTTGATTAGGATTATACGTGGCGAAGAGATAAAGTAATATCTACCATTCCACGTGCGTAGTACAAAATTAAGGCAAAGAGAAGAGCGACAACGACGACGATAGACGAGAAAGGCGTGCTGGGGGTAATCTGATTCGTTTGCATAGACGTGACAGTGTAACACTTGCGTGACACGGCTGAACGGTCCGAGATAACCGGCTAGTCGATCGACGAGTCTGATTCCCGGTTCTAATATTTTGCCATTATCGCACCTTGACCGAAATTTTTGGTTATGCGGTGATGGAACCCCTCACAGCACTGGAAGGGGGGGGGGGGTACTTTCTATTACTTGCGTGGCTCTATAATGAGGCACCTGAGGCACATAGCGCCGTCGTCAAATTAATCCTAGACTAGTAGACCCACCTGGTCGCATCTCTATGGGACTCTATGATGGATTTCCGACACGTCGGGAAACGCCTTACCTCGCCTGGTGAACACGAGGTCGGACTTTCAATTCGCGACGTTCGTTCTGTACGGCCTTCCGTCGTCAAATTGTTTTACTCTGTGTTTCCACCTGTTTCCATACTGCCAGCCTTTGGTATACATCTACCTAGTGGCACTGTATGCTGTTTCTCTGATTAGATCTATCCAACAAAGCGTTTTGGTCCGACGCTGGCATATCGCATACTACTGATCACTGATCATCATCACTACCAACACGTTGCCGAGGCGCTGGCCGCTAGCTCTTTGACGTCGACACATTCAATATGTCACTATCGTAGCAGCAGCTTTTATCGGATCTTCATTTCGCATAAGTGCATGTCTGACAGATGATGTTCGTCGTCATGCCACATATTCTTTGTATCCATCCAACTCGGCACTCAGTGGGCTTGATCCATCAATTCTCTCAGTCCGACCCCAGTGGATCCCCCTTTGGCACGGAACACATCTCCATGATACCCATTTGTCGTCGCGACCTCGGTCCGACCCTTCTCAGCGTCTGGCGGTGTCGTTAATTATACACGATCGTGTTGCATGCTGCGGACCTGCATGCCATCATACGTGATCATCTTCTGTCTCCGTATAGAATCACAATGACATTACAGGTCTTCTTGAGAGCGCACCCTATGGTCTTGCGACTTCTTGTCCAGTAACTTAAGCTCTTCCCACTTGCTCAAGCAATCTCCGTTTCAATTCATACATATATCGTCCAATCAAAAACAAGGGTCGCACACTGCCAGACGTCTACACTAGTATCCTTCTAACCCTGGGCACCCTGTGTGATAAGAGCAACTCCTACGTCAGCCTTTGTCACGTCGGCTATCATCGAGGTGAGATCGAGACACTATTTTGCCTGCCAGGGAGTTGACGTTGGCTTACAGGTAGAATCTCGTCTACCCTACATCTGACAGACAGCGTAATGTTGGTTGCGTCAAGTTCCCGATGACTGTCTTATAGCTCACTGGGGTAAAATACACGTAGATGACTTAACCCCTCATGATCCGGTGCCGAATCTAGCCATCCTCTCACGCCGTAAGCGCTGTGGTAGGGATATCTACATCCGTCACGCGTCGAAAATCCCCGATCTGAAGGCGCTCTCACTGTCTGTCTATCATTTTTCCCAGGTTCGGACCTGCCTGCTACTATTATACAGTTGCGACTCAGGCTTCCGGTACCGCTCTTGATTAACGAACTCAGGCCGCGGATCCCCAGGCTCATATCTTCTCTTCGAGATACGCACCCACGCATACCCTTTTAACCATTGTATCTTCCCTCAAGGAGTCTTTCAAGCTGCGCGATCAGCGGATTGGATTCCCTTGAGCTAAGTGAGGCTATGCCTCATGCTCTTCACTCTCCAATTCAAACAGACGGCTGTTAATAGTCAGTCCAACCTCGGACTGCACTGCATCCGCTTATTCCATGGGACTTGCCACCCTTCTAGATTTTTTTAGTTTTTCGAAACTGTCAGTCAAACCTCGGGCAGTAGGTTACTGTAAAGACGGGATGTTCTTTCAAGCGTTGTAGTCGCGTGGCTGATGAGTTGCGAGGGTCAGACATATCCCGAGTAAAAAGAAGGTATTCGTTCATTGTATACGGTATTCACTAGATGCCGGCGAATTCGCTGGTGCGGTGAGAGTGGGAACGGGAATACCGGGTATTGGGAATGGGGAAGTGGAGAACAGGGGAACTTGAGTTGAACAGAATCCGTCAAACCTGGACATTAGCGAACCCGGTAACTCATTGGCGCATTGTGGCGGGTGGATCACTTAGCGAATTCGGTCATCGGGAGAAGACATCTTAGCCTCATGGTGCGGCATTGTATGTTTCTTGCATGACAATGCATCGAGGCTCTGGAATAAGAATGACCTTCCAAGCAAGAACTGTGCTGAATCAAGTAGGTCCTGCGCGATCTGGTGGATCGAAATCGGATCGACGTAAAGCTGTCACTAACGTGCTCAGCGAGGTTGTATGATATGAATCTCCTAGTCAAGCGTGAGTCTTATCGTTTTTGTGAGTCCGCCAACAGGCACCGACCGCCGGAAGTATTGAATTGATATTTTCACCGTCTCAATAAGATCTCCTTCTATGCGGGTCTTTCCGGTAACTTTGCCCCGCAAACTTGACCGCAAATGGCGCGACCGAAAAGGGTTTCGATCATGATCTTGCGTCCAACGATCAAATGACAGTGGCATCTGATGGATAGCCCGAGTCCCTGGCGTCTTCTCGACAGTCGGATGAATGAATGCGTTATATATATGATATGGCGTGGGTATACAAATACTATAGCTACGAGCGGTGCGACAAATGGGGGAGGGATATGGATAGCAAGTCGTATTACTAGTGATAACGGGTAGGTATTAGCAAGTTTAGGACAGCAAGGTAGATAGAAATAGCTTGGCGTCATCGCAAGGTGTGTGTCATATCGGGGCATGAAGTACATGAACGAAGGGAGGCTCACTCGTAATGGAACCAATCCATTTAAAAAGAGAAGGAATAAGGATCAGAGTAGTCGTAGTCGAGCCTTGACAAAAACGCCGATATTAATGGCCCACAATGATGATGGAAGTAAAACACATCAATTCCGTACAATGACCCGTCTAGTATGTTTCCCTGCTCGCCGTCGCTCGGCGTACGGCATTGGTCGCTTCCACGATTCGTCGGGATCACCACCTTCATCCGGAAACTCAACCTTTGTCTGGGCGCCAGGAGGGGTGGGATCAGGGTGATGTGTCTTCGGGGTGGAAGACGCATGTGGGAACAGGGGTGAAGGAGTTACGGGCACCGGGCCGCTACGCTGAGATGATCTGGAGGAGGGGGGATATGCAGCTGATGATGACGGTGAATGATTTGGATGAGGCGGAGCGCCGACGACCCCCAGGGAGGGCGACTGCCCTGAAGGCGGCCAAGACCTAGGGCCACCTGGGTCTCGTACCGCTGTGCGAGACTTGTCATCGCGCATGGTTGCTGCGTGAGAGGGAATATCGACCTCTACATGCACACGGACGATTTCCGCCCCTGCCTGAGCAAAAAAGGCCCGCTCCTGCCGCTGGAAATAGCCGCTAGTTGGCTCCGAACGATGCGGAATAACAGAAGGCGGTGCAGGGGGGAACATTGCCATTAAATCATGGCCTGTAGGAGGTGCAGGATATTTACGAGAATTCACGTCTGGATGGTGAGTCAGATCTACATCTACAAAGAAAGAATCATCAGCAGGTTACTTTGAGACAAAACAAATGAAAAACATACCGCGTAATGAAGAGGGAGAAAGAGGACGACGCGATCGACTGGAAACGGAAGCTGATGTTGGCGGCGACGGAAGCAAAAGGCCAGAGCGTGTCGAGCGGGAGGACTCGGCAGTAGGAGAAGTAGATGCAGACGATGCAGGTGAGTCATCAACAGGACGAAGGTGGTAGGAGGCAGACATAGTGGAGCAAGGCAAGGGCGAGAAGGAGCACAGCTGGTCGAATACTTATAAGGGACTGGCAATGATGATCGTAAAGGAAGAAGCGGGTATCCAAGATCCAATTGAGCATTCCTAATATGAAAAAGAAATTACCTAATCCGCTACTCAGGTTCAGCTCTGCTGAGAGCTTCCGCTTCGGCTACGGTTGATGCTGCCAAGTTTCCCCACAGGCATCGGATTGAATCAGGAATCAGCCCTTGCCAATCATCAGCTACAGAAGGTCTTGTGCTATGTATCCAGGGATGTCGTAAGCCCATTATGTTACCCCTGCTGTAACGCCAAAATTGTCATTCGAATCCATATGCCCGTTCGTCTTCGGCTCCTCCGATTGTGCTTGAGATCTTCTTGCTTCTCTTCCTACGGCTATTACATCTCACCGGCCTTTCATCCTGTGATACCCGGCCGTCCATATTTCCAGGCCTGACTAGGACTGACCCTCCGATTTGCAAGATGGGTCATTGCTCATCACCCTTCATCGAGGGTAAAAATACACCCAAGTTCCGTCCATCTCCGGCAGTCAACTGGAACGTTTGTAGCCCGATGGAACTGACCTCATCTGCATTGCGGGATATTTAAAACCTCTGTGTAAGGCCCTTACGAGAACGGTTCACAATAGACTAAGCCAGAAGCTCGATCCTCACCTACATACAACACGAGTCCATGATATGATGCGCTTCTGTTCATCATGAACTATCGAAGAACTGACCAGGTGGACCATTTTGCAACATGTGATACCAGATTCAGCGCACCCTAGAATCTTCGTCAGCCAGCATGCCCTGATATATGACTACACAGGTCGGGAAGGAAATTCCGTTAACCAGAGAGGCTTTGGTGGCGCCGATATCATTGGAGCGGGGGTTCCGCAATTCAGGACAGATCTAGACGAAGCGGCGTTTCATTTGTATGTTTTGCGCTGAATTGGTGGATCAGTTCTGTATATCCGCCAGGAGGTCCTTTTTTCAGCAAAGGCCCAAGGGAAGAGGAAGTCTGGAGCGATCTGATCTTTAAAAACCGGGTATCCGATATAGACGGCGTGCGGCCAAGCTAGTCGATAGATTCCCGCAAGCAGTAATGATCTCGAGTGTCGTGTATCTGACTTGTTCCTGTGTACAGCGCATTAATGGATGGCGCTGGCATGATCAATAGTTCACTCATCGTATCCGAGATCTACGCGAGGGGAATAAAAGGAAAATACCAAATTTGATACCATGTCAAATCGATGGCTTGGAAGGGAGTCACAGTTAATTTGTCAAAGGGTCTTCAAGGTACGGTGGACGGACCTGTCCGATCGTACTAAGAGATTCTAACGTTATTATAAAGAGTCCGTTTGATGGAGAGACTAAGCCGTCGTGGCGTAATGGTAGCGCGTCGCTTTCCTACCCACTCTTATGTAAGCCACGTTAAGGCGAAGGTTGTGAGTTCGAGCCTCACCGTCGGTATTTGGATACTTTTTTGTTAAGTACTAAACAACTTCGAGTATCGAAGTTCGAAGTTCCAGAGCCAGCAGGGAACGAACGACCTTTCGTATGGTAAGAAGTGCTGCAATCATATTGGTATTCAAAGGTCATGTGGACAAAAAAGCAACGCTGGCAGCAGCCAACATATTACAACAGTTGTCCGCATCTTAGTGACGTCAAGGATCCATGAGAAACACCGTAAACCGGTACGCCCACCCGGATTTCTCTTTCTGTCATGTGGTACGTTTAAAGCTTCAAGTTATGAACTTTATTACCAGAGACTGATAATATCAACTTAGATAAATCTGATCGTTCCGGTTTCCGGGATTAGTTCGAGGAAAATTGAACCCATATCGGCGAAACTTGCAGAACCTGCCCCGGAACAACTACCGAAGTATGTATACAAAAATGCAACAGGTATTCAGATTTGGTTTCCTCGGAAGCGACTCTAGATGTTAACAATCAGTACACGGACCGACGCCGACTCACGCACGGAAGGATGATAAAGAACGCAAGGAAGTCTGCCTTAATGTCAAGCTGCATGCGGACATCCATTCTGCAGGCGCAATGGGTAACAGCCTGTGAATAAGTGATTATTGTCGCCGAAGAAATTTTCTCTCAGTATGTATAACATTCAATATTGTGTGCCAATATAAAATATTAAGGACGTTGTTGAGTGACCCCAGTCGTTCCAACACTATGTGGTACACGCGAGGCGACCACCTGCACCCTCGTCGCATCCGAAAAATCGGCCCAAGACTAGATCAATACGTGCCGTATCCCACCACCTAACATGAAGTATTATCGATCAGTTCAAGCCTTTCTCTCTTCAGCCCAATCAGCGAGCGATTCCCATGTCGGTAACACGTGGAGCGTGGAGTAGGTATGTATGCCGCTTATCAGGAACATACCGAAATGCAAACCGACATGGTGCCACTGCCAGGAGGGTATCAACCGGGAACATCCCCACGAACTCTCACGTCGGATAAGGTGTAACCACAAAGAATTTCCCTGCAGCACTGGACATTGCCGAGGGCCAACAGGAACTTGGCGTGAACGCTAAGTAAAACGCACCTACTGCGGGTGTCCCATAAAGAAATCCGAAACCCTACGTGAACAACAGAAGTGAACGTCAGACGCGTGACGAGGGGAAAAAGTTCGTAAATGGGGCACAGGAGGCTCAAGCGAAGCTTTTTAACCAGCCGCTGCACCTTGGCTGCACCAGAAGATCCCGCGCGATTCGAGGAAGAAGGCCAAAAAGGAAGGTTCACACTGTGCCTTTTCCTTTACGGGAATTGACATGATATAGTTCCGTGGGAGGGTAGAAGAAGAGGGCTCCCTGGCAGATCTGTGACACACCAGCGGCATCGGTGGTCGGAAATGAATCCCCCCTCCTTGCAAGACGGGTTCCAAAGTGAGAGGCAAGAGTATATATCAGAAGGAGTTGGCCGAAATTTTTAGTTTTGTGACACACCAGAATCCATTTCTCCTTCGCCGTCACCCTCGAAGACCCTCGGAGTTGAGAAGGAACAGGCAGGGAGCAGAGTCCAGACATCGAGAATGCCGTGAGCTACTAGTAGGCAGCCGGTGCGGATACAAAATTGTGCCATGGCTGGGAAAGAATTGAGGAATTTACCGGTGTTTTAGCACGTAGCTGTGCCCTTGCTCAGGGACATTGACATTCTCACCGTTAGATCAGTGAAATTTGAAGCGGCCTTGGCGTCTACCAGTAACTCTGACGGATTAAACAAGTACGCTGAGGGACACAACAGCGAATTTCAACAAAAGCATTCCAGTGCAAATAAATCACTGGATTAGTATAACAACCATTGGGTACCGATGAGTACAAGTACAGTATTGACTTGAGTAAATCTATAGTCACAGTAAATGATGATAAGTTACGGATAGATCAAGCTCCAATGTTCCATCATCCGTCCGAAAGAAAACCGAAAAAAAGAATGGATGAATCAGAGCGGAGAAGGAGACCCTGGGATGTACTGCAGTCCTTCCACGATCGTCGGGTGTGTCTCCAGCACTGGACTCGCAGCCCCACTCCCCGCAGTATAGTAGGACATTGTACTCGTCGTTGAAGGTTGGCTCCCACCAGTACTTGCACTGCCTCGTGTATCCACGTGGTCAGCAACAAGCTCTCCAAGCTCTCCACACGCGCTCATAAGCAAGCTATTGGACCGGCTCGGAGGCTCACTCGACATTGGAAGCGTGTTCCGCGTTGGTGGTCGACTGATTGAAGCCATTCGCTCGACAGTGTGTAGACTCGACGTCGTGCCCATCTCACGCGAACCAATACTCTCAATCGTAGGCATTCGGCGTACGTATCCTCCCAGTACCCGAACATGATCATCCGGTGGATAGGGCCTTCCAAATTCGTCGTATCCAATAGCGGCGGAGTACGAGTACGAACTCGCCATGCTTTCGGAACGAGAACTCGAAGACCCATCAGGACGAGCATATTCTAGACCTTCATCGGTCTCTCGGCTGATTTGGGATACGAGTGAACGGAATTGGTCGACAAAGTTGTAGAGATCACGGTCACTGTCCAAAACTACGGGAAGCGGTGGTGTCGGAGTTTGAGGGGTGGCACTCGAACTTGATGTACGAGATTTTTCACCGCTAGGAATAGGTGTATGATGATGGACATTGTGAGTTTCCGTGGAGGATGAGTCTTCTTCCGATGGAGGGGAATCAGATATAGGAATGCTTCTTATCGAGGTATTTCGTGAACTTCGTAAGGATTTCTGCATTCGCGGTGAGGATGTGATGGTAGAAGTAGAGCATAAGTGTGGATTGGAAGACTGAGTGGTGGGCGCGGTATGAAAGGAGGCAGCCATAAGGGGAGAGGAAGACATCGACTGATCGACTGATTCGGGGTTAGCGGGGCGGTGGCGGCGGCGCCTGCGTCTGCGGGCTGCTTGGGAGGGGCGGCGAGTAACCTGATAGGCAGAAGAAGACAAGTTGTAAGGAATCTAAACAGAGTAATGATGAGTACGCGAATACGGTGAGTGTGAGAACGACTTGCAATGATAGCCAAAGTAATGAAGATGCGAAGAATAGACAAGCCTAGCCAGGATGCCCAATTGTGCGCTCTGCCCTGACACGTCGCGCTCGAAGATGACACGACCCAAACTACATCAAGGTCGAGCCCACATCGTTGTGACAAGTTAAGTTCAGGCTCTTCGGGAACACTTCGCCAAACGAATGTTAATGCAAACGCGACGATCGCAGGTCCCAACAGGAATATAGATGCAAGGAAGCGAAATATGGTTCGTGTGAGGAGAATTGAATGCAGATGAACGTGAGCGCGTATCAACTGGGTCTGGAAGAAAGACACGATGACACGGCATAACAAAAACGTTGCGGAGACAGCTGTACTGGTCCCTAGGGCGAGAGAAACGTCCTGACCGGTGATAGACTGGTAAACAGCAAAGGCCAGAAAATATCGGACCGTGTTGTAAATGGCCCAGGCACCTACAACACATTAGCGAGACGTCACAGGCCGGCAATTGAGACCTACCCATGACCATTTCGAATACCGACACGGTTAGCTTTAGAACCTTTAAACGCCGGCGAACAGCCTTTTCCCAGTACCCCTTGCGTTCCCTTACTGTTGGTGTGTCGTCAAGGGACAACCCCATATCCCACCCTGGACTCGGACCTCGAGGATGAGTTGGCTGTCGCTCGAGAAGGTCGAGATACGCTGAACCAGAGTACAATGGATTCAGTAGCGGTTCCGTCGGATGAGAGTTATCTGAAGCGATAGTCCTCAACGTCGCCGTCGAGATTGTCCGCGAATGTGAGGGTGGCAATTCTGCTGGCTCGGGGGAAAAAATTGCATTATGAAGATATAATGCAGCCATTTACGTCGACCGCAGACATTCAGAGCGCTAGAACGCTGGATTTAGCTAGAAGATGGTGGTTAGCGAACAGGACAACGCTGTAGAAAAAATGCACAGTACTGTGAGTCAATGATGCCTCCGAACGGCACAGTACAGTTGTAGAGTATCCCGAGAGGTAGTCGGATTTGGATCAAATTCGGGTCAGAATTAGAATTTGGAGGTTGTGCGACGAAGAAGCAGCAGTGGCAACGATTGCTCCTGTTTGGTAGACGCGTCGTCACCTGACCTGACGCGATCGAATCCCGCGATCCGAACTGAACACGATCAATAATGTCTTACAAAGTATTGCTGCCTCCTCTCTGTAAGGCTTATCCGTTCTTTGACATCTGACCTGTAATTTTGTTAGATGGCCTGGGGTAAGGGGCGGAACTGGGAGATACTCACACTACAGCTGCGGTGGAGTTATGATCGGGAATAAAGCTACATACTTGAGAACCGGTATATCATTACGGACAATGACAAGGAGCCCTCGTAAGTAGCATCTTGGCATTTGATGGTGTATCAGCATCATAGCCAAAAGGTTGTTCATACCACTCACGGTAAGTCTTGTGTTGCCTGTGGATTACGACCGTCGGACCCCTGTGAAACTCTTCAACATAATGATACTCGTCATCTCGAAGCTCGGGGGCTATTGATGATGAGCATATCTCCAACCAGGAATCGACTTGGAGTCCTTACTATTACGCGACGTAGGGTATGACGAAGCTGACTGCATTGTTGCACTGCTCTAGCCGATTACTCCGAGTTCAGTAAGATCGAGGGCGGTTTACTCCTATCAGCGTAAATGGGACACGAAATTGGAAGGGAGAAAGAAAAAAAAAAGCCTGAGGTTGAGATGATAGTGGTCGTAACGCAAGAGCCGACCAGTCAGCTCTGACGCCAAAAAAAACGCCCCAACATGAGGCGCTCTAAAAGTGGCGCGTCTGCGATGATAATACGGCCATGTCAATAAAAGGGGAACCAGGGAATGGAAATTTGGGGTTTCATGAATTTGCTTTGATCTGATTGACAGAAGTCACCTTCTCCAGAAAGGGTAATGGCCGCCCGCATATTTATAGACGATATACGGTGTTTAAGGCGGGTGAAAGCCTGCCGGCTACTCTTAGAGATCTTAGCTGTATGTGGGTAAATAACTTGAAAACGTTGAGACCAGATGACCTATCAATTTATTTTCTATTGTGAAGGGAAAGTAGATTTTATTAATCTAAATCCCTTCTGGTGAACATAGACCAATATCTAGGTCTAGTAAGCACCCGTATTCATGATCGCGGCAACTAGCACCCTTACCGATAAAGAACGCGACTTTCCGGATTGATGTGACGGTTCTAGCAAAGAAAATAATGCCTCGAAGAGATAAATACAATGGCTACCCATGCAAGATGCACAAACACTTCGCATAAGGCAACGAAACCATAATAGCACATACGAATCCAAGATCATTTCCTGACCCTCAAATAGAGCATGATCAGGAAACCGATAAAAAAAGTACAATGCGCATCTCGTGTGAGATCCAACTAAGCAGTGAGAGCTCGCGCAGCACCGTGGATATCGGCGTAGAAAAACGAACCGGCAAAGGCCGAGCAGCTTTACGCTTCTTCTACTTCTTTTGATCCCTAGTGTGTAGAGGAAGCATTGATTCATTTCACCCTTCCCATATATGAAAACGAAACGCATCTGCACCCCGTACTATCGGTCATTGTCGTTGAACCAAATATATTTTCATCACAGATACACAAACCATACACAAAGAACACGAATCCGAAAGCTAAAAAAACAGAGACAGATATATGTAATATGGACAACAAATGCGGTGGGTGGGGTGCGGTGGGGTGGGACGTTTATCGCGGGATGAGGTGCAATAAGATAGCGTACAGGTGAAAATAAAACCGGATGATGATGGGATAATACACATGAACATGCTGGATGGCATGCAGATCAGTTAATGGCAGGGGGGTTAAAGTAGGTTCCTTTTCCAGGTCAGTGTCCGTTTCCGAGTGTAGTCAATGCTTCGCCCACTTGCCCGTCGGAGGCGACGTCCAGGCGGCATCCCACTCGTCAGCATCAGTCTGGACGGCGGGTTCCGGGGGAACGTTCTCCTCGTCGCTGTCACTGTCAGAATCGGTGTTGGTATCTTCGACAACGACAACAGCAGCAGGCTCAGGTGCAGGTGCCTCCGGTTCCGGCGGGGGAGTAGGCACTGCAACGACGACTTCTTGCATCACAGGCGCCGGTGCCGGCTCCGTCTCCGTCTCAGCAGCAGCAGCAGCTTGCTCTCTCTCCTTATCTCTCTCTTCCCTCTCCTTCAGCTCTTTCTTTAGCTTCTCCAGCTCGTCCTTCTCCAGATTCTGCTGCTTCTTTTTCTCATCCTCCTTCTCCTTCTTCTTCTTATCCTTACGTTCCTTCTCCTCCTTCTCCCGTTTCTCCTTCTCCACCTGCAACCTCACCTTCATCTCCCGCTCGCTTACAACCCACTCTGCCGCCTCATCCGCCGCCTTGTCAGGGTTACTCTTGTGCTTGAGGAGGTACCCCTGCAACGCCGCAACACTGAACTCCTCCTCTGGGATAGCATCCGCGAACCTCTTTGCCAGCAAAGCAAGCTTGGCGGCGTCCAACGGCTTCGCCGAATGCTGACTGCTTGCAATGTGCTCTTCTACCGGCGGAGGCAGGTACGCTTGGTTGTTAGCCCCAAACTGGGGTAGCGCCTTGCTGCCTTTGGACGTAGCGCCACCATTGTTCTTCGGCGAAGGAGGTAGCGAAGACGTCGACGATGCAAAGGAAGGCGAGAGGGACCACAGCGTCGACGAGCCCGAGCTAGGGGTCTGTGGAGGTGATGGGATGTCAATCCCTTCAAGCTCGGCTTCGTCCATGTCACTTAACGTGGGCCCCGGAGGGGGGACGCCATTGCAGGATGCAGCAGGCTCTTCTACTGAGGGGAAGAAATTCCGGAAGAGCGCTTCAGCCTGCCATTTGGACGCATTCTTGAATTCTATCCAGACGTCCATACGCCCCGGTCGAGAAAGTGCAGGGTCGAGGCGCTCAAGGTGATTTGTTGTTCTGTCCAAAGCCGCCGAGTCAGTACCGTATCTAGGGGAACAGATGGGAATGGGGAAAGACTTACGCAAAGAGGAGCCTGCCTTCTGCCGCCGCCACACCATCTAGTGCGTTCAACAAGCCACTCAAACTCAGTGTGTTGACATCGGATAGCTGGTCTCTCTGGTGCCTCCTTCGACCCGTGGATGGGCCCGCTGGGGTTGTGGTATTGGTCTGGTCATTGTCACCCTCATTGTTGTTGCCTTCAGGGTTACCACTCGAGTTCTTGTCCCTCGACACGCTTCTGGTAAAGGCAGCATCCAAGTCTTCCAGAAGAAGAATACACCTTGACGGGACACGGCCCATCAACGTCGTCAACGTGCTGTCGCTTATCCACGAGGACGAGAGCGACACGACGTAAATGTCCAGCATAAGCTCGCCTGCTATAGCGTGTATAAGCGACGATTTGCCGGATCCGGGGACACCGTGGAGAAGATAGCCTCGGCGGAAGGGAATGCCACGGTCAGCGTACCACTGCAGGAGTAACTTCCGTGAGTACAAATCCCACGAAGAACAGAAATTACGCACCTGCTCCGACTTCAAAAAATCCCGCGTGTCACCAAGAAGCATCTCCTTGACGCCTGGGTTGAGCACGATAGAGCCCATAGGACGCTTATGCCGTGAATCCGTCCAACGCCAGCTTCCATGGGAATCGGCAAAATAGATTTGAATGCGATGAACTGCTTCTGCTTCGTATTCCCGTTTTGCTTGGAGGACTAACTGCTTGAGGATGGAATTATTGCGGGCGACAACACTGAGGACGCCTAATGAGCGGAGCGAGAGAAGGCGAAAAGAAATGATAAGCACCTGATGGACAAGACTTCGCATCCGCTACCATCATTCTTCCTGCCTCTCTTGATGCGCAACCAATGACCCCTATAAAATATGGTATGTGTTGTGTCAAAAGTCGGCTGGAATACGACCCGTGTCTTGACTCTTCCAGGTTCGTCGTCTTCTTCTTCGTCGTCTTCGTCGTCGCCGAAAGAGTTATCAGCGGTCCGTGCAAAACCGGAGGAAGATCGTGTGGTAGTCTCGAACTCCCTTGACCGCTGCCATTCTGGCTGTCGTGAGAGCCAGAGCATTAACCAGTCGTAGGGATAGTCTTCTTCCGAGAAGTGTGCCGTAAGGAAGAAGGCTAGAAAGTGAATGGTCAATTACGGTCCAGTAATGCAGGACGGAGAAGCATGATGAGTTATAGGACCCGGTGCCGCTTCCGACCCAATAGCCCCAAGGCAAGTGGGGTCGGATAAACAAATTATACACTGTGCCACAGGAACAATAAAGGCAATGGGCCTGCATCTCGTGGAGGACATGCATCTGGGGTGAGGCCCCATGCGACCGCAGAGAAGCCAAGAGAGAGGGAGGGAGAAGGAAGGAGAGACGAGACACTCACAGTTGACAAAATGTGACCTGTAGCACCGACGTAAGGATTAGGCGACGACATCGAGCAGCAGGCGCTAATGACTCACCAAGCGGAACTCGACACCCGTCTAGCGGTCTCGACTGTTCCCCCCAGGACAACAAGCTTCATACCGTCAATGACCGACGACCCGGCGGCGCCGCCTACGAGAGGCTGAACAAGTGATTTGAGAGCGTCCATGGAAGTGGAAAGCAAGGAAGAAAGGGACTTGGATTTGGTGATCCAATGTGGCGAAGTAGGAAGGGGGCGGTGGGTAGCACAGGTTGAAAGCTGGAAGGTGAAGTGATAGTCGGTAATTAAGAGAGGCTGAGGGTGAAAAACAAATTGGAGGCTGAGTCGATGATGACTGTGGGTTCGGATCCGAACAGCTCCTTTCGAGGTCAGGACGCGTCAGCAGGGCGTCAAGCCTGAAATTGAAAACGTGTTCGCGGAGTCTGAATGCAGCAGCGCCACCCCGGCTGATGATCTTAACTTTTATTTTGCTGCTTTCCAGAGCTCCGTTTCGCTGGTACATTCTAGCCAGGTCGACTATTAATCATCTTTAAAACAGAGCCCCCGTTCGCAAAAAGATTCATTGAACAAACTATGGCCCCTCAAAGTGGTATCCAAATGGCGCTAGCTAGATACAAAAAGCGCCTGTGCACCGCGCCCCAAAACCTTAATGCAAGATCCCATCCAGAATGATGCAAAGAACGGGTGTGATATTCTGACAGAGGACGACGAGAAGTCCCGTCTGATGCTGAGAAAGAACCAGCGAAGACCTCAAAAGCATTTGTGGTCGAACCCAGGGAAGAAGTCACCCCGTGGCAACAAACACAGCAGAATGCCGTCTCCTCCATAAAAGGCCGCTGGAAGCGCCACCCCGTACGTGGACCCCTTCGTAGTGGTTACAGCGCGCCAATCACTACCGAGACCGAACGCACCACACGGCCTTGCACATTGCATACCCAAGTATAGTTGCGTCGTTATGGTGATCCAGGAATGAGGAAGGCACAATATTAGTCAGTCTTGTCTTCGAATCCATTAATCCATTAATACGGGAGTTAATTCACGCTGATCCGTGCGCACCTGGGCCCAATAAATGACAGAAGTAATGCTAGAGAGGCGGGGACCTAAGTCCGATTCCTCGCGTTCATCACCATGCCCACGGGGCGGATCCTCCACCAGTTCAAGAGAGGGCCCTTCTGCTCCATAGAGACGTGCGTCATTGATTCCGATCCCGGGAACGGATGAGTAATACCCCTGGGCGGCTTAAAACGAGGTAAACGCGAGGTTAAGCGTCCCTATGATAGCACCCGGGAACCACAAAGGATTCGTGGCGACTACTTATCAGGGTTCAAGTTACCGTCAGTACCGTCCCTATGTCAGATATGGAACGACACACAGACGGCGCCCCACTCACCTTTGCGTTATACTTCTCCCCAGCCCTAGAGGCTTCCTAGGGAAAAGGAACACACTAAAATGACTAAATTTATAAAAACGCATGCAACGACGAGGTTGACAAGACCGCCACGGAGTTTAAATAAACTCCACAGGCACCAGAGAGCGAAGCGTCGCGGATATGAGGGTGAAGAGAAGGAAGGTCGTGACTGTCATTACTAGTGAAAATGCTCACCTGTACAGCACATTGAGCCGTACGCATTGTATATCGACCGCAAGTGGAATGAAAATCGTTCTTCCATAGCCAGCGACGCCTGAAATCAATGCGTGTGCACTCCTGGAGCACAAAATGGACTTTCACGGCATCTGGTATACATGACCTCTTCGTCCCATCCCGGAGAGACGTCCGGCATGCCATTCCAGCATGGTCATTGTTCGATCTCTAGCGTCGCGGTTGCGCCAGGGATAGTACAAGCTGCATGCTGCTGGTACAAAAATCCATTCTCACTCGCGGAAAAGAAGAGACCTTCCAAGACAGCGTCGCTTTGCACCGAAACGCCATCATCTGCGACCATGAACTTGAACACGGTCGTCCGTGGTTTCTCGAAGGTCAAGGTTCTCCCCGATGAGGATTTTGGCCGATGATAGAACTACGAGTGACCCAGGTCAGCCAGATGCTAGATCCAAGATGGATACAAAGCTTACCCGAACACGAGAACCGACACCAGGACCTTGATCGGTGTTCAGAGATATTGTACCACGGGATGGATCACCAGCGGTTATGGTGTATGCCTGCCGCAACAGATGAGTAAACTGGTAAATCATGGAAACACAGCATATACTGACAACTTGGGTATCTTCCGTCATTAGATAGAACTCTTCTTCAGTTTTTAAAGACGTTGCTGATAAATTATGAGCTCGTATAGCGGAGAGTAAGAGCTGAGTAGGGTTCCGCCTGTCCAGTGTGTTCACCAAGTTGCCCTCGCTTTCCGAGACGGTCATAGCTGATGACAGAGGGACAAGCCCATGATAATTAAGCATAGAACGAACATCCTTTGCGTGGGTCAATGCGACGCCAACTGCGCCCGAGTCCCATATCCGCTGGTTCTGGAACAGGGTCACAGGCCGTCCGGTGATAAATGGTGTAGAAGTAGGGATAAAACCCAACTGTTCTTCATGAATTAATACCCGTATTATAGCACTTCGATAAGTAAAACGTACCTTTGAGGAGGTGGGGAAATTCGTATGAAACGAGCTTCTCAATCCCTCAGGAGCCGCATCCGAGAAGTAAATCAGAGCATCAACGGAATCCCGCCTAAAAGACCTGATTAGCAGAAAACAGAGAAAACGAAGTAGATATGCACTGTAGATCTTGAAGACTATCTGGCAATTCCAGTGTCGCCGTTCTCTTACTCCATACATCTTCCCAATCCACACCTTCTCTGTATTCTCCTTCAAAAAAAGGCGCGTCTTTGTCCTTCTTTCTGAAGGAATGCCATCGTCCAACCTGAGGCGATGGTACACCGGGAATGGTTGAACGAAAAGGGATACAGTTTCCGTCGAAAATGGCCAGCGAACAAGATATCATGTCCATGGATACTGGTGCTGAGAGGCAGCCAACAGTATTCGAAGAGAACGTAGTCAAGTTTTGGACGAGTTGAGAGAGTTCCGACGCGTCGACGTTGGGAGAAAGCGAAAACAGGAGGTGGTGGCGAGAATACTGGCCAGCGAGTTGGGAAATGTGATTCAAAATAGCCGTTGAAGAGCGGGAAAAGACCGAGCTTGCGTGAAGAAGCATTGAGGGCAAAAATAAGAGAGAAATACCCAAAGCAAGGCTTGACGCGATTGTGAAACGGTAAAAGGAAAGAAAGCATAGATGAGAAAATCCGCGCAAATCGTGGTAGTTCTCGATCGGCATTTACGGCACAATACCTTTCGGCCCGGAACGCAACTTTGACCGAAATCAGTTTTGAGGGTGAAATGGACATATTAGGAGCGGAATCGGTACAAACTCATCGGCATTTTTTGCGTCGTAGTTGGAGAGACAAATAAACATATTGGGAATAGAATCAGTACCATTAATCAAACCGAGATACTTATTCGTGGCTATACCTATCGTCCCCAATAGACGCCATATTTCAGTTTCTCTTCAGCATTTCACAAAGTGAAATAGGTGAGGCTATCACTTACTTTTGCGACGAGGCGGATTTGACAGAATAATCAGGGTGCTCGATGGTGAACTTAGTCGACCTCCCCACTGAGCTGCTGCACACAATATTTTCCAATATTCATGGCGAAAATGTCACGCTCAATAACATCTGCCTTGTTGGCAATCGCACTCTTCTCGCAATTGCGCGTCCTTTGACGTTTCGAGAGATAAACATTGCGCTTTCCTTACCCCTTACCGAAAGCCACAGATTTTACTCTAAATTTCGCTCCGTCTATTCCAATAAAAACCGCCGTGACTCGGTCAAGTCTATCTCTTTTCGCTGCAGTGGCTTCCCAGACATCAAAATGTCCGAAATCTTAGTCAAGCAGCTCCCTCGTTTCGCCGGTGTCACTCATGCATCAGTAGAATGCGAATACGACCACCTCAATGATGACGGCACATGTTTATCCACTATCCTCATCCCGATCATCTTCAAAATGCCAGCGCTCGAAAGTTTTTCTATCTCAGCGTGTGGGCTGGACGATAATGCCTTCTCTTTGGACTACTCGCGGCCGTTTCTAAAGCACGTCAGGTTTGACTGTGTCTGCAGTGGCCCCATCTTGGAATATGCGCATGTTGAAGGTGTGCAGATCATCGAGGCAAGAGGAGACTACGAAGATTATACGATCATGCAGACCTTGGATGGAATCTCCTCCCTTTCAGAACCACAGCAACATCTCTTGAATCATCTTGATCTTCGATCTACCCCAGATCCCTCAGATCAACTTGGTATCGACATGGCTCAGTGGTTCGCGGTTCGTACCGTTAGCTAACTTTGTTTTCCTCATATTCATTCATTGGCCATATAGGAGCTTCCTGCAGGATCGTTCCCCAATCTGGAAGTACTCGTCATATTGATTCCCATATACCACATGTTTCTTGGTGCCATCCTTGAGAATCTTTCCGTAGGTAAGCTTAAAAAGCTGTGCATTGGACGTGTTAGTGTCTGGGACACAATAAGATATGTCCCAACTCTTCCTCCCATGGATGATTTTACTTCCCTAGAGGAGACTTTACTGCTGTACAATGGCTACGAGGTAGATTCTTCTTATCAGTAAACCGATTATGCAGGTTTCAAAATTTCTTAGGACTCCGTGATATCGAACCTTACAAAAGCACCTCGTCTTACCCACATCCATTTTTTTGGCGACATCGATGCCGATTATATGGGGAAGGCGAGGACATACGGAGAGCTCGTGGAGACTCTGCGTACGGTTTCGTGGGTTAATCGGGCAACCATAGGCTTGGAACGAGATGACAAGGGAGACATTGTCCATACGGAAGCTAGGGATTATGAGGAACCAGCTTGGTTTGAGTTTGGGACTGCAGCTGATGGATGGCGAGGGAAGGATTAGGTCGTCATCTGGTCTTACGATGCAACAGATCGTTGCATCACCACTTTCGTTGCGTAGAACATCTTGCAGCTTATGTATCATCTTAGCATTATTTCTCGACGTCAGATCTTTTAGAACCAACAGCCGAGCAGTCTGGGGGATGTATTGGACCCCTTGAAGTTGTCGTATGCCGTGTTAATCTGAAAATTTTCATGTATAGCAAGGCGAAAGAAACCATATTCCCGTGAGATACTGCGTCAAACTCTGAATAATGGCATCGGGAAACATCACGGTGTATTATTTTAGCGGTAGTACCAGGGCTGCGCGCACCATCCGTATCCATACAGCTCATCGAATCTAGATGATTCGACTTGTCGCCAAGCCGGACCAGCCTTTCACGTACGGTGCCACTAGTAGAATGGATCGCTCCGAAAAGTAGCTACTGTACCAATAACAATTGCTTGTAGGCCGAACTTTAGTAGCTTCGAGAGAACAGGCCCAGTCGCAGTTTTTTTCGGGTCAAAATCTTGTAATGCGACGTGAAGCTTGAAATTATATTAACGACTACCATTACGAGTTCAACGGCGATTGAATTGTGATTCTGTCGATACTATAAGGAAGGTTTAAAATTCCTCTTGAGTCTACTCTCATTCGACATAAATTCTCACCTCAATGGGTACAAAATAAAATCGCGGAACTTTCGAATACAGTACCAAGACCTTCGGCTTCGGCTACCACCGCGTTTATCGGAACAAGACAGGAGCCATAGGAAAATTTTTTGGCTGGGGGAAGCGCGACGGGCGGAGCATGAGCAATCGGTTGGATATGATTTGTCAGCGCCTCAGCTGAGGGCTCCGTCTTGCGCATCGCATCTCTGATTATCACCACCATCATCATCGACAGAAATTCGTAAATTTGTCAAGAAATACCTTTCTCAAGCAACAAACCAAGAAATATGTCTCCAACCGCTATTACGAGCACCAATGGCTATTCCAACGGCATCAAGAATGACACCAAAAGTGTCGAGAAGGCTACCGGACGTGGCGTTCACTTGACGTCGGCGGGTGTTATCCAGATGGAGAACAAGTACGGGGCGCACAAGTGAGTATTCCTTCTTCTCGTTGTTTCTTGCTGGACATGAGGAGAGCCATCATCATGTGCAGGAAAGGACGCCACAGGGCCTGAATCATCGCCGCTTTATATAAAATTTTGTCGTTCGTATCTGTTCCATTTATACAACACCTACTGACCTGCGGCTTTTTTGCTATTATCAGCTACCATCCGTTACCCGTCGTCTTCGATTCCGCAAAAGGCGCCAAGTGAGTTCTTTTTGCCGCCGAAATATGCTTAATCTGATTAGATCCTGATAGAGTATTGGACCCAGAAGGCAGGGAGTACATCGACATGCTTTCTGCCTATTCGTCAGTATTTTTCCTCCTGATTGCTTCGATTTTCTCAGATGCGGTAATAGGGCCGTAAATCAGGGACACTGTCACCCAAAGATTGTCGCGACTCTCATCGAGCAGGCCCAGAAGCTCACCCTGTCCTCTCGGGCCTTCTACAATAGTGTCTTTGGCCGCTTCGCTCAGCAGATCACAGAGATGTTCAGCTATGATATGGTCCTGCCCATGAATACTGGTGCAGAGGCTGTCGAGACGTCGCTGAAGCTCGCACGCAAGTGGGCCTATATGAAGAAGAGTGTTCCCGAAGGCAAGGCTATGATTCTGAGCGTGGAAGGCAACTTTCACGGGCGGACGCTGGGTGTCATCAGGTGCGTTTCTTCTGCCTCGTGGGGAACCTCTACTGAGTTTGTTTCATGGAAAGATAGTATGAGTACCGATCCGGACAGCCGCACCGGTTTTGGACCTTACCTTGAAGGTGTCGGACCTACGTATCTTGACGGCTCCCAGTTGAGCACCATCAGATATGGTGTCGTGGAGGATGTGGAACGAGCGCTTGAACTGCATGGTAGGAATGTCGCAGCTTTCCTTGTGGAGCCGATTCAGGGCGAAGCTGGGTGCGTGGTTTTAGCTCTCCTTTACATATACTTGATCTAACATGTTCGTGGCAGAATTGTTGTTCCCGAAGAGGGATATCTCTCACGCGTGCATGCTCTGTGCAAGAAGCACAACGTGCTCCTTATCTGTGATGAGATCCAAACAGGACTGTGTCGAACGGGAAAGATGCTGGCTTGCGAGTATGATAACGTCCGACCAGATATGGTCCTGCTGGGCAAGGCCTTGTCTGGCGGTGTGTACCCTGTTTCTGCCGTCCTGGCCGATCGGGACATCATGCTTTGTATCAAACCCGGCGAGCATGGCAGTACCTATGGAGGGTCGGTCTCTATTTTGTCTCTTTTACATCTATTAATCTGTTTATTCAGAAACCCACTAGGATGTGCTGTAGCGATGACGGCTCTCAATGTACTAGTCGAAGAGCGTCTGGCGGAGCGTGCGATGGTGCTAGGAGAACTCTTCCGAAGTTCGGTCACCAAGCTCAATTCTCCGCTGGTGCAAACCGTGCGCGGAAGGGGGCTGTTGAACGCGGTCGTCATTGATGAGAGTAAGAGTAGGAAGGGACGTACGGCATGGCAATTGTGCTTGCTTTTGAAGAGTCGAGGCGTGTTGGCGAAACCGACACATGTGAATATGTAAGATAAGCTTTCGTTCCTTCCATTTGGTGACCTTACCGGGGGTTTTACAGTATTCGGTTCGCGCCTCCGCTGGTGATATCAGGGGAGGATCTGTTGAAGGCTGTTAGGATCATTGGGGAGTGCTTGGAGGATCTTGACAAGGTACTATACATTCCGTTCCTTATACAATATCCGTGGACTGATGAATTTCCAGGTGGATGTCATTCCGGGTGAAGAGGAAGATCATTAGGTGATCGGTGTTGCGTGTACTACTAACTGTGTTATCTACACGGCATTGTGTTTGTATCAAATAGAACGCATACGTGTATGACTAAGGGGGGCCTATGCAAGGCAAACAAGGCAAAGCCAATGGGTAGACGTTCTAAAGCAGCTTATATTATTCACCATCTGATCGATAACGCTCATTCCTTCGGTTTCCAAGCGACCCCCGGTGCATGACTATAAATCTTCGAGTACAGGTGCACAAGGGTCCGGTTCAAGCTCGGATTCATCACGACATGGTACGCTCTTCTTCCCCCTTGCATTTGCATAACTAAGCATTACGACCTTAAAGTAATCGTTATTGTATGGTGGGCATCCTTCTGAGCGAGCCATTCCGCTAATACGTGAACGGGTTGTCGGGCTTGGCGACAGGAACTATCTGGACTCGGGGAGCTACATGTAAAAGTCTTCGAGGAAAGTCAACAGTACTAGTAGGCTTGCCAACACAGCTACTATGCAGTTCCGCTTCACCTGACAAACCGGACACAAGGCTGCCGTCAAGCCGTGCGGCACTAGCTTTTGTTGTTTCGTTGCTCACACCAACATAGACCAACATTCATTCATACACAATGCCACCCGACGCATCCTTTCCCACTAACCCCCAACAGGAATCTCCAGTGAGGTGAGTGAGTCTCCGGTGTGACAACGCCAGCCCTAAAATTACTCTAGATGTCAGAAAAAGGTAGGAAACGCTCCATGCTCCCCGACGCAGGCGAGGAGGAGGATGAAGGCCAGTCCTCGAAGCGCATGAAAGTCATTGAAGTAAGGATACAGCTATGATCGGCCGCTCATTCACTAATGCCCTCCAGGCGCCACTAACTCCCATCGGCAAACCTTCACGCTTGAGAGGCATAGGTTCATCCAATGCACGACAGAGGAGCCGTCCCCGTGCATACGCAAACGCGCGACGGCCTACGGTCGCGCTGAACCCGTCCACGCCACTCCAAGTCATCCCCCCAGAGTCCTCCTACAAACTCGGAAGTTTCGACTTTTGGCCAATCACCCATAATTTGCTGGTACGTGCAGCTGGGAGCGGTAGCCAGCCTAACTACGAAGCTATTTTCGACGTCCTCTCAACGTGGCAGAGCCAGGGTATCATGGATCGTGGTATCCGATGTTTCATACCGGACCTCCCGAACGCTCAGAATCCCAACGAAACGGGCTGGATGCAGTGTTTTGATATGCGTGACCCAGTGTCTGGGGAGACCCACAAACTAGCTATCACTTCTCTCACGCTTACCGACGCGTTCAAGTGCGACATACGCAATTTCCCGCAGCATCGTGGTGGGGAAGTTGTCGAATCGGCGGTGGGGAACGCGTCCATTCCCGTGACTGGGATTGTGTCCGCATCTGGAGGCGTCTTCAAGGTGAACTGTTCGCCTGTGTGGACTGCGGTGCACGACAATAGAGATAACAGTGCACTTGGGATCGAACTTTGTGAGGTATTCGAAGGCCATCTTGAGATGTCGGTAATGTATGATTCAGCTGTCGCTGGTTCAGGAAATAGATATGAATTCAGAAGCGGCCTGTGGGGCATACGGATGCGACACCAGGGCTAGTAGGCATTCATATCGTGTCAATGGTGGACTTGTTAGATTCTTGTTTTGCCTGGGGTGTATTCAATATTTTATGTGCTCTTCGATGGCTACATTTGTCTCAAGTATATAAATGTTGGGCACATGGTGTAGTTGGTTTATCACGCCCGCTTAGCATAATGCCAGTTGCGGGAGGTGTTGGGTTCAATTCCCAATGTGTCCACTTCAATGAATTACTACTGATTCACTTTTAAGAAGTCTTTGAAGTATATTGAAGTTCCCAGGTTGCGTACGAAACCTTTAGGGGGTGTAAGTTGCGGTTTGTTACTAACCCGTGCCGGAGGGGCTGTTTTGATACCGTATAAACTGTTACTTACCTTATTATATGACTGACGCGCCGCAATTGCAGAATTTTTCCAAAAACCTTTGTGTACGTGTTTTTGCACAATTTCTTGGTTTTAATAAAAAATAAATCATTTATAAAGACTTCCTCTGTGGCTATAAATTGTAAACTGAAATATACATGTAATAGTAATTATAGTGAACCGCCAATAAGTACTCTAACCTTGTTGCAGTGATCTCGACAATAAAACTAGTAATTCACTTGCTCTGTGGAGGGTATTTGATATACTCGCAAACTTTATAATAGACGTCCATCTCTCGCAGAACCCAAGTCGTATTTTTGTCAAAGGGGAGTCAGACCACTCCTAATCAAGTTAGCGTTCAAACGTTCACATTGCATGAAGAAAGACACTACCTCACGATATAAATTACAATGACAGCAATATTACCTACAATAATCCGCCTCCACGAAAACTTCTGAGCCATGTTTACCGGAACATCTATCCTCCTTAAGCCATATCCAGTCGCTCAGCCAGCCGAACATCCTGTGCCCAATCCAATCCTGCCATATCAACCGCCACGGTTTTGACAACGTCAAGTGTTCTAACTTGGTATGAAAGAGAAAGTTTAGTGAATCATAAGCTGTAAGTGGTGTCAGCATAGCTAGAGGGAGGCTTTTGTCGGACATACCGACGTTGACCTGAGGGTTAACATATATTTTCGGCCGGTGGGGAGTGTTCCAAAAATGCATGTCAATAGCTATAAGGTAACACTCCGACGACGTGCATTCTGTACTGCCTCTGAACTGCAACGGTAGCGGGGGGAGATAATCTCCTGTAGGTGTAGGTGTATTCCGCTCCAACTCTGACAAAAGTGAGGACATGTATGGAGAACGAAGAGACTTTTCGTTTACTGGGAAGAGACCCCGCAAGAAACCACGTCGCGTCAAAAACGGCTACTCCGTTCCAACAACTGGCAACCTCGATAGGTTCACCTTTCCGGAGGCTTTTAACAGCTCGGGAGTCCGAGGAAAAATAGGGCCAGATTTCTTTCGCTGTCCGTCCACAAGCATCACGTATTACCCATCTGGTAAAGTCATAAGAGGATAGATAATGCAAAGCAGGGAAAGACACACATGTCATACAGCCCCACTCCATCAAAATCAAGAGCACAAGCGAGATCATAATCTCCTTCCTTCGTGTTGATTAATCGTACAATAGCTCCTATTTGTGAACACGGTGTCAGGATACCCGAAGCGATGGATAATGAACGAAAAGACGAACTCCAGTCAAAATAAACATCGTTAAAGAACAGGACTTTCGCAAAGGACTTGCCATCTTGATCACCCATGACACGCAAGGGTTCCAAGGCCTTGTTCCTGATATCTGCCATGTAAGAAATCCTGTCGGGGCTGTTCAGCCCCCACCTATCCCTTATGCCTTCCTGCACCACTATATGGTTCTCAATGCCCTGTTCATCGAGTTCCTTCTGAAAGTTACGTAGAATATCTTGCGTTCCATCTACGGAATTTGATTCGTAGATGGATACGAAGACGTTTTGTCGTCCTATGTGTTCGATGAGGAGCTTCATCTCCTTCGTCCACGAGGGTAAGACCTTTGCTGAATTATACAGATTAGCCGCAATGTAGTATGTGCTGTTTGACGGAAGGGGGGATATGGGGGCATCATGGCGGAGGTAGGAAGAGGAAGGGTAAGTTGGTGTGAACAGAAGGAAAAGGCACCATATAAAGCACAATCGGAATCGTGTTCTCCTCCGTGGCGTCCACCGAGACCAGTTAGATATATGGGCGGCATCGAATATTGTCAACGCTGGGACACATACTGTCGCAAATGGGAGGTATACAAGAAATGTCGAAAAGTATCCCAAATGATAGGCGAAGAATATTGCGGTAGAGAGAGAGAATGCTGTGCATGCGATGAGTATGCCGTGGTAGTGAAGGGCAGTCGCAGTGAGAGTCCTTCTATGTTTTCTGTAATAGTATGTGTCCCTCATCGCCGTTCATGATCAACAAGGGAGTGGTGAATGCACCGCCCCACGGCGCCCAGCACGTTGCAGCTGTGTAGGACCCTGTCCCGTGATGCATCACCGTTCTGCCACAAATTAGGCTTTGGTACAACTTGCCTTGATATAGTAAATATCGAGATTCCTAAGCATCGGAATACATACATGTAAGGAGACAGGAAAGCAGGAAAACAGGAATTGATTGGCTATCACCGCTGATACAGGTCAGGTAAATAGAAGTAAACTACTTCTACCGACCTCGATGGCTCATTGTGAGAAGTAATGACAGTCATAGCAACATGAAGGGTAGTTTGGAGATATACGGACCGGTGAATATTACTATTTACTCGGTACAATAAAACCAGCTGAGCCAACAGATTCCAAAATAACGCTGAACCCACCGATATATACTTGGGCGCCACTATCGAATACTTTCTCTGCGACCTCTTCAGCTATACCAACCTGTGCCAAGAAAAGGACCTTTTCTTCGTAGTCCAAATTCGTTGCCAAAACTAATGTCTTGTTTCCTACCGTCCACAAACCTACGTCGATCGAGTCGGAAGTCGTCACTTGCTGGAAATTTACGTTGGGATCAAGAATGAATGAAGTAATGGTCGGAATGGAAAGTGCTAGAGCTGAGGCGGAGGCTTTGATATCGGCAGATGTGGGGTCATCCCATGATACGACGCCTGTTACGAACACCAGGTCAACGTATTTTTATACAACTGTCAGGAACGGATGATTACCCAGAGCTCCATGGTTGATCCCAACGATACTCTGAACAATAAACTCCTTCCCAGTAGGGAATCTCTTCCAGTAGCTATAGAAAAGAGCATTCTAAGTTCTTGTTAGATGAGCGGGGGAATATGAACATACGACTCATTCCCAAATGCTTGCGGGACCGCCCAGACCACCTTATTTAGCTCCCAGCCATTGACAAATATCCTCTCCCGAAACTCATCTTCTCTCGTCGATATGTCCTTAAAAGAGCCTTTGCAATTATCACATCCACAATCCCCATAGTCACGCGTGCACACGGTGCCCCATTCGCTCGAAAATGTGACGTTATTCCCGATCATGTATGTATCCTGCATGACGATATCTGCCCCGCTCGCGTAAGCTGTAAACTCGTAATTCTCGCAGTTCAATACGAGGGATACAGGGTGGTAGCCTGACCCTCCTTGTCCATCTCCGCCGTCGAGCGAGGTGATGAGGTTTGAAGCGAGAAGGGTTGCGTTGAGGGGGTCGGAGGTGCCATCTGGTTCGTCGGCGGTGTACCATAAAAGAAGATTGGAGCGTGACTTGATACGGTTGATTTGCTCCGTCACGGATGCACTGTTCATGTACGTTCTGGAGAGTAATGAGAGAACTTTAAGAGGAACTACGGAGTGATTCTTACGCTCGCATGTCGTACATGAGATAGATGCCTACTCGCTCCATTTCATCTAATACTTCATCGAGTGCCGTCAGGTTTGAAAATGTCGGCACCGGATGAATCTATAGCATCGGGTATGTACAGCGGTAACAATAGAAGAATCAAATCCGTACAATGTTGAATCTGTCAAAATATTAGGACAAGCAGTACACACTATAATGAACACCAACCCTTGCTCCTTCAGCGTTCCAATGGCCGACAAGTTGACAGCCAGGAATGAGTCAAACTGGGTGTAGAAACCAATAGGAAAGACCCTTTCGTACGCCCCGTCTTGGTGCGCTGGTCGGGCAAGTAGACCGCCGGTGCGCGTGTCCATCTTGGTAACAGAACCAATGTCATCTGGAGGCGCAGGTAGATAGCTCAGCAACGCTGTTGTCGCGAATTGCTCCCCGACTTCTGTCTCTGCAGTACAGGATATGTTGTACACCTCAGTTCTTGGAGTCAAGGCAGACAGGGATAATGGAAGAGCGTGTTTCGCCGCATTGAAGGGAACTCTTCCACTAGCCAGGGTCTTCCCTTCAGCAGACACAGTAACTTTCAGAGTAGCACCGAGAGTGCTAGTGATGGGTGACGCGCCGACAATAAGGGAGTACGTAATGGGTGTATCGACGAGGATGGATACGGCGGTTGGGTCGTCAACAATACCGTCTTGGTCTTCTGGCAAGTACGGTCGAAGAGCAGGCCCACATCGTAGAGCAAACAGGGGTGTGGAGAACCTCTCAGGTACTGGAAATTCACCGCCTATTATACAAGATCAAGGTCTATCGCTGATTCATCGCGATCTACTGACCTGGAGGCACGATGGGCTCGGTGCTCATGTAGTTCTTGTTGCACCTATAGCTATATCAAACCCGATGCATGCTGTGAAGAAATTCCAGCCTACCATGTCTGCGCTGACACCAATGACAGCAGAGATATGAGCCCGACCAGGGACATCATCGTGGTTTGATCGAGAAAGAGCTCAGCGAGCCATATGCTTTTTTATGTCGGCGTTAGAAGCAAGCTGAGGTCGCGTGTTCAGAGGAGGTATATTTGTCAAAATCGTCGCACATGGACGCGCGAGATAGACTTTCCTGGGTATAAACGTGCCGAGGGTTCTGATGCGGAATGATGGTCATCAGGTATTGGAGAATGAGGCTGAAGAAAGGGAGGTACTAAGGAGAATCATCGAGTCAGAAGGATTTATCTTGCTGAAACAAACTCAGAACGCACTGGCACATTACAAATCCTCCTGCGATACGCCGTTCTATCTGGGATATGAATACAAGAGCCCGACGTTCGTTCTAACAATGGTTCAAGGTTAAGACCAACGACGACCTTGTTCTGATATCGTAGTTGAATGTTTCTGTGTTTCAGTAGGAAACCGCTGGTACTTTACCTGCAAAGGAAACGATAAACATACAACTTACGAACCAGGAGAATGCTTGTACAACCAATAGTGTCGAAAGGACCAAGGAGCTGGTCGGCCAACCGCCAGCCCGCATTTAGCATTAGTGTGACTCAAGGGTTAGAGAAAACAGGACTCGGCAAATATAGTCTGTCAATCTTTCCAAGGTGCAGTGTTCGGCGATGTCCACTGCATGGCAGAATAATAGAATGATCCAGAGTATTAAACTTGAATTTATATTCGATGAATACAGATGATCCCTTCTAAAGTCAGAGCCCCAGTTCATCGGCGTATGGTAGGCTGGCAATGTCACCAACAGCAACAAAAGTCGGCTTAGCGCTGACGAGCGACGAAGCAGCCTATGAGAACGTGTGAGGACATCACTACACGCATAAGGAGTAAGACAAGCCTTGGAAACAGAAGCAGCCGTGACGCCGGCAAACGGTTCAAGCACGGCATTGACGGAAGCATCAGAGCCAGAAAGGACCTATGAATGTTTTGTTACTTGGAGTGAAAAAAGATGTGGGAGAGTGCAGCGTACCTTTGAACCTAAAACGTTGACAAAGCCATCCCGACCTTCAATAACAGAAGCGGCGGCGAATTTTGCCTTTGCAGCAGCTTTAGCAGCATCATCCTTCGAGAGACCATTAGCAGCAGCCTTGAGGGCCTGGACCGCGGCCTTGCCAGCTTCCTTCACACTTGCACCGCTTGAGCCTTGAACGAGGAGACCGAAGAGACTGGCGTCAGAGTAAGGAAGGTATACCGACTGCACACTGGTGCCAGAGGGTATAGCAGAGGCGATAGGGGAAAGCCCTTGGGACCATTTGATAGATGGGGTCGGGGAAAGGTATGCGGACAAGGCAGCAAGATCGGGGCTGGGGGCCCCAGTGGTACCAAATCCGATGAAGACGGTTTCTGGACCGCCATGGGCTTGCAAACGCGTCTCACCACCAAAGTAAGAGGAGGCAGAGGTCGAGGATGCAGCTCCCGCAGACTTTGCAGCGCCGCTGAAGCGCTGGACGAGCTCGGACAAGGTACCTTGGTCAATGCCTGTGCCGAGAACAGCAATGTTCTCCTTGGTAAAGGCACTCTTAGCAAATGCAGACACGTCCTCTACCGTGAGCGGGCTGTGGGGAGTTGCAAAGAGGGACGAACCGAGGCCGTTGCGGAAGGCGAGAGCGTGGGCGAGCTCGATGGCATAGACGGCGGGGTCTGATGAAGCTTGGGCGCTCTCTGCCTCGACGACGGGCGTCACGTACTCTTGGAATTCATGGCGGGTGAATTTCGCAGACTGAATGTATTCAGCCAGGAGCTGGACGAAGAATTCTCTATTTCTTCCCTTCAGCAACAGCAGACGATGACGACGAACTCATTGGATACTCACTCATCACCACGAAGAAACTCAGCCGTCAATGCTAGATGCTCCCGACCCAGCGACGCGGACAACACGCCACCATATAGTTCGCTCTGACGAATTGTTCCCAGCGCTGAGCGGAATGCAGAGCTCTGCTCAACGATGAGTACACAGAAAAACCAATAACGGTAAAGACTCGCCTTGAAGGAAAAGTTTTTGAGAGCATGGGCAGCGCCGGGCTTCGTCTCAAATCTGCTGCCTGCTTTTACGAGGAACGTGACGGACGACGTCGGCTGGTTTGCGTCGACGGCGGCGACCTTGTAGCTGGCGCTGTCGGCGACAGTGGCGAAGGAGCGCGCTATGCGAGGCACGCGTCGAGCAGCGAGCATTTGGAAAAAGATGGAGAGCAACGTTGACGGCGACGAGTAGCTTTTCGGGAAATCCGGATTCGACCGGCACAGAAAATTCGGTGCGCTGATTGGTTCGGCAATCTCCGGAAAAGGAACGCACCTCCGTCTCTTCTTTGGCAAGTCTTTCCCACAGTTACTTAACTTATCTTTGATATATATTATTTAAATAGTAATCCGAACGCAAGTTTCCAAACTTCAAATTATGATGAACGTAGTCAAAAAAAGTATCGTATCACACTATACAGGTCGTTGAGTATTCTATTTACACCTTCAAATTGCACATCTACAGCACGTGATTCGATTTATTCGTGGTCCGCACTGGTTACTTGCCCAGGTTCGACCGAATAACGTCTTGCAACGAGTATCCATCGTCCTGAGAGAAAAAAAATGAGAACATCAGAATATCGAATACGCGTTGGACAGACCTGATCCAAAGACCACGTAAAACATCCCGCCATCCCTGACTGATTCGCAAATTTGGCCTTGTCCGCAAGACTATAAGTATCGTCGTAAGAAACAACGGTAGTCTTTGCCGTGCTGTACAAGAACTGGGGGAAAAAGTCAGCAGGGATTAAATAAAAAAAAACAGAAAGTCGGGTGCTTACTGGAGTATCACTGCAGTCATCCCATCCTACCGAGTATCAATCAGACATTCATAATTGAAAAAAAAAGGTGCAATACCCATAGTGAATCCGTTGGCACCGCCGTACGTTCCGTTCGACTGTTTCTTTCAATGCACCAGCACTGACCAGCTGCTTAAACGCCACCTGGGATCCCCACCATTGGCTGAGATCACCAGCCACAGCGTCAGCACGCTCGACAAGCGGCGCATGCTCATGTGGGTCTGCCGCAGGGGCGTAGCTATTCGAGAGTCTTGTAGCTGTACTCTTTGAGACGTATCCATAAAGAGCCAATCCCAGTAGCATCTTTGACGCCGGAAAGCCAGCTTTCTTCCATTGCGAAAGAGCAGCCTGGGCGTTAGCCTCCGGCTGGCTAGAGCTACCACAGGGGTTCCCTGCATACAGTTAACATCTTCGCATCTGTGTGTAAGGAAGAGACGTACCGAGGGGTGCATTGGGTCCAGGGTTAGCCGATGCTCCATTAACATCGTAGTTCATGATGTTGATATATGACATCTGAGCTGCGTAGTCTGATACGTTAGACAAAGGAGCGCCACTGGGGCCAAGCCAAGGATGGTGAGCGACAGCGGCACTGATGATTTTCGACCAGCCTGAACAGTCGTTAGCAGACGATCATATCTGAATGAAGACAAAGCTTACCCAAGGCTGCACGTAAAGACTTGAGGAACGACAGAAAATTTGCCGCATCCGCCCAAGAATACGGATTGCCGGAGCCTGGAGAATTCGGATACTCCTGTACTCGGCGTTGAGAAGTCAGAAGCTCGGGACAAATCGAATAATGTTACCCAGTCGATATCAATGCCTGGTCTCTAAGTCAGAAAAGGTACACAAGAATGCAACGAAAACCGTCCTACCGTCTAACCCGAAGGAATTTACGGCACCCACCAAAGCGTTGATAAGCTTTGTACGATTGGTCGCATTGCTCATGGAATTTGAGAACCAGTAACTGCCGCCCCAGCCACCTATGGACAAGACAATCTTAGTCCCACGTCCGCTTTGGCGAGCAGCAGATACAAGGGTTCGGAGTGTGTCCTGGCTACCATCATCCCAGTTGATAATCGAGGATGAATTTGGAACGACGAATGCTGCAGCTCGTTGTAAGATGACCCGATGGTCTGCAGTAAGAGAATTTCATACCAAAGAATAGTATATCGAACTTGGAAAAGTCGATCTGGCTAGGCGGGTTGCTCCAAGTAGACCAATCTGGGTAGTAAGCAGCTGCAATAGGACTGGCGAGCCTCGAAACTGGTGCTTTGATGGTAAGATTGGCCTTGCATATCATCGAAGGAGTGATTTCGTCGTCAAATCCCTGGACGTCGGTGATGTGGTTGGGGTTGAGAAAGGCGAGTAGCTTGGATGACACCTGGTATCGAGAAGAACGAAGGAGAGAGTTCAAATACGCCAATAATCCATCCTTGCGTTGGGCGATGAGCTCGTCGTCGACCCAGGCTGACGGAATGATGGCGTTAAACACGCTGTTCTTGGGAGGCAAAGAGTACGGATCGCCCAGAGCGTCGTGCAAGGCAACAAACTAGAGTAACGACAACGTTGAGCACTGCTCAACATGTCGTAAAGAGCCGCTACGCACCTCTGAATACCTCCTGAGCACCTCGTACTTAGTTCCATCGTCCAGGCCTACCTCGACGGCGTACAAAATGTGCAGGTCGGGAGTAGAAGACGTGGTATGCTTGTCGATGAAGACGCTAGCGATGGAAGACATAGTGGGCGGTTAGGAAGAAAGAGAGAATGAGAACCAGTGCCTTTTAAACGTTCTAGGAAGTGTCTAAATTAGGCACCGATATGTCACTAAAGACGTCAGATACTTCGATCGTCACGGCGTTCAAACTGACAGCAAATGAATCATGAAGATCGTTAGTAGAGGTGCAAGGGATCCGAAGAGATGGTAGTCCCCAGGTTATCGAGGCGCTCATGGTAATTTTATGTATCGAAAAAGGGCATGCGAATTGCTTTTTCCGAGGAATTGATTGGGTGAAAGGACTGAGACAGTACACTTATTCATACAAAGAACCCAGGAATAATAGTACACACACCTGAATCATGGTGTGGTGACTGCCGCTCCCTACGCATTGATTGTGCCATCCATAAAGGAGAATCTATAGTGGCGAACGTGTTTGAATTATTAGGTAGATAGGGTGATGTCCACACACTGAAGGAAAGGAGGGGCCAGAGAAGAGAAATGCCGCTTTCTGTCATGGTTAGATGTTTGACCTCAAAGAAAACAGCAACAAAGTGTATATATGCGTGCAACTCAGAAATAAGCACCAATACATACCGGATTTCTGGAGAGCATCGACAGCATAAAAACATTTCCAATATGAGAGATCTGCCGAACGCATTGGCTAGATCGGAGGTCATATATGAATACCCAGCTCTGCGGAAACCTGGCGCAGTGGTCGCGCGACGGATTTGTGTTCAGTCCAACATCAAACCTACGTCATTCAATAACGTATTTAGCAGAGTTTCTTGTCGAAGAACTTCCACTCACCGACGTACCCGACTCAGGACGTTCTGCTCAGTTCAATTCTAGGTCGAAGATAATAAGAAAACAGCGCAGAAGGAACGACCTGTTGCTGAGCAGCAAACGACGTCTAGACAGCAGACCGCGGTAATGCAAAGGGTCAGCCACAGTTCATAGCATATATCCAGCGCGGTACTAGCGCAGACCAGACGGTATCTGGTATTGGGAAAGGGCGACGATAGGAAGGCGCATTGAATACACCGCTAAGCCAACCAACAACATCCAGTTCATGAGAGAATCTTGATATTTGTGTACCCAAGGACATGAAGCAAAAGTAAGCAACTGCTTTGAATTCTGGCATTCAAGAAAAAGACTGTTGAAACAAACAGTTAGATCGCCCTGCCAGGAGAAGATAGACAGAAACGCACTTCCAATGCGCAATATTTAGAGACTCGAAGCCACCGAACAAGTCACATTCCCCGTTATCTTCATCGTGCGGTGCAAGTCGACGAGTACTTGACCGTGATCACAGCCATTGCCAGCTATTTCATGCGTATATATGCGGAATAAAATGACAGGAAAGCAAATTTATTGAATCTCTGCATGCAAAAATTTACTGCGAGGATTGACGGGACAAGTCCTAAAAAACGGAAATGAAAACGTACCTCTAGATTGTGATATTTAGCGATAGAGGGTGGTTAAATAAGTCTTGCCGTGGTCGTTATCCAGGAGGCTGTATTTGAAATAAATTCAAGATAAATTATTATTATTATTACCTTGCTTGCAAGGTCTCTGCTGTGCATAACGATGTGATGACTAAGAGGCGGCAATCATGTGATGCCCGTATTTCCTTATCTTCCGATTATTACACTGGCGACCAACCACGACCAACAGGACCCAGCGGCCAACGACTTGAACCAGTATACCTGTACTACTACATATCCGAATACAATTCTGACCTCTAGGACACTTTACGCCACGAGATTCAAGGAAGTGCATGATAAACGCTTGAAAAAAAGGTGGCCCATCTCCCAATGGAATCCTTGATCTTTGCTTCGCAGCGGCTTGCAAACACCGTGGCTCTACCACCCATTATATGGCGAGATCAGCGAATACTTTACTGCTTGTATCTCAATTAGACACAAACAAGCTGTTGAAGTTGTTCTAATACTTCCATGCCACGCTACGACGCTGGAAATCGAATCGGCCTTGACATTGAATACAGGAATGTTTCCACATTCCACATCCACATCAATGGAAAGTAGAAGATGGATGACAACGCAAAAGCAAGGTATTGATGTCGTCGACCGAGGACCGCTAGTTATTATTATTGTATAAGAATTCAAATTTCGGTCATATGACCAAAACGCGGTTCATGAATGTCTGCCACCAACATTGACAGCAACGACGACACGACTCCCATTCTTCTTGGATATCTCTCACGATGTCGACGACGACAGTGAAACGTAAAGCGAAATCCATACCTTCTACCAGCAAACGATCAGCGAAGAAACCACGCCATACCCTAGATTCCTTTTTTTCTCCACAGGTTCGCCGTTTGCAGTGACGATCCTGACGGCCAGGCCACCACCAAACATGTATCATTAAGTGCTGAACAGACAAAGGTTCTCAGAATGGTCGTGAATGACGAGCAGAACGTCTTTTTTACTGGTGCTGCAGGTGCGTCTCCTATGTTAGATCGATTACATTGCGTTAACGAATTGTAGGCACAGGGAAATCTCTACTGCTCAGGGCTATTATAAACGCGCTACGTGCAAAGTACGCGAAGGATCCGGATGCTGTGGCCGTCACGGCTAGCACCGGAATGGCGGCATCCAATATAGGCGGTGCGTTGCCTGTCGTCGGACCAGTGCCTGGCCCATCGTTAAGTCGTCTCTCCCAGGGCAAACTCTTCACGCTTGGGGCGCTGTGGCACCCACGGTGGATGACCTCGACAATCTCATCAAATGCATAAGGACCTGCAGACCCGCTCTGCAACGGTGGAAAAAGGCCAAAGTGCTTATCATTGACGAAAGTGCGTCTGTGTCTTCTCTAATATCGTTCGTGAACTCATGGACGGAAGTCTCTATGGTGGATGGATTTCTCTTCAATCGGATCTGCGAAATTGCCAAAAGACTGAGGAGGAAAACGACCAAGCCATTTGGTGGTTTACAACTGGTTGTCACTGGCGACTTCTTCCAGCTGCCTCCTGTCACGAAGAATGGTCATGAACCAATTTTTGCCTTCGAGTCTGCTGCTTGGAATGAAACACTGCATCACACCATCAACCTCGTCCAAGTCTTCAGGCAGACAGATCAAGGTATGTTTGCATCAATAAATCGAAGGTCGGCTCTTAACAACTTTCTGTATCAGCATTTGTCGAGGCTCTGAACTCCTTGCGCCACGGGGAACCGTCACTTGAAGCTGTCGAACTTTTCCGGTCTTTATCCCGGCCACTGGAGCCCGTCGCACTACCTCCGCCACCAGCCTCCCAGCAGCCATACCCATCTCCCCCGCCATCCGTGACATCAACCCCTACACCATTTCTTTCTAAGCGACAGAACAATGTCATATTCCCTACAGAACTCTTTCCTCATCGCTACGCTGTTGCAAACGCGAACCGAGAACGGTTAGACGCCATTAAGGCTCAACCATTCACATATAATGCCACAGATACTGGAAGCAAGCCCTCGCTACTCGAGTCACTGCTTGCAGAGCAAACTGTGGAGCTGAAGCTCGGTGCTCAAGTTATGCTCATCAAGAACGTCGACGAGGTGCTCGTGAATGGTTTGGTTGGCAAAGTTATCGGTTTCTACCGGTCATGGGAGTTGATCAGTTTCCCTCCCGACCCTCCTCAACGTAAACCCTTGTCGACTGCTTCCGCTAATGCATCCAGGCGACGCTCCCTTCCCCCAGGTCCGGCACCTGTCCCAGATATTAAGAAGAACGGCTCATTGGTGCGACTATGTCTTCCTCAATGCGGATGGACGGTCTCCTGTTCGCCCGAAGACCGACGAAAATGAAGATTCTGCCAAGAAGGAGAATGAGGATCCCAAGAATGAGAAAACCGCCAAGGAGAGTGTCAGCACTGCAAAGAAAAGCAAGAACGGAAAGACTGGACGAAACGATGAGCGCTATCCGTTAGTTCTATTCGAGTATAGCACCCCGGGAGCAATGGGGGAGACGCAGACAGAGGCTGTCCTTATAACTCGAGATGAGTTTCGTGTGGAGGACGCTGAAGGAAAGGTCCTTGCCCGGAGAGTTCAAATGTGAGTAATGCTTGGCACTTCGCATTCACGGTATATTGACGTAGAACCTTATAGACCTTTGATTTTAGCGTGGGCTATGTCTATACATAAGAGTCAAGGCCAGACGATCCACCGTGTCAAGGTCGACCTTGGCAAGGTATTTGAAAGAGGTCGGTTTATGGTCCTCTGAGGTGTTCTGCCATACTTAACACGCTTGCTTGCAGGCCAGAGCTACGTGGCGCTCTCCCGCGCGTCATCTGTTGAGGGGTTACAAGTCCTTGGGTTCGATCCGAAGAAGGTGCGTTAGCTTCCTTCTCGTTTACACAGCGGAGATATCGTCCGGTTTATGCATCGCCACTATCAAAACTAAATGGAGCCGCCTGGGCGGGAATACTGCATTGAGTAACATCCCGCCCTGGAAGGACATTATATTGGTTCGATATCAGTCTGACGCGCACACTGTTCGCTTCTACCCTCGTTTCCGGTTTGCTGTGAACTATGATACTAACACATTGCATTCCAGGTCATGGCACATCAGAAGGTTGTCGAATGGAGCAAGACGTTAGAGGTGGCAGATGCGTCTGAAGATGGCGATTGGCCGTGGGGAACATAAGGACAGCAGTATGCACTGACGACTACTCTATTAGCAGGCTTCAAGTGCTATCTCTTGTGCGACTAGCACCGCGAGCTAACGGTGCGTATCTCATCAATTAATTAATTAATTATATATTTTGTTATTTATGTAGGAAACTTTCCTCTCTTCTCCAAACTCTCAACTCAGACCACATCACGGACTGGAGCTCCAGATTTTTAAGCTCTTGCTGTCAAGATGGCACTTTCAGCCCTCTGCACTGGAGCACTTGTCCTTTGACGCTGTATAAAGCACATGATCTGATCATTTTAATTGTCTATGCGTTCACAGTAACCGGTACCGAAGGCTAATGCTTTCTCCTTGCCAACGCTTTGTTGCCGCGATGACCTCTGCGGCACTAATTCATTTCCGTTCCACAGTCGATCAGCTGGAATCAAGCTTCTCCCGTGGGATGCTTAGCTCGCCACCTGTTGCAATTGAGATCTTCAACATTGCATGGGTGGCCCAGATTCTGCTGCGTATACTTGGCTTAATCTATCACATGCTTTTTCGCATGTGAGAATGCATGAGGTGGGATTCTTCTTTATACCCTTTTCCGTCCTTCTCTGATCTTCTCTACTTATCATGTAGTACTACCGGTCGGTTTGACACCGTCCTAAACGATAAGTGATAGTTTCGTAAAGCCGCCGTTTCTATGAGGCCGTGAGGCGTATAATGTAGTCGGAGACGAACGAAATAGTCGATACACCACGTTGAAGTCTTTTCACGAGGACCGGAAGCTCGTGGAGTATATATATCCACTATCTGGTGCATCCATTTATTTCAGTATCAACCGACCTTATGGCTCCTTCAGTCACTGTAAACAAGCACACGACTGCCTCTATTCCGAGGCCACATATTCTTTATACTATCGAAGTCACTCGGAATGGTGCTCACACTGTTGTGGATCGGAGGTACAGCGAGGTACGTATCATACTTTCTAAATCACCACCATAGAAGACTACGTGCTAACTATGCCGATAGTTTGTCGCGCTCAATGACACGCTTCAAGTGACTAAATACGCGCTCCCTCCCAAACGCATACTGGCAACGACCTTCATTCCCTCTGCGTGGCTTGACGATGAACTCATTAAGGAACGAAAGACGGGATTGAAAGAATATCTGACCAATTTAGTGAGGGACCCTCAATATAGCAGTAATCCGGTCCTGCGGGAATTCATTTTGCCCTCTAAACCCTCTCCACCTCGTCGACTCCAAGACGACCTGCTCCACCTCGAAGACGCCGTGCCCTCAACATTGTCCCGGAAAGCGGCTTTGAGTTTGGTCAAAGGTGGAGTCAAGGCACAGTCCACTCCAATTGCTGCGGCCTACTATCCAGGTGTGTACGGCGTAATTATATTCTTTCCATCCCGGTTCACCCGACATCCATCAGATTGGAGTGCCGGTAGCTTCCCACCGGAAAAATTAGATTATTCTAAATTCGACATTCTTTTCTTCGGTAGGTATTACTCGCACATGACCGTCTGTTAGCAGAGAAGCTGATGCGCGCGGACCGCCAGCTTTCGCTACGCCTAATTCGTCTTCGGGCTTGACCTGGGACTCTGGCAGTCAATCCATTCTTCAGAGGCTTGTCACTAGTGCTCGAAACAGCGGTAAGGGAACGAAAATTGTTCTGTCAGTTGGTATGTCGCAGCATTTTGATATATTCAGTATACTGAAACTTAACGATATGCTCAGGTGGATGGGGTGGTAGTTACTGGTTCTCGCAAGCCGTCAGCAGCTCGGCCAATAGATCTACGTTCACTAACGCTCTATCTTCCGCGGTGAATACGTATGGTCTTGATGGTATGCTTTTTCCTTCGTCATTGAATCGTAACTAAAATATCACAATTTTAGGTATCGATATTGATTGGGTGCGATTCGGCTTGTCATAAATTGGGTGTCATCACTTACGAGACGCCGATAGGAATACCCCAATTCTACAGGTGCTGGCAATCCTCACTCCTCGTCGGATGCGGCAAATCTCTTAAGCTTGGTACAGTCGCTCCGTTCTGCTCTTGGTTCGTTGCGCTGGGTTTGTGGTCATGGAATGTCGCCTGACCAAGCTCAATTCTAGGGACTAGCAAGATCATCTCTGCTGCTGTGCCCCACCTCCCATGGTTAGGCTCCAATGGTAGCCCCCTCACAAACGTCTCGGCTTATGCCAAAGTGATGACATACGTCAATATCATGTACGGAGACGACTCGGCTTTAAGAACAACTACTGACACGCTAGGTATACTTAGGAACTATGATGTCTGGGGAGCATCATCGACACCTGGACCTAATGCCCCACTCGGTACGATACCAACTTCATGAAACTATACCTTTACCAATGAGGTTTGCTTCTAGGGGATCTCTGTGGCACATCCTCGCAACCTAAAGCAAACGCTCAAGCCGCTCTGTCACAATGGACTTCAGCCGGGTTCCCCGCATCGCAGCTCCTTCTCGGTCTCCCACTGTATGGCTACGTATCTCAAAGTTCTGTCACGCGTCTTTCGGGAAGCCTTATGCCATCGTCTGAGATGGTCCTCATCCAAGGAAACGATGAGCCCGTCGACGACCAGGCTCGGGTGCACAAGATGAACTTCCTCAACGGTGCCCACGCCCGGCCAAAGACTCAAGAAGTCAAAGCGACGGCATCGCTCCAGAGTTGGTGGGGTCAGCAGATACCTTTCAGTTCTATTGTGTCGTCCGGTGCCCTGGTGAAGAATGCAGACGGAACTTACTCGGGAAGTGGCGGATTTACTTTCAGTACGTCTTATTCTTCTAGATTGAGTTAGCTTCTGATCATGCTTTGCAGACTGGGACGACTGCAGTGACACGCCGGTAGGTACACCACAAGCGTTAATAGAACTTGCTGACGCTTTCCTTAGTACTTGTATAACACCTCTCAGACGACCGTAGTAACCTATGATGGTGAGTGACGTTACCTTTTCACTATCAAATGTCTCATCCGGAGCCAACAGACACCTGGTCCTTGGCGGACAAAGCGACATTCGCGAAGAATAATGGAATGGCCGGTTGCTTCACTTGGTCCCTTGATCAGGTAAGCTATTTTATTTTTTAGCAAGTTGCGGTGCTTACCGAGCTCCAGGACGATGGTGTTTCCCTAATGAATGTCATCCGATCTAGTTTGGGGAAGTAGATCGCAGTTCCCATGGGCAGGTAACGGAATGAAATGAACTTCACGACGTCACGAAATCATTCCTCGTAGTGCGACCGATTCTTCTTATAATACATTGGCAGTCTTTATCTTCTGCAGCGATGATCTATCTTAGGAACGCACTCCTTCTATATAGGAATCAAGTCATGCCGCAGCAACCTTTTTCTCTATAGGCAAGCACCTTCTGGGCAATGCCACCATGCTGCAGTCCATCCATATTTATCAAAGCTAGAAGTAGCAAACGATACGATGCCATCTCCCTCGTTGACGAATCGGCAGCCTGACGGATCCTTCATTCCATTACATTCCTCAATCATCCTTGCAAATTTTGTCGTTCATTCAAAATTCCTCTTCAGGTATCAAACGGAGGCAATGCTATCGTGCTTCTGATTCACGTTTCAGTGCTTTCCTACGAGCGACACCTTATCGTTGATTCTTACCGATTTCCGCAGATTTTTTTTACCGCCACCGCCATCCCCGCAACGGTATTAGTTTCTTTAATATGGTTCGTGGAGTATACAGGAAGTTATCGACGGCCGTATGCTCGTGTAGCTCTACTTTTGACATTGACAGTCACCAAAGATACTTAAAAGGAGGGTCTGGACACTACTTTGCGTGCTGTAGCCAAAATGGTGCGTGCTAGCATGCATGAAACAGATGCTAAAGCATCTTGTATTGAGCGATTCACTCTCGATTTCAGCACAGCTAAGGTTGTATCTCTCCGACAAGGCTTACAGTGTCAAGATATGAATCTGATTGATCTCCTTCCTGCGGTGTTATGCGGCACCCGTCCACCGTCCTTTTTCTGATTCTTCTATTGTGTATCTATTGCTGACTTAGAATCGAAGATGTTTAGTACTCCGTCAAGGTACCGCTGTCGTATCCAGTTGCATTGTAATATAAGGTTATTTGAAAGGTTGAGGCGAGCTTTTGCCTGGACGTTTCCACCTTCTAATAGTTGTTGCGACCAGTTTTCAACCGGTGTTAATTTTGTCCAGCGGCATGTGGAATCCGATACTGTGCATCAGAGGGACCTGTTGCGTCATACTAGCTCATCTTCAGTGTCGGTAACACGGCTTAAGTGGGTACCTCCCTGTTTCGTCTCTTCTATCATTTGTTTGTACATCATATGCTCGGTTCTTATCTTAGGTTCAGCGCTTTCTAGCGTTCCTGTAAAGCGAGATCGGCACCAACGTACGTGTCAGATCTCAATTCTTTCAACATTCGAAGAGCGAATGGCGCAATCTTGAAATAGGAAAGCATCATCTAAGTATATTCGACTAGGTCCGGAACCACGTACGGTTACTTAAGAGTATCAATTGTCATATGCATTGGCACTGCGCTCTTCCCCCCCAGTGCTCTTACCATGAGCAAGCAAGACCAGGACGATTCAAAGAAGTCCATTTCTCTCGCGGATGATACCAACTTAAGAGGTCCTGACGTTCCCGCCCAATCCCTCGACTATTATGCGGCCGCTGCCTCCAGCAATCCTTACTATTTGCCACAATTGTCTTGGACAGACCATGAAGAATCAAAGATAGTTAGGACCCTGGACACACGCTTGTTTCCCTGGATCCTTCTCACCACCTTTGTTCTCAATATGGACCGTACCAATCATTCCAATGCCGTTTCAGATAACTTGGCAGCGGATTTGGGCTTCACAAATAACACTGTCAACTTGGGAATAGCGATATATTCTGTGATATTCTCCTTCGCCTGTCTTAGTGGTGCTGTCATATCGAAGATTGTTGGACCTGCTCGATGTATGTTATATGTTCTTAGCTTCTTAACGTTTCTAACTTTTGCTTCGATGATAGGGATTCCGGTCCTGATGTTCGCCTGGGGTCTCGTCACCATGGCACATGCCCTGATTACCGATAGAGGCGGTTATCTTACAGGTAGGCTGACAGTTCTATTTTCCCTTTGCTATGACCGACACCTCTGTGCTTTGCGCAGTTAGATGCAGTGAGTCGATCGATGTCCATAACTTGAACGTTGTCTGACTGGTAGGGATGTTAGTGATCGCATTAACCGAAGGCGGCGTCATTCCCGCAACATTGGTCTACTTGGGTTCCTTCTACAAAGGCACCGAGCTAGCTACTCGCTTGGCGTGGTTCTGGGGTATTCAGACCATCGCAAGTGCAGTTAGCGGGCTGATGGCTAGTGGGCTTCTTCAGCTTCGAGGAGTCGGAGGTCTGGAAGGCTGGAAGTGGCTATTCTTGATCGACGGTATTATCACGGTAGTTGTTGCTGTCGCGACATGGCGAGTCTCTCGTGCTTATATTGTTCTCGACAGGAATTTCATATATGATCTCTAGGTTTTATCTCCCGAGGAACATTACTCAGACCGTTGGTGGCCTTCGAGGATGGAAACCTTGGTTCGACGAAAAGGAACTTTGCATTGGTGTCACGCGAGTTGTTCGAGACGACATTTCGAAGCGTGTCTATGAGTTAGGTTTACGTTCCTGTTCACGAACCTTGACTGATGTCAATATCCAGGCAAAAGGTCAAGTGGTCCGACGTGAAAGACGCCGCCACAGATCTTGGTTTGTGGGGACATCTGCTCATCACGGTCATAGGAATGACTCCAACAACACCGCTTGCAACTTGTACTGCAATCACTTTGCATCCTTAGCCTCTTTGACCCCCAAATTTCTAGATCTCCCGACCTGTTATCAAGTCTTTCCATTTTAACGTCTTCGTTGCAAACGCTTTAACTGCACCCCCATACGTACTTCAATGCATAATGATGGTTAGCTTCATCTGGCACTCCGACAGAGTCAGAGAACGTGGATTGCATGGTGCATTTGGTGGTCAGTCTCATTGATCGTAAAACTGCAGCACACTGAAGTTCTGGGTTTTTATTATTTAAAGCGGCTTGGCAGCTTGTGGGATGGATCTTACTTCGAGCATTGCCTTCAGGAACTAGCAGAGGTGTCAAGTACGTGGTTTCTTTCATTATAATGGATTTCACCTGGTAATTATGGAACAGATATTTTGCGGCCGTTGTAGTCGCTGCTTGGCCTTATACACATCCGCTAAATATTGCTTGGATGTCAGAAAATACGGGGTATTATACATTTAATGATACGGAAACATGACACCTGATCTCTTGATTTCTGTAGGAGTGTCGGAAAGAGAACCCTTGCATCAGGCTGCGTCATATTTGCTGCGAACATCTATGGAGGTGCGTCTTCTTCTGCTGAACGAGAACAAGGCTTATGATGACTGTTGATAGTGTGGGGATCACAGGTATGTTCGATGAAACGAGTATTTATACCGAGTCCTCATCTGCATTTAAGATATACCAGAGCGATGATTCACCAGGTACGCGCTTGTCTGTTGTTTCGTAATGACAAAGTGTAACTCCTCTTCCAAGATTATAAACGGGGGAATACAATCAACATTTGCTTCGCAGGTGTTGCATTAATCCTATGGTTCATACAGAAATACTACTACCGTTATCGAAACGCACGGAATGCAACCCTCTATGCTGAACTGAGTGAGCACGAGAAAGTAGAAGAAAACGATGGAGCGGAGGAGAGGGGAAACCGAGGCCTCACCTTTAGATTTACTACATAGACACTCGTAATTATTCAGCTTGATACAGGCGTAGCCCATCGGGACTCCGGGCGTAAGCCCCAATTCACCAACCAATCTATGAACTTCCCGGCAATCTTCTCATGACCAGGAACGTTTGGATGAAGGTTGCTGTGGCGTCAGTCAGTGAAGTACGACGAAGAGCCTAGTGAAAGCATACTCCGGGAACACGTCATTAAATGTAACCCAGCCTGTCGTATTGACGAGGAAAATATTTCTATCGTTGCTGCTCAAAATACGATGATGAGCTTAGCGAATAAAATCGTACTGGACAGTCGGATACCTCATGCTTACTATCTCCTCGTACTTTCCATCGTAATAATAACTGATTTCTGCCATCTGCGGCCGGCCAACCCCACTGAAACTGTGGTTAAATGATAGATCAGTTTGCTCAACGGTCTCGTACAGGTGTGAAGACGAAGATCGGTTGTCTGTCGTAAATCCGACGGAGGCGGTGTATAAAGTCGAGATATACCTAGGACGTGCATAAGCTTCTCGAGATCCGTTGGCATATCAGATACTCACCTGGACAAATTCATCTCCTGAAACCTGCTGAGAGGCGTCATTGGCTCTATATGAAATGCCTTAGAGGTATGACACGGTTTTAACGCGTAATTTACCCTATGTGAATTACTATGTGCGTAGGAGTTGGCTTGTCACGAGAGAAGTTCCATGGTGTCGTATAGTTGTGGTCGGTAGTATAATAGTATCCAGTGTCTTCCGTCTATAATAAGAGTCATGAGCGCCGGTCAATGATCGCTTTACTTGGTCAACTACCTTGAAGAACTGAAAGGAGATACCATGTACGTTGCCGTAAGATTCTATATCCTATAAGACTGGCGTCAGACAATTTACATCCACTGCGACCATGGAAATTTACCGTCAGGGCAACTCCTGGCTGAGCAATAACAGTATGTTCTGCCTTGAAGCGTTCTCCGACAAGAAATGGCCACGCCTGATTTATACCTTGAGGAAGATATTGTCCCTATAAATTCAAGTCTAAGTAAGTTGTAGTAGAGGAACACCTTAAACATCCTTACTGCAGACAGAGAGTCGCCTATGAATAAGAAAGCAAGCTCTGAGGGATCGTACGACAGCAGGTTCGCATCCTGTCGCATGCTTATCATCAGTTGCTATTCTCAAAAGCAATGCCACGTATGGCAACTCACTGAATTCAACACCAGGCTTTCAAGATTCATCCGATTATTCTGCCAACCCTCGACATTGATGCGGACGACGCTACTTCGAGACGGGGTTTCCACAGGGATATCATTTATTCCCGATGAGACATTTACTGCCGTGAAATTATTATAATCAACGGATACTGCAATGGATGCCGACGGAGACGTCGTGTGAGGTCCCAGATTCAGAGCTAGCGAGCGTAGATTTTGCACACGCAATTTGAATCCTGAACCAGCCCTGCATAATGCAATGAAGTCACGACACTGTTATATCAAGCTGGGCGCATAGTCACTTACCACCAGGTACCCGGCGAAGTATCCCAGCGTCCATGAAAGTAGATTTGAGAGTAGGTGCTCTCGACTTTCAAACCAGATGTGGACATGGCAGTTGTCGATAGAAACACGTAACCAAGAACTAGGGCCTTTATAAAAGACATAGAAGACGTTGAAAAACGAGTATGATTCCTCAGTATCGCCCTTATAAGTGCCAGAACTCAAGTCAGGTGCATGAGAAGTGTGTTCAAGTGCCCGATGATTTACCGAATGACACCACGGGCACTGAAAATTCTCCTTCTGGTGAGGGCCATCCGTATGTGATGTAGCTAATTCTAAACGCTCTCCGCTGTCCGAAGGGTCATCCCGATCTTCGGCTCTTCAAGACTCAGATTGATTACTTTGCACTAAACCGACTTTGAATATGAACAACCTGCAAAGCCGTAAGTCGAGCTCGAATCTGGTGAGTCTGAGCAAGGTTTTTCCTCGTCGCTGTCATGTAGAAAACCTTCTGAAGGAGCTGTTTGCAGCAACTTGACTCTGGTTGGGTAAACAAGAGATCGAGTTCTCGCAAGTCGCTCACAACGAAAATTGAAGTAGCACTAATGAAGTAGGCACTCTTCCAACTCCAATCCTAAGAGTGAACGATGGAGTCGACAGCAGACAGCAGACGGCAAGTGCCGGAAGACTGGATTGGCAACAGTACACCGGAGATTGACGGCCCGAATTTTTTGCGGGTTTTCATTGGTTTCCACCACAGGTCTACGCATGGTCTAACATATCTTTCCAAAAGGTCTTCATACCATATGATAACAAAATCGAACATCAATCGCAGTCAAGCCATTTGCTGTACTGGATGCCTACTTTCTCCATGGCTGTATCTGAACCATCTGATGTCGTCGATTCATTGTTGATATCAATGCTCGACCACTTATTGACTAGTTACCCCGTCAAATCCCACCAATTCATTTCGGTGCTTGTGAGGGGTCGAACCTGATAGGGGCACAGACCATCCAATTGGCATTTAGGAAACTGCCGTTGTACGCCAACAAATTTGTATGCGATTGGTTGGTGCTGTATCCGCCAGGTTAGAAATCTTATATAGAGTATATTAGCTTGGGAAATAGCTCACCCTTCTTGTGATGTCTAGCGAAACTGACAACAGCAAGTTCGCCGCCCTTTATAAAGGAAACTTGATCCCTTTACATGCCGTTCGTGAGTTCCTGTCCCCTTTTCCGGGCCTTCCAGGAGTCTTACTTTGGTAGTTGTTGGTCTGACTTGGATAGTACATGACTATTGTGAGCATTTCATTCCGAGTTCAAATTTTCCGTTCTGATGGGCTCGAAGTTGTGACGCTAGAAGATGAGGTACGTGGTTTCTTGGCTTCTAGACGATTTTGTTTAATTTCGGACCTCCAGATCCGTTATATCTGGGTGAGTGCGAGGTGAAGTTGTTAAGATGACACAGGTTTACTTTATGTTCAACAGCCACAGAAACGAAACATAGGAAAAATTATGTTCCTATGGGTGCGAAGGCTTTTCCTTCTTCATGAAAACTTAGCTTTACACCTTTCCAGGTTCGATATTACAGCATAGCACTACTTCTCTTCGACACTGTGCAGATTCACGTGTTCTCTATTCCTGGAATAACATCTGACAACCTGTAAGCCCATCTATTCCACGAATGTCTATGGTGTCCTTACCAAGGTTGAGCAGGTGCGTAGCGATGGACTCAATCATCCGGGTCGTTGGTGCTATAAGCCTGTGGTCCGTCGAGATTATCATGCAGCTACGTGTCTATGCCCTCTTCAAATGTTCAAAAAAAGTACTTCCCCCGATACTCCAGAATTCAATTGTTCACCCGCTTTGCCTTAGGTCGCCGTGATTAACGGCTTACTCTTTGCCGGTTCCATCGCTGGATTTTTGTGGATCTTGGTTCATAATGCCGTTAGACGGAGAGCTGTAATTGCCGACGCGATCCACCTACCCCTGCCGGGCTGTCCAGTCGTTCACTCCGGGATTGAATGGGCCCAATGGGTACCTGGTAAGCAGCTTATGTAACTGTGCAAGGGAATTAGGGGTCTAGCTAATTCTCTTTAAGCGACCGCATTTGAAGGCGTCCTTTTCGGGTTTGCGCTTTTCAAGACATTAGAGTCGACCGCAGGTAGGATTCAGAAGAAACGTAGTGTATCCCTCTATTCTCTTCTGCTTCGCGACAATATCTTGTACTTTTGGGCGTAAGTCCCACAGCTATCATTTCCTTCGCCTTCTAATCCAGTTTTTCAAACAGAATATCGTGCATCTTGGTATTCAACAATCTTATGGTTGTCGTGCGTCTTCTATCTCTCCGAGACGGCTAATAAGTGCCTGACGCGCTATATCAGGGTGTCACTAAGATACCATGGTTCAGTTACAGGTGCGCACTTGCCTGTTTTGAGTTTGGGTTTTATCCATAAGAGATCCATAGCCCTTTCCACGCTGCAGTAGGCGTTCTTACAACCCGCATGCTGCTGAATCTCCAAAAGGCCGCTTCTCTGGAAATAATTATCTCTAGCTCCGAGCGAAGCCATAGTAGCATTCCCGGGAGAAGCTCTCGCCGAAGTGATCTCACTTGGCGAGCAGCTAGCGTCCCCGCGGTCAGTTTCGGATCCACGCCCGGAGGTTCCTATTCGACCGAACATCCTTCGCTGAATACATTCCCAATGCGGGGTACCATCAATTTCGAGCGCCAGGGACAACAGTTTGATTTATGAGCGCTCTCCATATACCTATTTATTTTGATCTGTGAACCTATGTCCAATACAACGTAGAAGACATATCAAGAACTCTGGGAGAAATACCGCCGTTTGGGCGTACCGTACAGTGCTATGCCACGCCTCGCAAGCTATAGATCCATTTGCAGATAGATGGAACATTCATTGTCTGGACTCCTGTGATACCTGAAGATACCGTTCCGTGTAATGATGAGATAAGAAATCAACCCAGGATTATATATAGACAGTAGCCGTTTCAAGGAGTCTTTAAATAACAGGAAGGATCACTGATTCTTGCTACCAGGCACCACTGATACTTAATCGCTAATAATAACCAGTAGGAGTCGGACGTCCTTGAACAAAGGACATCATAGAGCAAATCAAATAGATCTTACACACGAACATGCCGAAATAAGCTGTGAAATGCATAATGGAACCAACAAGGCAGTTGTTCTCCCAACGGCCAAGCTCCGTGAAGCCTGACACAAGCCGGCTGTTTCGGCCTAACATCCCATCATTCGAAATCATTCATTTCAAATTCCACCTTCGGTCCCGAGAACTAGTTGGTGAGGGCCAACGCATCCGCGTGGCAGGTCCAAGTCCTATGCTTTTTTTTCCCAGAAAAATAAAAGAAAAACGTAACAATAATAATTGAATTCGTGGACTAATAACTATAGCAGATGTGTACGAAAATACACTGCGTCAGAATCCTCTGTACCACTTCGCATCCCCAAAGGTTATGCACAACTCCGTCTTTGTAGCGCTGGAGCTCTCGGGCCATGAAGCTGAAGCTTGGATAATGGAGGCCCCGGCAGTCCTTGATACGCCACATTCCGATGCACTTGGAGTCGATGCAAGTGGCGCTTCCGCATTTTTTTGGCAGGGTGTTGAGGATGGAGGACGGTGGGTAGTGGGGGTAGTGGGAGGGGCGAGTGAAGAGCGCACGAGCCTTGCCTAGGTGGGTGATAAGCCATGACAGAATAAGAAGAAAATAGGAATAATACTCACCGCCCTTCCTAGTTTCTAAGATGATGGTGAATGGCCAGACATAGCTGACCTCTTTGTCGAGAAGGAAGGCACGGGTGCAGAGGTTGACTTGGTAGAAGCAAGAGTTACGACCGAGTACTGCGGCGGCGACTTGACAGACTATGTAACACTTGGGTTCAGCCGGAGAATGGAGAATCGGCATAGCAAGGATTACACACATTTCATCTCGCGTTCTTTCTTCATCCATTTATCAGCACTCAGCTCTACCCAGTAATCCGTCGTAGCATCCTCGAGTTCCTTATATCAGTCTGCATATAATTGGAATGTTGCCGCCCGAAAAATCGTGCATATTCCGGAAAACCAGCATATGGTGCATCTAGTACACAAGGGTTGAGTCAACCATGACAAGAAGACAGAAACAACGCACCAGTCCAAGGATTGTGATATAACTGATATTAGTGCAACTCACCGTATTCCCATACCGCTCCATATAAGCCCACAGCCCCTTCGTCGCGTACATCTGGACCCTAGAATCCGTGAGACTCGTAGGCAATAGACGACCCATATCAATGGTCCGGAAAAAGAGGTTCTCCGACACGAAAGGTTTGCCAGGCTTCCATGCAATGGTCCTTTGCCGATTCTCCACGCTTGCAATCTTGCGGTACCACCACTGGAAGGGTGAGAATCCGTGCCGCTCAATGGTGATCTTTTTCTTCTCGAATAACACGTCGTCGCGAAGAGTCGATCTTGGAAGCAGAGAGACCTTGAATGCCGGAGATGAAGACGGGCCGAAGAACAAGAAGAGAGAAAATAATTGAGCGCCAATTGGTAAAGAACGGATGGACGGACGGGAAAAGATGGGAATAATGAGAGTAAGTAGAGGCAAACGAATAGAAAAGGTTCCCACAATGAGCTCAGGCAGCGAGGACGGCAATTGCCGTGAATGAATAGAAATATTCCCACAGTTTGCTCAGGTAGCAAATTCGGCAAATGCCGTGATGGATTGATACCCCAAATAGATTTTTTCCCATGATCAGTTCAGGACAGCATAATAACCGAGTATCCTATATACATAGGACTCGGAACTCAAATCTAGTCTTCGATCAGCCCTCAACCAATCCTCGTTCTCTTCCTAGCCTTGAACCAACACTTGACCAGAATCAGGAACTTTTGTCTACCGGTAACCCAGTGGACCTATGACGACGACATTCTCACCGCGACACGTTATCAGGACGGCTATTGCAATTATTCATTGATCCACGGCCAGACCGCAATCCACTTGGATGAGAGTCATCAACCCAAGTCAATAGAGGCAATATATTGCCGATCATTTCGGTGTGATGCTGCCGCCTTCAAGTTGCTGAGTACGCGGCGATTATTCGTTCCCCCCATATATCGTCACCCGCGCTTCACGGAAAGGGTATGAACGCAGTACGACTTTGTCAAACAAGCGCTGAATACGTTCTCCTTTCCCCCCATGAGCAGTGATGCTGAGGACGCAAACTTCGCTGCCTTGTACCGGGGAAATCTTGTTCCTCTGCATGTCATCCGTGAATATCGTGTCCTCCTCGTACTTCCTCGGTTTTCTGAATGTCTTCATCATTCGCAGTGGTCGGACTTACCTGGATTTTACACGACTATTGTATGTGTTCACATTATACATGCAGATTGACCACCAGGCTGACATCTGTGTCGAAGTTGTGACACTGGAAGATGAGGTGTGTGATTCTACAACCTCTGATGAGCGGTTGCGTAATTTTGCCAGTAGATTCTTTATGTCTGGGTGAGTCTGGAACGAAAATTGCGATACTGTTACGGGACATAACGCTGCATCCAAAAGCCACAGAAACGAAGCATAGGAAAAATCCTGTTCTTATGGGTGCGTTCCGATTTACCCTTACCATTTCTTCAACTCATACAGTCATACTGCTACTCTCTTAGGTACGATATTACAGCATAGCGCTACTCATATTCGACACTCTTCAGATCCACCTCTTCTCCATTCCTGGAATAACGTCTGACAACCTGTGAGTTCTAAGTACCCTTCCTTAAACCCTTCCAGCTTGATAACTCCCGAATAGATGCGTAGCTATTGACTCTATCGTCCGTATCGTCGGAGCGATAAGCCTTTGGTCCGTAGAGATCGTCATGCAGTTACGTGTGTACGCTCTCTTCAAATGCTCGAAAAAAGTACTTCCGGACTGCTTCTGCCGTTAACGGGTTTCTTGACTTTTATATTTGAAGGTGGCTGTGATAAATGGATTCCTGTTCGCGGGTTCGATTGCCGGGTTCCTATGGATATCAGTACATAATGCTGCAAGACGGAAAGCTCTCATCGCTGACGCGATTCATCTACCTCTCCCTGGGTGTCCGGTTGTTCATTCTGGGATCGAATGGGCCCAATGGGTACCTGGTAGGTCTTGCAAGCCGCTGTTAAATCTGGAATAAAGATATCAACTCGCTCGCTTTCGAAGCCACCGCCTATGAAGGCGTTCTTTTCAGTTTTGCGATTTACAAGACACTCGAGTCGATGATGGACAAGATGAGGAGAGGACATCGTGACGGTGTTCATTCTGTTCTACTTCGCGACAATATATTATATTTTCTGGGGTGCGTATCGCATCCGTCCTCTACTTCTCCTCGATAACACCCGGCAATAGGATATCGTGTCTCTTGGTGTTCAATAATCTTATGGTTGTTGTACGTTGTTTTGTCCTTCTATCAGAGTTTTGCATCTAATGTCTTCTCAGGGAGTGACCAAGATTCCATGGTTCAGTTATGGGTGCGTGTAGCCTTGAAGATATTACAGCCAATATGGATGAATAATTCCATAGGCCATTTCACGCCGCCCTGGGAGTCCTCACGACTCGCATGCTCTTGAATCTTCATAAGGCCACTTCTTCTAGCGTAATAGTATCAACCACCGGCTGGCACATTGCCGCTCGTCAAGAACGTAGCCTTACTTGGCAAGCAGCTGATCTTTCTCCGTTGAGTTTTGGCTCTACCGCTGATTCGCATTCGACCGACAGCTCCCAGTTTGAAATGCGGGATATCGTTTTGGATATTCGAAGAGACAACAACAAGTAACTCATCATCATCATAGTTATTTAAATCTATTTACTATTATATTTCTGGTCTGTGATAATATCAAAATGTTTGGCGGGTGTGACCAAGATACCGTGGTTCAGTTACAGGTGCGCATTTTCCTGCTTTGAGTTCCGGAGTATCCATAAGATTTTCATAGCCCTTTCCGCGCTGCAGTAGGCATTCTTATAACCCGCACTCTGCTGAATCTTCAGATTCTGAAGTTCAGAGGGCGGCTTGTCCTGACATATTTGTCTCTAGTTCCGAGCGAAGCTGTGGTGACATTCCTGGGAAAAGCTTTCATCAAGGTGGCCTCGCTTGGCGTGCAGCTAGCGTCCCTACGGACAGCTTCGGGACCACGCCTGGAGATTCCTATCCAGCCGAGCATCTTTCGCTGAATACATTCCCAATGCAAGGTGCCGTCAATATCGAAGTACCAGGGACAACAGCTTGATTTATTATGCAGCGCCCTTTATGTATCTATTTATTTCAATCTTTGAACCTATGTCCAACACAATGTATCATACAGAAGAGATATCAAGAATTGTAGGAAAATACCGACGTTCGGGCGTACAGTGCGATGCCCCGAGTCTTGAGTGTTAGATCAATTTATGGAACATACATCGCCCGGAATCCTGTGTATGAATACATGGTCAACTGCCATCCAGTTGCCCTGTAATATGCCTGCGATATCAGCCTGATATTATATATATAGAGAAGCTGTTTCAAGGAGTCTTTAAATAAAAATGAAGTATTGCTGATTTTGCTACCAGGGGCCGGTGATACTCAACTGTTAAGACCGTCCTTGATCAAGGGGAATCATAGAGAAGATTCTGTATATAACGAATGAGCAGGGCTATCTATGCATGATCAAATCAGCAAGACAGTTGCTCACAAAGGTTCGTCGTAAGGCCAAGCTTGCATTTGTTCGGGGCCGCGACATCCAATCATTGCCAAGGAGGCTACGGTCCGGCGGGCCGGAAGATCGGGTTGCCCGGAGATGACCAATCAGCCCAGTGTTCCACCATGCATCCACCTATACAAAGGAATGGGGTAGTCTCGTTGCCATACATGCCTTGTTATGTGCAAAAGAACATTCGTCTAATCATATGAGACCCGTAGGGATACAGAGGAGTCGTCCGCGACCAATCTGTGGCTGGGCCCAGGTAGGTGCAAGACGCGGTACTACACGGTAGCTTCTGAAATGACAGATTGCCGGCTACTGGCAATCTCATCTGAGTGCATGACAGTTACTACTTTCAGTATGCTATTCACATGCCGGTCTGTTGGGTCGCCTCGAGCAGGCCTTAAATCTTCGATCAGCCCCAATCAGTTCTCATTCTCCTCCCAGCCAACCAGAACTTAACCAGAATCAGCACCTGATAAAGCAAAAAGAATTTTGGTTTATCAATGTCCCAGCCAAGATCTAGCAGACCAATAACGACGACGACATTCTCACCACGATACATTCATTATTCAAGTTAGGTCAGTCGTTGCAATTGTTCAGTGATCCACAGCCGGAGCATTCTATCCGAGGTGAGAGATATTTATTCCGGTGAGAGTCATCAACCCAAGTCCATGGAAGCAATATACTGCCGATCATTCCGATGTAACATTATCGGCTTGCTAGGTACGCAGCAATTATTGTACCTCCGTATGACATCACTCATACTTTACGGGAAGGATATGAACCCAGCGCAATTTTGTCAAGAAAGCGCTTAGTACCCTCTCCCTTTCTTCCATGAACAGTGATACTGAGGACGCCAAGTTCGCTGCCTTGTACCGGGGAAATCTGGTTCCCTTGCATGTCATCCGTGAGCGCTATGCCTTCCTCATACTCCCTCGGGTTTCTGAAGGTCCTCCATTCACAGTGGTCGGACTTACCTGGATTTTACACGACTACTGTAAGTGCCTTGCATCGAATCTGTGGATTAATTACCAGGCTGACATCCGTGTCAAAGTTGTGACACTGGAAGATGAGGTACGAAATTCTACATCCTCCGATGAATGGTTGCGTAATTTCAGTAGATTTTTTATATCTGGGTGGGTCCAGTAGAATGAGAACTGTGATGTATGGGACATGAACGCTGAGGCTTCCAATAGCAGCAGAAACGAAACATAGGGAAGATGATGTTCTTATGGGTATGCTGTTACCTTTGCCTCAGTTTCTTTACTAACTCATACTGATGCTCTCCTAGGTGCGGTATTACAGCATAGCGCTACTCATCTTCGACACTCTCCAGATTCACATCTTCTCCATTCCCGGAATAACATCTGATAACCTGTGAGTTCTACGCCATCCTTCTGCAAACTCCCCCAGTGACCACTTCCAAACAGATGCGTAGCCATTGACTCTGTCGTCCGTATTGTCGGAGCGATAAGCCTTTGGTCCGTAGAGATTGTTATGCAGTTACGTGTGTATGCTCTGTTCAAATGCTCGAAAAAGGTATCATCCCCGACTCCTTCTGCTGTCGATTAGTTTATTGACTCGCATCCGAGGTGGCCGTGGTAAATGTATTTCTGTTTGCGGGTTCGATTGCTGGGTTCTTGTGGATATCAGCACATAATGCTGCAAGGCGGAAAGCTCTCATTGCTGACGCGATCCGCCTACCTCTTCCTGGGTGTCCGGACGTTCATTCCGGGATCGAATGGGCCCAATGGATACCTGGTAGGTCTTGCCCTCTATTAGATCCGTGCTAGAGTATCAACTCGTTTGCTTTCAAAGCCACCGCTTATGAAGGCGTTCTATTCAGTTTTGCGATTTACAAGACACTTGAGTCAATGATGGACAAGATGAGGAGGGGACACTCCGATAGTCTCCATTCCATTCTACTTCGCGACAATATATTATACTTTCTGGGGTGTGTACTGTATCTGTCCTTTCCATCTTGTTTCTTGTTGATAACCCTCGGTGTCAGAGTATCGTGCCTCTTGGTGTTCAACAATCTTATGGTTGTTGTGTGTCGCATCCCTCCATCAGCGTTTTACATCTAATGTTTGTTCAGGGGGTGACCAAGATTCCCTGGTTTAGTTATGGGTGCGTGCAGCTTTGAAGCTATTACAGTTAAAATAAACGAATAATTTCTCAGGCCATTTCACGCTGCCCTGGGAGTCTTCACAACTCGCATGCTGTTGAATCTTCATAAGGCCGCTTCTTCCAGCGTAGTAGCATCAACTACCAGCTGGCGCATTGCCACTCGTCAAGAACGTAGCCTTACTTGGCAAGCAGCTGATCTACCCCCGCTCAGTTTTGGTTCCACCGCTGATTCGCGTTCGACGGACATCTCCTAATTTGAAATGCAGGATATGACGTTGGATATCCGAAGAGATAACAAGTAACTCAAATGTATCTATTGTATTTCTGATCTGCGATATTATCAAAACGTTTGACAGGATCCAAAAGTCGGAAGTAGGTTGGGACTTCGCAAGGCATATTTCTGGTCAAAAAGCGACTTCTTCCAGTCGAAGGGACCGTTCCGTCAGTACAGCATCTTGATGCACCTTTAGCATATCGGGTATACGAAGCAGACACAACCTCAACGTTTGAGCAGTGACACTCCCGACGCGACAATGCAAGCCTATACGTTTGGGTAAGTTTCCTACGCCGAACCCGAACCTTCTCAGCTCTCCCGGACGACATTAACATGTTGGTTCGGGGAATGAGGTGAGGAACTTTCACCGAGCTGGAGGAATACTTAAATTATCGGAACTGAGTTTTTCTCCCAACTGATACAGTCACCCTCTTGGCTTCTCGTACTTTGGCACAAAGCAAAACGTGTAGTGATTCTGATAGGTTTCCCGTGGTACAGCGATTCCGCACTAAATTTATTAGAAAAGACCGAGTTTTGGACCGATATCAAGATATTTACTCATACAGGCATTGCATGATCTCGATGTTCATTGCCAGGAAAGAATATCTGACTTTCGTCAGTCCGAGTCCGAGACCTACCCTAATGAGCAATTGAGATAAATTCAATTTGAACTTGTGACGACTGACTGACCTGTCTGTCCAACGACAGAACGACATCCATCATCTTGACTGGAAATGCTCCCTCATTCAGGGTAGCATGTACAGCACCTTGCTTCCTGCAGCAGATCCCGGGATATCTAAAAGTTCGAGCCACCCCCACAAAACCTTCCGCCACGTTCGACTACATATATCGTCGCCAGAAGGTCCAACTTTTTTTAGGGCAAAGGTCCTCCCACAGCTACCCGATACGGTCGACAAGACTTGAAAACCGGATGAACCGTAACGCCCAATAGCTTAATGGTGACATGAACAAAAGCTGGGCGTGTTTGCCATTGTACGCACGATCCATAGGTAGGACGCCTTGGATGCTCTGGTACGCGCGGAAACATGCCAGGACGACCATCGTTCCAAAGCAAGACCTACATAGCAAAACATGAGATTGGTACACGAAGCAAAAGGGCGAGATGAACAAACGTACTAACACTTTGATTCCGAGTTCTCACGTCGCTATGGGTCCATATATGCGGTATCTTGGTGATGAAGGCCACGCAGACCTACTAGCTCTCCGCAGAATGCAGCGATAGCGTCTTCATGCATTTGGTCGTGTCACGATTCTATTCCAAAGCATATAGCCATGTTAGGATACGATTGTTGTCCTGGACAGAAGTCGTCGCCGTCTTGAGCCTTGTAGAGAGGGTTTGATACGTCCAAAGGTTCTGAAATCTATATGTCATTCAATACCTCGACGATGACCGAAATAAAAGTTAACGCACACGTGGATTGCTCAGAAAACCCGGATCTGCATATTTGTTTATTGAGAGTGGCGTAAGGACGGATGCTTTGTGGCTCCTGGCTCCGCATATATGAGGACAATGTCTCTAGATTGAAGGTCTCCGCTCTCGTGCTGCTGAAGCAGGGCTCCTCTGGTCGTGCTGCCTCTTCTATCCAACGACAATCGCCAGTGCGTGACGCCGCACGGAGCATGCTCAACGGAGCTGAAATGCAATTTGTTGATATATATTTGATTCCTGGGCAAACGCCATCGCCATTGAGGATGCGGGTATATCTACCAGCACTCTACATTAACTCCCGCTGAAGAGAGAAAAGGAAACGCGTACCAGGGCTACATGCAATACCATGGCCTCGATGCTGGTCATTCACGACATCCTACTCGACTAAAACCTAGCACCGAGAAAAGGTTAACGATCCAGGAAAGCGTGGCTGCCCAATATGCCTCCGCAGAACTATAGCAGTGCAGTCTGCTCAATATCCAACGACGGCACCTCCACGGACTTTGTCGCGTCACGGTTTTGTGCCCAAATGTATGCATATTGCCGAATCGGAAAGGAATTTGTTGTCCTGGAAAGCCGTCGAGAATGTGGGTCCATATCTATCTGTGCCCGACATCAATAGCCGCAAAAGAAACCAAATGGGGGGACATACACCAAAATACAGCACCCTCGACACCTTGACCTACAGCATCCTACTCGAGCACCAAGCACCGACAAAAGGGTTGATGATGCTGGAAGATGTGGAGAGCAAAGAGGATCATGGTGGTAGATGAAAAAGGAACGTGATTGCCGTCATCGTTCTTCCCACCGACCGACTTCGAGCTTACTGCAGTTCCGTACGTCCCATTCTAATTCCTTATACTCATAGCAAATGCAACTCATTGTGAACAGTACGGAGAATCGCTGGCCATTATTCCGATGAACAGACTAGGCGACCATGGCTAGCGTACACATCTTGGCGAGCTTGTCTGTTTCCAGAGTACGGTCAACTCCTGTACCATCTCAACAAAGATTCAGATTTTCGCCAATTCCTTGCCCTCTGTGATATTTCGCCGGTAGTTCCCAGCATCGTCCTCGTTCGAGGTCGTTTCCGGCAGCAAGAAACCTAGTTTTCTCCGTTTCCCTACGGTACCTCGCTGCACAGTCGACAGGCTCGTAAAAGATCAACTTCCTGGCCATCACAACTTATTCTCTTACGCTGGAGGATATGATGTTTCTTACCGCAGTTATGCTGAGCTCAACTGTGGAAATCTCGGGAAGCAGACAGAATAACGGCAAATACTTCCTGGTTGTCGCTAGGCTCGTTGACTAACGGGCTCGACTGGAAGGTGTGGACGCTGATAGTGGTGGTTGGGGTCAGGTAGCAGCAGAAATCAGTGCCGTTACTGCTCTCTTTCCTTTACTACCATGACCCCTGTTCCCCACCGCCGTCTTACAATACCGCCACACCTTTTCCTCGGCGAATCATCAAAACAGACGATGGCCTGCCCAACAGGCACGAGTGATAGCGAGGCTATATCGGGCATACTACTTGTACGCGTTTTTATTTTCTCTATTCTCATCATGCTGAACATCGAAGGTCGATAGGACTGCTCTGGACGCGAATAATGGTGCCTGCGTGTACAAAAATAGCTTCAAATCAACGAATATTTTCGCCCTGAAATTGGCCCCACTGTGGGGGGGCCTACTAGCCTCGGCAGTACCTTGATCTGGATTCTCCGTGTTCTTGTCAATGAACGACTACTTGTTATCGTGTTTCTCCAATGAGACCTCGAGGGTAGCATGGATTAAATATGGATGTATTTTTCCTTTCCCTCTTTCTGTCCTTTCCTTCTTTTTGATATGTTCATTATCATTAGCTCTGTACCCCATTTCAGATATTCATGCGGTCCGCTCGGAGCTCGACTTTGTGCGTAGCTGTTAATTCAATCATGATGGACCGGAGCATTTATAGACAAAAGAAAACAGTATTGTCTGATAACTGCATTTTTGGTATGCTCTTGTCAAACGGCCGTTTTATAGGTGAAATAGTGATAGGCGTTCAGTCAACCAGGTCTGTAGATCTCCCTTTCCATCATCATTCGCCGTCGGCACTGATGGCCATCAAGCTCTCTCCTCAAATTAGGCCTTTCTCTGAGCGCTATCCTTTGTGCTAGCCTATCTGTCGAGCTCAGCAACTAATGCCAGTGCTTTTGAGCTCCACGTCTCCCGTTTGTTTGGATTTTGGGCCGACATTGGATACCTGGTTGCAGTGGCTACACCCTTTCTAACGTCGACATGGCTGACGCTGTGCTGGCGCCGGAGGCAGTTGTGAGTTCTGCGCCTTTCTTTCCCATGTATTCCCACTTACCCCCTGGCCAGATACTCTGGGATTCAGTTAACATGTGCTGTGATTGCCCATGGGACATCCCGTTTCCTCGGACATCTGCTTAGCGCGTTTGTCTCGCTTTGGCGGTGGACAAAACATCCCGTCTATCAGATTATATTGGGCGACCCTGCATCCACGTCACAGCCCGACCGCTCCTCCCCCAGCCCCGTCGTGAATTTCTTTTTCTGCTTTTCTTGCTCTTTGCGGCTGGCACATACACAATGTCTTTACTAGTCGCTCCGTGAGTTGAGTTGGATTATAATCCTGCCCTATAGCAGCTCCTTAGTAAAGTGCCTGGCCGCAGCATTTGCCACTTCTTTTGTACGTGTCGGAAGAGAAAACAGAGAAATGAGGCGCTATCATGTAAGGTATTGCCTGTAATATCGCAGGGAGACCGCAATACTTACCTAATTTTAGGTGTGCTTCTTACCTGATGGGGAGCAAAGTTGAAAGCAACTTGATGATTCAACCTGATGGCAGAGGAGGTGCCTAAAGGCGCTATATCCTAATAAGTCCTCCGAACTCGCTCAGGCTGGTAAGTTTTTGTCTAGCCATGAAATTTGGAAATACCACAGCTCACCCAATGCGCGTTATGCATTGTCGCTACTGCCTTAGGCTGCTATGAATTTGCCGATGCAGTTTCACTGACCCACTGTTTTTATGTTTGGAAGCCCTTTCCTCCTTTTGTTAACTGCACAACATGGGAGATATAAAACGGTAGGTCTCCCCGCCATTCTCAGTATTCGCAATCATATGTATCATAGGTAGATGCTCCTTCTGCTCAGCATTCCTCTACGAAGGCGAGTGTTTTTGCAGTCGGATGACAGGCAATATCGCTACGCTTTGTCAAAGCTGCGCACGATTCTCAGGACGCGCACTGTCCAGCAGCGAACCCTCAGTGTCATGGTTCAGGTGAGATGGATGCCCTTGAAAAACCTAACTTTAACGCTCACAAGGAGGTAGCAGTCATAAAGGGCATCCCGGACTGGAAATATTTTTGGCACGCGGTGTAGATGAGTAACCCGTAGTAAAGCCGGAGTTCAGGGTTCCCTCTGCTCATCACGCAAGCTCTTGGCTCGTTTCCAAGGTAAGCTTTGGCTACTTTGTTCCAGTCCTCGAACTTATTGTATGACTCCTCCGCGTAAAATAGGTCGAACCCCTCTGAATACTGGTCTTATTGCCAATCATTGCAAGTGCTTAGCTCTAGTAATTCATCTCATGCGTGTACGATTTTTCCAAGTCCATATATCTTCTGTTCGACTTCAGTATATACGTGTAGTTTCTGTGATTTCTTTTACGACCTGAAATATCATGTTCCGACCCTTAGAGCCTCCAACCAACACAGAAGCTTGTAGGAGGTGCCGATCACGAGACGGGGAGCTTCAATACCTCACATAAGTAAATTCATATGAGGACATCGATGACGAGATAAGGGTGTGAAGAGACCGCCCATCTATGCATCTCCTGTTTTGGTGACATAAACAAACGAACAAAGCAGGAATCCCGACTACGGGAAACTGAACCTTCATGACATCAGTATCTTCATATCCACATCAAACTGCGAAGAGGCGGATGGGATGCAAAACAACTAGGAGGCGAAGCGATCACTGCGCCTTCGTTCTTAATCACCCTTTTGTCCTTCAACATAGGCTGTGATGCACACCGTCGTGACCTTCTTTGAATCCTAGAGTTCACTTACAGCGCTTTGTAAAAAGGTTGGCATAAACTTTGCGATCAAAACATTTTGCGAAATTCTGGTTCAGGGGTTGGTGTGGTTTATGAGCGCGTTATGGCAGTTATGGCGGGCTTCTGCGGAGTTGCCGGGCCCCGATCCAGCCCCAGTAGGCCAACATCAATGAACGAAATTTCAGGAAATGTTTTTGATTCGGAAAGGTGATGCCAACCGTTTTGCAAAGCGCTGTAATCTGTCTTAATTTTCGCATCCAACTCTCCCGACAATGCATTATCTCTGCTGTCCCAAATATACATCGTAAGCATGTGCGTCCAAATATTCCGTAACCGATACCTGCCTTTCCTGTCTTCAAATGGCCTTTCGATATCTTCAGAACCAATCCGGCTCTTCCATGATCATCCCTCATTTTTGAACTCTAGACACTTTGAACCTTGACATGATGACACTCCCACAACGCATGATACTGGCCGTTTCCCGTCGCATTCTCTCCAGACCTAGCATCGTTCGATTGTCGGACACGAATAAATCTACGTCTTAGCTTGAGAGAATAGAAAAAATTTGTTTCATCTCCATGAGGCAAATGCAGCACGTCTCGAAAAAGAATACCGTTTTTATTGCGTGCGGCTCTCAGGACGAGATGCGTGAGATACGCCAAGGCATAAGCCGGCGGTCGAATGATAGGAAGATACTACATGCAAGTGTCCACTCCCGTGTTATGCGGATGCCGTTTGTCTCTCGTTACCCCCTAAATTAGCTCGACAGTATCAGTCAAGAGTCGTAGGTAAAGATACAAGTAATATTTTAGGCACTTTACCAACTCATTCCTACGTTTGTTGTCCTTGCAGCCTCTGGGCCCATTGTGTCAACGGTTTGGAAGTTATGAGGTAGTATTTCTCGCTAGCGAATGAAATGGGATGTCTCAAGATACGTAGTCCTTTTCGTTCAGTCCAACGTACGCCAGGAACATTCGGCAAAAGTCTGGATTCCAAGGGTAAGGAATATTTTCTGCAAGGGCTCAGGGTATCGTGTTTAACAGTGTTGTCATCATTAGCGTCCCATTCATGTGCCAGACTCGGGAGGACATCAAAAATGTTGACTGGTCAGCAGGCTTGGACTCTGGAGACGGGTTTCGAGTGATACTTATCAGTCGAAACAAAAAACGCGGTGCCCGACCCAATAGGGATGGCTCGTTTTCAGGGTCCTACCATGTAACGGGGTACGAGATGAATCTACATTTACTTGTTCCCGACATTACTCACGCTTGTACAGCGTAATGATACCGCACGCCTTTTGTACTAGGGCATCAAGGTCGGCACGCGGTAGTCATATGAACGTCTACGTGTGAATGGTCATCTCAACACGTCTGCGACGTAACCATGTCAAACTGCGGGAGAGGACTCTGGTCCTCTGCTCCATGTTCAGTGCCATTGCAACGAGATAGTGGAAAACACACGCGAATATCGGAGAAGATATGGAACGACGACGTTTGATCATGATAAAAGGTGAATGACAGTTGCGATGAAACGGTAATAACGGTTAGAAACGACGTCGAGAATGGGCACGGTAATAACTCTGCGAACACCGGACAGGGAGTTTTATTCCTTGTTCATATTGGGAAGCACAATGCCGAGGTCTCTTGGTACCAACAGCAAAATCAACGCCACCCGCGTACATCCTATTCTCATCCTTGCAATGCTGCTGACACTGCCGCCGCCTCCCTCCCATCTTCCGCAACGAGTAGTTCATCGGCGGTAAGGCCGGTCCTTGTCCTCGGACTTCCTTTTCTTGCGGGATTGGCGCACGGACCTGCTCCCGCCCGTGCCTCCGGTAAGGCGGCAGTCGGTTAAACAGGACCACGCACAAAGGATCTGCATCATCTAAGAGCCAAACTGCGGGTAAAGAGCAGTGCTTCAGAATATGGTGGACATGTAAAATTTAGGCAGAGTCGCGGCTTGATTGTAAGGAGGGACATGAGAGGTGAAATTGGGGAAATTTAATGCTGGATATCGACTGCTCATGCTGCTGAGTACGGTCAACACGAACGTCCGCGGTACGGATAACCATGGTATCGGCATTTAGGATACTCCTGGGTGCTCTCTGATGATTGCGGAGTAAGAACTAGGCGACCGCTGGTAGCTCGAGCGAAGCACCACCACATTGTCGTGCAAGATCTTTCCGAGATCACGTACACCTGCTTATCATGCGCATGAGGCCTGCAGCAGGCATTTGAGAAAAGGTAGCGGCATAACGCGATCGAACTTCGTATCCTCCTTAGAGTGCGAAGTACAAGCCGGCAGCCCGATGATGTTTGTCAAAGTCCGGGTGCGAACATTCGGAGTAGCCCGCACTCGGCTGTCCCCAACTTTGGGATGATAGATGGTTTAAGAACCCACATCTAAAACTTGCATGCATCGAGCGGGAAAGAGGGTAGGGATCGATAGAATTCTGAGTGTAAAATGAGAATAAAGGGCGTGGTGTGCTTCCGGAAGACGAAGGGCGAGGAAGGGCGAAGAGAAGATTTATAGGTAGCGTTTTCTAACGACCCAAAGCCCAAATGAAAAGGCGCGGTGATTCCAGTAGTATTCCCATAGTACACTCTGCGTTATTCTTATTAGAAAAGACGGTTTTTGGAGTAGCCTCAGGATATCACTCACGTAGGCGTCAATGTGCATTCCCAAGATCGCAGGTCCGAGGGCTGACATCGGCTCTGATGACAATTTTGAGATAGATTAGAGTGACAATTGTGATGACTTACACTGATGATCGTCTAGACTGGCAATCCCGTTCAACCAGGTTAGCATGTTGGGCGCCATGCTTATTCCATCTGATCCGTCGATGTTTAAAAGTTCCAGCCACCCGTTTTGTCCAAAAGCCTTTTACCAAGTTCGATCGCATACATGGCCCTCCAAAATAGGGCCCAATTTTTGAGCGCGAAGATCACACAACAACCATTCGATATAACCGATAACATATGGAAACCAAGTGACGCTCGTGGTAACGCGAACAAAAGCTAGGTGTGTTTGCCGCCCGCCCGCGCGATCCATAGGCAGGAGGGGTTCTTGCCAAGGAGGCCACCATTCGGAAACAAGACCTAGGCAAACGAGGCTCGTACAAAATGCAAAAAGCGAATTAGACAACGTACTAGCACTTTGAATCCACTGAGTTTTCAGGTCGCTGTGACTCCGGAGTCCGTACATGCGGTATCTTCACGATGAAGCCTAGGCAGAGCCGTTGACCCTCCGCGACATCTAGCAATGGCGTATTCATGCATTTGGTCGCGTCAAAAGTTAATTCCCTAGCATATAGACGTGTTAGGATCCTGGACAGAAGTCGTCGCCGCCGTTTCGAAGAGAAACCGATGCGCCCAGAAGGTTGTGAAATCTAGAGGGCATTCAATGCCTCAATGACGAGTCAAACAAAAAGCTACGCACGTGAGAACCGTTCAGAAAACCCGGCTACTGCGTATTGGCCCTTCAAGAGCGGCGCAAGGATAGCAGTTTGGTGGCTCATGCCCCCGCATATATGAGGATGTTATCCCTGGATTGAAGGCCCCGGTTCTGCTTAACCAAGCAGGGCGCCTCCGGGCATGCGGCTCTTTGCTACGATATCCAACGATTGCCGACAGCGATATCCAAGGGTCCACGTTCAATGTCGCCCAGGTGATAACGGCACCTTTTCGGGCCTGGTCGCGTCACAGTTCTAGATTCAAATGCATGCATACCGACGAGTCGGAAAGGAATTTATTGTCCTGGAGAAACGTTGAGAATGTGGTTCCATATCTACCTGCGCTCGACGTCAACGGCCGCAGAAGATGAGACGCGTACCACGATACAGCAGCCTGAAATCCTTTCGCCCACGACGTCCTACTAGAGTGTCAAGCACCGAGAAAAGGTTTGACGATGCTGGATGATGCAGTGAGCAAAGAGTGAGCAAAGAGATCATGGTGGTAAATGAGAAAGGAACGTGACTGCCGCCCGTCGCTCTTCCCACCGACCACGACGACCTCTCAACAAATACGACTCATTTTGAACAGTACGGTGCATTGCTAGCCGTTATTTTCATGATGTGCTGAACGAACAGACCAGGCGATCATGGCTGACGTTCCTCTTGAGCTCATCGAGCACATCCTCGACGAGCTCAGTGACCACCGAAAAACCCTTATCGCAGCACTGACCGTCTCCAGAGCCTTCCATGGTCGAGCTCTGTACCATCTCTTTCGAAGGGTTAGCCTCAACACAGAATCAGACTTCCACCAATTCCTTGCCCTCTGCGATATCTCGCCTTTAGTTCCCAGCATCATTCGCTCTCTCAAGATCGTTTCCCGGGGCAGGGAGCCTCAGCTGCCTCCCCTTCCCAATGTCACCTCGCTGCACATCCAGGGCCATCTAGACGATCTATGGCAGATCGATTTTCTAGCCATCACTTCCCTTACTCTGGAGGACCTCGTGTTTCCCACTGCGATGAGCTTTCGCCATTGGTTATGTTCGTATCCTTATCTCAAGACATTGTCCTTGAGTGGCGTCACAGTACAGTACCCTGCCGCGTTCGGTGCCTACGCGGTTGCTCGAGGCCCCGCTATAGAGAAATTATCACTCGCGTACGTCAACGAAAACGTGTACACGATGTTTCTGGGAAGTGTGGTGAAAGAGGCCAGTCGGTTCGCCTTACACAGCCTGCGCAAGCTCCAGCACAGAACCCTTTATTCATTTGACATTCCCCACATGCACAAACTCCTCTGCGCAACTCGTGGGACACTTCGGGAACTGGATACGAAGCTGGTCTTTTACGGTGAGCATATAGTCATCATGCGATTACCTTACAAGCTGACAGTTGGGTAGGTGCTGGCCGTATGGAGACTGCGATCCTGGATATCTCCCAGGTTCAAAAGGTCAACTACCACCTGTACGATTTCTCGAAGAAATGTTTCATTGTGAACATCCGCTGGCTATCTTACTGCCTTGACCACAATGTCCACCCTGCAGCTTTGAAGCAGCTCCATATTCATATGCATCAGGCCGCAAAACCAGAATCATTGGAAAAGGTTTCATTTTCTAACGTATTGACGTTAATGGATGGGATACTTACTAATCCTCGGTACCACTTCCTTGAGTTGGTTCACTTTCATCTTCCAGCAGAGGCTGATAGCTGGGATTGGATTGAGCCCGAGGATTTCCAAGACAATATACTAACATCGTTGCCGAAACTACGCAGCCTTGGGCTACTTGTAGTAGACTTTTCATAGTCGTGGAACTGCGTTATCTCTTTCAACGAAAGGAAATCTGATGTACTGCTGTAATCTGACACTGTATTTTTGCAACTAGAATTTTTGGCTACGAACGACTATGTATTTTCATTTTAGCAATACCGCTTTTATTCTTTTCCTCTACTTTACTGAGGCCGATCCATTGAATGTCTCAGTGAAAATGTTCTCGTGCGCGTTAGATTATCCCCGAGTACCGACTGGGGCATGACTGCGATGGTTCACCGGGTGCAAGCACGGTCTTGTTTTCCGTGATGACAACGTTCATGGGGACTAGAAGCACAGAAACGCATTTAATATTTGCCTCGCAGTGATCTGATGGCTTGTACAGAAATACAACTACCGTCATCAAGACACAACTAGAACCGAATGAGCACGAGAAAACGAGAAAATGGAGAATGTGCTTCACCCTTAGGTTCGCTCACATAGGCGTTATCAGCGTACGCGACCCACCCCGAGGTATCTACGAGGTGGACATTGGAAGGGATGATCTGCAGGCCTAAGGGCTGAGAAACATCCATAGTGATCTGCACGCTAGTATCTCTGCATCCGAAATATCACCCAGCACCCAGGCATCGGAATTGATCAAAGCAGATCACAAATTGCTACAACCTACCGAGCCATGTGCATGAGGCCCGGGGAGCTTAATATCATCGCGATGCTTTAAGTTCTTGAAGTTTCTACATGCTCGCCACAAGCGCTGAGGCGAACTGCTATGAATAATTAGAATAATACACTCGCATAAGCAAAAAGACGACTGTAAGGTGAAGGACAGTATTCAGTATGCGTGTGGCGGGAAAGAAATGCTAGCTAGGCAGTCATTGCGAATGTATAAGTGATATGTGGTAGCACACAGAACCAATCCGCCGCGAAGACCACGCCGGGGATCATTCTGAAGTCTTCGTCAGCCTTGTATTTGGAAAACGAGCGCCGCAACTCTTTTGTACCACAATCCCCGGCATAACCTCTGACGTAGACATGGGTTCAAATCTTTGCTGCAATGAGCAATGAAAAGGTATTTCTTCGCTGTTGACAAGATTTATTGAATGGGTTCGTTCTAATTCAGGGACAATGAGCTAGCAAATTAGCCGAGTATTGCAAGTTCCAGGTTCACGAGTTGCGGTACAGGTGAATATAAAAATGACAAACAGAACCTTTACGAGGACGGTAGAGTCAGCCTAGAATGTATAAACATATAATGTAACGTGCCATAACGGGAATCACTATGAAAATCCACGGAAAGCAACGGGGCGGCAGGAAAGTAACAGAATTAATCGCGTCAGGGACCACAGAAAATGGACTGGTAGTTTGTGCATGTAGCGTTGACCAGAGGCGGCATGATTTCGGCCCGACGCAACGTCCGCCTGTGACGAATATTGACCGCATCTATGACGCACATGCGCAGATCCCCCGCCCTTGTGCACGGACCACTCGACAAGCCTAAAAGGGCGTCCTCCTCCCTCACCGCTCCTTTCTTGCTTTCCCCTACCATCATTCGTCTGGGACCGTACCCGCAGCCGCCCCAGTCGCCAGGGCGCCAAGCTGAAGAGAGGCGCATCGCACCATGAAAGAGCGATACTGCCCCCCCGGAAATCTCTGGCCCTTCATGCGCTTCATCCTCGGGCTTCTCCACAATTCGCGTTTCTGTCCACTCGTAGAAGTTGGTGCTAGGCTACCACTTGCTAGGCCAGTAGAGTGGATTAAACCCCGGTATCCACAAGGAATCTTACTGAAGGACCGGAGCTGCCCCTTCATAGGCTAGATCTTTGAAATATGAATAGACGCCCATCATCCAGCCTGCTGAGGGTAGTGTATGCATCGCCGGATGTCATACTTACGGATGGCCATTCAGCACAATCCAGCAAAACAAAACCAAGTACGCACTGCCGCCAAGATCTCCACGCGTTTTCCGCCTATGCATGTACAATTCAAAACCAAAACACGACACTTTCTATACTTGAAGCTTGTTCGAAGGCTTGACTACCCAAGACGGTCAGAGTTGGCCATAGAGATGTTGAAACGGCCACTACGCTCCGTTTTAGTCATACAGGTTGCGATGCCAAAGAAAAGGAAACACGCTGGTGGAAAATGGCTGCTGCGGCCACGATATAAGACGTGGCACGGGAGTCGAAGCCGACGTCAAGCTGTCGAGACTCCGATTATGCTCCGGTGACATTCCAGCAAACCACATCCAAGTCTTGAGAATGACCACTTCATAACGATTTGCTGATAGATGCGATTGTGTGTTGAACAAGGGAGAAGGGATCGGCCGGGTCGGGGCTAGATGATGATGGTTGTTGCAAAGCAAGGGTCAACTGTGGCTGTGATCCAACGCGTCTTTTGTCTTCCATCAGAGAAATCTTTTCATGTTTCTCCGTCCATTAGAACTGATCATCAGTACGCCTCTTTATTCTCTTTTTCACTCATGTTGACCTACTCGCAGAGATCCCCAATTTTCGAGCGCATTCGCTCTAAGGTCCGCCACTAACACGAAAAATGTTGCTTAGACTAAACCATTCTCCAGAAAGCCATGGAAAAATTCCCTCAAGAGCTCATCGACCTAATCATCGACCAGCTCTGCGACGACCCTAAATCCCTCGGAACCTGTCTCTCCCTTTCACGCTCTTTCCGGTCCCACGCCCAAGTCCTTCTCTTCCGATCCACACGTATATCCTCCGACCTCGACTTTCTCAAATTCACCGCCGTCTGCCGCAGCTCCCCAGCAGTCGAGTACCTCGTCCGATCTCTACACTTTGTCTACTCCATCGACCTTCTCGGTGGGAGCGGGAGCGTCGCTGCTCGGCAACTCCGTATCCTCTTTTTACCCAACGTCGACACCCTCCACATCGACGGCGGTGGCAACGCATGGGACGACGGCCTTGTCGGATCCATGACGTCCGTGATCACGTCCTTGACACTAGAAGGCGTCGAGTTTTCTTCCGCGGAGAGCTTCCGAAGATGTATCCGCTCCTACCCACAACTTAAGTCCCTCAACATGATCGGCGTGTCCTCCCCCCCGAGTGCAAGAGGGAGCATTGTCGACGGTTCATTCCTGTGGCGTGCAAGCGACATGAATATTCCATTATACGCGCTGCGCATCCTTCGGCTCCATATTCCATTACGCGACGTATCCGAAATACAAAGCATCCTCAACGGCGTTCGTCATTCCCTCTCAAGGCTATCGATATCCCCTATGCTTCCTAATGACAGTAAGTTAATCGTCTTCCTGCCACCTTCCTAACCTAATACACGTGCAAATAGAAACACCAAAATTCTTCACAAACGCCCAGGTCCTCGATTTCTCTCGCGTGCCAGTAGTCGACTACGTCATGTCCAACATCCGACACGAGGTACCCTACCTCCTTGAGGGCTTGGAGTTCCTCGAGCTCTGCATAAAGAAGGGCGCCGGTCCGGCATTCCTTCAACATCTCACCGTCATCGTTCCGCCACTCCCCACTCTCAAAGAACTCGTGCAACTAAGCGGAAATGACATATGGGCGGCTTTGGATACCGCTCTCTCGGCTCCACGATTTGCCTCTCTCAAAGTCCTCAGGGTCTCTATTGGCTCGGAAGATAACAATATGACTATCCGCAGGAATATCGTGGAGCAGATGCCCGTGTTGCACGAGGAGGGCCGACTCTTGGTTGAAGCGCTAGCTTAGGCACATATTTATATTGCATATTCTTATTCTTGTATCATAGCCATAAACGATGGATGGTGGAGCCAATCCGATTTGTTTGTCCTTTCCTCTCTTGTCACCTTGACTCGGCAGGAAGACGGCATTGTTCGTAAACTCACGCTAGGCATATCTTCCAAACTCAAAGTATATCCAATTCGTCCAGCTTGTGATTTTCAGCATCTGTTCCAAAACTGCTGCGCCTTTGAGAGGCCATCTCCGAATCTCATCTCATCATTACAGGATGAATCGATGGCTATTTGTAGTGCAACTGTCCCATTAATTCTATTCTCGTGTACACCCATCACTAGACTAGCCCAAAGTTGTTCGGATACGATACCGGTCCATCTTTTCCAGATAGACAAGACGAATCCCAGTTCTATAGTCGACTTCTCGTTGTCTATTGACTCGAAATCTTGGGCCGTCCATTGCGAGCGTGTGCAGCTTTCTATTCCCATTCAGAGTTGGATATATTTTTTAGCTGAAGAATTGAATTGAGGTCGTGACTTACAAACTCTTGAGGAATTGATATCACGCCACGCCTGCCCAAAACCTCTCTCCTTTCCAAATCTAGGGTAGCAGTGTCTTGCAGCGTATTTGTATGAAATAGCATTACCTAGTCTCGTATACCAGACACAACAATCCGTATGAAGTAAGGGCGTTCCGGTCAATTCAAACGACGTCTTTCGAGTATGGTCGTGTCCAATAGTTAGCCATGTATCTTTTACTTGCGGGGATACGGCATATAGAGAGGAGCAGGGACGAGGCTATCGGTCATAGTAAGTACTAGCTTGTCTAGCGGAAGTACCTCATTCCAATCTGGGACGAGATAAAGGGCGTTAAGCTTCAGATAGATCCTGTTATCGTGAAATGGAATGGCCATTCATTCCCGTAATTCCAGTGTGTAGGTAGGTAGGTAGGTAGTATTGCACTGCAGTCATTGTATACAGTCGCTTCTCACGGCCGCAGCTGAGTCTACGGAGGAATTGTCCCGAGGCAGCAAGTCTGTCGGGCCCCAGTTTTTGTCATGCCTTCTCTTCGCACATAAAGAAGCATATCTATTTTGAGTCAATTCTGTGTGCATATGCCGCTAAGCTGGTAGTAGGCCGCAGCTGAAACGCGGGCCATAAGCTGTCGGCCCTGGTTTTGCATGCTAATAACAGACACAATATCAATCCACCGTTTGACACCCTCACAGTTTATAATAACAAGACGAATACAGTACGCAGGCCATACACAATACTTACAAGCATCTGCGACGTGAATAACCTCTATTTATTGCGGACTAATGAGGCACGTCAGCATCAGAGCGATAGTAGGTCGGAATTGGAATCCCCAAAGTCCCGCGTCTTGTTGTTCCAAGACGAGCTAGATAGGCAATTCGTTGAGTTAAGGTATTGGTGCGGGAGAGGAGAGTAGCTAAGCCTTCGAGGAACTGATATAGCGTTTCGGGCCCTACATATCGAAAGTTGAAACAAGCGGACTGGCACAAGCCGGAAGAGAAACTCCGAAAAACCCTCCACATCGTGTCGTTCAACCTATCTCTGGAATACCTTAATTTGAACAGGCCGAGACCAAGCTGGTCAATTCAGGCAAATAACACGAGGCCTATCTCGTCTTCGTCCTTGACAACAGCAGCTACACGTGGGGATACGGCATGTAGAGAGGAGCAGGGACGTAGTAGCTTTCATTACGCAGTCGGGCAAGAGGAGGGGCGTTAAGCGTTGGATAGATCCTGTCGCTATTACTTTGCTGCGTTGCTTAACCTCGGCAAAGACAAGACCGACAGTCGAAGAGTTGCGTTTGCACCGTGTCAGTCCATGAGAAGTGTAGAGGCAACAGACGCGGTGATCTCGCCTCAGCAATGCAAGAAGTATGAATTCGTGGAATCAATTCTGTATAGACGAAACGAATAGCGCGCGTTCGTCTGGAGTTTTATGTTTGTCCTCTGGTTCCATGCAGGTCATTGATATTGATGTTGCTTAGACATATTTTATGAGGAAGCTGGCCACCATCGTTATAGACAAGCAACGGAAAATAACCGTGAAATGGATAGCCCGTCCGAATTACGTTCTCCAATGCGTGTTTCAATGGAACTTGATACCAAACGTCGCCGCCCAATGGGTTCTTGATACGGAGAATGTCCGTGGAGGATGAGCTCGGGCAGAGAACACGAAGGCCGAGAGCTGGCAGGGCCGTTCAAGATGGGCAGTGAAACGAGGTTGGGTATAATTAACTCGATGCGGAGTTTATTGGACAAACTGGCAATAGATCTGGAGGCAATCGTCTCAACGATCGGTTTCGACTTCGAACAGGAAGACATTCATGTGTAATTGCATTGAGAAAGGTAAATGTTTTGAGTGCGATCTGTACAGGGTGAGGTTGCAAGACGCGATGGGAGGTCGGACTGAGTGCAGTTAACATCCTCGGTATTATGCCCTGGAGCAATGAGGCTATATAGCCAAATGGAAAAGTATTCTTCCACTAGCTGTTGCTGAAACGTTTCGTATATGAAATAGGCGTTGAATCTTGTGTGAAAATTGTCATCTGAACCGTCGGACCGGAAGTAAACTTGAGGCTCCTCAAAGGGGTTCGGCCATTATAAAAATATCAGCCAAGAGAAGAAAGATTGAGCGAAAACTTACGAGTAGACGGAGACTACGATTCTCCAATTGTGTTGGTTCCTTCTGCACGTGTGTGATCTTCTGCTCATCAGTGGGGGAGGGAAGACCGACACCCGACCATGTGGTGCGGGATTTACCGCCTTTTAATCCCTTTTGGAGATACTTTTCCCTCTAAAGCTTGAGGGCGAACTCAACTTTTATCCTTCATTCATGATATAAAGCTTCTCAACCATATACTGGCCGCGGAGCTCTACCACGACATCGCGAATCCCGTAGAGCAATCGGAAATTCCATGGATTTGGAGCTAGAACCCTATTTGCGGGTATTTTTCTTCTTGCACAGTCGAAGTTCCGGGGAAAAGCATCGTATATAAGACGGATAGAGGAGTGCCGGCATTTTCTCACCGCAAACCCTCAAGTCGATATGTCCTTCGTTCGAGCATCCCTCACCCTCCTCCAGGCAGTAGCCTACCAGTATGCCATGACGCCTCCCAACCCTACACCGAAAAAAGGACGTTATCATACTGAAGAGTTATACATTCTTCAAATCGCACCTTTAATTTTTTGGGTAGGTTGTCTCTTGTGAGGCTCCTGCGCTTGTGCTCACTATCGCCGTGCAGCTGCACTCCGTAGCGCTGTGGATCTTCGCCGTCTTCGAGACGCTGCTTTACCTCACCACCATATATCCCGTCGAGAAAATGTCCAGCTACGCATCGCTCGCCGTCTGTCCCGCGGCTTCTTCGCCGAGTACACTGCCTCATCTCATACCAACGACACTCTTCTGCATTGGTTCCGCTTCCATCCTGACGGGGGCACTCATTCGTCTTGATTGCTTCCATACACTCGGTGAACTATTCACCTTCGATCTCACCGTCCATCCTGCCCACAAACTCGTCAAGACGCGCTTATATGGGATGGTACGACATCCAGCATACACAGGTTCGCTGTTGCTCGTCGCCGGTATTGCTCTCACGCACTTTACGCGTGGGGGGTGGGTAACGGAGTGCGTCTTTAATGACCAAAGCGGCTGGGGCATGATCGGCATGTACGTATTATGGGGAGTCTGGTGGTCATGGACAGTATCAGTGGGAATTAGCAGGGCCGTTGCGGAGGACAAGCAAATGAAGCTCTTGTTCGGCGACGAGTGGGAACAATATGCTCGAGATGTGCACTGGTGGTTCGTCCCGTGGCTGATTTGATATTGGGTTGTGAAGCGCCTTCTGATCATGTCTAAAATGTTCGGGTTTATGATTAACTATTTATTGTTCACGAACAGATATATATATCGCGACATACTGGTTATGTAGTTTAGATGCACGCGTATTCACTTCAAGTGATCTTGACGACCCTGGATTTGTTACTGTTAGCTACCAAACTTGAATATGCAACTCAGATAGATCACATACCAATATAACCAGCGGATGTTTTACTTGATGATTACCGAACAGTTCTTTCTGATTACAAAGGCTTCTCCCATGCACCTGAGCTGGAGACGGCGAGGACTTCCTGGCACAGGTTCTCACGTAGTCAAATGAATACTAATCTTTTGGTTGGCATCATTTGCCTTCGGTATTTCTGCTCTTGCGGTCTTCTCAAGTTCTAGTACATGAATCATGTCAGCGACAAATAAGACTCAGTAAGCCTCGAGCATACTTGTGACCTGTTTTCCCAATGTTCTCCGAGGAGTGAGAAGCGAAGTTGTCGCGCCCAGGAGTTCTAGCCCAAGAACCAGCGAGGTTCCAGCGTTGATATGCATCTTCCAGCGGACAGTAACAGCCATCTAATGGACAGAGATTTGATCACGACACCGATGCCCGGCGTACGTAGAACAAAGACAGTGGAATAATAGACCCTATGGCTCAAATCTATCCCCTCTATTAATATGAGGGCGACAACGGTCCGACATCAGCCATTACCTACTTGTGTAATTTATTGAACTAGTTCCGTTGAATGCGAAAGATCGATAGAAGAGGATTTGTGTGATGGTGGTTGTAGTTCAAGTCACATATGCCAATTCGGGACATCGATCACAGGGCCGTTCGGACCCCTTGGCGATTCTGTTTTTTGCTTGATTAGACCGTATCTGCTGCAATATATAAGTTGCCATCTTCTAACATTGAAGAATGTTCCGTTTCGCATTATTACGACATGGCTTCGGGGATGTGTGAGATTCCAACTTCAAGAGTAGGATACCTATGTCCTCTGTTGCACCGCTGCTCAAGCTTCACTACCATGCTTCAGCAATGGAAAATCGCTATCATCGTTGCTGGAGGCGGAGTTGGTGGAGTTATCGTTGTAGATGAAGAGAGGAGTAACTTGCGTGTCATCCAAAGAAAACATGATCTGCGCATGAGAAAATATTGCGGAGCAACAATATATTTCACAGCAGATACGGTCTATTCTCTATGCCGTCCACGAGAATTCCTGTGGGCACAATCCAAGTAAATATGCCGCTACTATCGCTTTTTTCGGTCACGGTGATGATTTGATGTGTTCTCACTCTCCGAGTCACGACATATGGCTTCCGTGTACCAAGTTCATACTATGGTGCTCATGAAGGGGGTTGGCGCTCCATACCCTGACATCATACGAAGCCTGTCTCTTATCTATTAACATCCACGATTAATCGCCTCGGACTTGGGTAAAAATGAGCGTGGCTTCATGGGCTCGGCAAACCGTTCTCGCCGCCTCACCACTGTACCAATTTTTAGAATGAACCCGGAACACCTATTGAGTCGGCATTTTCAAATGCTTTTATTCGAGAACCTAACGAAATCGAAGTCAACCGGCAGTAAACAGACCGAATATGGCTCTCGACGACGCACGTCGCAGATTTTCCATGGATTCACTATCTTGATCTTTTCTTTGACCATACCAAGTGACACAACAGAGCTTAACTACGCATTTTCACATCATACACCCGGTATATAATATCTTTGGGCTACAGGGCTGATCATTCCAAAAGTGAAGTCCTTGATCGCCCTGACATAAGTAGCACATCAATGCATCAAGGCTGCGCTTGTCATGACTTTTTCAATTGATGAAATTATTCATTCACACGGTGCCATGTGCTTGGAAGTGGCAGCTGTCGGGGAAGAAAATGAGATAAGGCTAATAAATATGCGTGCCTTGACGTTACAGTCTTACTGTCTACCACCGAAGGCAGAAAAATAAGAATATAGCACAATACACGTGAACGATTAAACTTGTATCCAATCAGATGCATGATCTTCCCCAGCCCCGCTTCCTATGATTCCAACCACCTGCATCTCCATCGCACTTGCATTTGCCTTCATAGACACAGTCCCTCCAAGCAGCATACATGAGCACCACAAAACACTGCCCCTCAGGGCTTCCAGCCGTCCATGGCGCAGTGTCCAGCCATCCCAGTGGATTAACAGCAGGTGTGACGGTCCCATTGGCAGTTACATGCGGATTCCCCTCGTTATCGTTCTTCCCAAGAGTCGCACGAACCCCGTCAGCCCACGAGATATACGATTGATCAAACACATCAGGGCATAGGACGGCCATACGATAGATAACGGAAGCAATCAGCGATGTACCACTGATCTCCCCAAACCCATGACCGTCTCTCCATACGTCGTCGAGGTAGTTCCGGGCCAGTCCTTGGGTGGTTGGAGATCCAATAACGCCGTCGACAATTTCCTTGATCCACTCTGTCAGGTCATCTATGGCTTCTTGGCGCCACGAAGCGAGTAAAGCTACGGGTGCTTTCATGATAGTAGCCAGGACGCGAGTCATTCCCTCAGCTGCCCAGCCATTTCCAGTGCTCCACAACCCGATATCCTGGTTCTGCGGACCGATGATGTGCATCCATACGCCATCGTAAGGCTCACTAGAGATATTGGTAGCTTGAAGTACTTCACGGTAATACCCACACTGCTGGTACGATTCGTGGAGAAGTGTTACATTCCATGTATCGGCGGCATAATACGCGATGAAGGGAGGCGCCATGTATATGAAGTCAGCCCTGCGTGCATTGTCATCAACCTAGCTGCGCCAGTAAGAAAGCGTGAACACTAACCACAGTTCAGGGACATCCACTCTCTGACTAATAGCACCATTTTCCCACCTCGGCACCTGCTCAAGCATATATTCTATTTCTTCCCGAGCTCGATCCGCATAGGCTTCGTCCGTCTTACCAATCAGCCAAGCGAATACACCCAAGCTCGCCGGGTCGCCAACTGCGCCGTCCCCGTCGCTCAATCCATTAACGCCCTCCCCAAACACGATTTTGTCTTCGGCGTATGAGAGCGCTTTTACAGATGAAGACGGATACCGTTGTGCCGGTAAGGGAAAAAACCCATAGACGGACAACTCTGGGTTGTAAAGCTCAAGAAGCGCTTCCGAAGCGGTACCGAATTCCCAGGAGTGCGAAGGCAGCGACTCTGCCAGAGCTGTGACCGAAACGATGTCAAAGCCTGGTGAGAGTGCAAAGGGATCTATGGCGGATACTATTGGCAAGATCTAATAGGATATGATAAGTGATGATGCCTGGAGTGCACGGTGAATCAAGACTAACCACCAACGCAAGCGACGCGACTTGAAGCATAGCTAATAGGGACGAATGATTTAGATATAAAAGAGTGTGGGTTCGTCCTTAACTGGACTTGGTGGCCGGGCAGACGTCGGGGGACAGAACCAAGCCTTGAAAGCGAGCCAGCTGCCACTTTTAACCCAAAAAAGAACCAGGGTCGGCTGACCTTGAGCGAATAGCTGTACCAGCATCTTTTCTGAACCTAATAGGGGTGCACTGGTAAAGCGAGAAATCAACAATGAAGGGACCGAGATCATCATTGATTTTTCAGGTCATGGTTGGCCCAAAAATGTTGATGAGGGACCAAAGTACCGAGGGGTATAGCATTACACGTCGTAGACCGAAAGCATTCCAATTGAAGGTGGAAAAGCTGCAGAAGGGTGAAGAATTTGACTAGCATATGGTGCGCGATCGATCAGCGATTAAACTTCAAGTTATCGAAGAAATGTCATACCGTAATGGAAGAAGCAGTGCCGAGCCAAAATGAAACACTTTCATGAAGGAGGACGCATTTCATAAACGAATGTTTGATTTCGTACACGTCCCTTAGTCTTTTTGGAGGGACGAGTTTGTCAATGCGCAGCAACTGGATAGTTTATAGGCTATGAGAAAGCATCAGCTTTTTGTAACAGAAGTAGAGAGTAATTTTCACCCTTGTCGTCCGGTCAACGTCAGACAGTATGCGTAGCATCTATATAGTACGTTGGGGTTCTGAAGGTTCTCAGACTTGGGGTCTTGCGTAGCTGAGGTGAAGACTCCGACATTGCATCGGAATTCTGCGCGATGGTGCTATCTCTCGTGTGCTAAGTGCGCCTAGCATGTCCAAGTGATTACCACTGATCTCATGGGGTGAACGATGATGAAATCTGATAGCGTGTCCATGAGGAGAGGGTCGATGGTCTGGTACAGGGACTGCGAGTGCCGTAAATGAAAGTATGTCAAGTTCTACGGCACAAGATGCTCCGCCTGTCTTGCGCCTGTGATCCCAAAAAAAGCACGTCTTTGAGTAACGACACCATGGATATACTTCGCGAGCTGGCTTACTATTATGTCCCATCCTTTGGAAAGACTATTTGTCGAGCGTCGAACAACGTCAGCCCTGGTTGCAATATAATATGAGGTAGACATAAAACACTCTCATCATCATTTTTCTTCGACTGGGCTTCAAATTGTAGGAATGCTATGTCTACAATTGGATATAGGTATGATGGTCCTACAGGCCCGGGGTGCTCGCGTGCCTACAAGAGTTCGCGGCCTTTGTGTCCAATATCACAAGCTCCTGAAACTGTAGAGAAGATCAATCAATGAAATTAATCATTCGAAGTGCAATGTTAGGCATGTATGCCAACTACGAAGGCTGGAGGTTGGAGGCAAGGGATCAAGCAAGACGAGACCAAGACCGTAGAGAAAGGAAACCCAAAGTTGGCACGGTTACAATCGAGATGCCAGCCGCTGACCAATGCATCGGCATCTCGGCAGCTAATTCGGGCCATCAAGGACGGGTTGAAAACTTGAACTTCTGCAACTTCCCTCGATTATATATCGGCAGTGTGCGATTCATTTATTCCCAACTACATATGAGGTGCTATTCCGACAGATTATGATTAGACATTACTTTGTCTCAATGCTCGGGTTGGCAGTGACATGCCTCTAAAGTAAACGGTGAAGACGGTGACGAGGGTTTCATCATAGGGAACGTTATCAGAAGGTCGGGTCTCCATGTATAGGCGAAGCGTTCCATTTCGATTCGATATCCCGCTGTAGATTCGTTGCGCGATAGGACTAGTAAGTACCTCGCCCCTGTGCTAGTCTCGATCAGCTTGTAGCCACAATTGACCATCCGGCACAAGAGGTAAAGTAGATTGAAATAGTAATAGTACGTCGTACCAGGTATTACATGGTATGAGTACTGTACTGTTAAGCAAACAGATCTATAGATATCAGTTTCATCTTCTAATAGTCAAAACCGATGCCCGTTATTGTGGTCATCTCTCTCAGATTCTCCAGAACTCGATTCCAACTCGACCGAAAGTGACCCTCGCGCCACCGGCGCATCATCTCCTGCTCAAGCTTTATACGTAAACACTGCGAACAAGAACCAAGCCCAGTTAGAAAAATGACACTTAAACCAGGAACACGAACATACATTATAGTTGAAAATAGATCATGGAACTTCTTCTAGCCACCCATGGCCAGACTGGATCGCAGCAACATCGTCGGAATCATCAGGTGGTAATGGTATGACGGACTGAATCAAAGAATGCGATCCGAGGAAGGACGTCCCAGAGAGTCTAGTAGGATAGGGAAGAACAGCAGGAGTGTCAATGTCAAGGTTGCCGTATGGAAAGACGGATCGTCGCGTAGATGATCGTTTCGAAAGGACCAAAGGTTTATCAGAGGTAGCGGAAGATTCCATCACTTTCTCTGAAATGGATGACTGGAAAAGTTCATCCGAAGTCGACATGGAATGGCAATGCTTGGCCGCAGAATGAGATGTTGTCGCTGCATGAGACGACAATGCTTTGCGCCTCTTTTTCTTCGACAAGGACGTGACATCGTTGCCCGAAGACATAGTGCTCGCCATGAAAGCAAGTATACCAAGAGGCTTTTCAGGAGCAAAAACGATATTGAGGACACAATACCCATCTTCAACTCGTGAACTGAAGTCTGGTGAAGCCCAGATCTCAGGAGACTCGGTACGAGAGATGAGCTTGTCGAAGAGTTTTTCAGCCACTCGCCAATGAGACTTTCGAGCGTCCGCAAGAGTTTCCTGATCATGAATTTTTGGATCATATGTAAAGGCTGCGTTCAGCCAGTTCCCGGTGAATGTTCGTATGAATCGGACCTTATCTCCAACTATCGCAATGTCATCGAGTTCATACTCGTTAGCGTCAGTGAAGTAGATGTGGTGCTTCTGTAGCTTCGCAAATGCTGAATACACCTGGGGCATAATTAGCATGCTTTCGGTTGAAAAAGGGAGTAGCCTCACCAGATTTCTGTCAACATAGGTCACTGAGCGAGAGTCCTCTTCGATTTTGTTGACAAGACCATAGATGGAGCCATCGCTAACAAGATGGGCCTGAAGGGGCGTAGTCAGGTCCAATGGCAAAAGTTGTCGCATGGCTTCGAGTCTGTTCTCTATGCATAGAGAAGTCATTAAATTATAAGCGTAGTCAACTTCTATATATTTAAATCAAAGTCAGTTCTACCGTCATTAGGTTGCAGAAGTTGTGCATACCGACTGGTATCCCATCTAAAAGAGCAAGCTTCCAGCCTATGTATAACCAGGAAGTCACCTGGAGTTCAATGTCCTCGACGCAGCGCACCCCGGATATAAAAGGTAAGCTCGGATATATCGTGAAGACTTGTGGTATAAGGCGAGCCCTCCCATCTCCTGTGATGTAGAGCGTAGCCTGATTGATTTCATCGAAAGGCACCGTGTGCAAAAGTGTTTCCTATAAAAATTGATGAATTCCTGACCTCCTTCAACGAAACGCGACGTACAATCAATTCCAGTTGAAGCGTACGTCCATCATCATCCAGTAACGGAGGTCCAAGAATAGTAACCTCATGACGGTTTCTGATAATCTGGAAGTAAGTTTTATCTACTCCTAGAAGATCATAGTCGGGACAATGGGTCATCATCGCTGCGAAAATTTCACCTGTTAACAAGAGAATGGGACTAAGGGTAATGTGGAGCACCTCCTATGACAACAATGCTTGAGTTCTTTGGGGGCAAAGATGTCACCTTTGGTCTTCGGTAATAATCAAAAGTCTCTTCATCACTATCCTTAGGTGTAATTGACATAAGTAGAGATCGGGAACGAATTACACTGGTAGTGCAGTAGTAGTAGAGGGAGAACAGAGTGCTGTGTAGTATTACTGATGGGCAATAAAAACAAACGCCCGTGACGTCATCCTTCGGCCCGTCCATGCACCAAGGTCCCAGGTCACAGCGACCTTCTCAACCAGTCCTCGCATGCATAACCCTTGGAGGGAAATCGATCTCTGCTAATCGCGCATTCAAACAGGCTCTCGGTTGTCAGCCAAGGTCAAAAACGTCTGACCCATTCGCGCCAGCAGTCCGAAAACACTCCGAGGTTATATACATCCGAGAATGGCCTGGGACCGTGGGGTATATACTATTATTTGGGTCGTTGAAGAGGAAATCACGCGACCGATGATTGAGATTGGGTGAATCAAAGCAAAACACAGACCATCGCCAATAACTCGCTTGAGACTGCGAGGATATTTCTGTCGCGCGTCCATCATATATCGATGGGTTACATAAAATGAAAAGGAGATCCTACCAGGGAGGAGGATTTCCTAAGCTGCCCGTACTATTTGAACTTGAGAATTCTTGATGGAAGACGCGAGCGTTTTGAAGGAGATACAGGGGCTGTAGCATCTTTGCGGCAAAACCAGTCGAGACAGACGTTTGGATGTCCAGAGGGATAACATTGGCAGCGAATTTGCTTTTTTCTGCAGTTGGCACAAGGTCCTATCTTATTCATTGTTAGAAGGATGGCGGAAAGGTGAGTAGTTGTGTGAATTTATACCTGCAATCCTGATTCATCTCATGCCCTTCCGACGACCAGTAAAGCCTCATGTTGAGGAACAGCTGTCGACGACGACTGCGGAGGAGAAAACTTTTTGGAGGTCGAGCATTGGCGACTATTTTTTGAGAAAGCCGAGGGAGGTATGCTATAAGAATATGATCAGCGTTGTGAGAGAATACGAGGAAAATACAGCATTCCAAAGAATGGAGCGGTCATGTGGCCAGGCAAAGATGTGAGGTCAGGATAGAAAGTAGAACCGTTATGTCCGAACGAGTCAGAGAGTCGTGGAACGCGTACAATACTGAGCATGCACCTTGCCGACCAACACAGACGCCTGCATTTCGGGACCCACCAAAATACTGACCGGTTGATCCTAGATCTCGTTACCCACATTGATCGCATTCACTATCGTCGCGAAAAAAAGTCGTCATTGGCCAGAAAGAACTTCGGAGGCCCGGAAGACTTATACATCTACAATATTTCACAGCATAAGAACAAATACGCGTCGGAAAAGCAACAAACGCGCCAATGGAGGCGTCGCCACGTACGTCTTCTTCGGTGAGAGCACGAGGATTCGATTCAGGGTCGAGAAGAAGCCTAATGCCGCGTTAGGATCAGCACAGCCTGTATTATGAAAGCCCGCCTAACTGATGGCGCGTCTGCGCCGCCGGGCGGTGGTATGCCCACAAGCAGACATAGGTGCTATGACTATACATTCTATGCCGGTGTCTAAACTCTAAACTCTAAAAATTGACAAACATGACTCACTATTAGCTGGGCCCCGGCCAGGATTACGCGTAAGAGCAACAACGAAGTGAGCCTTCGTCAAAATTATGCGGAGTTAAGCATTAAGAGTTAGGTCGAGAGATCTCAACTTGGGCACTAACGGCCAGTAGTTCTTTAGCAAGGACGGATTAACTTGCCATGATCGGTCACAACATGAACGAACTCACAACATTTGACCATGGTTTTATTTTCTTAGTCCGCTACTGCACCGCGCTGTCATACTAAGTGAGAGCACGGACTGCGGATGCACAACCTTAGCCTCTTTTAAAGCATGATGCTAAATGATTTCGGCACGGAAGGCGCAAGTGCGCCAATGCAAACATTAGCGCTTTCTCACGTACGCAAGGGCGGTGCACAGCCTGGTTGCCAGATTAGGGTCGGGTAAGAAGGGCACGCTGCGAACACCCGACGTGCCGAGTCAGTGCAATCGCTGACGCGTAACTTTGGCTCTGATCCAGCACAGATCTGCGGTGTTACTTCGGAACAAGTCCTGGTCACTGCTTCACTATTTTTCTAGTAAGTGCGAGATCCCCACAATACGCCGATATGGACCTACGGAAGGCTTCCATGTCATCGACACTCTTCTCCCAACTGCGGAAGACGAATTGCTCCAGTCGTACCGGTCGACCGAATTGGCGCTACTGACAATTACGGCGAGGGGGCTCATAAATCTCTACTCCCTCGCTTGTGCCAGAGACGAACGGCGGAAGATATCCTCATCCTATCCTCGCTGTCACGCCCAATACGCCATTCGAGTCCCAAGATACTCTTGTGAAACGTATCCGTTGTTGCAGACTGATTGTAGGAGGTGACTACTCCGCGTGCTAAGGAGGAGACCACAAAAATGCAGTCGTTTTGAGCCAATGGTACATAATAGGTGAAGGTGCTTTTCTCGTCGGCGTCTCGAGCCCTTGTCAGCGCTGAACAGTGACATTGTGAGGAAATATAGCCTACGATGCTGCGACACGTGGGTGTAGGTGGCTAGGCGGCTACCTCGCTTCTAAGTTAGGCGCTGGTATTCAAGAGCGTGAAACTCGAGGAAGGTCGCAGGTGGTGCGACCTCCCCCGGCCCTAGTATGGAACTGAGGATGTAGTCCAGCGGCGATAGCACTTCTGAGATGATGACGAATTATCTCGATCCACCATCGCTTCGGATATCAGGACGTCGGCATATAATACTGATGTTCTTCGCATTGGCTTGCGGGCTGGCACGTTATAACTCTTCATTAATCACTGTGAGTCTTCGGCCGATGACCACTCCGCTTGTGAATATGTCAATACGTTGCCGATTAAGAAAATCACGTTGACCGAGCTCACCATCATTGAAGGGACTACTGGTTTCACAAGGCTGACCAATGACGGTGGGAATGTTTCCACCTTACTCTATCGTCTGACGGGCACGCCCGTATGTGACATTACTGCACTAACAGTCTTCAATAAGCAATAACAGGAAGTAAAGTACACTCACTTTGACTATAGTTCTTCATCTACGTGTCTTTCCACTTCCCCCAATTGCCTAGCGTCACATCCACCCAAGTCTTGTTCAAAGCGGCCTTAGGCTATCCGGATGGAAGGCGAGAAACAAACGCTGAGAGGAGGCGCCGCTGGGAGATATTTGACTTTAAGCAAAGACGAGACCTACATATATGCGCAATTTTGTTGTCCTTAACGCAATTGACAATCATACACTCCCGTAGCAACGCGTTACGCCGCTTTGGAAGGCAGGAGAAACTTTCCCGTGGTTGCCATGTTTCTGAAAAACAATGATTGGCACACGGCGAGACAGACAAAATCATTCTTTGAGGAGATTTGAGTCGTGGTGTGTAATGAGATGTGTATGCCCTCACCATCTTGCCATCCTGCAAGGATGCTGGCTTGCGAAGTCACTCGAAAAATCGGAGACCCAACCATAATCCTGCAGCGTCATGCCTTATGTTTTGCGGCAATGAGGTCTTGTTACAATGGGGCCCGGTTTGATACAGGATTTAAAGACGTCTTTCCTGGCCAGGGAGGTAGGAAGGAACATCAAGGAAGGAAGTAGGTTTTAAAGAGGGAATTTGAATTTCAAACTCGTCTGCGAAGCACGTACACGTGATCGTAGCTTTTGCTTCCGACGGCGGTGATGCTGTTGACTTTTCTTCAAATTCAATTGTACGCAACAGCATTGGAAAAAACAAGAATGTTCTCCAGACTATCATTTGCTGCCTGCTCATAAGTACTGTAGCTGACTTAGACGTCGAAACGCGGCTCACAAATCTAGCCCTCGCCCCGGTTTCCTGTATTCGATAACACGAGCATTCATATCTGCACTACTCAGAATATGGACCTTCTTGCGTATGAGGCCCTATTGACTTCGTCGATCGCGATGTTTGCTACAACGTAAGGCCTTTCCCTTTATGAAACCTGCGATATACTAATTTCACGCTACATTCTTAGGAACAGGCGACATTGCAATCATTCAAAGTAGTATTTCTGGAACAACACTTCGCTGTAGTGCACTGATAAACGGATGCTCTTAGCGAACAAGTACCGCACGATCATTTTCCATCCTGGGCTTGGACCAAAACATTCGCCACGCTCTGTTTACCGTCGACGGTTTGACCCATTTCCATACCGGTTCTCAGATTGCCGTACGACTTGACCAGCCAGATAAGTGTGAATGGATTTGGGCTGCGTCGGCCTTTGATCGATACTACGTTCAAGATCGTCACGGGATGAAACAGTCCTCTTGTTTGGCTTTCTGCTAGCATCAGACACGCCATTTTCATTTCATTGCTCCGTCGGGGACGGCCACAACGCGACCCAGGCCCTTGGTTCGAAATCCGTGTAATCTTTGGCATTGGCAGCCGGCGAAGTTCAGCTCGCAGGGTAAGTACTTTCTTTATGCCTTTGAGTCCCTGAACTAATGATCACAGCTGCTTTGGGCGCAGAGCGGCTCCGAACCTTTGGGCAGGCGAGATGCTATATTTGTCCCATTTACTTCGTTGGACCCGTCAGGCTTGTCCATCTTTGGGTCGCGGGGATTGTAACTGTTCAGTGATGCATGAGAAGCTTTCTGCAGTGGAAGTACTGCGCAAGGCGGTGCCACCTCAATGTATAAACGGCGCCATGGCGTTGGATGTGAGTATGTTGGCCTATCTAACCTTAGCGCGTAGCTCCGTAAGGCATTAAAATGATTGAAACTATCCATCACTGCCAAGCCGACCCTTTTGTATTGCGGTTGACTGGGTATGATATGATTCAATTGCTAATCCTTTCGGACTTTTCATTCTACCAGCAGTTAACCCTGTCACTGGCGCTTCCGTTCTTTTCTTAGCAACCAGTGGCAGTCCGGCCGGCTCTTGGGTCTTCAGTTTCACCAACCGTTCATGAATCGAGACGCTGAGCAAGTGTGATGCCATTAAGATTTATTCCATCACGGACCGGGTCGAGAATTTCTCGTTCCTGAGCACCTCTTACGCCACTTCTGCATCTTCAGATGACCAGATGGATGGAGATGGCATGTTCAGGCTCGCAGATACCGGGAAGCTGCGGGAGGACTTGAACTACTGCCTCTGTTGTATATGCTGTAATAAACTATCCTTGTAGCATTGTGAGTGTTCTCATTTCGCATTATGAGTAATTCATACTAAAGTCTGGAGAAACATTTTCAGGGTTTCATCCACAATGAAATATTGCAGACACCAGACTCGACGGAGCATATGGTCACTGACGTCGCGTGCTCATAATACGGTGTTACAGCCGCTCGGAACATGGCGGAAAATGTTTGAAGTTCTAGATATAGAAATTCGAAGATGCTCCACAACTTTCTACATCCCCACATTCTATTTTGATCGCCCTGACTGGCAGGATAACGAAACCACTATAAAGCCAGGGATGCCGAGCATCATCAGCGTCCAAGCCATTCTCGCTTTCCCCTGCCTCGGTGGACTATCCAAGACTGGTTGAGAACGATGTCTGACCCAGAAAAAGGTTCTGAAGATCGGCACGATCACATCAATCTCATTAACAATGTCAATGCGCGGTAAATCGCCATTTTCACATTTCCCCGCATCTTTATCGCTTACAACCTCCCCGCGGGGTCTTTTAGGATTCAAAATCCCCTCTACGGTATTCCTCAGGATAAGCTGCTCGCACAGGTTGAAGAGTTCACTAAAGAGAAAGGCTTCGATGAGTACACGGAGACATTTAAAAAGGGCGCGCTGCTCGCTCAGCACCCTGGCCAATTCGAGACGCTGCCATTGTTGGATGAGACGGATCGGGAGGCGATCAGAAGGGAAAAAACACGTATGTCGCGTCTCCGATCTTGGTCTGGTATATGTTTACTGACAATTTTGACAGACAAATGGTCTCAACCAAAGGACTTGTACATGACCGTTATCATCTGCTCTCTCGCTGCTGCTGTGCAAGGATGGGACCAGACCGGTTCGAATGGTGCCAACCTGTCGTTCCCGACCGAGTTTGGTATCCCCACAGACGATGGTGCCCCGAATAGAGAGCACAATGAGTGGATTGTCGGGACCATCAACGCCGGGTACGTAATTTCGGTTATCCTTCAATAGATTTGGTTTACACGGTTACTTCGTAGTCCCTACATAGCATGCGCACTCCTCGGATGTTGGCTCACCGATCCACTAAACAACTACCTTGGTCGTCGGGGAACGATTTTCTTTTGCGGGATCTTCTGTACGGTTGCTGTCATTGGTTCTGGCTTCTGCCAGACATGGCCTCAGCTCTTTGTGGGTACCTTGCCTTCGCATACCAAGACCCATCTGACTTGATAATGATCAGATATGCAGGCTGCTTCTTGGTCTCGGGATGGGTCCCAAGGCTAGCACGACCCCCGTCTTCGCCGCAGAGAATACACCAGCCTCAATTCGGGGAGGGTTGGTTATGAGCTGGCAGATGTGGACCGCATTTGGCATATTTCTTGGTTTCTGTGCGAATCTGATCCTCTACCGCGTTGGTAATATTGCATGGCGATTGCAGCTCGGTAGCGCGTTCTTACCTGCGGTGCCACTGGTTATTGGGATCTATTTCTGCCCAGGTGCGTTTGAGTCTCCCAGGTACGGAGAAAAAATCTAATGCGTAAGGATATAGAATCTCCGAGGTGGTATATGAAGAAGGGAAGATATGCTGAGGCGTTCAAGTCGTTCAAGCGGTTAAGAAACACTGAACTGCAAGCCGCAAGAGACTTGTACTATGTCCACCGACAACTTATGGAGGAGTACGAGGTCATCAAAGGAAGCACGTATCTGTCCCGTGTCATCGAGTTGTTTACTATTCCTCGGTGAGCTCAATTGGTAGGATGAATTGTATGCCATCTCACGGTCTTCGTCCAGTGTTCGGCGTGCGACGCTCGCTAGCTGGGTAGTCATGATCGCTCAGCAAATGTGTGGTATCAATATCATTGCGTTCTATTCCTCGACGGTCTTCGTTCGAGCAGGATACTCTACTGGTCAGGCGATGTGGGCTAGCTTCGGCTTCGGGTTGGTCAATTGGTTGTTCGCGTTCCCTGCTGTTTGGGTAAGTAACCTTGCAATTCAATTCAATACATACCATGCTGATGATATCAGACCATCGATACCTTCGGTCGTCGAAACCTCCTCTTGTTCACATTCCCAAACATGGCCTGGACTCTACTGGCTGCAGGGCTTTGCTTCTTGATCCCGGATGGAAGCTCAGCAAAGGTACCGTTGATCGCGCTGTTTATCTTCATCTTTGCTGGTAAGCCGACATCAAAGGACTACTATTTATTCACTATTCTTATCACTGTTCTTCTGGCAGCGTTTTATTCGCCTGGAGAAGGTCCTGTACCATACACATACTCCGCCGAGGTATTTCCCCTTACGCATCGTGAGATGGGTATGTCATGGGCTGTTGCTACCTGTCTGGGCTGGGCGGCCGTCCTATCTATCACGTTCCCGCGTATGCTTACGGCACTAACAGAAGTAGGAGGTAAGTGTTGCTCGTTTCCTTGAGGCAAACCGTGAAATGACATGATGGCTACCTGTAGCATTCGGGTTCTATGCAGGCCTTAATGTGCTCGCATTGATAATGATCTTCTTCCTGTTGCCGGAGACCAAACAAAGGACGCTTGAGGAACTCGATTATGTGTTCGCTGTGCCGATGCGGAAGCACGCCGCCTATCAGGGAGGCACTTTCCTACCGTACTGGATCAAGAAGTGGGTGCTTGGACAGCGAGACGCTGTTCTGGAGCCACTGTACCACTTGGAGGAGGTGGAAAGTATAACAGTGTTTGAGAAAGGTGTAGGCCATTAAGATCCGTTTGCGGATTATGATTCGGGTCATAACTCTTGATTTCCCTTGTACCATTTACTGCATGTATCAATGACATGAAAAGCTTTTACGACTCATCTGTCACGAACAGATATGCGCTGCACAAATTAATGGGGCCCATCCAAGATCAATGTTGTCGCTCTCTAGAGCATGACGCGCATTTGAGTGTGAAGGTTGCGTCTTCGGCCACTGTCAGAGAACGGTGTCCTTTTGCATTATTGCTACGGGATCGCTTCTAGTCGTTGATATCAATTGCATAACACTGGCGACATGGCTACGGGCTGACAGTCTATTCGCAGATAAGATAGCCATCAAATCATGCATCATCAGGTATATAATGAATCTGGCAGGTACAGCATGAGCTCGAGGAAAAGGCGCTAAAGAGCAGACTTACTAGCTCCGACAACTTGGTCCATTCATTCAGACTTCTGACATATTCATCATCTTTCTCTCTTCCCAATGCATCTGGATGCCACAGAATGAAAGAGGAAAACTGGGCGGCGGGGGTGAGAAAGGGTGCCAGGGATTTTGTAGCCGCGTCATTTTCCTCTATGTCTTCATCTTCGCCACGCCTATTTCGCGCTGAATGGCGTGTGGCTCTGCTTGGAGAGTGATCACCTATTGCCTTCCCTTGTCCCTTCTCTTTCTTGGCCCCGTCTATTCCCTTCAACACCAATCCCGTATAGCCATCCGGAACATCAATCTTTGTACCATGAAGCGTACGGCCTCGAAAACTTGAGACAAAATACGAGGCTGCACGTCTCGCAAGAGATGGGGGAGCTGTTGCCGTCCGAGAGGATTCTGCCTTTGGCTCCTCCGACACAGGTTCTGGCTCATCCAAATTCTCCGTGACGCGCTCTTCGACGTGGAAAAATGTTGAAATGGACGCGGGTCCATTATATTCGATATGGAACGGCATAAGGTTAGGTGAGGATGAAGGCAAGGACGTTGAGGATGACATGGTGGCCAACAGGAAAGAGCTAGCGCTTCCACTGTCACAACATGTGACCGTAACACCGCGTTGTGCGCGTTGTTGTTGCTTGTGTATTAACAACTTTTCTGTTAATGCTATCATTCGCCCTACCTGCCGCGTTTGCCCCAACTTTGCCCTCAATGGCTCTCAGAACCAATTCAAAACCTGTCCAGGTATCTCTTGAATTTCTGAATCCTAGATAGAATTTTCGAATATAGGGTACAGGGATTCGTTTGCTTTCTAGCTTTTGTAACTACTAATCGGAAGCGGAGGATGGCTAGATTTTCTGTTCCAGAGCCCATTTCTCCGACATCTTAATCCAGCAGTTGGACATTTCTCGTTTTCCTTGCTTGATAACAAGCAAAGTGATGACGTTTGGATTACAACCAATATATTCGACAAACTTACGGAGCATTGTGAGCCTACGGAATAATTAGGGCCTGCAGACAGGCTCCGACAGTATCATGAGTATTTCTCCGGTTTTCAAATCTTCCCTTGAGATTCATTTTGAAAATACAGTGACTCGGACACAAGGGCGTTCTTAAATGCCATGACATGGCCATCGGCTGCTTGATGCTTGTATTCTGGAATGGGCCTAATGCCCTTGCTACTCTATCAGGGTATTTCTCGCCTCTAATGCTGTCCGTATTGTTCCGCTCTTGTGCTCTTCCGTTCCTTCATCCGCGGGAAGCGGTCCGGTACCAGTCCAACCATTCCGGCAGTGGTGTCATGTGAAAGTATGAGTTGGAGAAGAACGCAAGATAGCGTCTAATATTCCCCGTCGGATCTGGAATTCTTTCTTCGGATGCATCTTCGACGAGGGTCGGCCAAGGCCGGTAGCCTTTTATTAAGCCCAACATCGAAGAAAGAAGAAGTTTGATCCCCCAGATCTTCTCATCGCGTGGTCGCAGCTATGTCTCAGCTAGCTGGGAGAAAGTTATACTATGGGATCAACGCCGTGGCTGGTTTGGCCATTTTCTTGTACGTATTCACCATTACTTCGACGAAAGGCTCTTAGGGACTGTTATTGCAGCTTCGGTTATGACCAGGGAATGATGGGCGGAGTAAACACCTCCCCACATTATGTCGACACCATGAATCTTGGATATTCCACTTACGAAGGCGAGTCGGAAGGATATGTCGTCACCATCACGAACCCCACACGCCAGGGAGGCATTGTCAGTAGTACGTATTCACCGGCTCTTCAACCCGAGGTTCCTATCTGACCTCACCTTTTTCAGTATACTATCTCGGAACTCTCATTGGATGTATCATTGCCGGAGTAACAGGCGATCAACTGGGTCGTCTGAAGACAATGTTTATTGGTTGCCTCTGGGTGATGGTTGGAGCCGCTTTGCAGTGCTCTGCACAAAACTTGGCATGGTACGGTCATTCCTCGATGTTTACAACCCGTGAACCTGATACGTACTCTTAGGATGCTTTGCGCGAGGGTGATCAATGGTATCGGAACAGGGTATCTCAACGCAGTTGTTCCTGTTTGGAGTGCCGAGGTTGCTACCCACACATCCAGAGGTTTGCATGACTTGATATCTTCCTCGCATAGTTTCATAAAGAACATCACAGGCGCATTCATCGCAGTAGAATTCACCCTAAATATCTTCGGGGTTGTCGTTGCTTATTGGCTTGTATGTCTCTACAGCTCCTGCGCTGCATGTCTTTGTTGATCCAGTTCGTAGGAATTCGGTCTGGGATTTGTTGGAGACGGTCGTTCTGAAGTCAGATGGAGGTTCCCTGTCGCTTTTCAGATCCTTCCCGTTATCATTTTCATGGTGCGCCTCCATCGAAGTCCCAAGGTCTTATTATTCATTCATCTAGTTTGCTCTCTTTTATATGCCCGAGTCCCCCCGTTGGCTTGTAAAAGCAGGTCGGCTTGAAGAGGCCCAAACTGTTCTCCGACGTCTTCGCTACGTAGAATCAGATGCACATGACAAGGAAGATCATTCGATCATTCGGTCGCAGACAAGGAGCTTGAAACCATAGTGGAAGTCGTAGAGCTGGAGAAGAAGCATTCGAAGATGAACAGTTATTGGAACATGTTCTGGGGAATTGGTGAGCCTCTTCTTTTGATGACGCTCAGAGAAGGCATCCAATCTCCATTTGACAGGTTCTGGGGATCTGCACATCGCTCGGCGGGTTCAGCTGAGTATCTGGTTACAGATATTGCAAGAGTACGTCATAGCCATACGTTGGTCCTCCTAATCCTCATTTGATACTCGCGTAGATGGGTGGGTATTGCAGCAATTACCGTTTACGCCCCTACTATATTCTCTCAAGCGGGCTACGGTGCTCGTAAGTCGCAGTGGCTCTCCGGATTGAACGATGTGGGGTTTATACTTCAGCCATCAACAGCCGTGCTGAGTTTTCACTGCTAGGTGACATATTGCTTTTCAACTTTCTTCGCTATCTACACTATCGATCGATGGGGCCGCCGTATTGGACTGTGGTGGGGAGCCGTAGGACAGGGCATATCAATAGGACGCACCTTATCCGCATCTGCAGATGTCTTGACTGACTCCAGCACCCTTAGATCCTCGCTGGCGCGTTCTCCGGACTCCTGAAAGATCACTCTGGCAAAGCCGCACAATACGGCGGTGCAGCTGCCTTTTTCGTGTTCCTCTACACCGCAATCTTTGGGGCTACGTGGTTAACTATCCCTTGGGTGTACCCAACGGAGGTATACCTTCTCCAGCTTCCATCGGCGCCGCACTGCTGACTGCAGCCTTTCGTATAGACTTTTCCACTAGAAGTGCGTGCCAAAGGGAACGCATGGGGTGTCGTTGGATGGAGTATTGGTAATGGCTGGCTCATGATGCTGAACCCAGTCATGTTCAATAACATCGGCGAGAAGTAAGACGGCCTTACTCTTCCCCCTACCTCACTCTAACCGGCTTCTTCCTCAGAACCCTTTACATCTTTGGAGCCATTAACTTCCTATGCATCCCCATCGTGTGGGCGTTCTATCCGGAGACAGGTCTGTACCAAGTCGTCTGATGCAGATACGAATGAGCGCCTCTGACACCTTCTGATTGCAGCTAACCGCACGCTAGAAGAGATGGATCTTCTCTTTGCAAGCAAGAGCCCATTTGTGTGGGATGAAGGGAAGCACTTCAGGAAGCTCAAAGAGTGGCAAACGCATGCCTGATATGCCCGAAGGGTCGCGTACTCAGAATATTCATTCTGAATCTCAAGAGAAGGTTTAAGTTTCCATATCTCGAACCTCCGCGATGTTGTATAAACAGGAAATGAAATGCCTTTGTCACTCCGGACCTAGGAAGTAAAGAGTAGAATACATGACAACGCCATAATTAAAAGGAAAAAAGAAAATCCCAGAGAGAAAAAACCCGACCGTCGGGTGTCTACTGCTTGTATGCCTCCTGAACAAGGACAGTTAATGAGTAAAGAGCAACCTAGTCCAGATAGAAAACGACTGACCTTGATCTCAGACGCAAACTGCTTTGCGATGGCACTCCTGTTAATCTTCTGAGCTGCAGTGACCAAACCACTCTCTGGTGTCCATTCGTCTGCCGTCAGAACAACAGCTTGCAACAACTCCATCGTCTTGAAGCCCGATTTCTTTCCAATAGCATTACACTCCTTCAAAACCAATGATGCCACCTTCTTATTGTGACACAAGATGCCCAGACCCTCTTTGCCGTTGACATCTATAGGAAAGATGAATATAGCGTTAGACGAAAAGGAACTGACGAGACAAACCGGGAACGTTCGCAAGATAATGTCGTAGGTGAGCCTCATGGGGTATAATGATTGCGATGGGCTGTGAGGCACTTGCGTTGGCATATACACACATATTGCCAATCAGGTTGCATGACTTGTATGTCGCCTCAAGTCTCTCAAGTGCAATGTACTATGCAAGTCTGTCAGCCGAACCCGAAGTGTGATATTCAAAAAATCGCACCTCGCCACCAGAAAGCTTGATAAGGTTTTTAATACTGATAGTAACCGCAACGTCAGCATTAACCGAGTAAACAACAAATGAAATGTCGCACCGATCAATTATTGACAAGGTCCCGTCGCTGTTCCATTGTCCAACATCGCCCGTACGCATCCAGCCATCCTTGGTGAAGATGGTGTCGTCCTCATTTAAGTCGGGCCGCTTGAAATAGCCCTTCGTCACTGATGGACCCCGAATGCACACTTCACCCTGGGGCGGGTTGTTTGATGACAAGTACCCGGCTTCTGGGACGTCAAGCAGTTTTGTTTCGACTGACGGCATCGGCAGACCCACGGCTTCATAGCGTATACACTCCGGAGGAAGAACCGCGCACATACCGCACGACTCCGTCATACCGTAACCTAAGAAGAGTAAATGATAACATTAAACAGAGAGATCAAAGCCGCACCTTGAAGCATGCACATTAACGCGACGTTCAAAAACTCTTGGGTTTCCTTGCTGATAGCGGCGCCACCAGAAAGGGCCACACGTAACCGGCCGCCTGTTGCCGCTCTCACACCACTAAGCACCACAGTGTCAGCAAGATAACCGAGAACGGGGACGTTGTTCTTCCTCAAGGTCATGGCAGCATTGAACACGAAACGCGTAACAATACCTCCGGAGTTGACTTTGGACAGGATACCTTTCCGAATAGTTTCCCATACCGCCGGTACACCAACCATGATACTCGGACGGAATGCTGCGATGTCACCTTTGCAGTTTCGTACCGATGCATCTGTCAGGGTTTTGACGCGACCGTAGCCTGACGTCACACCGGCGAAGAGCATAGAGAGTTCTACGATGTACTCCAGGACGTGGGCCAGAGGGAGATATGCAAGATAGAAGTCTTGCTGTGTGAGGTGGTGTCCCAAAAGGACGTAAACGGCTCCAACGGAGGCGACGAGATTTCTGTGTGTAAGAACGACGCCCTTTGGTGGGCCGGTGCTTCCGCTGGTGTACATAATGCAAGCGGTGGTGTCAGGCGTAGGTCGCAGGTCTTTGATGGTATCGAGGGACTTTGTTTTGCCGTTTGCTTTGACTTCGTCAATATGATAAACTCTGATATCGTCCCGGACAGCGTGGAGTTCATCAACAAGTTTGGTACTGGTTTTGCCGTCATAGATGATATATTTGACCGTGGGAGTCTGCCGGAGGACATTGTACAGTGTGGGCAGCAGCTCTGCGTTGGTGAAGAGCCCGACACATTCCGGTTCATTTAGTGAATGCTCAAGGCCAGACTCGCCCAGCGTGTCGTACGCCGTAGCAATGGTTGTACCAATAAGCCCACATGCATTGGCCATGAGCTGCCAGTTGAGACTACACAGGGGTTATTGTTAAAAGAAAAAACTGCTAATGGCGTACGACATACCTCGTTCCCGAATAAACATTGAAGATATCACCCTGTTTCATCCCCAAGTCGACCAGCCCTCTCCCAAGTTCCGAAACTATCTCTTTGAATTCGAGGTAGGAGATATACTTGTAGTCGCTGAGCTGGAAGTATTTCCACTTCTTTTTCTCGTGAATCTCTTTCCCGTCGACGATTTTCTTCACATCCTTCTCTTCCTCAATCACGTTGATGATGTCTCGCCATCCAAAAGCATTCCTCGAGCCGTACGTCCGAGCAGAGTAGTCTAGGAGATCCGGAACAGCGTCGAGACCTTCGAAGGGCTGCGTCACCAGTTTTGCTGACGCGATGGCCAGCCGTCGTGCCCCTCCTTCGCCCGGAGCCTGAGGTGGGGTGACTTCGACGGAGCCTTCGCCAAAGTAGCCGGGCTTCAATGTCTGCATAGGCGGTGCCATGGTGGTGGTAAGAGGAAAAGAGTTATTTGCCTCGATGGCGTGGTCAACAAAAGTAGGGCGTACTTCGGCAGGGACGTCAGCTACCCCATCACTTTATCGGGAGACTCCAATTACAGTTGATCGCATTACGTCATACACATGACATTTGATCTGGTTCTATTTCCAATACGAGTCATTCAAAAAATACGATTTAATCTGATTCAATTGACCGCAACAGACAAACGGAACAACATTGGACAAACGCGGATGTGTTACATATGAAACGACGTCTAGGTACTCAAATCTCTGAACAACACACCACAGGATGTTGCCCTCATGCTGATGTTCAAGAAGCTTAGTAGTGCCGAGTGGAATCGACGCAACAGTACGACGGGCTAGACACCCACGTACGGCAATAATCAACCGGGATTACCGAGCAAGATTTACATCGATGCAAAATTAATGCACGTACCTTGGTCCTGTGCCGCATTATTATGCTCAGGAGATGACCAATTGTAACATGCCAGCAGCACCAGAATTCGGCGGTGTTCACGTATCAAAACCAACGGGATTGAGACGACGTCCATGTTCTGAGTTGCCAGTGCGACTCGGGGTCTTCGAAGGTGCTAGTTCGGCCAGTCTGCGAAAACTATCAACCGCGTTGAAGAGCCCCAATCAGAAGGCTTCTTCAGACTTCTTGGGGAACAGTTTCTTCCCACCCATGAGCCTAGCTTGCTCTGTAGAATGCCCGAGATTTCAAGTAAGTCCTTACAGTCAAAGTCAACCATTCAACAGCAACATCCGAGTCGGATCCATGAGTAATACAAGTATTGACATTATCCGATATCTATGTCCAAAATGCCGACGCCAAGGTCGAAGCACACACTACGCAGGGACTAGAAGATGAAAGAAAGCTCTGGGAGAATTAGGGTCTCCGAGACTCACAGGCATACTGACTCCTGCAGGACTGGCCGATCGGACGATTCACGGAGGAAGTCAGGGAAGTCGGAATGAACTAGAGACAACGTTCCATTTTCTGGACGGAAAGGGGGCAGAAAAGAGCTGAGCTCAGGCTAGAGCGCGGCAGACTCTGATCCTCCAAGAAATGCAGATAAATAGGGGAATAATTTTAATAAATACTTACCGGTTACGTGAAACAGATCGTGTTTTCTTGCATTCTTGTCTGAACCATCAGGAAACTGTTCGTACTTTGTGGTCGCCTGCAGCAAAAGTTAAAGAGTTTAGTGTCGGCAGGCGGCAAAGGGGGAATCCAATCACGCCGGCATTGAATGAGTATAGTAAAAGACTCGACCTTCAATTGATCTCTAATCACTAATCAGACAAAACGAATGCAAAATTCATGCATAACGAACATACCAAGAAGTCGACTACGTAAAAATCTATCCTGCGAATGAAGATGACCTCAGTCTGCTGGAAAGTTGACGGAAGACCGGTTCAGCTCAAGATTGTACTTGACAGCAACGGGGGACAAGGCGTCGCATCAGAGAACAGAAAAGGAGAAGGCACAGTAAGTCATGGTGGTCGTATGTAGCATCGCACGATGATAGACTTTATTTTGTGGACAATAGCATATTCGCATCGAAAACCGGGGCAATTCATCCTGTCAAAAGCCTTCGAGTCAGACCACAGAGCGAGAAAAAGTGTCTCTATGTTACCAGAGTCGAATGCAGACAGCAAGGCTGGTAGGAGATTCGTACTGGTACATGACACTCACGTCCTCGGATATCCAAAATTAAGGCGGAGCTGAAATGACAACAGTCATCGCTGTCGTACACATCAGCCCTACTTGCTAGCAGTTGCTCATCTTGCGGGGCAGACGGGATACCGTTGTGGCTCCGAGTCATTCAAGTATGCGTTACCTGGATTAATGTCAATAATATCCCTGAAAATATAGTGACCATAAATACCTACGGATCTGCCGTTGCTCTGAGATGGAGAGGACATAGCACGAATGATCTGTAATTAATTAATTAATTCTCAAAAATAAGGAATACACGCACACGTGCTTCCGGGAAAAATCGGGAACCAAAATTGAAAGGACATGCCGATGTCGTGCTGATGGCGCGTTCACTGAGACACGCCAGGAGATTACTATCAGGACAAGAAATTAGTACAGCAGCGGAAACTAAAAACAGCTGAAGCATGTACCTTGAATTCGATCGCAGGTACTAAGGGAGGGGACCCCTGTCAAGCTGATCATCGACCATTCAAGTGGAAGCTGTGCCAATCGTCATGACCCTGTACGGTCCCGAAATGCCCCATCTGTAAGCTGAGATGCCATGAATGTTGCAACCTTGGTCCTTGGAACGAAAGGGGGGATAGAAACTGTGAAGCTGAGTGAATTCTGAACCTGCAGGTGGGCCTCAGCACCTTTTTCTTCGTCAAGTTGATCACAATGGAAGACATGGACGCCTCCAGCGATATTCGCTCCTGGCAAGGAAACCGATTCTCCAATTCGCCATCATGATATCACAAGTTACTTGGTAAATTCCTTCTTGTTTCCAATACAATGACTGCATGTAATAGAAGTATAACTAAAGCTAAGAAAGTCGTCATTTGAGTGACCTATACGGGAGTGAAGTTCTGATGAGGGAATGGCTTGCGATGAATGAACGCCACTTCACAACCCGAGGTCAACGCGGCATGATATAATACAGAATGAATGATAGTAGCTATTCGGAGGAGGCGAGGTATTTTCGATAATTATGAAGGCGAACGAGTCAATAATGCAGTCTTGGCGTAGCATGAAGGCATGACGACTCAGATGGAAGTTCAGGAAAGGGAACCCAAGATGGAAACCTCCAACACGTTGCGATCAGGGTCGCACCTACTCATGCACCATCAGCATCAGCCGCAATACTAGCCCATCGAGTTGATATTTCGAGAGACGGCTCTCCTGAAGGATCAATGAAGGAGTAATACCACACGGTCAATCACGGGGAACTCGCGGATATGAAGAATAATGACACAAATTTATGCTCAATCTTTCATCCTCGCGATCTCTCTGTATGACGCTGAATACATTCATATCAACAGGAGAGGAGCCCGAAGTACGTTTTTCCGCAGTACTACTAGTCCTATCGTCATGTTTTATTTTAGCTTCGCCTTATTGGTGCTTCCAGTTCACGGTTTCTGGTCCGGTTAACCGCAAAGTTAAATCTGGGGCTGTGTGCTAACTTTGCTTTCAGTGACTGAATACCCCATAGTTCTTTTTTCATCGTGGCGTTGCCTTATCGGCGTTGATTCTATCTTTCAGTGCCTCTCCGGCTACACATACCTACCACTCGCGTTCCTGTTTCCGCAACTAGTGCCAACACGGTGTATTAATGGACAGCTTCGTGTCTCGACATCTGCCGAATCAACATACTGATGTTCTTGCTGTCTTTGTGTCGTCACTGGCTTCTTTCCATGATAATCACAGACCTCCGCACTTGCTAAGGTGGAATATACTACTTCCGACGATCCGAAGGTTCAGGAATTACACTAGCTGACTATGCGTGCCATTATCATTGGTGGACATGATAATGTGTAGTTCATACACATAGCACACAGCGGCATTTGCTACCCGTATCATAGTCGGAGCCTGGAAGGGCCGTAATGAACCACCCATGACAAAGGTTAATGTCATTCAATCCTGCCGTATTACCCATGCTAAACCTAAAGTGAAAGACTCCACTGTTCCAATTTCCGTTTATTTTGGATGGGGTTTTAGCACGGCCTCCTGAATCCTGGTTGCTCCCATCTGGCCCATCCGGGCCGAACGTCGCACGTGATGGCGTTACATGGTCACATGTTGGACGCGTTGGAAAAGCAAACATTTCTTTGAATTCTTTCCTTTTCGACCACTTCCACTTTCTCGAGGATCGTTAGATCAGCTCGGCCACTACACATAGAGAATGCATTTCTTCTTTAACCTTGCCTTCTTCCCTCTCAAACATCACCCGGAACAGTACTCTTCTCTCTGTCTTGGTGTTTTCCTTCCTTCAAGCGACGGGACCCCGCGAAAGTTACATCTTTCAACGGGCGCCTCGTGTAGACCAGACATCTTCTCTCCAAGATCCGAGTCACAATCCCGGGACATGCCTCGATGGCCTCACCGCAAGTCAGGGCTCGGCAAATCTAGCGACGCGCCCAGATTCTGCAGGTTATCGTCAAATCTCCCCTTTCGGTGACGCCATACCCGGCAAATAGACAGGAAATGTTTGTCTTCGTGTACGCGTATAACGATGATTTCATCGACGCAGCGCGGGATTTTCCCGTATCGGATCGCGCATCCATCGATATCAAAAATCAAGCTTATTTAAACTGGGCGCGAACTCTGTTATCGCTTTCTTTCCTACTGTCACCGACCTGTAGTGGCGTCCTTGAAGCGTACACGTTTCTCTCGTACCTGCGATACGGGACCGGCTTCAAGGCACGATAGGCCTGCTGCCGGAGCTTTGCGCAAGATTGCTTCGTTCTCAACCTCGGCGGTTCTTGGACATGCAACGAGAACATCAGATGCCCTTCCCGGGACTCGTTGATTTTGATAACAGGTGGCTGCTTCGATCTTGTGCTGGCAGCCAATCTACATGCACATGTATTGGATGGTATATTCGTCTCCGGTCATTCACGAGGATCAGTAGTCGAGGTCGGTCTTTGGGGCCTATTAACGCTGCTACTGGCTGTCTTATTTCTGGACTATCTGTTTTCTGCAGCTGGCTTTTAGGGTGGACATTGAATGCCAAGACATATCATGGTCACTGCATTCGCAGTGCGTATACCTTCTGGAAGTAGGGAGGGAGCTTCACGCAGCTTCACGGTCCACACTCGATCCTAAGTCTTCCGGTCAGCCAAAGGGCACTCGCACAGGTAAATGCTGAAATGCGAGTGTTCATTGCACGTGCTGTTATCGATGGAGACTATCGATGGGAACTTTACCTATTTAGGACCCAGCTTCCATCTGTTTTTCGCCAGTGTTCGTTCGAACAGGGAATGTTACTGATTTCTATTCATCACAGAATCATTCAACTTCCGATGATGGTGGTATGGCCAGGTGAGGAATTCTGGTGATTGGGTCGTTTCTCGGATCTATTGACAGAAAGGTACCTCGCCTTCTATAGGATGGAGATGTACAAACGTGCAAAGTGATAACCTGAGTTTGCTAAACTCTGGGTCCAATTGCATTGCGTCTTTTGTTGGGTGCACTTTAATATACGGCTGTCCTCCACGTAAAGCGCTAGCAACTGAGGCTGGACTGTCTGATGCGCCTGCATGATTGAACCGAAAGAGGCTAATCAAGGCGGAGACGGGCGGATACGCCCCGAAGCTCCGTCGCTGAGTGTAATCACCGAGACTCGAGAGGAGTTGCGAATGCCTCGAGGCGGGTAGAATGCCTTACGCCTGTGACAGGGCCGGATGTATTGACCATTCGAATTTGCTCATTGAGGCACATGAGCTTGCAACTAGGGTTGTGGGCATCAATGAAGTGCGATCTTCGTCCTGTAGCGACAACTTAACTCTGGGGAAGATTTCATTTGGTACTAGGCGATCTGTATGCGGGGGGGAATTCGTTGTGGAGACGAAATAGTTTCAATCTCTGACATGAGGAGGTTGGAAGAGTTCTTTTCTGCTTTTACGCTTTCTGAGATGAACACACAGCCCCGACATCCGTCAATAGGGATTTGACGGAGTATCCGTACCGCGGCTCCCGAGCTAGACCAGAAAAATGTCTTTTATTTCGGAACTAATGACATTAACCTAGGGGAATGCGTGGAGCAGGAGGACTAGTAGATCAAGACAACAGACGCCCATAGACAGCGGTTAGACATCGGTAAATCCGGATGGGTGACCATTGTGACCATTAGATTTCGCCAGATTCAGCGTTTACCACCTTCGCTGAGCTTCGGAACCCAATGAACAGGGCACCAACACGTGTAGAGACTGAGGCATAAGGCGATGGAGTGCCGCACTCGGCTTTTTGTGACAATGCTGATGGTGGGATTCATGGAACTCGGATAATGAATAGCACAGTAAAAAAATATCAGTCGGAGACTAAAGCTGGAGGGAGAAAACGCCGGAGTTTCAAGGTTGGACCTGTGGAATAACGTTTTGGCAACGTGCATACGAAAAAAAATGTATTTATTTTTGAAACTAATTTACGAGAACGTTTTCGAAAAACGGATGTCACACGGAAGCTTAGCTGAGCTTAAGCCATAACAAGCCTATAACACCATCAGCCGAACCTATCTCTCCCTGCGCTCTTTCCCTCCTACGACCACCATTCCGTCCAATGCCCTCTATCCTCAACCTCAAGTTCAAGGTCTGTGCTCGTCGTCGTCGTCGCTGTCGTCGACAACGTGCTCATTTACCGTTTTTCTCTTTTTCTTTCTGTCGCTGGCTGTCGTCTACAGGGTAACAAGAGTTTCGTTGCATTCAGCAATCTCAACGACAGCGAGTCCCTCACCAAGACCTGGAAGGTATGTTTATCTCTTCGCCTGCGCGAAAGCAAGCTCAGCATCGCGTAGGTCTGCACCAAGGTAGCCAGCTACCTTGAGCAGGGACAGCGCCTCGAGAATCTGAGTTGGCGGCTATGGCATCTCCAGAATCTTATGGTCGACACCGACAATGCCAAGTCCAAGCGGGAGTTCAAGAAGCTTTCGAAGTGTATGGGCGACAAGCTGGACAAGGAGAAGGGAAGGTATGTTGCGCTTATTACCCATGCTCTGTCATTGTTGCCTTACCGACCATCTACAGGAGCATTGAGGAGCTCGAGGCCCCGGACTTCAAGTCAAGCCATTCGATAGAAATAATCCGCCAGCGGGCGGTAGAGAAGGAGCGCAGCCGAGAAGCGAGTCAGAACGCGAAGCCGGGCACCATTAAGCGCATGCAGTTCACTTTCAGCGTCGACCAGCCTTCGCCTGCCGTCAATACTCCCGTACAGAAACCCGACCTCAAACCGTCTCCCGAGTTCCACAAACGACCCAGAGCCGGGGCTCGCTACGAAAGCGATGACCACGACAAAGACTTTTCCTTTACACAGCGCGGGCGCAAGGAAGCCGACCAACAATATTTACGATTCCCACCTATTTTCTCTAATGACTTCGGTCCTACGGCTCTCTTATATCCTGCTCCCACTCTCACGACACGCATGAACTACGGCGAAGCACACCATCCCTCGGGTGCCAGCAGTGATGGTTTCAGTATCATGCGACCCACCATCGAGCTTCCACTTGATGAACTCCTCACTAACGTGGACGCCAGTGAAAGCCCTCCTGTGGCGTCACCCTCGCCACCTGTCTCATCTTACGAATTACCTTCTCAAGATATGTACAACTCGGCAGCGTCCGCACAGCAGGACACAGATATTCCCATGACGAACGGTTCTTCCTCCAGCTCTTCTTCGTCTAGTAACACTGGCCTCTCCGATGACAGCAGTAGCGACAGCGATGACGAGGACAGCGATGATTTCATGGCACCTTTGGGCAAGGTACCTCCCATTGCTGATACTCCCGCGACTGTGGCGCCTTTCAAGGTCAATTCTCTCCTTGAAAGCATCGCTAGATCCAATACGCCTACCGGGCGGCCGTCCCTTACCGTTCGAACTTCCGGAACCCCCAACACACGATCTTCTGGGCCAGGCGCCACTGCGACGAGTCTAAACAACTCCGTCTTGCGCAGTGTCACAACTACGGCTAATAATTCAGCGCCCGGTGGCGTGAAGGCCGAGTGCTCAAACTGTGGTGCTACCCATACACCGCTCTGGAGACGCGGACTCAACGACGAACTCAACTGCAATGCTTGTGGTCTTTACTGCAAATTGGTTAGTCCTCCTCATCCCCAACCCGGTGCATTCGGATGTTAATTATTCCTTTTACAAATAGCACAAGCGCCCTCGGCCGAAAACGATGCGTAACACTCATGGGGAGGGCCGAACGCAGTCTACTCCTCGCCAAGAATCCGTAGATGTCATGGGTGAGCAGATGCAAAAATAATATCGTATGATCGAGCATTGCTAATTACTTTTGCTAGCACAATGCTACAACTGTCACACCACTACCACCCCTTTGTGGCGCAAAGACGATGAGGGTAAAACTGTTTGTAATGCGTAAGTTCCCTGCAACTGCTTCCATATTCTACGATCCCGATCCTGATTCATGTCGCCAGATGCGGTCTCTACTACAAATTACATGGGTCAGCACGTCCGATATCCATGAAGTCAGATGTAATCCGCAAACGTTCACGTCATGATGCGCGTCGGGCTGCGAATGGCAGCAGCGACACTCCGTCAGCCAGTCCTGGAGTGAGTCGTCGTGCTTCTCCCGTGCGAGAGTCTTCTCCGACTCTCGCGCCGGACTCGACGACTCAGATGACCTACGAATACAACGAAGAAGTCGAGTATCGCTCCACGCAGTCCGAGTTGATGGGCGCGTTGGGCCAGGACATGAACCAAGGACCAATGTACCAGAGCATGTTCAATTTCCAGTTCCCGGGCCCCTATCATCCCGACCAGATTAACCAGCTTGCCTTGCAAGCGGACGCCCTTCCCTTCGCCACCGTCGATTTCGAATCCGACCAGAGTCTATCGCAGAGGAAAAATAAGCGTCGTAGAATGAGCACCGACTCGGCTTCTGAGCCACCTTCTTCCGCTGTTTCCTATTCCTCCTTTACGGATGGGTATTCCACAGCTTCTTCGGCTACTTCACACTCTCAGCGATCGTCGATGGATTTCCCTTTCAGTAACTACGCGTCGACTTCTTACGGCGGAGGTTTTCGCGGTGTAGAGGACCCGTTCTGGCATCCACCTTTGCAGGCTCAGAACGACAATTCTCCGCAGTTCTGCCATCCTCCCATGCTTCCACCGGACCAAGACTCTCCCATGGATTATCTTCACCCGCCTGCGGGGAATATGCCAATGCAAGAAGAAGAATCATTCTTTTCAACATACCTACATCCTCCGATGATGTTGCCCGATGATTCTCCGTCGAATCCGATGCAAGGCAACGGCATGCAGGCTATGTCCCCTCCTGCACTGATGTACCCAGGCAACACTAATGACTACCGTTCGCATGGGTATGATACTCACATGCGGACGTATTAGTCGGTGGAAGGAGTTTTGTTCGAAAGTCTTGTCCCCACCAAGCATGCCATTCTTTCTCGGATTCGTTGGCCGGTCCGGGCCGGGTGGAGTGGTGGATCTTCATGTCATCATCGTGTTGTCGTTGTCACAGCTGCAAGTTTAAACTGTCATTCTCTCCTGCATGGTTTTCTTAGCATCGTATCTTCTCTCGCAATCATCATCAGCATCCAAACAGCATACACCCACTACATCTAGCATCATTTCTCGCTTTGTGATCTTTTGTTGTCGCTCCATCTTATTCCCTCCCGTCTTCCGTTCCTATCTCCTTCCTTCCAGCATTCTCTAGATGCTTGTCCATACACCGCAAATTATTCTCGCACCGCTTTCGAAGTATCATGAATACAATAACGTCTGACATCTTCCTTGCTGTCATTGCTCTTCTCTGCCGCTATATATATTTTTCTCAGGCATATACGACGTTACGAGCAACCAATCCTTGACATTCTCTTCTTGTCTTCTTTTCATTATTCATTTTTCATTGTAGTAGTCATCGCGCGAAGGGTCTGCGCGCTTCAGATCCACCAAAAATGTATCAATGTGATAATTTATTATCAATGATTGGTTCTTTAGTTAACTTATCGTATAGGAACAATTGAAATGTTTTTGAACTCCGTCTTCAGTGATATCTTTTGATATTGAATGCTCATGTTGCGTGAAGTACAATGAACTTCGCCGTCGAAGTCCCATTCAACACAGCCAAGGGGATTCACAAACGTGGTTGCCTACTGATGTCATGAAAAACCATGGAATGATCCGTTTTGTATTCGATCCGATCCTTCAAACCCACGACTACAAAGCGAATGCCTCGAAGAGAACCAGTGCATCATGATATGAACAGAGGGAGTGGGGAAGTCTAGGCCTCTCAGAAAAGGAATACCGTTTCACGCACTGTGTTGCCTCGAGAACATTTTAAGCGTCAGACGCTGATAAATGTGTGGCGGCAGCGGTCCGCCTCCATTGCCGAGCCCAGCTTAATTATAAAGTAGGTCAGCAGGACCCGCAGAAAGGTACCTGTAAGACAGACCCCTTGGAGATCCCATGAAGCTGTCGAATCTTAGCGGACCTTTCCGAAGGAGTGAGAGGTGGGGGTATGCGGTCATGAGTTCCTCATGTGGATCCTGGGTTAGGTGGAGTACCTGGGTACTTCGACCTCAATTGGACAGGACCCTGATGCGGGCAGAAGTATTGATGAGGGTATGAAAGTGCAAGATCGTAAGAATAGTAAGATCCTCGGATCCAAAAGTTTCGGACGTAGGGCGAAATGAAGCAGTGCACGCTGTGAATTGCGTAAGGGAAGGGATATATGAGTGGAGCGTCATTCAGTAAGAAAGGACATAAATCAAAGTAGGGTTGTCAAAGAATCAAAGTTGTGAAAGATGTGTTGGACGCAGGGTCGTGGCATCTAGAAAAGGCCCTCGGCTCCAAAGTAAGCTAAAAACGGTGGACATAAGTTGGCGAAATTTTCAGAGATAAGATATACCGTATTTCTGGTGCGAGATTTTAACATCGTAAGCCACGAGTTTTGCTTTTAAAGTCTCATGGTCGAGCAAAGTTTGGTCCTTGGATGATGTCGACGCAGAATAATCATGATCGCCATCATTTCGCCGCCTATTCTGCGGAAAGAACCAAAAATGATACCACGAAGGTCGACCATTCTTCGCAGTCGCGTTGAAATCCAAATGTGCGAACTGAGGTTTCGAAGGCGGTGATTGCCAAATCAAGCGAGGCTACTGATGTTTCGGCTGTCGGTCCGAACATTCAATCGCTTTTTCTGACCAATCAGTGGACGCCATTTTCATGACTGGGTAGATCTGCTGTACTCTCTGTTTAGGGCATAAATCCAAGTACATTCGGATGATTCTTGTCCTATTTACCACGTTGTAGTAGCTTTACGGTACTTCTGATCTTCTGGTTCCCTTATACAAAAAACTTCGAATGCCTAGTTACTGCATGGTCCCCCTCGTTAAATTATTTTCCAGAGTCCTACAAGTATTCTTGCTTAAGAACATAGCTTTGGAGTCGGTCACTCAGGCATATGCGATGCCCCGCTGACATGATTCTCTTTTCTCGGAGGATATCTCGCTCTGCGCGGGTGCCCGAACAAACCCGGGGCTGACAGCCTTAATGTTACGCATGATGGTCGCATCCGGTAAACTGACCAACCGGATTCTATCAGACATTGTATTTTCCTTCTCTGATGAGGAATATGTAGGATATCATCCCTGCATGTCAATAGCCAATGTTCCCTCATGCTTAGGCGTGGACGGCGCTATACCCATTCTTCCACTGGAGAATTTGATATCTTACACGGTTCCGCACAGCATACATCATGTTCTTCGCAAGATCTTACACCAAGCGTCTGGGCCTGTGTGTCTCCAACCCTTGAACCTGCCTCCTAGCAAGAGACAAACAGAAGAAGTGATGGATATTATTCAAGAATAGGTATATACATGAAGTTCTCATGCTCGGGACATGGTCATAACACTTCATCAGTACAAGAAAACCGGAGAGAAGAGTATAGATATCAGTCCTTACTATCTCCTAGATGGATCATCGCTCCTAGCGAATACAGGTCATCAGCCTCATTTCGATGCTGGGTTCCGGAGGGATGTATGGAATGCCCCACGCGTTCCAGACATACAGCTTTCCGTTCACCGGACGTTGCTTTTTGGGCGTCCTCGCTGCCACCGTAGCTGTACCCGTCGCAGTGGATGATCCCCCTGGTGCAGGCGTTGACCCCTCGATCGTACTATTTTGTCGTCCAGAAATCTGAGCCACTTCACTTGTGGTTGTGGTAGTCATCCCAATAGAAGCCACAACTGGAGAGGCAATAGCATTTACAGTCGTGGTGTTGGCAGCCCGTCTCCCAGGAGTAGCCGTCTGTGTGGCCCTCGTACCAGTAGCCCTTCGAGACGGAGTACCAGATATCTCTGTTGTGACGACGGTCCTTCGTCTGGGCGTGATGGCTCCAGTCCTTACGCTAGTCCATCGTCTAGGTGTAGCAACTGCCTCTGTCACGGCAGAGGCTGCCGTCCTGGACGTGGTGGCTACCGCCGTCGCAATAGTAGATCCCTCCGAAACAGTGGTTGTCGTGGGAGTGGCTTCCGTTGTAGCAGTGGCTTCCGCGGCGGCAGCGGTTCGTATCGCAGTAGCGTTTCTCGTCGCCCTCGCAATGGCCGCAAGAGCCGCCTGAACAGCATTAGCGGCAGCAGCAGATGCGATATCCGCCTCAGTAGGTGGAAGATTTGCCGGTGGCCGGGGAACCGCCAAAATAATCTTCGTCTCGTCTCTGTTCATGACACTCCCGCAAACGTTGCCTCGCACGTCATCGCCTATCGACACGGAATTGATCTCGTACAGACTCGGGTAATGATGCGATACAACTGTATTAGCTTTCGGGATCTCGCCATGTTCAGAGGGGTTATATTTGGTCGTTATCTCGCCGTGAACCGTAAGGAACTCCTTAACGTTGTATGACCAATGAATAGAGACGACGCGCGTTCCGTAATCCATTGTTCGACCAGGAACAATATCAGAAATAGGAGAGGTGGGATCCACTATCCATGCGCGGGTTAGGCCATTTTTGTCACCAGCTGCGAAGAGCTTGGAATTCCAGGGGGCCCAAGATATGGCCTGTTTAAAGATAAGATTATGAGCATAACGTGCAGCTTAATTGATAGGGTACTTACAGTGATCGGGGCAGTGTGCTTGATTTCCTTCGGGTAGCTTTCGCTTCTGAGTCTCCTCGCAGACTCGGGAACAAGATCCCCTACATTCATCGGCTGGTTGGTCTTTGCATTCCAGACCAAAACGTTCCCGTCAACATCTCCAGTAGCGAACATATAGTTGCTGGTATTAAAGTTGTACGCGATCTTGGCAATCATAGCCTTGTGGTATCTGATGACCTTCAAGCCCTTCTTCATCTTATCCTTGTCCAACCGGGTATCGTAATGCCTTATGCTACCTTCAGCGTTGCCCACCGTCAGGACGGGTCCATTCCAGGCAAGGGCAGTAGGCGCCTTCATCGAAAAACTGATAAGCTTCTGCATCGTCTTGATATCCCAGATCTCGATCAATCCGGCACGAGAAGCTATCGCGATCGACTCGACACCCTCCGAGCCAAACGCCCCAATGGCCATGGCCGTAAGCTTGCCATCTTTGACCTTGCACATTTGGGTGGCAACATCATTTGATGACAGTTTCTTACAGAAGATACGGTTGCGACGGGGGAAGAATAGGATGTTATGCTTGGAACACGCTAGGGCGACAGAGAGATTGTCGTCGAAAGGGACTGGGGGATTGAAGTCGATAGTCACGTCGCGTTTCTGAAGGTGGTACTTCGCCGACGCGTCATGCAACTCGGGTGGGCCAGAGGGACGGAGGGACGAAACAGATTGGCTGCGAGAGAGCAGAGGGGGCACGGCACCGAGGTTTGTTGCATTAAGTTTTTCGCGAAACGTTTTGCTCTCCCAGATTGTTAATTCGGGATGACGAGTCCGAGGCCGAGTTGGTGCGATGCTGCTATACTGTAGAAGGTGGTCGTTATCAGAACAGAGACTCGGGGAATAGTAAAACTTACGAGATCTTGGAGTGTCGTGAAGGAGGCACTGTGTCGAAGCATAGGTGCAGAGGCTGAAGGAAAACTGGTCAATTGACTATGAGAAGACGTCGACGGCAAGTCAGATAATGGGTTCGATGCTGACACGCGGGCGGGCGGTGGCAGCATCGACATGGACGCCGTACGACCGCCTGGAAGAGCGGAAAGACTCGAAGAAGCAGGGCGTAGCATCCTCTGCCTCTTTCTGTCTGCATCTTCTCCAGACTCTGGACTCAGAGACCGTCGTCGTTTAAAGCCGCTAACGGATTCGCTGACATCGAAAGGACGACGAGGTGTTAAAAAAACAGACGAGTCGATCGAAGATGTCGAAGCAAACGACTCGTCAGCCATGGTTAACCGGTGGCAGGAGGTAAGAAGTTAACAAATCTGTCCGTTCTTGAACATGGACTTGTGTCGTCTTGTTTGTGCGAGGAGCTGCAGCATCCCGCGTGCTCTGAACAATAATTGCCTGTTTCGTCCAGACAATACAGTTATGTCTCACCCGTCAAGCTTTGGATACAAAAACGATTAATATGCTCAATGAAAAGAAGTCAACTCACTGCAAAATTTGATAAAGAGCGGATACAGCATGGTTCGATAATTGCTACAGACCTCGAGAAATTGCGGCATGGTACATATGGTTCCTATGAACGGAGGTGAGTCAACGTTTGGAAGGTAAAAATGTGCCCGTTACAACTATCTACCCTCTTCAACTACCCTCTTCAACGTTACGTTTAAGAGGTGCGGTTCGATGAGTGGGAACTCTTTCATTTCCCTGAAATATACACTCAGTACAAAAAGATTTGCATCCGGTTCCTGAAAACCGAGACTGACCGGTATTTTCGTATGATCCTTACGTCTTCCTCTGGATATTTTGTCGATATATACTTTCCATCGTCGCTTCCGTATCTCTTCTTCTATTTCGAGGTGTCGAAGATAAAGCTCCCAAGCGTATTCCAAGACTCTTTGCTGTCTTCCTCCCCACAGCAGTCGCAAAGCATCTTCATATTCGTACAGTTTTGACGAGTAATGTTGTTCATCTGGCATTCCTGTCCCTGGAGTCCACTTCTACAGGTTCCCAAAATGACTCAGCGTATCGCGTCGCGAGTATTTAGAGGTCTCACTCACAGCGTCTGGCCCAATCATCCCTACATACCAAAACGTGAGGTATTCGCCACCATTGTCGTTTCTCTTGGGACCCCATGAACGGGCTGAGATATACGCTGGCTCCGTATTGGGGCCATCTCTTGCACCAGGATTCCTAGGCGAGGCAGGTGCCCGGGTAGCCTTGTGGAGCGGGAAGTGCTGGGTTTCGTACCCAGACTGCAATGAGAAGGGTCAGTATATGCGCGCTGTTATCGAAGAAAAAGGCGTGCCTCCTCGTATGCCTCTCTCACGGCAGCTTCTTCCAGTGACTCACCTATATCCTTTCTTCCTTTCGGTAGAAAATATGCCTTCCGTAGCGAATCATAACAGACAACAATCTTGTGCGACGAAGGCTGGATGATAACCATTCCTGAGCCCACCATGAAGTCGCAGGATGCCCATCCACTGTCAGGAATTTCGGCAGAGCTCCATTTAGAGAAGACTCGCGGTGGTGGTGGTGGCGGCGGTGTAGACAGCGACACTGCTCGTTTCCTTCCTCGTCGCTTGCCGTGGGATCCAAAGTTCATCGTCGTGAGAATTGAAGTTACATATTCCAATCACAGGTGAAGAGAAGATGGAAAGAGCACAGCCACGACGACGGATAAGCGCAGTTCCGTTTTAGTAACCGATCTAAACTCTTTCTCACCACATCTCAGCCTTGCTCGGTCGGACAGTTTTAATACAAGAAATAATGATAATTAATATCGTTACTTGTCGTCAGTCATTACATGTCGTCAATACATACAAGTCATAATCCATCATTACAGCACTGCGGTAGAAATTCCAAGGGAAAGGACAACGAGAAGGCTCGCATACAACCCTGCGAGAGATACAGGTACAGCTCTGGGTATTGCTGCACTTGAACTCGTCGAGGTACTTGCCGAGCTCGTGGAAGATGGAGTCACCTCGCCGTTCGACTCCGACACGTTGCCCAGTAATGTACTTTCCAATGCGCAGATGTTTCTCATTCCAGAGACAATACTGGGTAAGTCATTGCCTTCTAGAATGTCTGTCTGGTTCGTTGCTTGAAAGCTGTAAGCGAGCAATGAGGATTACGACGAATATGATAGCAGGAAAGCTATGCGTACCAGTCGACACATTGGGGAAAGACAGACTGGAAAGTCTCCGTACAGGCGCATTGGATAACATTAACGAAGGCTCCGGGATTAAATATAATCTGAAGTAATGATTATTGTAAGTCCCTCGGTAAGTCAATCAACGTACCATGGAAAAATTTGCCAGGACAGGCGCAGCCTCCGCACAGTTCTGAATACTCGAATAATTCTGTGAATCTCGGTATCAGTATGACAGGGTGACCACCTATCTGAAGATTTGCATCTAAAGACAGGGGCCCACTATTCCTTCCACACTGATATATTGAAGAAAATTACTCACCTGTTCGCAGATTGGACATGAAGCTGGCGAATCAGGAAAATACGGAGTTGTTCGGTGTACCAGAGCCTGGGAACGGCTCGACAGGCCAGCAGGGAAAGGGGATCCCTCTGCTACGAGAACGAGACCAAGAATTAGCATAAGGAAAGTCGTAAATTGCATCATTATGTAGGTCATTGTTGAACGTCTCAAGCAGGGGATCGTGCTGGCCGTCCTGTGCGGTGATGACGGTGTGGTGGAAGGATGGGAATTCGAATTCACATAAGACGATCAGAAATGACCTTGACGCACCGGATGTTACCGGGCCGAAATGACGCACGAGCTATAGAAGTAATGAACGTTGTGAGCTGACGGAGCTTGCAGAGGCAGCGCACATAAGGTGCTGACTAGGTTGCCGACTCAATTTAATATCGACATAGTAAATTCATAAGAGCATGGAAAATTGTTTGTTAACCAAAGGGAACGAGATGAGTAACTAGAAAGTCATTGTCCGGCAGGCACTAGCAGCCCCGGAAAGCAATCATTCCGCTTCCAATACCAGCGCCACCTTCCCAAAACTCTTCGCCTTTTCCACAGCACGAGATAAATCACTCAGAGCATAATCTTCCAGCACTTTCATGACCCACGCATTGTTCTTCCGGACAGAGCCAAAGTTTCCGTAGGCCTCCAACACATCTGCATATACCTGAAGTCTTTCCTTAGTCCTTCCGTTGTAGGTAGATGGGTGTTGAACACCACCATGCATCCCCAGCAACGCAAAGTTCTCCTGTAGGACAAGTAGTGAGGTGACCGAATGCTCGTGAATAGCAGAAATCATGACACACCTCGTTGCAAACCTCAAACGGTATTGGCTTCGCCTCCTCTATGATCATTAAGGCGCTCTCAAGTGGGTCCACAGCATGCCAAAATCCCCCATTCAATATCTCGAGATGAGCTAGGGTCTCCTGTATATTCTGCGACTCTTCTTCTTCGGCAATGCTGCGAATAAGAGTCACATGCGCGTCCTGGATCATTCTTCTCAATCTCAGCCATGTCATTTCGGTAAATCTCGACGACGATGTGAATATTGCCGAGTTCCCCGTTCAGAAGCGCAAGCTGTTGTTTGAGAGTACCACAAGAGATCTTCATCAGAATGTGCAGTTCAACGTAGTCCCACGAAGACCATGTTTTCCAAAGCTTGTCAAGGGCAAGGTCGATATGTCGAAGCTACAAAGACACGGTTTTAAGGGTTGCATCAATATAAGATAAAGGGCAAGTACATACCTGCCGTGCAAAACTTCTCGTCGCATAGAAACCGGTGTCACCAAGCGTCGCCAGGTGTGAGAAAAGGTTACGCATATCAATGCCCAGATGATGCAGAGCATGAGGAAGATCCCCTGGCAAGCGCTGGCTGCTTGAAGCGTCGACTGACAAATTTTCGATGGTGGTAATGGCTCGTTCGACTACGGGCATAGCATCTTTCTCAGAAAGAATCTCCAAAGACTCTGATAAGAGCACGACGCCACTAACATCTTCTTCTAAGAAGGCGGTTATGTTTGCCGTGCGGTAGAACATGTCCCGCGAAGTTTCGTCAGGGAAAACAGGAATTCCAGTCCAAGTGGCGTCATCAGCAGTAGTCAAAGCGGGGGTCTGAGACGTATTGGGACAGCTGATAGACTGTCGGACAGTCATAATCACGACGTACAGTGCTACGAGCAGATAGTAGCCGACTACCAAGACCAAGAACAGTTTGACCGCGAAGAGTATCTGGTGACAGATGAATCGCCAAGAAGAGTGGGTCCGAGTTGGAGCCATATCAGAGGGTGGAAACTTGTCAGATGAAGACATGAGTTTTGGAAGGAACAAATGAGGCGCAGTTGAACAACGTTGAAACGGAGGATTTTATACTAGTGGGATAAGGTGATCCCGGCGTTACAAACGCCTGAGCCTGGATACGCAACAAAGAGGACTTGATGAGGAGATGCTTCCATCTTTCTCACGTTGTCAAGGTTGAGAACAAAAACTGAAGCGTGGTGGGAAAGGGTAGGAAGAGAAGAAACAAAACGTGCACGTGCAAGCATTTGTTGGAAGCATCGTGGAAGAATAATGATCAACAAACCTTTCCGATCCTTTGAACCTTTCATTCATGCCAGCTCTTACCATGATCTATGTATTAAAACATTTATTGATGAAAGGTGCTGCACTGTGACTCAATATCAAGGATGAATGAGATTTAATGGTTTACTATTACTTATCTCGCAGTATCAATCACCAGGTTAGTGCCGAACTTAATTGTGTCCGCCAATATGAGTGGTCCAGTTCCATATCCGCCCAACAAGTACGATTTTGTGGTGCACGATTTTCGGGACGTCTCTCATTACGTCTGTAATGGTCCAGACCCGGTGGATTCTGTCTGGGAACAAGCATTCAGTTTCGTATCTATCTTGCGCTTGAACGTGAGAAACTCAGTAGATGGTAAGACAATCGCGCGTATTGCTCCCCGGCGCCTTCCATCTTTAAAGTTTTGGGGTTCTATTCGACCTCCTTGGGTCAACTGCTTTTGTTAACTTGCCGGACTGGCTCCGTGGCGGTGGAGGTGTCACTTTGCATGTGGGGGAATGTGTAATTCTCTGAAATTCGTATGTTATTCTCCTTCATGCACTCTGCAGACCCTTCCTGATCTGAATCGCTGGGAGTACAATTATAGTCTGTTCGATGTAACACATAAAATGGAAGGTACTCAACGTTAACGTTGCAGCACCTTACGCTGCCGAGCTATTTCTTTAACCCGACGTTGCGTCATCTCAACGACGGAATGCATGCTTCTAATATGTCCGCTCGGCGCTCCTCCCTCGGGTAAAAATTGACATTACGTTCTTGCCCGTGGGGTTTCGAAGTTGATACGGGGGATCGGCAGGCCTCTAATTGAAATACCCCATGGGCTGAACTGTCAAAATACTCGTGAACGCAGCTGAAATGTTGATGCTGAGCCTTTTTCGGCGGCTTTTCCAGTACAAGCGATGGCTCGTGACCAGGGAGAAATATGAACCATCGAAGTAGAAGTCGCTTGGAAGTTGGGGGTCCTTGTGAAGGCGGACCTTAGTCGTGCGTAATGCCTGAACGTTGCTCCGAAGGCCCGAAGCGGTAGCCCGCCACTTCCGTGTGAAAGAATGTTACCCAATCGGGATAGCGTCGGCATCGGCACGGCTGGCTGCTTTGAGACCTACATCGCCACTGTACTCAGCTTTATACTCGGGAAATTTGCTGGCTTGCGACGCCCTTCGTTTCCCCTTTCTTCAATAGAACTCCGAGCATTTTCCAGACTTTCGCTGCTTTCCGTGTTTTAAGACCCAAGTGCGTCAGTGGCGATAGAGATCTAGACCGCTTGATGCTCATCAAATTTTTTCTTTTTCAGTATACGCTTTGCAGTTCTCGTTCTCCTCTGCATCCAGTGAGTCTTCCTTGCTCATCGATGTGTAGTATAGAGAACCGGCACGTCGTCGAGGTTCTCCACGAGGAAGAAATTGCGCGCGCGGCATTTCGTTGCCGCTCGTGCCGACTCCGTTAGACGAGAGGTGCCTGACATACTCGGCATCATTCCGACGCCTCAGGTTTGATCCCAGAATTAAAAATTGGGAATGTAGGCTGCCGCCGTATATAACCAGTCGCACTCCGGTTTCGTGCTCGCACTACCAACCATGAGGGTTACCTCCTCCCTGCGGAATGTCTCCCCCTCTGTCTCGTCCGCTCTGAAGGAGCGTGTTCGCAGGCCTTCTTACCTCAAGAAGCTTGCTCAGCCTGCAGACCTTGCTCCTCTATTCCAGGTCCGTCGTCTTCCGGGTCGTACTCGTTGTCGAGGATTTGACTAACGTGTAAATTTTGCCGTGCAGAACGACGACTACGTATGTTTCCCAGCTATTGCCCAGATATAGCGCTAAAGACACGTCGGGATACATAGATTGGCTGGTCCGGATTCACCGGTGTCGGATATCCCAAGGGCGTTCCGACGGTACGTCGTCATCGCGCGCAGGGTCGGAAGACTGACTGATTATCCCCGTTCTACAGGCTATCGCCGACCATATTGAGTCCAATAATCTTCAAGCTGATCCCGCGACGAAGAAAAAGTTCAATCTCTTCGTCGGCGCATCCGTAGGACCAGAAGTCGAGGACAGATGGGCACGTCTTGATATGTATGTTTTGCTTTTTTCCCCACATTCCTGTTTTCTAATGCAAATTAGGATCGAGCGCCGCTATCCACATCAAGTTGGCAAGGAAATTGCCAAGGGCATCAACGCGGGAAGAATCAACTTCGCGGACAAACATCTTTCAAGTATGTTCCGTTATTCAATTTAATACGGGACCGGACTCAACACGTGCATCAGTGTTCCCCCAGGATTTGACTTACGGATACTACAGTCTGAAGAAGAAACATGGAGATCCGTCGAAACCGCTGAACTGGGCCATCGTGGAGGCCACTGCTATCACGGAGGATGGATCAATTGTGCCAGGTGAGTGATACCCCGCATTTGATTGCCCTGCTAGCTCTGATCCCCAATCGCCCACGCCTTTAGGTGCATCTGTTGGTGCTACTCCCGAAATTGTGCAGTGCGCGGAAAAAATCATCATTGAAGTCAACACTCTCATTCCTAACCTCGAGGGTCTTCATGATATTAACCAGTCCTTCATTCCACCACACCGCCAACCATACGTGAGTCTTTTCTCAGGTTTTTGCCTCATGACAACGAAAACACCAATTTGTTTAGCTCATCACCCACCCGTCGGACCGTATCGGAACTACGGCTATTCCTGTGGATCCAGAACGTGTTGTCGCCATCATTGAGAGCAGGCAGCCCGATAACACGAGTAGCAACACCCCGGAGGTCCGTATACCAAGCCTATGTCTTATCGCCGCATACTGACGCGAGGACTAGAATGATGACAGCAAGGCTATTGCCCGTCACCTGATCGAGTTTTTATCAGACGAGGTCTCGGCAGGTCGACTTCCCAAGTCTTTGCTGCCCTTACAGTCGGGTATCGGAAACGTGGCCAACTCCATCATTGGTGGACTCGCAGATGGTCCGTTCGACCGGGTGCAGGTCTGGACTGAGGTTTTGCAGGGTATGTACATATCACTTGTGGATGGGGATAAAGTTAACGGCGTGGCTCACTAGATACCTTCATCCATTTCTTCGATTCTGGAAAGCTTGACTTCGCTACCGCCACCTCTATCCGATTCAGCCCCGAAGGGTGAGCGCTTTCATCTTCACCAGATGTGTTTGGAGCGCTCATCTGTTTTTTTGGCAGTTTCGACCACTTCTATGCTCACTGGGCTGATTACAAGGATCGTCTCCTCCTTCGTTCGCAGCAGGTTGCCAACTCTCCCGAGCTGATTCGGCGACTTGGTGTCATTGCCATGAATACCCCACTGGAAGTTGACATTGTACGCCGTTCTTCCTAACGTCACCGCTTCTGCTTATCGTGTCCGCCCGCAGTACGCCCATGCTAACTCCACGAACGCCTTGGGATCTAGGTGAGAACCGTATGCTTTTTGGCCGCGTCTCGAGCTGACGGGTTTCTTGTCGTTAGGATGTTGAACGGTCTTGGAGGATCCGCTGACTTTTTGAGGAATGCCAAGCTCTCTATCATGCATACGCCGTCGAGGTAACCCCCGCTGCGTTTCCGAAGTCCGATTAATGTTGAATTGCCGGTTCTACAGTCGACCATCCAAGACCGACCCCACCGGTATCAGTTGCATTGTTCCTTTCGCTTCGCATGTGGACCAGACCGGTGAGACTTCCGTTTGTTTTTTTGCGTCTTAACGGAGAACTGAATGCGTATAGAACATGACCTGGACGTTGTCGTTACTGAGCAGGGTCTTGCTGACCTTCGTGGTCTCGCTCCTCGTGAACGTGCCCCTCTGATCATCGAGAAGTGTGCCCACCCCGATTACAAGGATCTGCTCCATGAGTACTATGACCGTTCGCTGCATGAGTGCATGAAGCGGGGTGCTGGTCACGAACCCCATATGCTCAGGGTAAGACCGTTATACCGTGCTTTCGGATATATGCTGATCGCTTTTTTTCCCTTTTCTTTCTCACAGAACGCGTTCAAAGTGAGTCCTTCGCCTCTTAAAGGGCTTGAGTTTGCTAATGCATAGCTTTTTCTCTAGTTCCACACCAACTTCATGGAGCACGGAACGATGAAGGTGAAGTCCTGGGATTAATGGATATTCTGCAATGAACGATATATCTACCGTCGACGTTGTGATAGCATGTTGAAAATTATAAATCAATAAACATTTGTACATTCCATCATATCGTTTAAGCTCGCAGCTGGCGAGTCTAGAGGAAAATTGAGCTCCTATGCTTTCTGCGAGATTTTTTAAACCGTGGTGGCAGTGCTGAGGATGTAAAATAAATAAATGAAAAAGAAAATAGATAAACAAATCCAGTAATATTAGCACTGCGCGCCAAATTGCTCTTTGCCTTTCACGCCCATCATCCTCCGTCGCGACGTATGAGTCTTTCTGCCTCTAAACGCGAATATCATGGTCAATGCTAGCTTTCTCCCTACATTATCGTCGCTGGATGTCGACCGCGCCACTCAAGTCCGTATTTTCGAAATTTCTTGATGTGGTCTTTCGGAACCCTGACTGATATTATTCAAGTTGATTCTCCAAGCTTATGGACAGCCCAACTCTTTTCTGCCGCCAGACGAACTTAGACTACGCCAGCAAGAGCTCTTTGAGATACAGAAGCGACCAGAAGCTTGGGGTCTGGTCCTTCCATTGCTGAACCATGAAGACCCGAATGTTCAGTTCTTTGGTGCTCATACTGTGCAAGTGAAGATTGCACGCGATTGGTGAGTGAATGCCTTGACTTGCAACGATTCAGGACCGTAATAATTTGTAGGTTGTCTTTTCCAGAAGACCAGGTCATACCACTCCGCGATCTGCTCATCCAATTAACAGCGCACTCAATCGTCATTGGGAGAAATAATGTTATTCTTCGGAAGCTCTTCGTCTCTGTACATCACGCCTCTTCCCCTCATCGCTCCGTCTAATGGCTATCTCGACAGCTGTGTTCTTTAGCGCTCAAACTAGCCCCACAACATCCTACACAATGGCCGGATTGGATTTTGTCCTGTGTTACCGCCTTCTCTGGAAGCGGTGCCCAAACAGGTCCTATCCTCGATTTTCTCACTATTGTGGCGGAGGAGATCAGCACGGCGGATCTACTTGGTCCAAATAAGTACGTGGGTAACGTTGCTTTGCACCTGTTCTCACGCGCGTTCTAGGACGAGGATGACTGACACTATGAAAGATAGCAGCCAGATAGTCCTGCAGGCTATCAGATCGTCGCTAGATCGTTCATCTGCCGTTCCGGCGAACCAAGTCTTATCCGCTATGAAGTGTTTTCAGTCGTGGTTATCGCATCTCGGTGCCGCAGATGTAATCGCCATCATACCTCTTCTTCTTCTCTTTCTTAACCCTGACGATGACACTTTTTTCGTGGCCGCGTCAGCTACGTTGCAAGAAATAATGTCCTCCTCCCCACTTTCAAATGGGCAGCTGGGCTCGGGAGTCAAGACTCTAACCCAGCCTCTTCTCTTGTGGCTGGATAGCACAGGCAGTGTCATCGTCGAAAACACCTTACGGAACGGTCTGGTAGACGAAGTCTCACATTCATTGTGTAAGCTTCTAGCAGAGCTTGGCGATCACTCGACGCCGTATTTCGCCCGCAGCATCGCTTCCAAGGCACGGGTGGATCCACTTGAAGCCTACCAGAGCGTTGTCCCAAACCCATCCGGGAAAACAAAAGGCCAACTTACGCAAAGATACCTTCGCGTGATGCTTGATTATACAGGTCTATCTGGATACTTCGGAGAGGATGAGGAGACAAGTGATCTGACTCTCGGATTTTGGTATATGCTCCAAGAAGCACTTTGGGATCTCAGTGTTGACGACGATCGGGAAACAAATGACGGCGACCCCAACGCCATTGCCAAAGCCGTCTATGTAGAATTAGTCAAAATACTGCGCAGGAAAACGACATTTCCTCCTCGGGGACACGGATGGTCGAAAGGTATGGTTTTTATGATTCTATCATCTCCGTATGTTGATATCTAGGTAGACCAAATAATCAGATTTCAGACGTAGGTCGTACTGCCGATCCAAGGCTCAATACTGATCCCTTCCTTAGTTATCGGCGGGACATCGGAGACACACTAATCAATGCGTGGGTGCGGTGCATTTCTATGTAATAGCTCCCGCTTATTGGTCTACAGGTACTACGTCATTCGAGATGAGATGCTAGTCTACTTTGTGGACAGCTTGATACAAGAGCTCTCAAATCGAACAGATCCTAATCAAGGTTGGGAGGTGGGTCTATTGTACCATGCATAATGTATAACGCTCATCTTCTCTACTGCGTAGGAAATAGAATCAACACTTCATTGCCTGTCATCTCTCCATGAGGCCTTGGACTACGATAAGTCGCCTGACTTAATCCGGCTTTTCAACCCCGAGGTTATAGGCCGATTGCCATCTACAGGCCATGGGCGCGTATGGTTGACAACGTTAAATCTTTTAGGTTAGTGTAAAAAAATAGAAATCGGGTGAACCGACTTAACGCGACCTTTATAGGAACTTATTCCTCCTGGTTCGCTCATGAGTCTCCTCAGTTGGAAAAGGTTATGTCTGGTCCTTCAAAGTTGGACATGCTATTGTCCGCTGTAGGATATGTTGTTGCGGCGCTACCGGAACCGAGTTTGTCCGTACAAGCTGCCCTCGCCTTGCGCAACCTATGCGATGCCAACAGGAAGCTGCTCGCGCCGCAGATTGGGGCATTCGCGGAATTACATGCTGGCTTGGCCCGAGTGCCGGTACGTGGAGTATTGGGACACGAGGATAAAAACTCAACATTGAATTTTGCCTCAGGATGCAGAGAAGAGCAAGGTGCTACAATCTATCGCAAGCGTCATCGAGGCCTTACCGCCGGCGCAGCAAACACCTCCCATTGAGGTAAAAGCGCAATTTCAATCCTTTACTAAATTTCTCAACACGATCTCAGGCCATGGCTACACCTATTGTACAAAAACTGATGGACATTCTCAATAGCCCCACTACGGTAGGCCTTGGATGGCATTCTTCAATCATTCGACTGACGTCTCTCAGCTTCCTCCTGAAGCGCGGAGTTTAGCTATTCTTCAGTTAGAGACACTAGCTGGTATCTCCAAGGGTCTGACTCGGGCTACAGACGATCTATTAGACCTGAACGAGGATTCTCAGATGCAGCAAATTCTAGAACAAGTGAACCTGGCCAGAAGGGATGAACGGATGGCCAGACTACGTGAAGCCATTCTTGCTGCTATCAGCCGGTGCGTGGAAGCTACAGGACAAGATGTTGGTGTTGGACAGGTAAGTCGTGCTGTACTTCTTCGCCGCGCACTTAGCAACAGCTCTCAGGCTATCAATGAACTGGTCAAATCTATAACTTCACTTGCATCCGACGCCACTATCATATCTTTGCCACCCGCACCTTTGTTGTCTTTGGTTTGCATGGCCGCACAGCGCCAGCTTACTGCATCCTGGCTGGCGCTTGCAACCATGCTGTTTGCTCAAATGAATCCGCCTCCACCCATGCCATTAACAGGAGACGAGGATGGTCTGTTGAAGCATAGAGAAGCGGAACTTGAACGGCAACGTGCAGAGGAGGAAGAACGGGCTAAGGCTGTCGTCATAGAAGTATTGCCTATTCTACTCAATGTCTCGTTGTCGTTCATGGCCGTTCCCGGAGCAATGGTGGATGTGGGTGTTTTCGACCCTGCCCTAGCGAAACAACGTGCTGATAAGATTGCGTTAGAATCCTGATATCGTTCAGGAATTTTTCAACTGCATGGACAGAGTTGGTCATGTCGGATGGTATTGCTATTATTACGTTGATGACGTTTGTTTCCGTAGGTTGCACAAGATTTCACTGCCACGCTGTACCATTTACCGCCGGGTGCATTGGATGCCCTCATGCAATGTTCTGTTCGCGCTATGGCTTTGCAGGAGCGTTATTCTTTGATCGCTGCTTGCAATTTTCTGGTACGCTCGGTTCATAGATATATCCTGTTCGGCTATAATCCGTGATCATCTAAATGTGCAGAGTAACCTTATTCATCGATCCTGCGTTTACCCTGCGTTAGAAGCTCAACGGACGCAACTGATAAGCGGGCACGGCCGAGACATAATGCGAGCAGTGTTGTTCGGACTTGCTGGCGTGTCCCCCAGGAGTGCGACGCCCAATCTTGTGGAGATGCTGTCGACCTTACTAGTCAGATGTGTCGAGGAGTCACGAGTATGGCTCAAGGAGATCTTATTTGATGTCCGTCATTCGATTTCCGTCGTTGTAATAGCAACTCACCCTCATGTTGTAACAGGATGACTTTTTGCCGTCGAAGGCGGGGCCCGCTATCAAAGAGACGTTCGTTAAGACCGTGTTGGGGTTAGTGCTCGAACTCTTCTCAGGGATGATTCCCACTTATGTTTGCCTTTGACAGATCTAGGTCAATAAAGCGAACTCGCGAGGCCGCGAATCAATTCGCTCTTGTCGCACGGGGTTTAGAGGGAACTAGTTTCGGCTACGCATCGGTATCCATGTAAGAGTAAGAAGTAGGCTTTTCTGATTTCTATCTTGTCCTTAGCGGAAGCTCACCCAGTATTTCAGTTATTTATGCGATAGAATAACATGTAGGAAGATAATAAAGCTTTGAAATCTAACTGCTTTGCACATTAGATCACGTTTAGCTTTGACATGCGGTATGATGCCACAACGACTAGCGGCCATGATCCTGAACGGAATGTCGATTTTCCTGGTCACTTTCCACCTGATAAGATATACAGTTACCCGAAAGCTTCCATAAGCACCCGTGTAGTCCCATTCCGTCCTCCGTCACGCCCAATGGGACCTGGATCTGACGTTATCGGCATCGATGATGACTGGCCTTCTGTTACTGTTTCTCGCGAGCCGGTAAAATGAATCCCAGGCAACATGTGTTGTTCTTCAGCACTATCGCTGAGTTGTAGCCTTATAGAAGGGACCCTGAAATCATCTTCTTGAAACACGCCTGGGTCAGTGATTCGATTTATGTGATATGTTATGTGTTTATAAAATTACATGCCAAGCTCAGGTCATGCACTTTTCCGCTCCTTGATTCCCAACTATCATCTCGAGATATGTCTACCTCCTCGCCGGTCAACATTGGCATTGCTATCCACCGCCTCGGAGACAAGACCAGTAAAACAGCGTTTTACCAATGGAACCTTGTCCTCTCCACCGGTTCATTTGACGCTCGTGATGTTCGTGTCTACACCATTTCCAACACGAAAGACAAAGGGCGCACCACCTGTCCATGGTTTCTCGATCATCGAAAAGCCACTCTCCTCCACTCCTCCGCCCTTCAAGGTGTCTTCCAAATCCCCTTGATTGTTCCATTGACATTAACGGCGCTTGATGAATTCATTCGCCAGTTCTCATCGACGAGGGATGGCTATAACACGAGGGGCCGAGGTTGGGATGCCACAACGTACACCGTTCGGATTCTAGACAGCTTGCACGAGGCTGGCTGTATCATGCTGCCATGCAGAGTGGACGAGTTGGTGCTGCACGTCGAACACAGAGTCGCCCGACTGGAGTCGATGAAGGAGCAACCTGGGTACGGAGGCATGAAATTAGCGGTGCTCCCGTTGTGATCGCGGAGGAAAATAGATGGGGCGTGGGTGTCATTACGGTGTGGCACGAGAGGCGGCTGTCGATGACAGATCCGAGAGTCTGGGAACTTTAGGAGTTACAATCGTCAATGCGGAAGTTAGGTTGGTTAGAGCTTAGATCGCTAGGGCTGCCACGAGCAAAAAGGCCTGCTGTTGGTTCGGGTTGTATTTTTTTTTCTGCTCTTGTCTCATTTTCATTTACCTCTGTTGCTGTGTATCTGCTATCTTTGTAGTTCAATTTGAGACCCTGGGTCACGCGCAATTATCGTTTACGCGGTCGCCACCGTTCGTTATGCATAGTCGTATTCATAGAAATCGTAGGCCGTATCAGAATATTTAGTAAAAATGGTCATCACATCCTCTGATTGTGATTACATGATCCCGATGTGTCCTTCAAGGGGGAGGAAGAATCCGTCCATCGTAGTAAAGCAGGGCACATGTAAACATCCAAGTTCTCTGACTGACTACGAAGGTGAATTACATTTCGCGGACTTCAGTAGGCATCGGCAAGCTTCCGTGAGCTGAATGTCACATATAAAGAGGAAGCTCAATATGGACGGGCGATCATCTAAAAAGAAATGGAAACGAACACTCAGCCCCAAGATTGATTCCGGAGTATCCGAAGATGGCCATCTTTTTGGGCGAAAGTCAGAGAGGGACGGGGACGCAGAAGTCTTGAAGAGGATATCTGAAATACGGATCATCGAACGGAACAAACCAATGACCATGCTAGAGCCGCCTTTGTCCTCGTTCCTTTCCGCAGCTGACGAAAGAGCGTGCTATCTGAAAGATGCAAAAACTAAGTGTAGCGGTGGTCATATAATTAAACTTTGTCTACTTGGTTCAAAGTGTCAAAAAATGAATCCATAAGGGCAAATCACACAAGCAAGGAAATGATTGGGTTTACGCCCCAAGTTCCGTAAGAGTACGCCGCCTCTACCAGCCTGGATCGTACGCCGGAGCTGGAGGTCGGTCGCCCCAGTGTTTTACTTCATCTCGGAAGCTGATAAGGTTTCGGTGTCTAGATTAGGAACAACCAAGTCGCTCACGAACATAAAAATTGTGACTATTTGTGCTCTTGCTGTTGTCGATCCGGATATTAAATGTTGCTACACTCCACGATCGTTCCGAACGTCGCACAACGGCGGCGATCAGCACTCTACGGGCCAGGGAGGGCTAGTGGAACCGTATGGAGGAAAACACTCGTAATCGTGAAGTTCTCTCTAGCTGCGATCATCTCTTCCAGACAAAACGGAGTATCATGGACCAAGGACACTAAGCGATGTTCCTGTGGCGTACAAGCTAGAATGGCCTAGTTTCGCGCTCCCTAGAATCGCAGAGACAGTTGGATTCTTGAAACTTCTGCTTGGGCAAATGGGAATACCATGAGACGAGTAAGGATGTCAAGCCGTGGATTATTGAAGCACAAAGGGCTCGAAATAGATTCGAAGTAGCAGCAGAGCCAGGACCAAAAGGAAGAAAGAACAGAAGTCCAACCTGCAACGACATGCCTGTTAATCAAAAAGTATTCTCAGTTCCGGGTAGTACTAAGTGCAATCACTCAGCGATTTGTCGCAACAGAACGAACTTGGTCCGTGGGATGGCCGGGAGATATAAACATTATATCACTGTCTTATCTATAAAGGCGCATTACGTTAAAACGTCGTGAGCAATAAGTCACTGACGCACGCACTTGTTGTTGACTCGTAGTATCGACCGTACGATCGTACATATTCGTCCGGGCCGCAGACGCCGCTGACGTGTAACTGAGGTTCAATCTGATTCTCCGAAGGAAACTCCGACAGAACGTCCTTCCTATTCATGCTTGATATCGAGTACGAGGTCAGCTCTCTCCCAAGATATAATTCAGTAAAGCTGTACCGTATCATAGACTGTGTCCGGTTTCTTTTGCCAGGATGCGGTTGACGCCGATCCTGTGGCAATAGGTGCTGTCCCCCCTCGTTTTGGCTTACTCGACGCGTCTCCCGACAGATGGAAGACATTCAAATCTGCTGTCGAGAGGTTAAATAATGATTCCGCCAGTAGTGTGTTCTATAAAGTATTTTTCCTTGGACGTCATGGTCAAGGCTATCGTAAGTCGAACTAACTTGGCGATTGATTCGTTCTGATGACTGTCGACAGACAACGTTGCCGAATCCAAGTACGGAACGCAAGCCTGGGATGAGTAAGTGTTAGGGTACACCTGATGTCACGCTCAATTCACATAGTTTCCCATAGCTACTGGTCGAAACTCAATGGTGACGGTGAACTTACGTGGGGTCGTATGTTCATACGTGTTACGAAGTGCTCGCCTCCTGTTGAACGATCCTGTTATAGCTGATGCTTTGTTGACTCCTCTCGGCGAATCCCAAGCGAAGGATGCCCGTAATGAATGGGAGACGGAACTACATCATGGCATACCTCTCCCCGAGAAGACTTTCAGTAGCCCCTTGCAACGCGCCATGCGGACATACCTGCTCACGTTTGATGGCATCGCCGTCGCTTGTAAGCCTTTGGTCCTCGAGGTGTGTTAATTTCACTACCCTCGTATCCTCTTTTCTAAAACCTTGTTCCAACAGAACTGTCGGGAAGAATACGGAGTTCATACTTGCGATAAACGGCACCCATTGTCTTGGATTCAACTACATTACCCGCAATTTCTCGTGGAAGACGGTTTTAGTGAGCAGGATGTTTTATGGAAGCCTGACGTGCGAGAGACGAAGATGGAGGTAAAAGCCCGAGCAAAGAACGTACTCGATAGAATTTTCTCTCTGGACAGTTGTACATGTGAGTGTTGGTATATTTGATAGCTGTACTAGGGCACGAGACGCTGATTATACAATTCACGATAGACATCTCCATCACCGCCCATGGCGGAATCATCAACGGTTTATTGGCATGCATGGGCAGGGACACTTATTCCCTGCCAACAGGAGGTCAGTCTTTTTTATACCCATATCTTCCTTACTAAGTCAAAGATAGGTGTGTTACCTGTCGTCGTTAAAGGCGTTAGACGCGAACAAAATTAGAAGTTGTTATCCTATCCATACCCGCAGTAAATTATGGTCCATGCATTGACAACATGAACCTATCTGATCTTCGGCGCTGTCTCCGAAAGCCAGGGAACAAAGGGAAACAAGAGCTCGCACACGTGAGTAATCATTCTTCCGGACTTTCCTTGCACAGTACCGTGATGGATAGTTCGATAGAAGAGGAGAAGGTCGCGGGAATCTACCCAATTTTCTCGCCCGAAGGCCGCCGCGTTGAAATCCGAACTGTCCGCATAGGTTGTCTTTCCTCGGGGCTTGATAGTTCCTCCGTACAGGCGTGATCTATATGCCTAATGTCGAGACATTGACTCCCTTGAGATTTCCGCCGCGGGTGTGGGCCCGAATGCAGGACCTGCGCGTATATTGAGAAAGATTTTGACCAAGGCCCTACAGAAATGTAACGGTGTCAATTGGCGTCCTGTACTGTTATGTACTAGCGCGTCTCTTACCATCGCATATCTAGCGCATGATCTCAGCGTCCATGCAACAAATATCAACGTTGAACGAGGGTATCTAGAGCAGACTCAGGTGTTCGAGAATCTAGACCTCCAGAACAAGCGCAGAGGGCGCCTGTACGACCGGTCTCTAGAATTGAGCAGTCTTTGTGAGTCTTGACATCTCATCCAGGTGCTTGAAAAGTTACCGATTATTTACCGACTTTCTTGCCAGGAGCCCTGTTCCTCGGCTCGTTCAAGGTTGTATACCAACGCTGGTCACGATGCCATATCTGCTGGTCCTACGATGGCAGCATCGGCGCAAAGGTGAATATTAGGCCCCACAGTTAATGCTATGCAGGCAGCGGCTAGAGAATTGTTTCAAGGCCAATGTTGGGACACCTGCCAGTGAATGACGTCCTGACCATAAGGTAGGTGGCAGGAATTATGGTGACTCTGAAACTAATATGGGAAACCGATAGTCACAGTTGTGGACTTACAGAACCAAAGGGCTGTGAGCTTCAAATCGGTGGCACGGTATGCCGGCAGCCCGGTCTTCCTGCGCCCGACTCTGAAAAAGGTCGTCGGTACCGAGTTATGAACACGCTATCCCTGATTAGAGCGGAGCATTGCAACTTGACTGAGATCACTGGCGAGTTGAATTGTGTCTAGGGGTATTTCTGCTTACCGGAATTTAGTTGTACATTTTTGTGTCGCATCATTTGTTGCGCTTTTGTTCAAATATCTTGGTTGTTGCAGATCATGTCCTGATTGCCTGGCGGTATTCAATTATTCGCCCTGAAGTCATCGCTATAGCTGATAAAATGAATGCACAGAATCCTTCCGATCATTATTCAGGAGAACTCAGGGCGCTGTTACTTAGTACCTAGTACTATTGGCTGTTCTCTATCCGCATTTATACCAGGATAAGGATAGCATAAATATCCAGAAGGCCGGAGGTGGGCAACCCACATCCTGCCGCACGATGGCTAATGGGACTGCGAACGACGAGAACGACGAGTTCGCTGATTTGTACCGAGGAAATCTGATCCCTCTTCACATCGTCCGTAAGTACCGCCTTTTCGTGTGGCTAGAGCTTTGAGATCAGCTGACTGTATAACCCTGGCAGTCGTTGGCCTCACATGGATCGTACATGACTACCGCAAGTGTTCCTTTTTTTTATTGCAGTACGCTCTGCTGATATTGGCGAAGTTGTGACATTGGAAGATGAGGTATGTGATGGCCCTCGATCTCTGACACATTTTTGATTTTATTTTCTTAGATACGATATATCTGGGTAAGACTGAGTTGCGGTGGCTTTACCTACGAATTTAATTATCACTACCCCCAGCCACAAAAACGAAACATAGGGAAGATCCTGTTTTTATGGGTGCGCTGCTCACCGATACCTCTCCATGGAAATCTGTCCTTGAGTCAGGCTGATGTTTCCTAGGTTCGATACTACAGTATCTCGTTGCTCGCTTTCGACGCCATTCAGATACATGTCTTTTCCATTCCCGGAGTACCTTCTGACGACCTGTGAGCTCTTCTCTTCTCCCGCTACATAACACATTGTCACATTCAAGTAGGTGCGTAGCAGTAAATGCTATCACTCGCATCACTGGTGCCATAGCCCTTTGGTCCGTCGAGATTGTCATGCAATTACGCGTTTACACTTTGTTCGGGTGTTCGAAAAAGGTATTTTTTTAGTTGCGAATGGTACTGAATCCATAGTTTGAATCCATCTCAAGGTGGCCGCCATCCACGGCTTTCTGTTTGCGAGTTCCATTGCTGCATTCCTATGGATATTGATTCATAATGTTGTGAGACAAGGTGGACTCATTGCCGATGCGGTCCGACTACCTCTGCCCGGGTGTCCGTCGGTTCATACTGGGATAGAATGGGCCCAATGGGTACCAGGTAAGTTTGTCACTACGACAATTGAGAATCACCTCTTATTCATAAAAGCAACTGCATACGAAATCGTCCTTTTCGGTTTTGCAATTATGAAGACAGTCGGATTTTTGTTGAACAGCATGATGAGAGGACATCGGAAATCTCTTCACTCCATTTTGCTCCGAGACAATATCCTTTACTTTTTGGCGTAAGTTTCCTGTCCATTTGACTATTTCCTCCCTGATCTCGCTTGTAATCAGAATATCGTGCATACTGGTATTCAACAATCTCATGGTCGTCGTGGGTAGCATCTTCTCTGCATCAAAGAACTCCACAACTGACCTCCGCATCGTCTTAGGGAGTGACTAAGATACCGTGGTTCAGTTTTGGGTGCGTTTCGAGCTCTAACCTTTGCTTCGATCTGAATATATTCTCATTCACCAGCCCGTTCCATGCGGCAATAGGAGTACTTACTACCCGTATGCTCATCAACCTGCGCAAAGCGACTTCTCGGGATATGATAACGCTACAATTCCCCTGGACCCAAGAGAACACCACTGCTCCCCAGGAGGTTACTGAGACTGGGCAAGTTAACAGTCTATACCCCTTGACCTTTCAAGGGGTGACAGTTGATTCGCGTGCGACCGAGAATGTAAATTCATATCAGAAGAAATGAAGACGAGTGAATGAATTAAACAAGCTCCTTGTATCGTGTAGATCGCTATTTGGTGCCTTCTAGTAAATTATTCTTAATACGATATACATGAGATATAACATGAGGGCCAAATAAGGTCGGACATTATGAATCAAACATTAAATATCATGGCTACTACCGACGATAGATGGAACATATCGTCGCAATCCTGATTTCCCATACGAAAAACTGAAGCTAATTCCAGTCATGAACTGATCAAAATAGTCGCGTGTCATATTTTCCCCATCGCGTGTCAAGATCGTGATATTTTCAATGTGGCTTGAGTTCAGTGATGACAGCGTAGCCTTTGAAGAGGGGATGTGATAGACGTAAAACACGACTACCCGAAGTTCTGTCAGGTAATCAAGATTGAGGAAACCTAAAAATGAGAAATGAGTTTTACTTGATGCCGTTCTTCAAACCTGCGACCGCACCATTTTTACATTCGAAAATCGTTAGAGTGACGAACTGAAGAGAGGTGCGACAGGGTCTCAATATGGCGCTGATGAGGTGTGAATCCAGTGCGCTCTGCCAGTGGCTATCAACTTTCAGTTTGAAAGTCGTTAGCCTAAGTGTAGCACGATGCCTTTTTATCCAACATAAGAAATCCTTGTTCCAGGTTTTTATCGAGAGCGAACGCAAACCCGCAGGAAGGGTTATCTCTTCCAGTGACGAAAGTGGGATATCCTCGGTACTATTTCCCTGCCTGTTGAACTGGATTGAAAGGTGCTGGAGGTCACAGAAAAGACTCGAATACAGGAGGATGCGCCTGAAATTGGCGGCGGATGTCTCTTCTATGTCACCTTTATCCTCATAGCTGAAGGAAAGACGTCTGAGGTGTGGGAAATAACGACGTAGTGCTCTCGCTGGTTCTAAAGACTGTCCAGTAATTTTCGCTCGGATTATCCTGGAGTCGGCATTAGCAAGGGTGCGGAGGGCGTGTCGATATCTCATCAGCCTGTCCTGTTTCGTGTACATCGAAAGCGAAACTTTCTGAGCGTAAGGAGATATGGCACTATCCGGCGAGTTCAAGAGCTTCACTAATTGTCGCACGCGGTCGCCCGAATGAACGTGTATCCATAATAGACGCCGGCTGGTCGGGACCCATGCTTTGCATACGAGACTGCAGGTGAGAAGGGTCTGTCTGTGAGGATAACAGAAGTTTATTATGATTTCGAATAGTTCTTGGGGAAAGGTGCATTCTCGGGGTACGTTCAGCGTTGTGGCATTTTTCCGAAATTTCGAGATAAGGCTACGCCAGCAGACGCGTATACGGCGTAGGGGGTGGAGAATCCCGGCGTAGGCGTAGAATTCGATGAAAGTGGGCAGGTACTCTTGATGGTAGGCAGTATAAGATGCGACGGTCTTGTTGTACAATTCGGCGCAAAGGGGGAAGAAGCAACCAAAAAGGATCCCGTACCCGATCAGTATGCCGACCATAGACATTGGAATCAACCAGAATACGCATGCTATGATGTCCCCGGCTTTCTTTACTCCACATAATTCGCCATTATCGTCGCCGTTGTCTCTAGAAAAAATCGGCATGAGAATGTCTGGTACCGCGTTAATGTATGCCTATTCCGAATTCGCAAGTCTATGGCATTGAAGAATTTTGGGACAATGAATGGATGATCGCCAGTGAAACATTCAAGAATTACCTGTATTTGCCTGTAACCCAGGAAGAAGATATTCAAATTCGTAAGTTAGAGACGAGACGAGGTGAGGAGGATGGAAGGAAAGGAAGTCTCAGGAAAACCCGCTGGAAAACGTCATCGACACACCTGTGATTTATTCTGCTAAAATAGAAAGCCGGCGGACGGCCCGAGTTCGTTGAAATGCTATTTGTCGCGTCCGCCGACAACGGCGGGTTCTCGACAAACTTTCGGTGCTGTTATCTTGAATGTGCCTGGATGAGTAAATGCTGTTCATCCTTTTATCTAGTTGGAGATTTGTATCACCCGAAAAAGGTCCAATGAATCCGTTTGGGACGGGTATTGCTGTGAAAATGCTGTTGGAGCCATAGAAGCGGTAGCGCTATATGATGACTCGTTTGAAGTATCCCATGTGGGTTAGTGTCGTTAAAGGGTATAAGATAGCTCAGCACACTCAAATAAGGCCAATATACGCCTCTGCCTACACCAACAGTGACTCAGGGCCACGCCTATCCATCTTTCTTCTATCATCATGTTATGGATATTGGGTATCCACTGATTCGGTGCATGAGTCAACACATGCCCGAACTCGGCCTTCTCGGTCCTAGTAGTGACTCGCTCGTACTTTCTCTTACTTTCTCTATTCTTCGTATTGATACTAGAATATTATAGAACATTGTAGAATAATAATGACTCGAACATTTCCTTAGTATATAAACTTGTAGATAACATTGTATTAAAGAGACTTGACCAATCTACTACTTCCAGTACCCTCACACTGCGTGAACCCTCAGTTACGCCTAGCGCTTGCTGAACAACCCATTGGATACGCCTAGCGCTTTCCAATACCAATCCGAAGGTTACGCTTAGCGCTTGCCTTCACCCACGGCCCGTAATAGCTTCGCGCTTACAGGCCTTCTATATCGGTAATTGCTCCGCGCTTACCGGCTACTTCCCTCAGTAATTGCTTCGCGCTTGCTGATTTCCTTTATTTCGCAAACTGGACCACTCAGGTCTCCTCACGAACCCTCGCCGGAATCCAATATATTCTCTAACGACGTACATCATTCCTAATTAATCTTACCTCACTTCGATCACTACTCCTCGCCTCGTGCTCGCATCTCCGGATTTCGGCAGATCCATAACACATCACAATCATGTTCTCTTCGAACTCGTCATCTAACTCTTCAACGGCGTCCTTCGTTTCGACCCAGACATCGCGGCCGACGTAACCTCTTATGTCTTCTCAGAAAGACTACTCCTCTGCTTTCGCAGAACTCCAATCCACCTATGGATTTGGCGGCCATGTACCTTCCCCCATACCGAAGAAATCGAAAACCTCTGAGACATCGAAACCTTTCCTTCCATCATTCCTTCGTTCGCGTACTCAGTCACCGTCCCCTTCGTCCACGTCTACAAAGGCTTCCTTTGGTGCGCTGCCATCGAAGTTAGGCGCGTCGCCAGTATCCCCCGAAAGGGATGAAACAAAGACTGCGTTGAATAAGGAGGCACAAGCATATGCGTATTTGGCTGGGAAAGGCGTCCAGGGGGTCCCGGGAAGTTCTATGCAGCACAAATTATCAGCGCTATGATTGAGGAAATAACGAGGAAAGTAGATAAGATATGCTAGCTTGGAGGAATATATAGTTCTACGGCGCTCTATAATGTTCTTCTCATACAATATTTATCCGGTTAATTGTGACTTATCCATTACCTGCCAATTAGGAAAAGTTACTGCATGATGAGAAGTCAAAATTTTTCCTTAACGACCTTTTGAGTCTCGAATCTCGATGCACTGACAGCCTGATTGACGGAGAGAATAAGCTGGATGCAGCAGCATATTGGGGATGAGGAATGAAATATAGACAGTGGAGAACCCACAAGAGCGAGCGTTAGCGTTCGTAGTATGGGAAGTTCTCTTGAGACCGACTGTTGTGCTTGTAATAGCAGAAACAGAAAAAAACAAGCGAGCAGTGATAAACCGGAAAATACCCGTCGAGACACCGCAAGCAATAAATAATTCCTTTCGCCACCTGAACCTCGCGCTAATAAGGAATCCCTATAGAATTGAAGAAGAAGCGAGCAAAAAAAAAAGACGATTCCAGGGAGTTCCAGGGGAGGCAGGAATCTGCCCGGCGTATGTTTGTTCGTGCTTGGCGAAGGAATTTGGCTGGGCCTCATGCATAGTCAATGTATGCTCGCTAACGCTCGCAATTATCGATCTCGGCTAACTGCCAACAATGTAAAGCAAGAAAGGAGTCCGGATCCCGGACCGAAAAGCCGAGCACTGTGCGGCTGTGTCGATGCTTGCTTGCGACATGCGATCTAAACACTTTCAACGTTGACGTTGACGTCGAGCACGACTTCCTCCCCTGAGTTCCCTCCCGCCATTCACATCTCTACGGCCCAGGCCGTCTTTTCCTTTCTCTTCTAACTCCAATTTCAAGGCCCGACGTCTTACCGGGCACTGAGCGTAGTATTTGGCGGCAATACGGGACGGTAGTTCATGACAGATATCCCCCTTCATCCTCTCCGGAAACACAAGAATCGCGCTGGATACACTCAACTAAACGATATTGATATCGAAGCTGGCCCTGGGTCGGCAGATTCTCCCGAGAACCAAACCACAATGCCTAGTCCAATTGCGTCCGCGAGGAAGGCAGGGAAGAAGTCACGCAAAGACCGCTATGCAGATGATCCAGAAGAAGCGGCCAGTTTGCTGGGAGGGGAAGTGTACGATGAGGAGGAAGGATATGTCGAGGAAACGCCGCTCAGAGAAGTCCAGAAACCCGTATGTTATTGGCACTTTCAGGGTGTTGTGCACGCTAATGCCGTACCAGAGATCTGCTTCAATATTATCCAAGGGTAGGGGCTCACAGAAGGACAAGTCGCGTACAGTACCATTCCGGCCACCAGGTGTGTATGTAGCCGTTGTACCAGTGAATATCCTCACCGGTCTTTCAGACAAATTACAGTCGCAGTTTCCTCCAAATATTGTCCGTAATCAAAAGTATAATGCCTTTACATTCTTCCCCATCGTTTTCTATGAACAATTCAAGTTCTTCTTCAACCTATACTTCCTGCTGGTGGCTCTGTCTCAGTTTATACCGGCGCTGAAGATCGGTATGCTGTCTGCATTCTACATCCGTGTATATTCTGACCATAGACTAGGATTTATTGTTACGTCCATCGCGCCTCTTGCGTTTGTCCTTTTTGTCACGATGGGAAAAGAGGCGTACGATGATTACAAGCGCTACCTTCGGGACCGAGAAGCAAACTCACAGAAGTATCTCGTCATTGAACCCCCTTCAGCTTCTGAAAGCGGAACCTCTCACCACAATACATACCTTGACACGCACGCAAATACACGTTCTGTCCCTTCATCCTCTCTACGCGTCGGTGATTTAGTCAGGCTAGAGAAGAATCAACGAGTACCAGCTGATATGGTTCTACTACATACATCGGATGCCTCTGGAACATGTTTTATCCGTACCGACCAACTTGACGGAGAGACAGATTGGAAGTTGCGAGTCGCAATACCAGAATGTCAAAAGTTAGACGAGAGCGACCTCGTAAGGCTTGATGCTGAGATATATGGCAAGTTCCAACTACCTTGCCGTCACGTTCTGAACTAATAAAATTTCAGCTGATGCACCCATCAAGGATATCCACTCATTTATTGGCACATTTACCCTCAATAATCCTCCTCATCAGGCTTTGTCACAAAGCCAATCCGACGTTCCCTTACATCCGTTACTACCTTCGGTAGCACCATTAACTGCGGAGAACATGTTATGGTCCAACACAGTTCTCGCTGCCGGAAATGCGGTCGGATTTATCGTCTACACCGGCGCCGAAACACGGGCTGTCATGAACACCAGTCATCCGGAGACGAAGGTCGGCTTGCTGGACCTGGAGATCAACAAGCTGGCCAAGGTTTGTGCTCCTGTTTGAAAGCAATGTAGTGTCCTCATATATACTCTATCAGATTCTTTGTGCTGTGACATTCGCACTATCCTTGGTTCTGGTCGCGCTCAACGGATTCAGGGGCTCTTGGTACATCTACGTTTTCCGTTTCTTGATTCTCTTCTCGTCTATCATTCCCATCAGGTATGTCGCTTGCAATGCACTTTATGCCGCTATCTAAATGGTGCCCAGTTTACGTGTCAATTTAGACATGGGCAAAACTGTATACGCGCAACAAATAATGAATGATTCCGAGATCCCAAACACGATAGTACGGACCAGCACGTTGCCCGAGGAACTGGGGAGGATCGAGTATCTGCTGAGCGACAAGACTGGTACACTGACACAGAATGGTGCGAAAAAATTCTTGCCGGTTGATAGTATCTTACGCAGCACTTAGAGATGGAAATGAAGAAGCTTCATATGGGAACCATGTCGTATGGCTTTGATTCCATGGACGAAGTCGCTCATCAACTAGCCGTAGCGTTCGGTGCTGATCAATGTATTCTACCTCGATTCAATTGGCTTCTCTGGTCTAACACTCTTTATAGCGCATGCGCGTCAGGGTACGATACCCACAGGAGCCCAACTAGCCACGCGTGGACGAAGGGACATGTCATCACGAGTGCGCGATGTCGTTTTGAGTCTGGCACTGTGCCATAATGTAGGGCTTTTTAATCACTTTCCAGAGCATTCTTTAATGATCAATATATTTACTCAGGTCACCCCGGTTACCAATGATGATGGTTCAGTCACCTATCAGGCTTCCTCCCCTGATGAAGTCGCTATTGTGCAATGGACGCAGTCCATCGGCCTCACCTTAGTGTTCAGAGATCGTACCAAGATTGAGCTACAGACACCCACCGGATCGAGGATCGTCTTCGAAGTGCTCGACATATTCCCTTTCACGTCAGAATCAAAGCGCATGGGTATCGTTGTTCAAGATGTCCAGACGGGGGAGATCACCTTCCTACAGAAGGGTGCTGATGTTGTCATGGCTAAGATTGTCCAACGGAATGACTGGTTAGAGGAAGAGACGGCCAATATGGCCCGTGAGGGGTTGCGTACACTCGTGATGGCCAGGAAGCGGTTGAGTGGCCAATCGTATAACGAGTTCAAGCAGCGATATCATGATGCCAGTGTCAAGCTGGAAGGACGGAACGAGGCTATGGCTGCAGTAGTATCGGAGTACTTGGAACATGATCTCGAGCTCCTAGGATTGACGGGTGTCGAGGATAAGCTCCAGGACGATGTAAAGTCGACGTTGGAACTTCTTAGGAACGCCGGAATCAAGATCTGGATGTTGACGGGAGACAAAATCGAAACCGCAAGGTGTATAGCTATCTCGACGAAGCTGGTTGCTCGAAATCAGTACATTCATGAGGTTTCCAAGTGTAGGCGTACTTTCTATTCTGGTTCCTCTGGTGCTAAACAAGATCTCTAGTGAAGACCTCAGATGAGGTTCGGGACCAGTTGGAATTCTTGCAGTCAAAATTAGATTGTTGTCTTGTTATTGACGGAGAATCGTTGCAGGTATATTTATCGAAGTTTTGACTGCGCTTTTGCTGATATTACGCAAATAGTTGTGTCTCAATCTCTTCAAAAATGAGTTCATCGAAATCGCAACCAAACTATCTGCGGTGGTTGCTTGCCGTTGCTCACCGACCCAGAAAGCGGACGTAGCACGTCTCATCAGGAAACATACAAAGAAACGCGTGTGCTGTATTGGTGACGGTGGTAACGATGTCAGCATGATCCAGGCTGCTGATGTAGGGGTCGGTATCGTCGGAAAAGAAGGCAAACAAGCCTCTCTCGCAGCAGACTTTTCCGTTACCCAGTTCAGCCACCTGACGAAGCTACTGCTCTGGCACGGGAGGAATTCTTATCGTCGCTCAGCGAAGCTCGCACAGTTTGTCATCCACCGGGGGTTGATCATCTCAATTATGCAAGCTGTGTTCTCGGCCATCTTTTATTTTGCTCCCATTGCGCTTTATCAGGGATGGCTGATGGTTGGGTATGCGACGGTTTACACGATGGCTCCTGTGTTCTCGCTCGTGTTGGATCGCGACGTGGATGAAGATGTTGCACTGCTATACCCCGAGTTATACAAGGAGTTGACTAAGGTATACTGTCATATCTCAGTTCATGCCGGATAACGCTCATCAAAGACTTAGGGTCGAGCCTTGTCGTATAAGACTTTTTTTCAGTGGCTGATGATCAGTCTATATCAAGGTAAGAGACTCCCACCAAGAGTACGCAAACGACCACTCTAGGAATTCAGAAATTCAGTTCGCTCCGATTATGCCTTCCGAAGCTCAGTCACATTATCCCGTCCTGGGCGCATGATCCACATAATGGAATACGCGGGATTGCGTACTTGAGTTTCGGAAACATCATCGGGCCGTTCTGTATTCTGGGTTTCCGGTGTGAACTGATCGAAACTGATAGGTGCGGCGATAATGATCATGTCCTTGGTCCTGTTCGAGAATGAGTTTTTGCACATCGTCTCAATATCCTTCACGGCGCTTATTCTTAACGAACTTATCATGGTGGCTCTGGAGATCACAACATGGTGGGTAGCCCTTACGTCTTCAGAACCTTCTTTCCCTGACCTGGTGACAACGATTTTCAGGCACCTCTATATGGTAGTATCAGAAATTGTTACCCTGTTCTTCTATATTATTAGCATTGCCTTTCTGCCTGAATACTTTGGTAGGTCTCTTTCGTCAACCGGTTGTGTCAGGCATCTCACCACCCACAGATCTCTCATTCGTTGTTACACTGGGATTTGGATGGAAGGTTGCCGTCATCGTCGCCATCAGCGCGCTACCACTGTATATAATCAAACTCATTCGGAGTAGAGTCGCACCAGCCGCATCAAGTAAACTATGATCACACAGATACCACACCATTTGGATATTGATAATGTATTCTTCTGGCTACGTGAGTTAAAAAAGTAAATGATTGTGCTAGAGTTGATGAAGCAATGAAAAAACCACGGCTTAATGAGGCGGCGACGCGTTATACGCGCTCGCAAAGAACCCTGCCTGACCTGGCGATGCTGTAGCGGGATGCCACTCCTGTGAAGGCGCAGCCCAGAGCCCGCCAGCGCTTAAAGGAGGTGCATTACGATTACCAGGAACATATGCTGGATGAATCGACACAGGCGGGACCGGAGGACCCCAAGGCGTCCTCGGCGCCTCGTTCGTCCCCCAAGACGGATTAGCGCTCCCTCGTCGTCCGCTTCCTCCGCCAACGACCTCGTCGTCGTCCGCAGCCAAAGCCGACGAACCCAGAACGACACCCTTAGGACTCGGAGAACGTCTATTCGGAGATCCAGAGCCACTTCCGCCGCCTTCAGGACGAGCAATGGGCGCGATCACAGGACGCGTGATTGGCCCTGGGTCCACAGACGTCGACGTGCGACGGCTCTTGGGTGGAGGCCCGATCGGCTGAGGCGGCGCTCGTGGAGGCGGCGGGGCGTAATGAGTGTGGTTGTGAGTCTCGAACGCAGGACCAGCACTAAGGGGAAAGTTCCTCGGCATCGGAGACGGCTGGAGCGGCTGTGGTGGGGCGGTGAAGCCACCAAAGGGAGGCACGAACGCTGGAACGCGAGGAGACATGGCTGCTTGCTGCGGGATGTAGATGGGCGTCTGAGAAGGCGGGATCTGTGGGATTTGAGGCGTCGCGGGAGGGAGGGGTTGAGCAAGGATTGGCCGAGGAGCTCGCGGCATCGACGACGAGCTCGAAGACGAGGATGCGACCGGCATAGTGCTGGGAGACGGTTTGTTGAGGATCTTCTTCGAAGAGACACCGTTGACACCGCCTCGAGGCTGGCTTGGACCATTGCCAGACGAGGACGAGGACGATGGGTTCCTTGGCGACGTAGGTGGAGCACTGGCGCGTGCATTCTTGACGCGCTGTTGTTGTTGCTGCTGCTGTTGCTGTTGCTGCGCCACCAATGTCGCCAAACGCTCTTTCTCCTTGACTTCCTTTTCCTTGAGCTCCTTTTCCTTGGCTTCGCGTTCTTCCTTCTCTTTCGCAGCCTTCTTCTCTCGTTCAAGTCGCTCTTCCTTCTCGCGCTCTTCCTTTTCTTTTCGAGCCTTTTCTCGCTCAGCTTTCTCTTTCTCTTCCCTAGCCTTACGCTCTAGTCTCTCCTTCTCAGCCTTTTCCTTCTTCCTCTTCTCATCTCGCTCACGCTCCTCAGCAATCCTCTTCTTCCTTTCCTCCTCCTTCTTCGCCCTTTCCTCGTCGAGCGCCTTTCTCGCAGTCTCTCTCTTCAGCCGCTCCTCTTCTCGCCTTTTGCGCTGTTCATTCTCCAATTGCAGCTGTCTCGCCTTGGCTTCCGCTTCTTCCGCAGCCTTGGAAGCAGCTTTCTGCGCTTTTTCCGACTCTTTGGCCTGTTTCTGCTGTCTGCAAGGGCATCAGGTCAAGTTATACGTTCAGATGCTTATGCCACGCACCGCTTCTTGTCCTTTTTCTTTTCCTTCTCCCGCTGCTTCTTCATCTCTTTCTCCTTTGTCAGCTTGTCCTCATCCTCGAGTTCGCGGAGTAGCTGCAGTTGTCTCTCCTGCGCTACCTTTTCCCGATATGCCTGGAGCACTCGCTGCTCGAACATTCGCGCCGCAAAGATGGAGAACATGCGCTTGCCTTCTTCCATCTTCTGCTCTTCGGTGAGAATCTGAAACGAGTAAGATATCACAATCAGATATAGTCAATTCAATCGCACCTCCTCTTCCTCATCGTCTTCCTCATCATCGTCCTCGTCCTCGTCATCATCTTCATCACCCTCGCCGTCTTCGTCGTCGTCATCTTCATCATCTTCATCTTCACTGTCGCTCTCGACGTCGCCTGCAGCCTCTTCCTCTCGCTGCATTCGCCGCTCAGCCAGCTGCTCCATCATCTCGAGAAACTTCTGTCCGTCGTTCTTGAGCAGATCGTCGGCAACCGTGAGGATATTCCCTGGGCCCGTGACGGTCAGACTGCTCCCAAGGCTGAACAGACCATCTCGAGCGGGTTTCGCTGGTGGCGGTTGTGGCTGCGCCGGAGGTTTTACCTTGGCTGGGGGTGCCTCTTCCTCCTCCTCGTCTTCCTCGTACTCGTCGTCGCCTTCTTCCTCGTCCATGACTTCGTATTCCTCTTCCTCTTCTTCCTCTTCCTCCTCTCCTTCTTCCTCTTCGTCGTCGTCATCGAACTCGCTCGGATGCTTATGCCGCTGCTTCGTACGATTGGGAGTTGGCGGTGGCGCCACCACACCCGATTTCCGTTGCTGCTGCTGCACCTGCTGAGGCCGCTTTGCTGTTGTCTTCTTCGGGTTGTGGTTAATGACAGCGCCGTGCTTGTCGAGCTCGACTGAACCAGGAAAAGGTCCTGGTCCTGGTGGCGGAGGGCCACCCGAAGAGACGTACCGCTGCTGGAGGTGAGCATACTGTTCGAGCTCCTCGTAGTATGCATCGTACAGCACCTCCAACTCTTCTTCGATGGCGTTTCTGTAAATAGTTAAGTACAGAAATAAAAAGACAGAAATATTCCTTTGATAGACTCACCTCTTCCTCCCACAGACAGCGCAGCTACAGCTGTGCTTCTGTTGCTCCTTCATCTTCCTCAGTACCGTATCTTTTTCAATCTTGACGAGATTCCGGCGCTCTTCCTCGCCAAGACCGAGCCAGAAATCCTTGATCCGCTCACGCTCCTCCGTGCTGCTCGTGCTCCAGATTTTATTGGCTTTCGTACTCGGCGCCGTCGTTGCTGGCGGTCGCTTTGGCGGTGGTGGCGACGGGTGATGGTGGGCGTTCGTCGTCGTGTTATTGTTGTACGCATTTGGTGGAATCGGTGCTTTCGATGCGGCGCGTGCGCTCTTCGCTGGCGCTTGTGTCGCCTGCGGCTGAGTCGTAGGATACGCCATAGGCTTTTTCCCAATGGATACCTGACTGGGCTGCCTTCCTACCGGCGCCATCGTCCGTCAATGGAATATTCAAGGTGCAGGTCGGGAAATGAAGTGAAAAGCATATGTAAGCAGGTGGCGCGTGCATAATTCCAAATTTGGAACCCTAACCCTGGAATCCCGAATTACCTTGTCGAGTCAAAAAGTCAAGTACTGAAAATTTTATGAGTACAGTGAGATATCATTGACTGATTAATCTCTACGAGTTCTTGACGCCAGAATACAGACAGAGAGCTGGTAGAAAATATGACTCCGAGTCGGAAGAACATACAGGATACAACAATGCTGAATGATAAGAAGAAATGTACCTCCTCCACATGATATAAAGACTGCCGCAATGTGTGAAATAACAACCTCTTTCGGTCGAACAACAAAAAGTGCGCATATATCCAGCTTCCTGGAAAGCGGCGGGTGGAGAAGTGGAGGGACTTGCATCTTCCACTCCTACCAGTGCCACTACTGGACTCTCATCACTTGCACGTGGGCGCGACTAACTTTAAGTGGCGACTGAAATGAAGATCGATAAGCAGAGGAGATTACTGGAGATAACCGCTTGAGATTAAACTCACCCCATTCTCTGGAAATGAACAGAAGGCCCGATCAAGCGCGCTGCGGCAAATCGACGAAGAAGACAAACATGCAAAAAGGGTAACAGAAAGGTGGGTCTGCCGGGAGGAAAGTAAGAGTGTGTTATGCTCATATAAAAAGGGCCGTCGTGGTCTGCAGAGAAAAGTTGTCAGGCGACTATACGTAGTATAAAATGCACTTACGTAATATCCATGACAATCTCCATCCCTCAACCAAGAACATGTCAATTAAGCTGTTAAAGCGATCTTCGTGACCGTGTCCGAGGGAACGCCAGGATAACAATTCACGCGCTTCACAACGTGATGGCTCACGGAACATTGGACCTGCTCGGACCCACAAAGATGGGGAAGCCCAGACTTAATGCCGCACGGTTTCTCCCAGTGTAGTGTTTCCGCAGGCAACTGGAAACCAAGTATAAGGATTTCTGACTTGCTATGAGGACAGACAGTGCTGCAGGAGCAAGAAAATAGCACCCCAAAGCTTCCAACTTCGCAGATCTGATATGTCCGAGGGTCCTAATGTTCGGCGACTACGTCCGTCGATGTTGTCGCTAGTTAACGTCAGCACCGAGATATATAAAAATCCCATGCTCGAATAACCAAGCAAAGGCCAAGTGCAGTTAGAAGGCCAGGGCTCGCGTAGCGCCGTTATTGCAGCCAAGCAGGGTGTATCCAACGTTACCCGGTCACAACAGCGGAGGACAACGCGTAGATTGCTAGCGAAGAGCCATTTTTTTGCGCCACCATTGCAACCCAATTTAATGAGCCTAAAGCCACAGAAGGATGTATGCGTGACGGTAAAAAAAAAAAAGACCCTGGTGGGAGGGAATTTATTTAATAGAACCTTGTAGCCAATTTTCGGTTCGAAGCATCGCGGGAATGACGGTGGTAGCCTTCGCAACATGACGAGACAAGAGAGATTCTCGGTGTTCAGCGGATGCGATGAGAGCGTGTCCACTGCTTCGTATCAGTAGAAGTGGTGGTGGTTAATGTTAGAGCAATCCTTGGAACGGAACATCGGACCGCTCACCAAATCAACGTCCGCATATTTCCGGACCACGTGCACTTTAGGGCAGGTCGACCCTTTCTGCACCCAAGCACCCACCAGCGACAATAGGGCTAGGTATTACCAGGCCAACCCACCTCCTTCGTGACCACCGCCATGGATGCCGACACGGATCTTTACATGTGCATTGCGGCGGCAATACAGGATGGTCCCCAAGGGAAGAGTTTCGAGGTAGCCACACCCCTTCCTACCGACCCGCCTTCCCTTCCCTAACCATAATTACGATCCTAGGAAGTCCGTATAGACAATTACCTAAAAGCATACACGACAACAGGTCACCCACCCCTCCCTTGTCCCCAGATACCGACCGCACCGCACGAACGCGCCGCCCTGGGTCTCCCACCGCTCTTCGAGCCTCAACGCCTCCCGAAGCAAAAACCGGCAGAGCTACCGGATTTCCACGTGTGGGAGCAGACGCGCGTGTCGGAAGAAAACTTCCAGTCGATTGTGGCAGCTCCGAGGTATGTTGGGTACAGCCCTGAGGTACGTCGGGGAGGATACACTTGGATGGGTTCAATTTACCTTCGTATTAGGAATTGCGTTGTCAAGCGTATGAAAAGGGAAATAAAGTACTACCTCCGTCCATGGCTTCCGCTTTCTCCTTTAGCTCCGTGTCCCCTACCCAAACCACCGTGCCGTCTATGCAGAGTACCTTGCCGTCTATACCAAGCACACTGTTACCTACGCTGCCACTTATCCAAAGTACAGTGGCTCCTATTCAAAGCGCACTCTTACCGGACGTCAATGGAGAGGTTTTTGCAAGCATAACGGCCCAGAATACCTATTCGCACCATAGTTTTGAAGTGTGTTACATCCTGTCCGAGTTTGGAATCTAACGAACCGGTGTTTGTCACAGGAGCTCCGTGTTGCGTATCTTCTAGCTGGCAAAGAGATGACATCTACTGAGATCATCAATGCTTCGACGGCACCTGTTGTCCCTACTCGGCCGGCGCTTCGTCTGTTCTGATTGTGGCATCCTGCGTGCGCATTTTTGGTATAATCTGTATTTCTAGGTGATTTATGGTGAGGGCGCGCGAATATACCAATGTGGGCGTCGACTTGGGCTGATCTGGGAACCTTAAGTGATCCTTGTTACCTAGTGGAAGTAGCCGCTAACTGGGTTGTATACTTAGCCATTTATATTGTTTTGGGGACGTACAGTGGTCAATCATAAACCTTGCTTTTGCTGTGATTATCTCGACTAAAGCAAGATCTGACCCTTTTCCATGTGTCGTTGATATACTTGCAAGTTGTAATGGTATACTCGGCTCAGGATCGCGAACCTGCATCTTCTCTTTCTTCGCCTTCTAGGATGCTGTCGGGGCCCGTTTATTACTCCCGTGCCATACTCTTTTTATTCGATAGTCTTGATGAAGTTGGTGTCACGGTGTCACGCCCCGGGAGAGATATGTAGCCATTGGTAAATGTGGGCAATACTGGTTGAGAGTGTGTCGAATCCGTGTGCGATCTTGAATCATGCCAGCTTCCATTGCCTGACGAGCGCAAGAGACGTCGCGACGGAGATCATGAAAGGAGGGAAGGGCGTTAATATAACTGTCAGGACGAAGGCGCAGATAGGCGCAGATGATCTGCCAACACCAACGACGCGTAACAGATCTAGGCACGGCCCCGGAACACGACGAGCCAGCGGCCGGTGGGTAAACGCGCAGGTAGGCGGAGGACAATGTCGATGATGGGAGAAGGAAAGAAAGGATGAATGGGGGATGGGTCGCAAGAGCGCGCCCTTTTATACCTTGGAGGCCCATATATAGACGGTGGCGGACGATCGGCGCATGACGATCGTAACGCATCATAGCTTCGTCGATGGCGTCGGTGCCGCGGCATTCGTTATCGGCGGCGGCTCGTGCGCGCGTATTCCCGCCTACGCCTGAACCCTAGTCACATGGTAGAAGGATGAAATGAAAGCAATTGAGGACACGACGGAATTATAATCCCGTATTCGAGGTAGTACAGAGAATACAAGTACACCCACTTTGTCATAACATACAATTAGCTATCATTCCAGTCACTGCCATTCTCGTGTTGCAATTCTCCCAGAGCCGCCCATTCTACAAACTCCCAAACGCCATCATTCAAATCATAACTGCGACTGCTTCTGCTGCAACTGACTTCCTCCGAATCCATATTTCCCCGCCAAGTCAGCGAGAGCTTTGTCCTCTTTGCTCAATGCTGCCTCTTTGCTGGCTTCCAGACTTGTAGGCTTGGGATTGGGGGAAGGCGTATTCCCGCCAAAACCATATTTAGACTGTAAATTTGCGAAGGCAGAAGCATAGTCCTTTGTGGGGACGACGGTCTGGGTAGATGAGACCGTGGTGGTCGAGTTGTTTGCGTTCGACGGGTAGGAAGACATGATTGAGAGCGATGGAGAAGTATAGTGCTGTTTGTAGCGTAGCTCACTTGGCTGTGTTAGTAGAGATGGTTCTCTGAGGTTTGGAGGCACAACACAATCATTTTTATAGCCGTCCACTTGGTATGCGCCTTGACTGAGCTGAGAAACGAGTCATACAGTAATACTGCGATATCCTACTGCGCCCCCTGCCGCCGAAGAGAGATTCAGTACGAGTCATACAGAGAATAGCTGCGATAGTAAGCTGCATGCGTATTGCAAGTGAATCTGTAGCAGGAAGGGTGCTGCGCACGACAAACGCTGAAAACCAGGTGTTCAGCCAAGGGACCGCAGCAGGTACGACACGACCAAGCTGCTGCGATAACAACTCGAATACCAGGAAAGCCTCATGGTCCAGTGAAACGCTTAGTGAGCACCAAGTTCCAGGTCGATAACGACTTGAACAGCGGGAGGAATCCGCGAGGCGAGGCCGGAGTTGCCAAATTGACACATACTTTGGCACGGCCACATCCACGTGCAGGGACCAAAAATGATTGATGTCTTGATTCCAAGACCTTTGTTGGACTTTTTGTCAGCGGAAACTCTAACGCCTCCCATGTCATCGCAACCGGTACACTCCATCTGTCAGAGGGTACTTAGTGCGCAGAACTTCAAGCTTCAATGCTCAAGTTTTGTGGTCCGCTGTTTTCTTTCACCCTTCCACATCCGCGAGGCCAGTCAAGCCGGACTTAACCCGTTCGATGCAGTGCGGGTTCGGAACTAGACCCTCTATCTTTGACAGATTCTCTATTTTTTCCCTCCTTCAGGGTACTGAAAACTCAAGACTTGCTTGCTCTTTTCAGATAATGATTAACCGTCGCATATACAATTCGCCGGACTATGGGTACATGGACCAACCGTCCTCCCGATCATCAGGTTCGAGACAACGTACCGAAGTCGTTTGACAGGTCATTGTCATCTTCAGCCCTCTAGCCTGAGGCTCTATGGACCCATTGATTTATTCCTGTCACTCCGGCTTGTTAGTTTCTTCTACTCTCGCCTTGATGCACGAAAATGTCACCCAACCGACAGTTACAGGTCGATTATATGCCTAACCTGAACCTGGGCCTTCCTAGATGATGGCGCAGCCATTAGTCCTCAGTGGCGTATTCGTAGACGTGTCAACGACCTTCAACATTTCGGCTCGCCCGCCCTGCATCCGAACTCGAAGTCTATCACAAGGTTTAATGGATCCCTCTGAAGTGGGGACGGGTATCCATTTGTCGCTCACAGAGTCCCGGCCCGAATCGCCTGGACTCCCATCACGCCGTTCAGAATGTCCATCGATAACACACTTGCCAGTGGCAACTTTGGCTCGTGGCTCTAGCAAACACCATCCCTCAGCAGGCGCATTCTTGCTCGTGACCATCTCGGCCAGCCGCAAGTACATTTTTCCGCCCTTCTGTCCATAGCTGCCAATGGCGTTTTTAGTACTCCGGGTGTTACATCCGCTACTGATCGTCGCCTCGTTTCCCTGTCCCGCGTTAGTTTTACGACGGGTCATGGTTAGACAATGGAAACCACTGGCAACCCGATACCTCGCGCCGGGCATGATTATCTGACACCAATCGATAAAGGCCTCCCTGCAAGGCAACAATTCATTTATCCTTTACACTTCCCGTACACAAAGGCGCATGCGTACAGCAAACAAAGCTCGGTAACTCATGCATTTGGCGGTTCGGGAGATCCAATACTGCGTATGATATCAGTTTTGTTTTTAACCCAGGTAGAAAGGATAAGATTAGTTCACATTGACAAAGGGCAATGCTAACCCTTTACCCAACCTATGCGACCTTACACTCACCTGCCACTCATCCTTTCATTATATGCAGAAACCTTTCTGAGATACCCGTCCCAAATGAGGATTGCCCTCAGTGCCGACTTTTCACCGATATTTTTGTATCCATGTCGATCTGTTATGTCCGCAGAGGGTGCTTCTCTTCGTAATCATTCGGTCAGAAGCCGCCTCGCCGTGATTGGCGCCTAGGTTTTTCTTGGTCCTATTTTCTATGATAAGACCAATGTCTCGAGCACGCCAGTATACGGAAAGCTGATTATTGTGTTCTAGTCCTTCCCGCTCCCGCCTTGAATACTTTTGTAGCGAGGCCCGTCTAAATAGGTACTTGCCTCTCTCACACGAGCGAGTCGGCCCTTAAACGGCAATTCAAAGAGAAATCTTTTAGGGTGCTAGGTTAAAATTCATGGCTTTGGATTACGGGACCATTACCCCCAGCTAGTCCTAAGCATTATTCTCGCTTCAGAACGTTAACCGCGGTACTTTAGATGTTTCATTGAATGCGGTCTCTCCGAGGACACCTTAGTCGGGTGACGCGTGTGAGGAGAACGATGCCTCCCGGTCTCCATCAGCATTATCAAAGTCGTCGTAAATTGGAATTTAGGGGGTTTTAGGTTATTTGGTTCTGGACGGCTCGATGGTGTCTTATGCTCCTCTGGCGATGGGCCGCCGGGAAGGAGGAATCGGGCTGACTCCGCACGCGTCTACCATGCCGTCACTTGTTGGCGGTAACTGGAATCGCTGATAGGCGTTTACTTGGTCGAGAAATTAACGAGAAACATACCGAAAAAGGACGCCGTGCTTGCAACATCATGGCGTCGCGAGGGTGAATCGTTTCCGGAATCATATGAATAAACGGGGATTATGCCGATCCCATCACGACCACCTTCCTGGGACGTTCCGTATGTTTTCCCTGACGCGGGTCGGGACGATTGTAGCGTCAGGGCCGACAACGCAAATTTCGAAGACAAAGGTGCGATGTATCCTCGTGTGAAATTTAATCACCCGCGTATGGGCACCTAGCCAACAAGGAAAGATTGGCATCTAAAATCAAAAAAAAAACCAACAAACTTTATGAGGCCGGGACTTTTTCGAATGTCAATCACAGGTACACTCACCTCGTTCACGATCGGACACTTGGCGGTAGAAACTCTTTCAACGCGTCCGGCGCGACTTGAAAGGCTTCCAACTCGTTGCTAATCCAAAAGAATATTCTGGCCCTGTCTTTGAAGTTCCGTATGTGATTATGCTGCGTGTGCTGTCGGTCACGCTATATTGGCTGATTACACAGAAAGCTTGAAACCCATACGATGATCATGCAAAATTTCCTGCGGGACGAATTCTGGGCGCTACTTTACCTTTGTCCGAATATAGACTCCGACCCTCGGACTTGGTTGCTGTCTTGCCTGGGCACTGGGGTAAATTGACGTGTATAACAGACCTTTGGAAGGGCTAAGATTCCTTTATCAGTCCGAAGACGGATGAGACAAATTGAAGAAGCCCGTCCATTTCATTTTGCAAACGCGATCGTAGTTGAGAAGACACGGTTGCTTAAGACGGTAGTCAAAGAGTCTTTGGTCAAAATCCTAATCGAGACACTATGATACCCTGAACGTAGGGCGCCACCGTCGAAGCGGCAAGGAAGTCGTTTCAAATCATTATGCGACCCTCTTTAGGTACACTTGCCTCGAACGCATATAAAGTCTGCGAGTTAGTATCGTCGATAGCCAAGCACCCACCCTTTCGTACTCCAGTTCACTGTCACACACCTGCCACTGCCACCCTTCCTCTACAATTCCACGATGTCCTCGAAAACCGGAGTGAGTCTGCACCCCCCTCCCCCATGAAGCACATGCGGCTGACCTACCTTGTTCTAGTCCACGTCCCAGGCCAACCAACAATACGATGATAACACTAGGGTTCCCAGGAGGACGCCTATGGCCTGCCAGTTCTGTCGAGGTGGATATAGCTATCACAAGCGTCGAATACCATGCTAAGTCTTTCTCGTCTAGGCCGCAAATTGAAATGTGATGGGAGCCGTCCGTCTTGCGCTAATTGTCAACGGCGCCAAATTGCTTGCACCTACCAGCCAGTGTGAGTTGTTTTGGATCCGTTATTCGGTAGCCATAATTAACAATCGTTCTCTGCAGCAATGCTGGTCAGTAGGGCGTGTTTTTAGAGGAAGTGTCACACCATTGTCCCATATCTTAGATTCCATCGCACAGGGCTATTATCTTCTTGCTTGCTACCCTATATAAAAGTAATATCAAGGCATCTACTGGTGTATTCCTAGTGGCTCTTACAGCGATAATCAATCTTTCATGTTGTATATTTCTTTGCTATAAAATCCTTTTGCTTCATAGATTTGAGATATACGCCACTTATTTCATGGGAAACGTAGAACATCGAGAATTTGAGCGAAGCCGCAACTAAAAAGTTAAACTTTAACAACGTGAGAAGCACAGGTACACTCCGGGGGGGTCGGTCCTACAATTTCATGTCCTTACCGATCAGATCTCGGATTTGGATGGAAACATTAAGCAGGGGCAAGTGGGGCAAGTGGACTTCGTTGAATAAGTACAGTCTAGGACCGCTTTCCGAGCTTCTTCAAGCCTTCAGGTCTAGACACCGACTTGTCGCTCGGCCGTCTTTTGGTAAGAGTCAGCTTTTTTTACGAGGAAGACATTCACCTTGCCTACATTGATCGCCTGTCGTCGGTTGGGATGGAACGGGACCAAAATGAAATCTCTTGACGTAAGAGGAGAGTCCTCTCTTGGTATGAGCTTCCCACGGTTAGCTGTCCGCTTTCTCCATCTTACCACCCCGACTGATAACCCAGCTTCCAAGGCTTCGTCGTTAGACAGTAAATGTCTTTCGATTTGAAGAAGTACAGCGTGAGAGGATTCGATGGCCTCTATTACGTTCCAGATTTTGTGACGGTCAGCTGGCTCCCTTCAGGCTGTCATTTTGAAGTTGAACATTGACGCGACGAGTCTTCAGGAAGAAGAAGAAGCGCACCTCATGAGAAAGGCTAGTACATATACAGATCAAAAATCATTTTTCATCCCAACGTCCTTGTCCAGATAAAGGAATCTCCACAGCAAAAGTGGAAGCAGCTAGCAAACCGTCGGTTTGTCCCTCGCCTATCATCTCGTGTCCCCACTCATTTAGCGTAATCTACGTCTGGGCATGGTGTAGCTTACAGCTTCTTGGTCCGCCTTCATGATCTCCCGGCTTCGCCACGGCATCTCACTTTATACAGGTGGAGAAATAACGCCAAAGAATGTTCTGGTGTCTCAACCGCTGCCATCATTTGTAAACACATTGTGAGTGCACTCACGCGTCTTCCAAGTTTTATATCTACCGAAACTCTTAGCCCAGATATTATCGCTCGACTTAAAGGTACTGGGGCATTCAAGTCCTCTCCACACGGTGCACCAAACCATATTATCTTAAACGAGGTACGGCTTTCTTACTTCTGCTTCGTTTACTCCATATAACACCTTTCAGTACCTACCGGGTCAAGGAATCATGGTCAGTCATCTTTTCGGCCGGCAAGTCATCGAGCTCATCTTCGCAGCCTCATGAAGACGGGCCTGCGTATCACCCTATCGTTGCAACGATTTCTCTGGGTTCTCATGCGGTCTTCCATTATTATCGGTATACTCCCGAAGAGAACGGTGATGAATCCATGACTAACGGGCGTACAATTGATAATACTCCGGCACTTTCTGTTCTGCTCGAGCCGCGAAGCGTTGTTATAACGACAGAAGTATTATATAAAGAGTACCTTCACGGGTAAGTCTGTGCAAAAGGTGCTCCGCAATAATCACTCATTTTCGTTCTGTAGCATCGAGGATATTGCAACAGATACTATTAGAGCGGCTGACGCAACGCAAGGATCGAAGTTTGCTGACACTAATACACCCATCCAGAACTTCCATCTGCTGACGAGCGAGAAGGCAGTGAAGGCTGTCAGCGAAGGTGGAACGTTGAAGAGAGATGTGAGGTACAGTTTGACCTGTCGCGACGTAGAAAGGGTTAGAAAAGGGTCTTTTCTAAGAACATGACCTTTCATCTGCACCGGTAAATACAAAGCCTCTTGCGTCCTCGCCCGCGGTATGAAAGCCGGCACTTACGCAGCTTAATGAATAACGAGAACGAATGCATTGGTGCGATAATGAATCTAGATGTACATGTCCACTGAGCCTAAATCAATACGGCCGTCAGAATTTGTTGGCTCCAGCCGTTTACCCAGAACGCAAAGCACCACCAAACAAACGGATGTCCGCCTGAGTCTCGTAACGAGTGCTCTTTGCATCAGCGACCTTGAGGCAGCAGAACGCCCCGTCACCTTCACTCCAGTAGAATATGCGCTTGATGCCAGCCCAATCGCACCAATCGATACTGAAACAGGGGGGCCGTTCACCGATTATGCTTAACTGTAACAGAGGGCTCACTCACCATCGCCAGCAAGGTCTGGCACATCCCATCCCACTCTTCGTAGTTCGAACAACATAAAGATCTGCCCCAGTGATTTTTGAAAATCTACGACGCCGACTGGGGCAAATTGATTTCTCGACGACACCGGCTGGCCTGTCCCTCAGTTGCTCCTTAGTTCCATAAAAGACGCTGTGCTGAAATGGCAACTTTGGCGCTACAGCTGTGACCTTGTCCTCCCGCTCGTCGTTTTCGTTTATGCGGTTGTGGGTTCGGTTGAACCTGCTGCTTGAACGGAGGAGACCGGCCACCAGTCAAGTTGTATATGGCGTGCATTTCCGCATGCATCGAGACCGGCTTCCCAAAGGCGGAATCGACGCTGAGCTCATCGTAGTGAACGCGCTGGTGGTTGTAGCCTGTTGAAATAACCTTGCCGCCCTTAACGATTACAGATCCCAGTGTGAATGCCATCGGCGACTAGTCCTCGAGTCAGGTGTCTCATATCGAACAAACAATAGTAGTACATACCTTTGAGGCCGCCTCGATACACTGAGAAAGATAAAACTGAGACTTGGAGTGCATGATAATAATCTTGACGGTCAAGAACAGGGTTAGCAGCCGTTCGGAGTAACAAATGAAGCCATGTCAGTGAGTCACAACAACAGTCACAAAGCATCCAGATTCCACATGGAAAATTTTTGACTGCTCAAAAGACAACGAAGTAAATTACTTCCGAAGCGAAGTAGAAAGTAAAATTCCTCCACGTATATCTATCCAAAAATGCCACCAATCCGAAAAAAAAGTTTATCCTGTCAAAATCTCCTTTGAGACTAATATTCGATTCGCCAGCGCAGTCAAATTCGCATCGGCGACCACCACCTCAGGTGCATATTCCACATCGAACGTCTGCTTTATTGCCATGCTAATGCGTTTAGCCTGTCGTTCAGACCAGAAGGTGAAATCATCCGGGTCCCGCTCGTCGGCTTCATTCGGACTTGCAGTACCATCTCTGTTGAGGGTAGATTTGTATGACAAAGGAATCAACGACGGGTCGGAGTCGAGGCACAATGGTACGACACGCATTAGCGTCTCACGGACTGATGGTAAATCTAAAGTCGATGGTCGGTCAACTAGAAATACAGACGATTCAGTCAGAAGTCAACCAAGGCAACGCGGAGGATTACACACCATAAATCTCAATAGGGCCATCGAGGCTCATGACATTGTATTTGCCGTCATGGTGGTAACGAATCTAAAACGAGCATGAGGGAGGGCGGACGACGATCAAATGAATTTTTGATTTACTTCATATTGGCCAACCAACCAGGGTAGGGTGTTGGCTTTGAACGTCACAGTACCCGAATCACTCTGCGGACCAGGAGGTGAATCAAGAGGTACATCACCATCCCATTCTGTGCCGTATACAGGCTCCCACATTCCGAGAGAAGACGTTTTCGTAACCAGTTGTGACTTGTTGGCGCCGACCTACGAGGACATGAAAAAGCGAAGTGTACTGAAGAGTAAAGAATACGTACTCGGTATATTCCAATCCAGTCCTTACGGGAGTGAGTGTGAGGCGCCTGCCATTGAACGGTGATAGGTTCGCCAAGGTGGAAGCTACGGGTACCTTCCTTGCTAGGGACGACAGTAGCATGGTACTTTGCCGTATCGAAGGACGAAAGATCACTTGCAACACGCCTATAGGACGGGATATGCTCAGTAAGATCAGCGCCACTGGAGAAAAAGCGCCCCACGTAATGACCAATTTTTCTCGAGACTGTTGCAACAAAACCTTCGTGTCCTGAACCACACCGGAAATCTTTGGTCGGGCTAAAGGTGGGCATCAGCAAGCGTGTATGGCCTCGTGTAGGAGAGAAACAAACATTTAGCTAAAAATTCTTCTACGGCGTCCGCTGTCTCCTCGAACACCTTGTCAAAGGTACCTTTCACCTCCTTCGCCACCCGTTTCAGTTCTGGTGCATGGCGTCCAGCCCGAGATTCTAAGATGCGCGCATTTTTGCTCGCCACGCTCTTGATCACCTTGACAAACCCGGCGTCTTTTCGTAGGGAGTCACCATAGAGTTTCTGCATGTGAGGACTAGAAACAGAAAATCAGCAAGTGAACTGTGAAAACAGAGATGTTATTTACTTCTCGACGCAGCTAAGGAACCACCAATAGGAAAGGTGTCGGATGACGGCAAGGGTAATTACTAGCTTACTCTCGCTAATAAGACCGAGACCAAACCACGCAGCACCCCCCATAAGCTCTGGGTTATTGAGATATCTATGTATGATGCCCGTGAGCAGAGTAGTACGGGAACGGACATGCACCACCGCACCTATAGATTCCGGAGTACTCAACGTGAGCAGGAAATTCTTCCATGAAGAAATCGCCAAAAAACCATCCTAGATAAGCAAGATTAGGCAACTGCGGCAGGATAAAGATATTCAACCAACCAAACATTCCGAGAACCTCATACGATTCTAACGACGCCCAAATATGTAGTGCAACGAGAAGCTACAAATCAAGTTATCAGCGTGTATGCTAATGTTATTGCAGAGGGGGACACATACGGCGCCGAGCGTATGACGGAGCAGCTCGTTGCCGACCATCCAATCAGTAGGGAGGTTGTATGTCTTCCATACAAGACCTATCAGAGACACTATACAACGGAATGAGATACTAATCTCCACGATATATTCATCGCTCACTGACCGTATGTCATACACTGGCTCATATTGTACACCGCCTTCCAGTTCGAAAAAGCCTCTAAGATGGGACCACTTCCACCGTCATGGTGCGGATAATGATAATTCTTCATGTAGTGGCGGACCAGATACTTGCGTTCGCTCTGTGCACGTAACAGCAGCCCGAGGCCAAAGCAATGGAACAAACACCAGCCCAAGGCATGCACGAAATGAAGGGCAATGGTGACTCTCGCGGATAAAGGAGGAATGAGCGCAAATCCAGAGGAGTAGAGAACAATCAGCAATAGCATGACATCATTTGCCCTGCAAGACAGTCAGCACTTGCAATGGCTAGAACAACCGAAGGTCTTCACCTAAACAAATCAAAGTTCTTGAAAATCATTGTGTCGCGACGGAAATACTTCGTCAAGAGATCATGGTTAGACAAGGCCTTCCTCTTCTTAGGAAGCCCTTCGTGACTGTGCGCGGATGATGCACTCTCTGTAGAGAGTTCCGTTCTATGCAACGATCGTTTGATACTCTTGAAACCAACAACAGGAGTGCTTTCATCATATTCCATCTCTGTCTCTGTCTCGAGATCTGTCTCCGTTGCGGTTTCACCTTCAGTAGCCGCTGGGGTCGGGCAATCTTCTGGTGGCACTTGAGGAAGAGACGCAGACTCAGCGGATACCAATTTCGACGACGAGGCCATATTCGAACGGGTGTTGACCGGAATTCTTTTGGCTATAGCTTTCTTCTGCCCGTACATGCGCTCGATATCTAAGCGAACCATAAGATAAATCTTGAAACTTTATTGTAGAGACTCACGGGGGTTCTCGAAGAAAACGAGGAAAGCAAATTGGGAAGCATGTGCCGCCAGACTAACAAATAGAACAGGGTAACTTCCAACTATCAGAGACAAACCATAGTAGCCGATGTATCCTATTCCTGAAGTTAATCATCACCTAAGAGCGTGTCACCAACACATACCGACGGAGTACATAGGGTGAGGGGCCAGTTCGAAGACGCCATCGAACACCAACGCGCCACGTTGGAAGAATACATCACCCCAATACCAGCCGTAATCTTTGACGACATTGTGGGCTTCTGTTTTGACCCAAAGATTGAACCAAATGAGAGTTATGCCCACTAACCATCTAGTGAAGGCGTTAGCTTGCTGTGCGAAATAGAGAAAACCCACGCTGGAATGTTTGCTATATTTAGATGCCTCAGATTTAAGCTTAAGCATGTGCACCAAGGCTGCTTTACTGGTATAGTACGGCCATCTATAGCATTTCACTTCAGCCCATCTCAAGGGTATCCAATACAGCAAACTTTCCAGCGTGACTGGTAGGCACCTCATTACGTGTACGGGAATGGACAGATCCGTTGGCACGCGAAAGCATGAGAACGCGAACATGCAGTACGCTAGAAAGTCGCTGTGAATGAGATCAGTCATAGGTCGACAACTAGCGAAAAAGACGCACTTGATAAGAATAACATCCACAGCTTGTCTGAAGAGTAACCATGCGTTGTATTCCAGGGGTAGTTCCTGTTGCCACAGTCAGCGTGTCATATCGATGGATACTTATCATACGAACATCAAAGGAGTAATCCTTCCCCATTTTCCCAACGAGCTGAGCGCGAATCCAGTTCCGGACTTGAGGACAACGATTCTCGTCAAGCCATCCGAGACGCTGCACTTCCTTGACCATCCATTTCTTCTTACTTTGCTTTGTGAGAACCCAACCAAGTCCAGCATCATATGCTGTGCGCCAAAAAGCAAAATACACGAGGAAAAACACCCTAGCCGCACCCCGCGGAAGAGCAAAAAACAGGACCAGCTGGAAACCGAGCAAAGCCAGGTTCAAAATATCAAGGTGACTTTTTGGGTAAGCCGGATGGAACAAAGCCGTCAAGACATCATGAGTAGTAGGTACACGAAATACTGGCAATCGTCAATTTGATTATACTGAAAATTGGTACTTGCATACCTTCGCCACCAGGAGTCTTTCCCCATACCACTTCTTCACGTCTCTTCGGAGAGCTGGAATCTTTCCTGTCGCTCTTTTCTGTTGTCTTGGCCGCGTTTCGTTGCCTCAGGAAGGACTGAGAGCTAGACATGGTGGTACGTGTCTGGGGCCATAATTCACAACCTTTCCGGATATGCCCAGACGGCGTAGCCAAATAGATGTATATTTCACAAGCCTGGGCGTTCGGCCGAATCGGACCGACGAATACAGCCGGCCCTAAAGGAAGAAGTCTTTCTGCGAAAACTTCCGCTGCTTTCATCTCTCCGTCGAATGTCTTCAATTCTAGAAAATGATTTTCCTGATTATCAATCATACGGATCTCCGCTTCTCTTTGAACTAGTTCACACCCATCTTATTCACTCTGCTCTTGACGTATTTCCCATCGAGAGTAGAGTTGCTAATGATTGGGGATATCGATGTCTTTATCTAAATAGGCATTTATTTCGGTTGTTTCTTTTACACCCGTTGGAATCGACCTTACGAGGTGCCTTACAATACCACTAGTTATTAGAATCTTTGAAATATTAAGCAGTATTGTCTACATCCGATCCTCGAGATTAAAATTATCCGATCCGAGCCTGTTCATAAGTGCCAGGACATACCGGTAATCCATCGTTCGTGTTATTTTGACTTTGCATTGCTATAGAGCCTTGTGCTCACAGCTCAGAAGCTCCTTTGAGACAAACATCTGCACAAATACCAGTTTCAGCGGTGATTGCCAAAAGTAGTCAAGCCACGTAGTGTTTCGATAACGTGACTTGGCGCGGCTCGGCGCGACTCTATTCGGCTTCGGCTTCAACGGCTTCACCAAGTCATAATTTTTGATGGCTTTGAAGCTAAGTTGCCGTCACGCCGCTCCAGCCGGTCAAGCTATGACTTCATGCATTTCCTTTAAATGGAAGCTCATCAGTAGATTTTAGGTAACGTAATATTCCAGAAATTTCGGAGAAATTGCGGGAAAAAATCAAAGTCGACCTAAAATAGCATTTCGGTATTTTTTACTCAAGTCGAAGCTCGGGCAACTTCAAGTCGCGCTAAGCCGCGCCGAGCCGGTACTGTGGTGTGACTTTGCCGAAGTCATTCGGCAACATCGGCGTGACTTAGTTCGGCTTGACTGGCGTGGCGCGCGGCTTTAAGCCGAGTCATCGAAACACTAAAGCCACGTGGTGATCAGCTGCCTCAATCACTGCCATAAGACTGTCCTCATCCAGTCCAACGACTGCTCCCTCACCTCCCTTAGGCTCGAGCACTCGAGCACTTGTACAAAATTGCGGTAGTACTGCTGCAAGCAGACACCAACAATATCTCCTAGTATTACCTCCAAGGAGACGAAACAGACAATGGATCCAGCTGACCGCGAAGCTGATGGAATACGGACATACAGAAAACCAGAGAAAAGAGGGATATTTGGGCTTCGACAAGGACAGAGGTTTGCTCGCAATAAAAGTATGTTCATCTACGTCTTACCACGATATCCTTTTTCACAATCGGAATAGCATTCAATACCAAAGACGACTACGAAAGGACATACCCGGAGGATCCGATATTTGAAGAAATGGCTCCTTCTGCTAGGATATGGCGGGCATACCTGGATGAATGTCAAAACTACGATGCGGAAATGATAGAAGGCTGGAAAGACACTGTCGACGTCCTGCTAGTTTTTGTGAGTCGCTCGCAGAAAATAACTCTTGTGCCAGCTGAACGACTATGTTTAAGGCCGGTTTATTCTCTGCGGTGGTAACGACATTCGTGGTGCAAACGTTGCAATCTTTGCAGCCTGACTTCAATGAAGTATCAGCGTTCCTGCTACTTGAACTCGTTAGCATGCAACGGGCCCTTGCTAACGGCACTTCTCTGTCCGACGTTCCCTCTTCCCAGCTGACGCCTGACTCTATCTTCACTCCTTCGTCTCTGATCATTTGGACGAACGGGCTTTGGTTCGTTAGCCTTTCACTCAGCTTGGCCGTCGCACTTGTAGCCGTCTTGACCAAACAATGGATACACCACTACATGTCTGTACCATCGGGGACCCCTCGGTACCGCAGCCGCATTCGTCACTTCCGTTACATGGGCTTGGAGAAATGGAACGTGCCAGTTATCGTTGGACTGCTTCCCTTGCTCATGCACACGTCTTTGGCCCTCTTTTTCGTCGGCCTAGTGCTGTTCTTGATCACCTTGCACGTCGGTATAGCCATCGCTGTCGGTGTCATTTCAGGCATTGGTTACATCTTCTACGTTGGAACCAACGTGCTGTCCATTCAGGATCCTCAATGCCCATACAGAACACCCCTCTCCGGCTACGCATACATAGCATCCAATTATATGTATCAGTCCATAATCCTTCCCTTCTTCGACATCCCATCTTTAGCTTCATCGATATTTTCCCGCGTTGCTTCCCAACGCTCCGCATCGTCAACCGACTCACGCGTATGGTCTCTGGATGATGTAGAACGGGAGATGCTAGATGAAAGAGCGAGTGACATCGATATCCAAGCCATCTCTTGGCTCTATTCCGCGACCTTCAATCCGACATTACAAAGTATCGCTATGCAATCAATGAGCGGTTTACCGATTGCATCCACTCAGAAAGTCCGCAAAGCTTTCGCAGATGTAGCTCTGACCGAACAGTGGCAAGAGCGCTGGCGTGAATTACTGAGGGAGTGTGTTATTTTATCTCCGGAGGGGGATGACACCGTGGAGCCTCGAGAAGACATGGCCCTACAGATGGACCGCCTGCTGCGCGTCAACCTTCTCCTCGAGGAGGATCCTGCATGGGAACTGCAGCGCGGTTTTGATTATCAAGGACTGAGACTGTCCGACTCTGATCCTCCAGAACTCGGTCCAATAGTAGTGGCCAATCGGTTCAGAGGACCGAGCTTACCATCTGCCATACAAATCCTGAAGCAAGGATTGTTCGGTTCAGATCAGGACATGTGCCTTTGTCTGCATCCAATTGTCTGGTCAGGTCTTTTGGATAGCGCCGTCAAGGATGGATGCTTTGAACCCCCAGCGCACAACACGTTTGATATCAAGTTGTGCGTCGCCTTCCTCGGTACAATTCCGCACGAGTACTTCCGTAACGATGAAGGAAAGATGGATGTTATACAAGAAGTCTACTGCGTAAGACTGACGGATTCCATATACCATTACCTCTATCCAAATGTCGGGCAGAATCTCCTCCGAATGTTTTCCGCATTTGATTCACTCGCACATGAAGATGCGACACCGCCATGCCTTCGGTTACTACTCGCCATCCTCGCCTTCATGTTATCGGAATTCAGAGATGAAGAGGATGGCAGCAGACCCCTGTCGTCCGGTGACAGGGAGCTACTTGCCCTTGCTGTCGCGTCTCTTCGTCACTACGTCAAGTTCTCACTCAAAGTCTCTGTACTCGAGAGACAAGCGATTTTCTCTGTTATCACAGGAATTATCGCATGCAGCAATATCTTCTGTGATGCCGAAATTCAGAACTCCAGAACATGCATATCCATACTCGACGTCTTCGACGAACTAGTGAACCCAAGGGACGCATTATTCCCTTCAGCAGAGTTTCCTCGTCCCGTCTCATGGTGCTCTGAGCCCATTGTTAAGAATCTCCTTCAAGCCACTTTTAATGATGATTTTTGGGCTCGCTCGTCCTGGTTGGACACCGTATTTGGCCAGGGATACGAAACGAAACTTCGCGTCTTGTGCCCATGTTTCCGGCAGGGTATCTCTATAGCATTCGAGGTGTTCCAAAGGGAAGGATACCTCTCCACATTTACCGAGCACAGGTTCGACTCACGGCTGCTGGAGATAACCGTGGCATATGTGACCGGGTTGTCATCTCTTTCTCCTCAACAGGCAGAATACGCACATCAACCAGAGAATCTTCTCACTTTGGTCACGATTTTGGCATTGGGAGGGAAAGGGAGTGCTTTGCTAGCCCTGGCACGGATCCACCCTGACCATCCTGCATGGTCTGAGTGTCTAGCCAAGATTCGTGAAGATCTTACAGCCATACGGACAGGAGTATTCGATGAATGGCGTAATGATAATTTCCAGCGGGGTATCGTGAAGCTCGATCACTTCTTCTCGTCACGTCTAAAAATTGACTGACATATCTTCCACCCGAAATACCTGACGCCTTCCGTTAGAGTGTGATTGAGATATCACGTTTCAGTCACCGGTAAGTACGCTATCTCTTCATATCGCTTCCATAGTTCTTACATCCCGCATGTTACCGAATCTTCAGAAAGCAGCTTCTCCCGATATAATTGTGTCCAGTTCTGGGAGGGGCCATGGCCACAATCCCGAGAGAAGTCCGTCAGGCGTCACTTTAGCGAACCGCCAGCATCCCCACCCTCAAGTTCGGGTCCACGCCCAGGGATACATATCCGACCAAGGATTCTTCGTTGAATACACTCCCCTTAATGCGAGGTATGGTCGCTTTCGAAGCACCAGGAACAGCAATTTGTATCAGCGCTCCATGTATTATTATGCATTCCGGGGTTCGAACTCATAACACAAACAACGCGTGTTACAGATTGGATACTAAGATTCTAGGGAGATACAGATGTAGAGGATATGCCACCGTACGGTACAGTATTATACCCGCAAGTTTTAGAACCATCTTCAGACAGATGAAACGTAGTATATCGCCTTGTGCGCGATAGTAACGGCCACTCAGCTGCAATCGACATACGAAGAGCAGTCGTTTCAAGGGCGTCTAAATAAAAACGAAATTCATGCCCAGTAGAAGACCGACATTAAACAACAATATCGTGGAGTCGGTCAGGCAGGTCGATGTGTTGTCGCCTTTACAGGATGGAAGCTGAGACACCGGGAACAGCAATTCAGTCGTCACAAACGATTTTCGGCAAAGCCAGGCGATCTTGAACAATGTTGCCATCACTCGTTTCAATTCCACTCTCAGTTCCGAAATTTAGATCAAAATAAAACAGCCTTCTCCTCTTTCCAGCCAAAAATTTAACGAGGTCACGACCGAGATCAGCTGCTGGTAAAGCGAGTAGAGTTTTGTTCTCGCGACAGTGACGCTGTATTCAAAAATCTTCTGTAATGGACCTATGACTGAGCGTGTCATTATTTCAGGCGGCTATTGCAATCGTTCATTGATCCACCGCATTCTACTCAGAAGCTAACTCAATGCAGGCAATTATATTCGTGTACGCTAACCGCTCTTTTTAGTGCGCCTTAAATATACCGTAAATGTTCGTTCCTCCGTACGCCGCCACCCGCGTTTCACGGGAAGGATATGAACCCCGCGCAATTCTTTCAAGCAAGCCTTTAGCACTCTCACCTCCCCTCGATGAACACTGATGCTGAGGACAATAATGTCGCTGCCTTGTACCGAGAAAGTCTTGTTCCTCTATATGTCGTCCGTGAGTATCATTCCCTCCTCGTACTCGCTCAGCGCAGAAATCTGTATGTCTTCATTCACAGCAGCCAGCCTTACTTGGATCTTACACGACTACTGTAAATACTTCCACTGGACGTGTATAATAGACTGATTACCGCACTGACATTTGCGCCGAAGTTGTGATGCTGGAAGATGAGGTATGTAGCTCTCCAACACATGAACAGCTGCATAACTTTCTTAGATCCGTTATATCTGGGTGAGTCGGGAGCGAAAAAGTGACAGACTATCGGATTCAATACCATTTCCGATAGCCTCAGAAGCGAAACATAGGAAAAATTATATTCTTATGGGTGCGTTTACACCTGACTTCTCAACAATTCATCCGGACACCTTCCTAGGTTCGATATTACAGCATTGCCCTACTTGTCGTCGACACTCTCCAAATTCACATCTTCTCCATTCTCGGAATAAACTCTGACAACTTGTAAGTTCAGTCCTTCCGCAAAACATTTCCAGCTTGGTTACTCTCGAATAGATGTGTAGCCGCATACACTATCATCAGTGTCTTCGGGGCGATAAGTCTGTGGTCCGTCGAGATCGTCATGCAGTTACGTGTGTATGTTCTATTCACATGCTCGAAGAGGGTACTACTTGGTTGCTTCTGCTGTAAACTATTTTATTAAATTGCTTCATCCTAGGTGGCCGTGATAAATGGGATTCTCTTCGCGTGTTCTGTTGTCGGGTTCTTGTGGATATCAGCTAAGAATGCTGAGCAACAGAAAGCTCTCATCACTGACGCAATCCACCTACCTTTGCTTGGGTGTCCGATAGTTCACCCCAAGATTGAACGGGCTCAATGGGTACCTGGTGAGTCTTGCCTCTGTTTCAACAGGCTCCAAAGTTATCGCTTTCAAAGCCGCCAATTATGAAAGTGTTCTTTTCGGATTTGCAATCTATAAGTCGTTCGAGTCAATGATGGACAGGATGAGGAGAGGACACAGTCGCGATACTCTTCGTTCTATTTTACTTCGCGACAATACACTATACTTTCTGGGGTATGCATTGCATCTCCGCTTTCCATTCCTTCGATAACACTCGGTGTCAGGATATCATGCCTCCTGGTTTTCAACAATCTCATGATTGTCGTACGTCGCTTCATTCCTCTGCTAGGGGTTTGCATTTAATGTCTGCTCAGGGAGTGGATAAACTTCCTAGGTTCAGTTATGGGTGCGTGTTGCCTAGAAGCCATCATAGTGGATATGTACGAATAGTTTCCTAGACCGTTTCATGCTGCTCTAGGCGTTCTTACGACTCGTATGCTGCTAAATCTCCACAACGCCGCTTCCTCTAGGGTAGAAGTATCGAGCACTGGCTGGGATGTCCCTGATCATCAACAAGATAGTCTACCCTGGCAAGTAGCTAGTGTACCTTCTCTCTCCTTAGTTTGAACTACGGGATGAGGTTTTGGATATTCGAAGGGATAGGTCGTCAAGGTTTTCTGAAGCGCTGCTTCGCGACAATATCTTGTACTTTCTAGTAAATGAGGATGATGCTACAGATTGTCAAGTGTTACGTCTGGCTGTCGCAATTCGTAACATACAGATTAAGAGGTAAAAGCACTCTATGCTTCGTTATTGTCATCTCGGTACATGGAATATTCGTTAGATTATATAGATTACAGATGGCCAAACACTGGATTGGGTTCATCAATTAATTCCCTCAGACATCACAACGATGAAGAACACGTACTTGAGAAGACCGACGAGCACCAGTACAGCTGCTGAGACAAATGGTACCCAACTGTACAAATCTTCAGTGATCGCCGTGGATGCGACCAGCAACGTCACTCACGTGGACATGTTGTATTTGCCGGCTCTAAACAATCCAAATACCACAAGTGACATGACCGTCGACCCGAACACGGCACCAATGACGCTCATCGCCAAGAACATCAGGAAAACGATCAGCGCAAAGGTAACCCTCGACCGCTTTTCATTCGGCTTCCTCGCCCTTGGCTGAAGCTTCAGCGACACCAATGGGTATTCTTCTGTCGATGGTAAGGGCTCGTAGGCAGGCTTTGGAGGAAACGAGATGTTCAAAAAGGCGAGGGCGCCACAGCAAAGGAATATGGGGGTATAGAAAACGAGAGTCCAGTACAAAGTGAAGCTGAATATGTCGTCATAGTGGTATAGGTATGTGGCCCCTGGTTGCCTAGGAGGACTGTGCTGGATATCGAAGAATTCGAGGTTGGGATTGTACAGCGACGGCCACCGGGGCGTCTCGTTCCCCTCGTCCAGAGCACCGTCCATGGCATGGACTCGGACTGAAGAGCGTGTGACTGTGATGTCACAGAGGTCAAATGTGTTCAAAAGCTTTTGGACCAAACAATGTCATTCCTTCTCCTTGCCGCTACCCGCAAGCATCAGCAGCGAGCCGACCGCATTTTTCGTTAGTAGGAGGGATAAAATACCTGCCTTCTAGATGCGCAAAACGCTTCTTTCTTCACTGATGAAACTTTTCTCGTAGTGAAATACGAAAAGGCTTTATTCGCACGGATATATTTACCAAGACAAGACAAGAAGCTGTAAGAGGGCTGTGATTACGAGCGGCTTCTACCTCTGTATGCTCCTCTCATCAACCTTCACTTGGTGACAACTTCCGTTTCGTAGGCCTGCTGCAACCCAGACTTCAGCAAAGTAAAACCAGGTCACGTCCACAGACGTAAGTACAAAATACTTCAGATCGCCACCTTACTGATCCATATACCCGTAGTTCCATTCTCATGTTGGCTAATCCTATTTTCACACGGGACAATGGCGACACTACTCATTCAATATGTCGCGCCAATGAAAATTTCTGGCATGTTTTACTCTGCATTGGGTCCCTGGGAGCAGTTATAGGAGCGTTTTTTGCCCTCATTCGCATCGTTTTACTCAGCTCCTTGATCCCCTCCTGTATTCTCCTGTATAGGCGAGTCAGCGCAGGCTACGCCTCCTACTGTCAAGGCTCCAAAGAGAATCTTCCCATTATAATCGACTTTTGCCGTTACTTTTGCATTCTCCATCCTGTACGACGTCTCCGTGTCTATTGGCGCTCCCACATTTGCGCAAGATTTCGAGACCGTGAAGTGGTTAATGTACCCCGAGATTGCGTCCTTCCTCAAGAATTGTGCGAAGTCATCATCCACTTCTGTCATTCCGATCGAGAGACCCTCCTTGCTTGCAGCCTCGTCTGCAGGGCATGGGTTCCATCCAGTCGGTCCCTCTTGTGGACACGTGTTCACTCCGGTGACCATGTACGAGAGTTTGTCAAACTCTTGCAGTCGCCAGAAAACACCATCTCTCCGTACATCCAGTCAATCTGGCTTGAGATGTATACAAAGTGGGACCGACTGATTCGATACCAGCATGCTCTTCGTGCCCTTGCTAATGCCGATGCAATCCTGATACGAGCAATAATCACCGGACAGTCGCTGGATCCAGTGAGGGCACTACACTGTCATTTCCCACACATTAAGCGACTCTCGTTTAATTACGAGGATCTAGGAGATAACGAGGCGACATCTGCCGCCAACTTCAGGCGACTCCTCTGGTATTCGAGCCTGTTCTGTCACCTCGAACGACTTTCGATACGATTCTTGAACCCAGGGGGCACGGACATTCCACTGTCCTCATTAGAAGAATGCAAACTTCCTATGCACTTGCGTTCACTATCGTTGAAATGCTGGAATCGGGATCTCCTGTGTTGGCTTGAGAGTCGCCACAAGACACTCAGGCTGACAACTTTCAAACTGAAGATTGAAAACTATGCATGCACGTTGGATCCCAGTCCCATCAACGGCATCCTCAGAGCGTGCTACACAAGTCTTCGGTCCGTCACTTTTACTGTCGTGGAGTGGGAAAATGGTGTGAACATCATTTTCTGACGACCTCAACCTGCACTCATCTCTTCTTTCAGGGTTTCTTGACCTAAGTCCCTTGATAGAACTTCGGACGGCCGTGTTTTACGTCTACCACTTCCCTTCAGGAATGGAAACGATAGCTTCGTTGAACTCGAGTCATATTGAAACGATCACTATCATAACAAGAGACGACGAAAGTATGATGAGTAACTATCTAGATAATTTCATGACTGGAATAGGTCTCACTTTCTTGTATGGGAGATATGCCCTGCGACGATATGTTCCATCTACGGTCCGAAGTAGCCTTTGCCAGCACTGTACTAATTAGATTCGTTTGTATCATCAGCGGCGGCTGTCGTGTACTGATGGGACGTCAGGACCTCGAGAGCAGGCGGCCGGTTTGAGAATGGCTATTCCTTGGAAACTGGGGAGCACAAACGCGTGTGCGTGGTTCAGAGCTAAGTCCGATTTCTTCGATTACGTAATCAACTTCCCCGATTCTTTCCGAAACTTGTTGAGGAAAAGAGTGACACCATTGCATTTACCTGCCCTGCCCGCATTTACTACAGTGCGTCACTCATGGTGGTTTGAAGTTGTGACCAATGTCACACCCGTTGCGTGTTCTTCATCCACCACCATGAGTACGGTAAGCACTTAGCACTTTGGTCTGGGCTCTATCTTGAAATTTTTCTGATTTTGAATAGCTTTTTGTGACACCGTTCAATGCTCAGCAGCCCCCCTCTTACCATAGTCCATGATGACAATTCGAAGCGTTTTTTCTTTTCGCTGAGTATGGAGCGGTGTGTCTGACTTTTTCTCCTGGGGTGCACACATACTGATCTTGTTTGGTAGGCTGACTCTTCTTCAAGCCCGGTAGAATGTCATTCAAGGTGGGTAAGGATCCTTTCTCGTGGTGTGTTGCTTGCAAACCATTTCTGCAGCTGCCACGATGATCAATTCTTTCCGTGGCAAGATGTCTTTTTGGTGAACTCAAAGCCCTACCGTGCACCTTGGAATGATGGCGAGGCGAGGAAGTGCTGCACGAGAGATGGATAGAATGGTAGGTTCGTTGATCGTTACGTGGTATTCAGAGGGCTAACACCTCTGCCTTTGCCAGTTCGCTTCGATGAAAACAACGAAGGCTTCAGGCTAAAGCATCGCCCTTGACGTATTCCTTTGCACGACAGGGACGGGCTGTTTTACCGGACTCGAGGGTGAACGAGGGCTACAAGGTAAGGGTATATTTTGTTTTCACTAGGCTTGCTGCTAACGGGGAATAGGGAATGCTATCCATGCACCGGCATCGACTACCATTAAACAGTCGCCGCTGTATCCCACCGACAAATGCTGCACATCCCGCGTCTGCTCCGTCGACCATCAGCTGTTATCAAGGAATGGCGAGCATAGGCCGCCGTCTACAAGCTGGACGGAATTCATACGAGGCTGGTACGTTCTGACGCTGTGCCCTCGTTAACGGCGCTAACGAGTGGATGTTGGATAGCGACCTTGATGGAAGTGAGACGGTGAGCGGTGGGTGGGTCGTGCAGGCGGGCGGGAGGTGGGTGGATTCTAATCATACACCTGCAGTGTTGTGCTGATTATTATTAGCTCTTGCAGATGGGGAAAGTGTGGAGGAGGGACGGCTGCAGGCAGGTCCTGCAGAGGACAAGGGTAGTAGCGATGTAATAGACAGTGATCAACAAGCCATCAGCTGGGCATATTATCACATGCAGATGGGGCGCATGCAGGGGAGACACCGAAGACGAATGCTGGCACGGCAGACACTGAGAGCAACGGCAGAAGAGTAGTTCGCGAGCGTGGGCGGACTGTGCTGGATATCAAAGAAGTCGAGGTTGGGATTGTACAGCGATGGCCACCGGGGTGCCTCATTTCCCTCGTCCAGAGCACCATCCATGGCATGGAGAGCGTGTGGCTGTGATGTCATCATTAAGTTTTGTATTCGCATGGATATATTTACCAAGACAAGCAGCCGTAAGAAGGCTGTGATTATGAACGGCTTCTGTCTCTTCGATATGCTCTTCTTATCAACCTTCGGTCAACTTTCTTTTCGTTGCAACCTGGACTTCAGCAAAAAAAATCCGGATATTGGTAACGTTCACAGACGTAAGTACATGATATTTCAAATCGCCCACTTTACTGATCCCATAGTTTTGTAGCCCCATTCTCATGTCGGCTCATCTTATTTTCACGCGGGACAATGGCGACACTGCTCATTCAATATGTAGCACCAATGAAAATTTCTGGTACAGTCTATTCTGCATTGGCTGCCTAGTAGCGGTATATACAGGAGTGTTCTTTGTCCTCATCCGCGTCATCTTCCTCATCTCCTTGATCCCCTCCTGTATTCTGCTGTATAGGCGAGTCAGGGTAGGCTATGCTTCGTTTTGTCAAGGCTCCAAAGAGAATCTTCCCATTATAATCGACTTTTACCGTTACTTTTGCATTCTCCATCCTATACGACGTCTCCGCGTCTATTGCCGCTCCCACATTTACCCTAGATATCGAGACCATATAATGGTACCCCGAGATTGCATCCTTCCTCAAGAACTGTGCGAAGTCATCATCCACTTCTGTCATTCCGATCGAGAGACCCTCCTTGCTTGCAGCCTTGTCTGCAGGGCGTGGGTTCCGTCCAGTCGGTCCCTCTTGTGGACACGTGTTCACTCCGGTGACCATGTACGAGAGTTTGTCAAACTCTTGCAGTCGCCAGAAAACACCATCTCTCCGTACATCCAGTCAATCTGGCTTGAGATGTATACAAAGTGGGACCGACTGATTCGATACCAGCATGCTCTTCGTGCCCTTGCTAATGCCGATGCAATCCTGATACGAGCAATAATCACCGGACAGTCGCTGGATCCAGTGAGGGCACTACACTGTCATTTCCCACACATTAAGCGACTCTCGTTTAATTACGAGGATCTAGGAGATAACGAGGCGACATCTGCCGCCAACTTCAGGCGACTCCTCTGGTATTCGAGCCTGTTCTGTCACCTCGAACGACTTTCGATACGATTCTTGAACCCAGGGGGCACGGACATTCCACTGTCCTCATTAGAAGAATGCAAACTTCCTATGCACTTGCGTTCACTATCGTTGAAATGCTGGAATCGGGATCTCCTGTGTTGGCTTGAGAGTCGCCACAAGACACTCAGGCTGACGACTTTCAAACTGAAGATTGAAAATAGTTCATGCACGTTGGATCCCAGTCCCATCAACGGCATCCTCAGAACGTGCTACACAAGTCTTCGGTCCGTCACTTTTACTGTCGTGGAGTGGGACAATGGTGCGAACATCATTCTTCAACGACGTCAACTAGAATTCATCTCTTCTTTCAGGGTTTCTTGACCTAAGTCCCTTGGTAGAACTTCGGACAGTTGTGTTTTACGTCTACCACTTCCCTTCAGGAATGGAAACGATAGCTTCATTGAATTCGAGTCATATTGAAACGATCACTATCATAACAAGAGATGACGAAAGTATGATGAGTAATTATCTGGACAATTTCATGACTGGAATAGGTTTCACTTTCTTGTATGGGAGATATGCCCTGCGACGATATGTTCCATCTACGGTCCGGAGTCGCTCTTGATTTTGGATATAGCCTTATCCGCGTTTACTTTAGGATATGTACCAGATGTAATGTAATTCTCGACTACGACCAGATCTGCCCTGAGGTCAAATCATCTGTCGTTATCCCCTCGAATATCCAAAACCTCATCCTGTAGTTCAAACTAAGGAGAGAGAAGGTACACTAGCTACTTGCCAGGGTAGACTACCTTGTTGATGATCAGGGACATCACGGCCAGTGCTCGATACTTCTACCCTAGAGGAAGCGGCGTTGTGGAGATTTAGCAGCATACGAGTCGTAAGAACGCCTAGAGCAGCATGAAACGGTCTAGGAAACTATTCGTACATATCCACTATGATGGCTTCTAGGCAACACGCACCCATAACTGAACCTAGGAAGTTTATCCACTCCCTGAGCAGACATTAAATGCAAACCCCTAGCAGAGGAATGAAGCGACGTACGACAATCATGAGATTGTTGAAAACCAGGAGGCATGATATCCTGACACCGAGTGTTATCGAAGGAATGGAAAGCGGAGATGCAATGCATACCCCAGAAAGTATAGTGTATTGTCGCGAAGTAAAATAGAACGAAGAGTATCGCGACTGTGTCCTCTCCTCATCCTGTCCATCATTGACTCGAACGACTTATAGATTGCAAATCCGAAAAGAACACTTTCATAAATGGCGGCTTTGAAAGCGACCGAGTTGATATCTTGGAACCAGTTGAAACAGAGGCAAGACTCACCGGGTACCCATTGAGCCCATTCAATCTTGGGATGAACGATCGGACACCCAAGCAAAGGTAGATGGATCGCATCGGCGATGAGAGCTTTCTGTTGCTCAGCATTCTTAGCTGATATCCACAAGAACCCGACAACAGAACACGCGAAGAGAATCCCATTTATCACGGCCACCTAGGATGAAGCAAATTAATAATCTAGTTCACAGTAGAAGAAACCAGGTAATACCCTCTTCGAGCATGTGAACAGGACATACACACGTAACTGCATGACGATCTCGACGGACCACAGACTTATCGCCCCGAAGACACTGATGATAGTGTATGCGGCTACACATCTATTTGAGAGTAACCAAGCTGGAAATGTTTTACGGAAGGACTGAACTTACAACTTGTCAGAGTTTATTCCGAGAATGGAGAAGATGTGAATTTGGAGAGTGTCGACGACAAGTAGGGCAATGCTGTAATACCGAACCTAGGAAGGTGTCAGGATGAATTGTTGAGAAGTCAGGTGTAAACGCACCCATAAGAATATAATTTTTCCTATGTTTCGCTTCTGAGGCTATCGGAAATAGTATTGAATCCGATAGTCCGTCACTGTTTCTCTCCCGACTCACCCAGATATAACGGATCTAAGAAAGTTATGCAGCTGTTCATGTATTGGAGAGCTACATACCTCGTCTTCCAGCATCACAACTTCAGCGCAAATGTCAGTGCGGTAATCAGTCTACTATATACATCCAGTTGGAGTACTTACAGTAGTCGTGTAAAATCCAAGTAAAGCTGGCTGCTGTGAATGAAGACATCCAGACTCCTGCGCAGAACAATCGCAAGGAGGAAACGGTGATACTCACGGACGACATATAGAGGAACAAGACTTTCTCGGTACAAGGCAGCGACTTTGGTGTCTTCGGCATCGGTATTCATCGGGAGGAGGTGGGGGTGCTAAAGGCTTGCTTGAAAGAATTGCGCAGCGTTCATATCCTTCCCCTGAAACACGGGTGGCGGCGTACGGAGGAACGAATATTCACCGTATACTTAAGGCGCACTAAAAGAGCGATTAGCGTACATGAATATAATTGCCTGCATTGAGTTACCATCTGAGTAGAATGCGGTGGATCAATGAACGATTCCAATAGCCGCCTGAGATAATGACACGCTCAGTCATAGGTCCGCTACAGAAGACTTTTGAATACAGAGTCATTGCCGAAATAAAATTTACTCACTCTTATCTGCAGTTGATTCCGGTCGTGAGCTAGTTGGATTTTTGGCTGGAAAGAGGAGAAGGCTGTTTTATTCTGATCCAAGATTCGGAACTGAGAGTGGAATTAAAACGAATGATGGACGTTGTGGGTCAGGAACAGCCGACTTTGCCGGTACCCGGCGTTTGTGACGACTCGACTGCTTTGCTCAATGCTCCAACTTCTATCCCGTACAGCCAACGACACGCCTAAATCTGCTTAACCTGCCCCACGATCAGCGTTGCTAAATTCCGTATATCAGTGGCGGCACCTAGCGGCAATAATTAGGGATCTTTCGTTTTTATTTCAATACTCTTTGGAACCACGGCTCTCTATATATAACCCAGAGTTGATTACAGCGGAATGACCATTGGCCATGTATCGCGCACAAGGCGATATACGTCTCATCTGTCTGCGAATGGCTCTAAACCTTGCGGACATAGTGCTGTACCGTACGCTCAAAGTCTGCATCTCCCTAGAGTCTTAGTGTCTCATATTGTGTTATGAGTTCAAACCTTAAAATGCACAAATAATACATGGAGTGCGCCGATACAAATTATTGCACCTAGCGCTTCGAAGGCGACGATGCTCCGCATCAAAGGGAGTGTATTCAGCGAAGAAACCTCGAGCAGGACGCATTAGGAGAGTCAAAGTCGGCGACGGAGATGAGACGGTGACAATGATGTCATACTACAGCCGAATGCGGATTAAAGGCTCTTTTAAATGCCGACCATGAAAGTGTAAGTTGAACTTTTACTATTGCCACTGAGTGATCTCTAATGTCGCAATGTGACGCAAATTTTTCTCCACTCACAGGAGGAAAGCTTAGCAAGACCCCCTACCAAATGCTTCAGAGGTTGGCAGCAGGCTCAACATGGAAAACACAAGATATTTATTAATGATTCAATATGTAGCAATCTTTAGGCACGAAGACATATTTTTTTCAACCAGGACCACCCATTTGTCCTCACAGAGCGAACTTTATGTCACTCACCACATGCACATCTTGGTTGACAAATTGATCAGAGGAAGAATTTGAGGCCAGAATATCAACTTACCAACTTCCGCTGACTGTTCCTGTACCAAAAAGTTCTCCTTGTAAGTAGCAAGCTTTCCCTCCGACGCTCGTCAATCTTGAAGAAGTTTGGGTCGATGTTCAAGAAAATTGGCAAGCATTCCCTGACGGTCAGTTCAAACATGGAGGCTGTCAAGCCAAATGCCCTCCTGCCCTCTAGGATGAGTGAATGAGCAAATTGAACAGCAGATGTTCTGGCAAAGTCAGCAATGTCCAACTGCCTGACCGCAGACAACGGGTGCAAATTGACGAAGGTATGTTCGTCGAGGAGAAGTAAACAGTGATGGTCCCTTAGCCGCTGGATGATGGAAAGATAGGCCCTGATTGCCTTACGGGTGACTGTGACCTCCTCATTGCGCTTGAAAGGGCCAGAATTGAAGGCAGGGAGAAATAAACAAAAGTTTCCCAATGCAATAAAATTCAGCATGCCACGATTATTTAGCCCCGGGAAGTGGGAGTCTTTGCCTGTGAAATGTTAGGCCAAAAAGGAGAGTCACCATATTTTTACTTACATTCGGGCCCTTCGTCACCAACCAGAACACCAAAGTAAATCATCATCCGAAGGAGAATGTGCTGTAGTTCAAAGAGTGGAAGACCTCCCATGTCTCCAAACATACAGGTATGAACCCAGCCCCAGACAGTTCTTGATAATGTGACCGTGGAGTAGAAATGGTGACCTTTTATGATGGAGTTCTCCAGGTAACCACTGTGTGATGAGTGTTGGGACGCATGTAGCTGCATCTGTGTCAGCACATTTCAAGAGAGATAAGGCATGACATACAACACAGAACCTGGTTCAAGCAGGACAATCTCTGCAGTCCAGAATTCGGCGTCCGGAATAAATCCAGGTTCCCATTCACCCTGGACCGGGGCTCTCGATGTCGGAAAACATACCACATCTGGCACCTGCAAAGGACTTCGATGACAGTAGTGACGCCAAGACTGTCTGTCCCAACCTCGGTGGTAGCCCCTTTCCTTGCCACAAACCAGAAGCTCGTTGCCAAGGCCGGATATTCCCTTTTGTAAATTTCATCGGCCGGATCGGACGTATTGTCGAAGGCACGGATGTGGCTCGACAAGATACTAATGAAGTTAAAGTGCACTAGAAAAACCTTAGGAAAAAATGCCAGCTTACGAATGTAAAGGGTGGTTGATGGGAGAATCATGACCAGGCAGAGAGAGAAAGTTGAAAATGCGACCCCCTTCTTCAATCCCTCCATCATAGAGACATCTTGATGGTCATACTGTTCTCACATGAGCGTCGATGCCCTACAGTCCACATTAGGATACATTTTTCCATGAAAAAGAAAACCCGCACCTTCCAAGACGTGAACTTGGTCAATATCACCAATTTCTGATAGAGACCTCAAAGACCAATCCAGTGGATAGGCCCGAGTATCATATAGGTGAAAGTTAGCATTCTTGAAAGCCATCATTGTCTGAGAAGGATTTTCGAATGCCTCATTGAATTTCATCGACAGGATGACTGGATCCAGCCAGGTTGGGATCCTGTAGCAAGCTTCGAAAAGTGCAAGCTTTCCTTGCTCTTCAGGCTAGATTTTAATCAGGCAATGAGACAAGAAAGTGGTTGGTTAACCTACATTGGACACAAGCGGAAAGTATTCAAAGGTGACGCAGGAATTTGTTCGAGGAACCCAAACCTCCGGTAAGAGGATTCCGGTCGGAGAAAAGGAGAAATGTGGATCAAATTTCGCTTTCTTCAACACATTGTGTATAGAGGAAGAGGTCTCAGACCGAGACCGCTTCCTTTCTGGGAGACGGCGGAAATCGCCTTGTTGACCGGACAGCTAGGAGGTTTGGGTCTATTGAAGGCAGACTTTGCTAGCCCCCACGAATGTCTGGTACATGAATGCTTGTTAACCAGTTGACATCGATGATTGGGAGCTGGTAGACAGGGCAACTTATTCGCTGCCATTCCGGTCGGAATGTGCAGGTTGGATATTTCTTCCGACCCCATTGCATCACTTGATCACTCAGGAGCTGGCACATCTTCGAAATCGAGTCAGGCGGGAATGCTGGCCTTCCAGGCGAATATTGGGAAGAGGAGACTTCGACCAGACTTTCTGCCGATGCTTTAACTGTCGGGGAGGACAAGAGTTGCCCCTTCCCCATTGTAAAGGCTTCTCCTTGCGACCACCCTTTTCAATCCAACGAGCTCTGCTGTTCTTGAGCCATTCCCTGGTTTCGGCCTTTTTTGCTGCTTCGTATCCCGCTGTTCCAAGAAAATATGTCAGAAGCATGAATAAAGCAAGTTTTCCACGTGTCTGCCTGCTGTGGATTTGAAGAAGACACTCACTAAGGTCGGCTGCATTCACAGAGTGGTGTAGTTCTTGTAACATGCTGGTTAGTGAAAAGAAATGATCACCATGGGAATGGACGATTCGAAGTTGCGGAGTCAGCCACAAGAGTTTCTCATGTTTCCCACAAAATGATGTGCATCCCTAATCTTGATTCTTCCGAAATAAGTTTTCTCCCAATCTACAAGATGCCTTTCGCCCTGAATCTTAGTACCTCCCTTGGGAGTCTGAGACCATGTTCCATTCCAGTTCCGCCGTTTCGGAGTCAAGCGCGATTCCACAGATGCTAGGCAGCCATCCTTCGCCAGTGTTTCAATGTTAGCTCTCGTTCGTTATTTGTATACACTCTACACACTTGGCCTACCTTTGCATTCAATTATTCTGTGCCGCTAATCGGCCTCCTCTTTTCACTTTTCATTTTCATTTCAATCGGCGTGCAAAACATTTCCTGCTATTCCCACTGTCACACCAGACAAATGAGAACTTGAGGGAAACCTGAATGCGCATGATAAGGTAACGTTGTCAGAGGTCGATCTTGGCAGAAATTTTACATAAAATTTGTGTAGTCCCATCTCTAGCGGACAGCATGTCATTTAGATCCTCCAAAATGCGAAGTTCGTCTTCCCAGTATGTCCCACTTCTTTCCTCGTCTTTTAGATATAAAGAACTTTCTAGTTTTCATTGAAACAACCGGCACCGATCGATGCAAATATGTTAAAACTAGCAGCATATATCCAAACCTTTACTGCTTATAAAAAGGTGAAACTTGAGCTTGCTTTGATCCCGTCCTCGATGGCCGAATGTATTTGGAACGGAGCATCGGGCTCGATGACCTTCTTAGTCATCATGATCTATTTTTAGTACATCAAAGTCGGCTAATCGCTGGGTGATAAATCGCCCCCTTGTGTAAGGAAGATGACAAGTGTGTTGAGGGTTACATGACAGTTATAAGTCTGGCTGTGTCGAACATTGAACATCGTGATCCGTTTGCACATACCGACTGCACATAGAATTAAATTTTGGGGCCACAATATCATCCTGAATCTTGATATGTCCGACAAAAATTTTCTCACAATCTACCAGATGACTTTTGCCCGTCATATTAGTACCCTCCTGCTTCCTATGACGTCTTCTTCCATCCCAGTTTTTCATGTGGGTGTCTAGTGGAAATCTAAAGACTTTTTCCAGCCATGCCAGTGGTTCAACGTTAGTTCTCATTCATTATTTATATCCACTCTACACGCTTCGCCTACCAATGCATTCAATTATTCTACTTGTTAATCAACCTCCTCGTTGGCTTTCTATTTTAATTTCAATCACCTTGTAAAAAAATTCTGTCTATTCCTTGTGGTATAAGATATAGCGACCTTTCTAGTGTTCCCTGTAATAACCCACACCGGCGGACAAATATACTACTCGTATGATAACACAAACTGCCCCAAGTGGACACAATCAGTATATATTTGAAAAGCTTTACTCTTTATAAAATGGCTGAACTTTACACTTGTGTTGATCCCGTCCTTGATGGCTGAACGTATTTGGAATGGAGCATCCACCTCGATGACTTGCTTAGTCATCGGATATTATGTTTAATACATCGAAGTGATCTATATATACAAGTGCCCGCCGCGTGCCGGGGCGTGTGGGACCTTGCTGGTTTTGTGAAATCTGCTTATCCATGGACAATACACTTGTATCTACAAAGTGTAAGGTTTTTCGTGCATTTCTTTCGTTCAGATGACTGAGATGGGTTACCTGAAATTGGCAGACGAATTTTGTGGAAGCACTTAAATGAACAGCAAAACGTGCTCCGCTGCCAGCTCGCATTTTGCCCCTGAGGATAGAAGAACCGAGCAAGCCAGGCTACATCAGGATGTTCGAATGTCAAGGATATCTACAGGTTGGTTTCAGCATTTCGGCAAGATAGAGAACACACGAGGGCAACCCGTCGACGCCTTGATTGACGCTTCAGAGACCGCAGTTGAAGTCTCATCCTGCGTGGTTCGTGTCTCGGTCTCCACTCGCTTCTCCTGAATAGCCTTGTCTTGTTGAGAGACTGTAACAGGATTCCGAATCACAGTGTCAACGTCTTTACGAATGGATGTGTTTAGAAGCAAAATGGAGGTCATGACCGCCAAGAACGGTATGATGGCATTTGAGAACAAGTGCCTGCCGCGTGCCGAGGCGAGTACGACCTTGCTGAATCTTGTCCTTGAACCCTATTGCTGTCTCTTTCGAGTCGACCTTTTCATTGGCAATGCTCCCGACTCAAAACATGTAAGGAAACACTGAAAGCGACAATTCCTCGTCGGGTTGATCTACGTAAGTCATACCAATATGTTACGAAGTGTTTGCGTGGCACATCTGCTTCTTTGAACACCGATATACCAGTCGTATACCTCGCAGATCATTTGTACATTGAAAAATCCACACTGCATAGTGCCAAACCATCTCTAATAAGAGTCCCTGAACTCAGACCCATAATCTATTCCAAAATTCCGACCGGTGTCACGACACCGTGCGCTCGTTCGCCAGATGTCGATACGTCATGTCCGCGCAAAAGTCATCGTCCAGGGAGAGGCTGGGGTGCAAGGTGTACAATAACAGCTAGATGCAAAGGATCTCAATCAGTAACGAAGACAGTCGACATCGTGCGACGTGCGTACTATGTCCAGTTTACCCTAGCCCTATACTCCTTGTATCCACAACAATACCCCGACGCCATGCTCTCGCTTGCCAGACGTCAATACATGGCGTCGAGGTAAAACTAGTCCCTCCTAAGACTACCTGCCGTCCCTACCCTATGTGAAGTTTTGCCGTGGGTGTGTTCACCGGTTTTGAATACATCATCTAGGCGCAGACGTCTTGCTTGCCGGAAGACGATCCATTGTCTCCAGCCAAAACTCGGACACCTACACACCAGGATGGGGTGGGGTCATATTTCGCGCAGTCTCCAGGCATACTCACTCCCTCCTCGCACCAGACAGGAGGCAACGTCCTCTTCTACTTTCCAACAACGCACGTTACTAGCCATTGAAAGACCAGCGCAGCGGGAACAGGTAGATGTCGTTGAGTGGTAGGGGATGACGCAATATCGGAAGGGAATGTCCGACTGAAGGAGGGTCGTGGGGATGGGTCGTTGGGTCGGGGTTGATGTTGATTTGTCATGGTGTGGTGGATACGTGGCAAGTGGGAGGAGAGAATAGCAGAATCTAGTGAACGGATAAGGATCAATGGCATAGAGCACTAACAGATGTACTCACCAGTATCATATTGGACTGCGTGCATCATGCGCAAACCTGAATATAATATATTGATGGCGGCTGAAAGCTTCATCGGGACCATGAACAGTAGATGGGCAAGCTCATTCCCATATAGGCTTATGAGATAGGTGGTCCAGGCGATCACACCTAGCTCCGCGGTCCTGGTCATCCTTGGCTATTCCCTCTGCCAGAAAAGCATTCAGTTTCCACTCTGCCTCACATTTTCCTGTATTTTCCCCCTGGATGAGCTCCTTTAGTACCTTGACTATCACCTTGTGGTCCTTTTACAAGCTTGTACCGATCCTTGTCTTGTGGGCTGATATACGTGATAATGATCTTGTTGGGTACAATGTTCTCGTGTATTGAGCATGGGATGCCAAAGGGAGACTTTCCCTCTGCAAGTGTCCAGAGACGAAGTTAGAAAGTGTGCTTCTTGTTGATGGCAAGAAGGACAGATGCAGTGTTAATTGTGCTAGGACAGCACAGCGAGTAGTACTAGTCCTCGTAAGTGGAACAGACTATAAAGTGCGATGCATGAGCATCAGCGAAGGGAAAATATGGAGAAGGTATTAGTCGCTCACGATCCAATTCTTAAGCAATTCCCCAGATGTTCAGGTTCAAACGTTCAATATTCAATGTGCGAGGCGACTTTTTGAAGCTAGTGCTGCAGGTGCAATAGAGTCGAGATGGTAAATGGCTGAGTACTGAGTACTGAGTCTTGACATGCTGCACGGCTACATTGTATTTGTTTGGTTTTGGCAGATGCGAGAGTAGGAAGAGGACTGCTGGATTGAGCACAGCCACCTATTTGTACTTAATTGCTTTTGGCAGACGACGGAAAAGGAAACTTTATGACTGTGGGTTGACCTTGCTTTTCAGCAAGGTAATGAGGTCCTCGTGGTTCGGAAAAGCTCTAAACGGCAGTCGCATGCACCACGTGATTCACGCAACACTGATGCATCATCGGTTCCGTTTTGAAGTGCGATTCTGCGAAAACCTGCGTGGAGTTCTATTATCCATATAGGATATCCCATGGACCTTTCACGCGTCTGGCGCGTCTGTCTTACCACGCCGCCGTTCCTCTGCTTTGTAGAGCACTGATAAGATACTCATGGAGACAACAGAGCGCTTTGAGATTATTCTCCTTGGGAAAGATCCCATCTTGCTCTGCTATCGCATACTTGTATTCAAGTAATTCATAAATTTGTCATTTACGGAGTCAGTTATGCGATTATGGGCCGATTATGCCTTCAACCATGCGCTGGACTTCTTCAGAAGCCTTGTCCGCTGTGAAACCGATTCATTCAGTGTCGGTCATGGGCGTTGTAATCAAGTCCATAATTGAATACATAACCAATCCAGAATTGACCCATAATCGCACATCTGACCCTCCCTATTGCTACGGTTGTATCTGTAACAGTACAGGTGCACATTCCTAAGCTGCATATGACTATAATTTATCATCCCTAAGTCTAATATCATTGAGATAAGTATGGATGATCTGAATGAAGCAATTGATACCCACATCTTGACTCCAGATATTTCTTGTTGCTGTAAAACTGAACTTATGGATATGACTACTTATAATGGGTTTAAAACTTGTTTTACGCAAGTCTAATTGCCGCGAGCGCACAGAATAAGGACTTACCCTGTACTTGGCTTGAAGGACTGGGATCCTTGCATAATCAAATATTCACTTCCTGGAAGTGTTGGAAAACGGGGTATCGGTCCATTCCCAGTGTTACATGCGCGGTAGCAAGCCAATAGTATTGCGCTTGGCTGGGCTCTGCAAACGCATGAGAATCTACTCTACAGTACCTACTTTTATACTAAATACTATTTTACTAGAACTTTCCACGCTTTTCCTACTACTTCTACCTTAATAAGCAACTTCGGCATGATGCCGGGTTGCCAAATCCCAACAGGAAGTCACGGTTCAGAGCGTCGGCAGCACCAGAGGTTTAACGCATCCTGCTTCCACGGGATTCACGCTGACATGATCAGCTACCCCTTTTCATCATATTTATAAGACCCTGGGGAGAACGGAGCTTCTGTTTCATCACTCTTACACTCTCCCCAGAGAGATTACCGTAACTCATACAAGTAGGAGAAGTCTAATAAAATAATCAAAATGCTTTGCCTTCAACTTAGAGGTCCAACCGATATCCCAAGTAAAAAGCCGGGTTTGGGGCAGGCCTCAACAAGCCGGAGACCTGTGTCACAGTCGGGTTGCCGGGACCCTCGTACCTCAGGTCCGGCAATTGTGACGAAAACACGGGTTCCGTGTACTCAAGAACAGTCTGGACCCTTATGTGTCTGTAAGGAAAAGGCAGGATTTATTGAAAAGTCGAACTCGGTGTATACCCGGCCCGATTGCCTACTACGTTTACAGCGCTTACACCTTTGAAGCCTTTTGACCACAATGACGACCGCTACTTAAGCTTCATCTATTCCCGAATTCCTGATATCACATTATTGGCATGGTAACATATTTGCAGCGACTGTTACATATACAAAAGATATTTTGCATGAAGATAACTACGCTAGAATTCCAAATGTGTAAAAACTAAAGATGAACTAATGGTGCTTTCCCTTCTTCTTCACCTGCTCTTCACTTTCATCACTCCCGTGAACATCCCCATCATGCAATCCCTGTCGTTTGCAGGTGATTTTTAACTCGTCACCAGGCATATCATCTTTCTTGAAATGCTCGAAAACTGAATTGAAGTATCCGGTCATTTGGTATCCCTTTTTGAGATCGGACCAGAGGCTGTCGGCAGATATAACCATTTTCATTCCATCAGGTACATGCTTCAAAAAATCGGGTGGGATTACAAGGTCTTCTTTGGAACTGTGGTGATTGTCATCAATCTGGAGGCCAGAAATAAACAATTGGACAGCACAGGAGCAACAAAAAATCTTACGATCCAATTACTGGCCAAGGAGCACTCGTAAAAATGCCTTTTGCCTTTTACTTCTGCACAGACCATTCAGAACAACTTGTCTTCCTTGCGCCTCTCTGAAATAGGATACCATTTCCTGTCCTGGTTGACGTAGATTTCACTGGCACTAAATGGCTCCGCTTCTTCAGGAAAGAAGTCGCCTTCTCCTGAGAAATAATACACAAAGATCTCGATGCTGATGAGCCTTTCATCATCGTACTTCAACTTGATGGCTATGCCCATCAGTGCTCTGCCATGCATGCCGAACATGAGTCTAAGGATATCCTTGTTGACTCTGGGTTTCAACTCGGAGTAAGCAACCTCAAATACGACTACCGGCCAGTTGTAATTGATTGGAAGATTTTTCGGGTCCTCCCAATTCAGTCCCCGGTCAAATATGAGAATATCTGGCCCTTTCCAATGGCCTTCAGAGAGAGGGATATGAGTGCCAGCTAGGATCCTCAATCCGATGGTGGCATGCCAGTTAGCATGTAATGCTGCTGCAATGGTATCTAGTGTGGAATCGTGGGTGACACAAGGAATTGTAACAATTACTTTGTCTTTGAGAAATTCCCAGCTAACTAAAATGTGAGGTCCTCCATAAAATAAAATGGCAAAGGTACTTACTGACCACAAACTGCTTCAGATACATTCTCAAAGTTTTCCTCCATCCATGACTGACTTTCGGAGTCAAGAACTTTCTCATACACTTCGCCAGGAAGACAATCATCCAGACCCTTCAGCCAGCCTCGTAGCTCGAGAGGAGCATCATGAAATGGCGATGGGGGAGGGGAGGCTTCAGCAGCCTTTGGAACAAGAGTGAGGTCTCGTAGGTTCTGTTTCATATCAGTCATGCCTTTCGTGACATCAGCTGGCTGCGATTTGGAAGCCCCCCTTTTCAAAACCTCTGGGCATGCAAGGGTTGCTTGCAAGGTAAAAGTGCTTGATCCGTAATAGTGAGCATCCGCACCAATAACAGATGTCATTTTGCGGGCTGGTGGAAGTATGGAAAAGAGATTGTTATCGGATGTTGCCACGTCTTTGTGATCTATCTGACATCATTGCCCACATGACTGTCATTCTGTTCTAATTTTGGAGTTCTATAGAAGAGCAAAGAACGTGGAGAAACATACGGGGCATACACAGGTAGAAGAGGAGGGGTTAAAGTGAAGGGAGAAAACGATTTGATGCAACTAGAAATGGTATTATGTTAATTGTGAACTCCCTACATATGTTCACTTTATAGTATTGAGCTCCTCTACTAATTCTTAACTGTTCCAAAACTAAAGCATTCAATATGCGCAGAAGATCCTTTAGTAGTTTTTCAGACAACATTATATAAACCCTCACCATATTTAAAATTGAATACTTTCTTCGTATTCATTGGAAGAAATGTGTCATTTTTTGGGCCAGTAATAGTGTACATCGCACAATTAATAAGCTTGATTGAGTTCATACACCTAACTTCAATACTTTGCACCCATTAGGCCATTGCACAGACCTGCATTTTATTATGGAAATTCAGTCATACATCACACTGATATCAAAAATGTGGAAGATGTTAAAATTTGTGTGACAACTCAGACAGGATATACTTCAACGTGCTTTTTCGTTTGGCTTTTGTCATCTGGTACAGTCTATTGAACACCACTACTTCTTTGTACATTTCAATATAACTTCTTATTTCACTCTCAAACAACCTCAATTTTATTTTTGATGGAATACCATATAGGCTATCATATGGCTAACAAAAATCAAGGTAAGAGTCCACGTATCAGTCAGGAAGAAATCAATAGTGAAGAGTATGAATTTTGGCAAAACACCAATATAGGTTTAGAGAAAGGGTGAAGGCAGTGGGGTGCATATATTAACGCTTAAAATTGATTTTCAAGTTAAAAGGATGAAATTGTCCTGCAGGGCCATGGGTCAAAGATCAGTTGCCGTGGTGTTATAGGTGAAACGACTGGTCAGAGCCATGAGAAAATCATCCAAACTGGGAAACCATGGCCCAAATTTGGCGCACGGGATCCGGTGTACAAAAGTCCCGGTAGCCAGTAATTTGGGACTTTGGACGAAAGATTTCACCACACCATCAAATCACCATTGAATCACCCCAAAATTATAATATATACTCTTGAGCATATGCTAAATAATGTGAATTGCTTTATAGAATGAAAGAATTCTGAGGGAAGCTTAAAAATGTTGCGGAAATTTGCCTGTACAATAGACCGGGTGATGACTGTACTTACCGAACTGGAATTATGTAAAGACTGATCGCCGTCATCGAATCTCCATTAACCCTATCCTATGCCGGCAATTATCTCAGAAGACCTATGGATGTCGGCAGTGCACCGACCTTCCATCCTTTTGAGAGAGCTATCACACTTCCTGGATACCCATACAGCAGATAGTACATTGTATGCCTAAGACAAACTCTCAACTCCCATGTGGGAGCAAGGGTAACAAAACATTTCTTTCAAGGTTAAGAGCGATAAGTATATGGGACCGGCGACATGGTAACAAGGATACCTAGAACATAATATCCGATTCGCCGATGGTGTTACTAGGATATGGAGTAATGTCTATTTTCATCGATGGCAGAACCAGCATTTTACCTTCGCCAAAACGATGAAGAGGATGTCGAGCAGTTCCACCACTACAACCAAGTTCCATCTTTACAATCGAAGATATGTTTACAGGCACCAAGTGACATGCAGCGGAGAGGAAGGAATGATTATCGCAAGGGTGAGGAAAGCCGATAAGAAGGAACCCGAGTCACTTAGGCATTTCATCGTCTACAGCTCGGAGGAAACTCGGAGGTTTTGGACATCATTATGTAATGATTCAAGATCAAATCATAGCTTTCCCACTGCAACCGTGAAGGAATCACACTCAGAACAGAAAAATTTCACACAACTGAGCACATCTGATAGGGAAACTTTCACCTTCAGCTAAGACTACAATCACCAAACATCAACCAATATACTGAGACATCACATACAATCACACTGTTTCACATAGAACAATTCACAATGTTTTTGACAAGGTATTTATACTTTTGTTCATTAAAGACACTCAGAGTCCAGGCCTGTATTCTGAGCCAGCATTAGAATCTCTCTCTGATGTCGATTCTGACTCGTCCTGTGAATCATCATCATCCCCGGTCATATCCATGCCACTTGAATCCCCATCATTTATGTTTGAAACATTGGTTGGGGGGTAGTCTTCTTCGTCCTTAGGGTCCTCTTCTTCACCATCAGACGAATCATAGTCGACGGTTTCCTGACCAATCCTCCAGGGCATCGGATTCTACTGCAACAGGTCAGACCATTCAGGATAGGAAACTACCTCACGTACATAGGACTTCAGCCTTTTGCCTGAACCAAAAATATCGGCCTAAGGAGCAAAATCTTCCTCTTCCGGCATTTGTAAGCCTTGAGGAACTCAGATGATAGCTCCATCTGCAAATAGGTTTCCATGGCATCCTTAATATCTTGCTGAAATGTCTCAGTATCGAACAAGACCGATTCATGTTGTCCTAAAGCCCTCCACGCTTGCAAAGCCGTCTCAGCTGTAAAGAATCAAAGATTCGCCCAAAATGAGCAGCAGGAGCTCCTAGCAAAATCAGCGATATCCAGGGACCCAACACTCAGGGTGACCTGGTCATTGACATGCATCATTGATTCCGGGGACTGCACAGCAACATCTTTGTCATCGTCGAGAAAAACCAGACAATATTTCATCCGCAAACGCTGTATTGTGGATATGTATGCGCCGGCTGCCATGGCAATTGCAGGTTTCGAGTCTCCCTCGGTCTCAGTGACACAGGCATACAAGGCAGGCACAAATAGACAGAGATTTCCTAACGCAATGAAGTCAAGAAGTCCATCTCTTGTCATAGTGGGAATATCTGTGTCGTGATCTTGATACCATTTATCAGGACCAGAAGGACAGTCACTGCGAGATTTTTACTTACTTTCGGGTCCTTGATCACTGATCGCTGCACCAAAGTAGCACATCATACGAAGGAGAACCTCCTGGAGCTCAACGTGCAAAATGTTTGTAATAGTATAACCGAGCATACAGGTATGAACCCAGCCCGAGACAGTTTTCGAGAGTGTGACCAGTGGAGTAGAAATGGTGACATTTTACAATGGAATTCTCCAGGGTCACCACTGCATGGTGAGTGTCGGGACGCATGTAGCTGCATCTGTGTTAGCGCATTTCAAGACAGATAGGGCATGATGACGTACAAGGCAGAACCAGGTTCAAGCAAGACAACCTCTGCAGTCCATTCCTCTGGATCTGGAATAAATCCAGGTGCCCAATCATTAATGTACTCATCGATACAGGCTGTCCTGTCTATTATTACATCCACCACATGCTTAAACACTGTACCACAACTTCCTGCCCGCAAAGAACCTCAATGACGGTACCGACACCAAAACAATCTGGATGAATGTAACTAATGGCTCCTTTGGTGGCAACCAACCAGAAACTTGTCGCCTGAGACAGGATACTCCACTGTATAGATGTCCTCGGGTAGGTCAGACGTCTGTTTCGAATGCTCGTATGTGACTCGAAACAATCCTAAAAGACATCACCATTTTAGCAAACACTGAGATAAATTGTGCCTTACTGACTGTAAAGGGTGACCGCTGTATGAAGTGCTGCAAGGTAGAGACAAAGCGTTCAAGATGCGACCATCCTCCAAAAGGCCTTCTTCATACATTTCACGTAAGGAAACAGAGATGTGAAGTTGCTCCATCGTGTCGTTGGAGCTGCGCCGGTGATGGTCTGGGGTAGTGCAGCGTATTAAAAGACCATTTCATAATGAAGGAAGAAAACAGAAGAAACCTTGGACTTCTCGAAGAATATCAATGTTGCCAATCTCAGAAAGGGACTGCCAAAGACCATGTAAGCGGCAAAGTTTTCGTGTCATACAGGAGAATGTTGTAGCAGCGGAAGGTCTCGAGAGTCCCTTGAGGATTTTTCAAGGCCGAAGATTGTTTCAGGGTCACGATCATCGATTCATCTGCCGCCTTCCCAGTTTCTTTCAACCGGTAGAGTGGACCTCCGCTTGCGTCAGTCCTTACGCAAGTGTTCCACCCAGCAAGCGCAAGGCGATCATCAGTTTCCTAGAGACTTATAATAAGGTAGTAGTACGCAGAAGATACCAGGGGATACATACATTAGAGATCAACGGATAATAGTCGAATGTCCTGTATTGCTTTTTGGCAGGAGCCCAAACGAGCGGAGAAGTAATCGGGTGCGAAGAACGGGACAGACCACGATCAAGCTTGGCTTTCTTGGACCTTTCTCTGGTATCAAGCTTGCTGACAGCGCTCGACCATTGCCTTTTTCTGCGGGAGAGAGATGGTGCCGCATCCTGCACCTGGCCCATTCTCAGAGAGGGCGCCATTAACATCAACTGATGCCAGCCTGCATCCAGGTCTTGTGAGAGCTTCCTCTCGTGAATTATTTTCTGTTTATGGGATAAAGAAAATGCTGTTTTCGGAGGATCCTTGCGAATGGGGGGCATTGCACCGATGATGATAGCTCCGACAGGAATTTGCTCGAGGTCTCGAACAGTGAGAGGGGGCAACGTAGGTGGATATTGCCACTCTGGCCTTTCGTCAAAATTCAGATAATGTTTGTGACCCCATGCATGTACTCGGTAAGTCAAGATGCAACAGATCTTCGAAATCAATTCACGCGTGAAGGCTGGCCTTCGAGCCGAATATCGTGAAGGGGAGAGGCTTCGAGACTTTCGCTGAGGCTTTGACCATCGGGGAGGACAAGAACTGCTTCTGCCTCGTTGTACCGGGTCCTTCTTGCGACCGCCCTTTCCAATCCAGAGTGATCTGCTGCTTATGAGCCATTCGCTTGTTTCGGCTCCGATTTTGGCTTCCAGACCAGGAACAACGTTCTGTTGGATGAACGTGATTGAATCTTCAAACCACGTATCCTCCCCTTCATATCCTACCCATCCCCTCTTTGCTCCATCCTTTAACATAGCCTTGGAATCCAGCATCTTTTCAACCAACGGCTGGACTTCGGCCAAAAATTTACTCAATGCAATTTCGCTCATCCATGAGCCCCAAGCTATACCAACAATGGACTTCCACAAGATTTCTTCAACACGAAGGATCAGCTTTGGTTTCCCAATTGAAGACAGACGTCCCCCGACCTTAGATGGGGTGTCAGGCGAAATAACTAGAAATGTATGATCGAACTCACTTGTAAGGCAAGAGGGGTGTTCAATGTTTGGCCCATTCCTTGGCCCATGATGAGCACAAGGGGGGATATTGCGACAGCGTTCGCGAAGGCTTGTTTCCACCGTGGTAAATTCTTTTTGAACCGTTTTATTGTTTCTTCATTTCCCATGATCATTTTGACGTCAGGGTGGTCAAAATTATCGTTGATAAACCTAAAAGCAAGTGAGAAGATTGCCTGTTTGATACCAGAAGAACCTACCGTTGCCAAAGTGTTGTCTGCTCCACTCCATTATGCTGAGTCAAACATTAGGCCAAAGAAGAACGCAGAATGGGACCTGCTCACATAACGTAGTAATCGGATGTGAAAAGCCACGCCATCCAATATGCACAGGACCTTCAGCCAATTTTTCGCCGATTCGTGTTTCCAATGATTCGCAAGCAAACATATATCTGTGTGCAGAATCTCAGTGATTCATCGTCGCGTCTGGCTGTAGAGGAGGAAGGGGGACCATTCTTCTTTCATTGTACATACGGAGAGAAGTCGCAATTTCGTCTAATTTGTGCATCCAGCCTTCTAGCCTTCTCAAAAACTTAAAACACGTGATAAGCAAATTTGAACAAAGGAACGGAACTGGAATGTACCCCAAGTTGACGCTCATCAAATGTCAGCGACTTCTTAAAACTTGGATAATAGGAACGGCATGGCAATCAAAGAAATCCAGCAGCGATATCCATCGCCTTTACAAGCACAAGGGTTTCCAGCTGACCTGTAGATTTATTTGCATTGCGACCTCCGCCGATGCTGTCTATGCACTTTTGAGACGGATGGCCTTTGTCCCAGTCCTTGTCGGCCACAGACTTCAACGATCTTCCCATTGCCATCCTGAACTGCAATATGTCCGCGTTCTGATGACTTTCTTCCGCATGCAATTCATACCAAAGATCAGGATCGAGGTGCGAAAGTAGGAATAGCTTGCAATGAACTGGAAGTGACCAAACCAACGGAGATTGTTTCGCAGCTGTATATCCTGTTACTGAAATCACGTCAGCACGTGAACCTCGATGAACTTTCGATGACTAAGCTGGGCATCCACCTCGATGCTCCTATTTCAAAATGGACTTAGAAACAATAGTCATCGAGACCCGCGATTTTTTCAGAATGATGTCATGAGAAATCGCTGTGAACGCGTAACAAAGATAGAGAAATAGTCTTACCAAGACTATTTTGAAGCTGCATGCCTTCAGGACTGTTTGTTGCCATAGTGGTGGTTAAAGGGAGAACAGCAAAGCGTGGGAAAGAAATTTGCGCAATTTCCGGCGATTGTGGAATAATCTACGGGTCTCTAAATACAAGAAATTTTGCCATTGTGATGCATAATCCATCCTTGCAGCCAGAAGTTGGTTGATCTGTGTTTCTTTGGGGTCTATTTTGTTCACCTCGAGTCCACATATTTGGGACATTGGTACATTTCACTACTGTACATTGACTGTACAATAATATTTTCATCAATAAAGCGTCATGCATCACGGACAAATTATCGACAACAAAACGAGATACCTCTTACGAACGGGTGTTGAAAGAAGTCTACAGAACTACCAAAGTTGAACATGAGTACTTATGCCGGTTTTGGTCCTCGCCGGTTTTTGAAATACCAACCTCAATTCATGTTCTCCTCACTGGGGTGATGGACAAAACAGATTCAGACTACTTTGAAACCTATTCTTTAAATCAATTTATCCTTAAGTAGTGATCACATACGGAACCAATAACCGCATCTACACTGACCGACAAAAATAAAGAAACACGTGGTTTTTTTGATTGGAGTCGCAATAGCTCCTCAACGCTGCGATATTTTTTCAGACTTTCAGTGAGAGAAATGTAGCTTAATTGATGTAGTTTATTGTTAGAAAAAGAATGAGGTACATACATGAAAAAAATGATGAGATATAAATATGTTAGCCAAGAGTGTCATTTTTAGCAGTGTAAGTAAAATGAGAAAACAAGATAATTGACCTGATGAAAAGTCCAACAACCTAATATCTAGTATGCCTGCCCTTTGCCAATATCAAGGACCTCACCCGTGATGGGATACTACCATATAACGCATTGCAATACTCTTTTCCAAGTGCAGCCCACTCCTCCTGCAGAACGGCAAATAATGCAGCAGTCGTTGTCAGGTGACGTGGTCTGTTGTTCAGACGATGTTCGAGAGTAGCCCAAGCATTCTCTATGATGCTTTGGTTGGGGCTATTTGGTGGCCAGTCCATTACAGAGATGTTTTGGTTGGCGAGCCACTTTTTCGTAAGCCGAGCTGTGTGCTTGGGGTCATTATCCTGCTGAAAAAGGACATTGTCGACTGAGAGTTCATAGTCCTGGAGGGTGCCAAGAAGTCCTTCATTAAGTATCTGGCAGTACTGGACAGCATTCATAGTGCCTTCCACCAAAATCAGCTGTCCGAAGCCCAAACTCATCATGCATCCCCAGACCATCACCCCCCCACCTCCATGCTTCAACCAGGGCAACACGTTATGCACATCTAGTGCCTCACCAGGACCCCTACGACACCACTGCACTCCGTCTGACCCAAAGAAGTTGAATTTGGACTCATCTGAGTAGAGCACAGTACCCCATTTTTCTGCTCCCCATTCTGCATGTGCCTCTGCCCACACCCTTCGCTTTCTAACATGAGCCTTCGTGAGCATTGGTACCTTCCACCTCTTGTAACCCTTCAGGCCCTCATCTGAAAGCCTGCACTGCACAGTGCGCTCTGAAAGATGGTCGAAATACCCCCGTTGAACGTCGACCGCTGTCCAGCAGTCGTGACTACGGATTTTTCGCACAGCAAATTTAATATCCGCATCGTCCATCTTGCGTGGGTGGCCTCACCCTTCAATGCGAGCATAGTAGTTCTCCTTCCCTTCATATTTGTGGCCAGTTTTGCAGACGGTAGAGCGCGAACATCCAATGACATTGCTGATTTCAGTGCAGGTGTGGCCTTCATTGAGGAGAGTGCAAATACGGGCTGCTTTCGTAGGGGTAATAGGCACATTTGGTTTGCGAGGAGGAGGTGAATACATGATAGGAATTTCAGTGCAATCGGCCCAGGTGGTGGTTCAGATTCAAGTTGGTTCCGACGTTGATGTGATGCCATTACATCATCAAAATTGGCATGTGGTTTTGCAGCCCTCTTACTTTGCTCACTGACTGGTATTTTTGCCTCATTCTTTTCATAATATTAAACTACAGATATCAAGCTACATTACACTCACTGGAAGTCCAAAAAAATATCGCAGTGTTGAGGAGCTATTGCGACTCCGATCAAAAAAACCATGTGTTTCTTTATTTTTGTCGGTCAGTGTACGTCTACTCTGAGATGATAAATTTTTGTTCCGATATTCATTTAAACGGCCATTAATGACACGGTTCTTCGTCCATGGGCTGCAGATATGTCCACAACAGTTGAAAGTGTGCTGTTTCATATTGTGGTGATGTCGGCCAAAGCACTAAATAATCAAGAGAAGGATGTTCCCTGGTTGTATTCCGTTCTATTTGCATGAAATAGTACATTTAAAAACAAATGAAAATTTTAGAAACCCAGAAGTCCCAAGTACAAGTCCCAAATAAAACCACCAGCCTCTTCTGGGACACCATTAAACGACATGGCCTCAACAAAGTCATCACGATCCTCCGCCATGTCCAAGTATTGCGAAATTAAGACCTCGGGGTATTGATAGATATCCAAGTACAGTCGAAGAAGCCTTGGAAGACGTAGGGATGCCCGGGACATTTTTTGCGGCGATGCTTGTCGAATAGGTCCTTGATGAACAATGTCGTGGACATTCCTATGAGCTGGAACTTAAAAATCAATTGCCATCCCCAAGGTGAAAAGTGCGATACCAACTTGTAGTAGAAAATACTTCGTTATTGCCGCTGTTGGTGATATGGACGGTGGAAGTCAGGTGAGAACTTTTCGACGGGCTTCCGTGGCCTACATGTAATCGGACAAAAATGAAACATCAAACAAACGCGAAAATAATCACTGACTGGTGGGCATCTTCGAGTGCGAGATGTCGGCGTTGGACTGCTTCTGCTTCTGCGACAACGATCCTCCCGAAATTCCTGGCGAGGGAACATCAGGACTGGGGACCGACGGCTGATTGAGGTGGGGACAGGGTGGGGCGATGTGAGGACGAGGTAACCTGTCAAGAAGACCGACAATATTGCTTGATCGAGACATCTGGCAGATTAATGCATTTTCAAATCGATCAAACCCAAACGCTGCCCTGTATTGAGGTAGGGAGCGCTCCATCTGCTCAGTCGCATGTGCCCTAAAAATCATGAAAACATGTCCTCGTCATTGACGTCCAACTCACTCTTGATAAAAGATTCCCGATCTGGCTCCAAAGATTACAGACCAAAAGGTTGTCCCATTCTGATTGAAGAGGGCAGTAATACCAGGCCAGTCTTCCCAACCTCGCAGAGAGGAACGAAACGATGCCAGGTCTTCTGTTCCATGCAATGCTATGAATGGGTTTAAACGACTGTTCAATGCCATTGCCTGATCGTGACACTGACAATAGACGGCGACCAGCCACTTTGGTCCGTTAACTCCATTGACAATCCATACACTAGTGAAAACGATCAATATGTCGAAGTTAAACAAAAGTGTTAACAACGTACAGCTTGTTATTGTAGATGCCAGGCTCTGCCCCTGGAACTCCTGGGGGCGCAAGAACCACACAAAATGGTATAGTGTGAGCCATGTCAACGGTGATCACAAGAACGAGTTTGATTATCATAACACCTTGTTCGATATTTATACACTTCAATTTACGCTTGAAGCTGCAAATATGTCACCCTTCGTTCCCAACAAAACACATCGGAACCACAACGTTTCCGTGCTTCCAGCTATGTCTAGCGATGTGGCACATGACTTAATGCAACAACTGCTCGCTAATAAGAACGATTGCCTGATGATACATGTGGCACACATCAGAGAGGCAGATTGGGCACCATAAAGGATAAATTTTGCTGATCTTGGCAGACTTAAACTTGTTTTAATACCCTATAAAATGGACTTGGAGAGGCTTTATACGACGTGGACAATTTTATACATTAAGGGCTGATGAAAGACGCATCCATTCAAAGATAGGTAGGAATGGAAGGCTACCCGCTTTTGAAATATTTACTCCACTTTACTATGTTATGCTTTCGCTTCGTGAATACCGTAATTTAACAAGTAAAATCATTTTCTTTCTGAGAAATGAAATTATTCAGTCACACCGTAAATGTAGAAATTTAGGACATCCTGACTATAGTACCTATACCTAACTTTTCGGAAAGTGAATGAGACTTGCTGAAATTTCGTCCGATATCAAAAGTTCCAAGATGGCGTGAAATTTATCTCAAATCAAAGAAAGCAGGAATGGATCACGAGATTCCGGTGTTCGAACTGAAGCTAATTGTTTCCAGCTACCCTGAATCAATGCCGAAAGCATCTGTTTCGGTACATACTTCGGCAAGACCAGTACTGAAAATGTGAGTGCTACTGAAATCCCATCTGGAATACTTTATTTCGGTATCCGTGTTAGGCAAAGCCAAAACTAAGGTTTGGGGCGTCCTGGGCCGGAACGGAGTCATGAATCCTAATTTGGGTGTACTGGATGTCGGCACAGGAATCAAAGGTCTGGGCATGCATTCTGGGCCCCCGCAAACCTTAGGTTTACCATCTGCTGAAACTTTGCCCTGAACGGAGGCTTTCGTCACTAGTTCAGGGAATTCCTGAATCTTTGCTTTCAGAGCTCGATTATGGCAGCCTGGATTGAAATTCGATATCTTACATTCCGGGGATGATTCAATGCCTTCTTGAACCTTTGGTATGGCTACCAGTATCAGTAAGTCCTGTTTTTCACATGAAATCTTAGGTATAGGCAAGTAAATCCGACTCTCTCAAATTTCCGCATTCCCGGAGTGTTTAGAGCATGGCTATCACAACCCAAAGTGTGACACATCGTGGCTATTCGTCCATTGAGCGGCATCTCTGGCTTATGGGACAATGCATCACCGCTTCGTATGCGAATGAACGTATGTGATTCTATATCGGGGGACATCCAGATCCTGAAAAAGATGACCTGGAAAGGTCACGAGTTTCTTTATTGCCCCAAGAAAAGATTTATTTGTGGCAATATATACTAGCGGTCGTCATTGACGACTTTGATACCTTGCCTAGCGGTCTACTTCGGTATACATATTGATGCCAATGAATTGCTGAAATAACGATATAAGGTGGGAGCAGACACGACTTACACGTGAGCTCTTTTGGTGGCGGAAGGCTTATTCATATCATTAGCCTTCCATTTTTCTTTTCCTGCTGGCTCTTTGAAGACTGATGGGTGGATAACCAATTGAAAAGAGTGAAGGAATATCATTAGAATGAGCGTTTGCAAACACACCCGTACCTTTGGTGGTTTTGAACGGTGTCAATGGATTCGGAGTTTGCCATAATATCACATTACTTGGTATCCTTTGTAAGCGACAATCGAAGACCTTGACAGGCAAGGTAACAAAAGGGCCTCGCTGGACCAGAGACATTCTCGTAGCATAATCCCAGTGTATGGTAGCATGTGAGATCACGACACATATCTTACTCATCGGATTTTTTTTAAAGAGTAAGGGCCTCTGCTTCTGCATACTCAATCTCTCGTCCTTCGCTACTGGCTTTTCTCCGATGGTGGGTTACATGAAGCCGTTCCATGTGAAATTAGCAGTATAGCAAACTGTTGATGCTACTCAATGAGCCATATTAAGTGCACATTTTGCACGAAAGATGAAAATCAGCTTCACTGCGTTTAAGATAAAATCGAAGCATCTTGCGGCAATGGTTGTGTGGGATCAGCTGCTCTCTACTCTAGACTGAGAGTGAATATCGAAAAGTGATTTTTCCAGTAGCCCATAAGAGGTTCCCAAATGATAGTGGAACCCAGCCTGAGGGCGCATCGAGCCCGATGAACAAATTTCAAATTGCTTGCTGACAAACCAGCTTAATCATCTAACATCTGCACAGACGAAGTTCTTTTAATCTCAGGCAGGTTTCATTACAATTACTTTGACTCACCCCCTACCTCATTAAATTCATGGGCTTAGAAATTATGTATGTCAAAACATCACAACAGTTGGAAATCCGAATTTTCGTGCGTGGGATGGAAGACAGTACCGAAAATGGGTTATCACTGTGTATAATAGAAAGCTAATGGCTGGGAAAGACCATTAAAGGTGCTATAGCGATAATATCCCTTATCTGACAATTTTTCGGGGCGACAGAGAGTACGGAAGCTCTTGAACGAAGATAAAAGGCATGACAAGGCGCTCGTTCAGGACTCACTGTGACGGCCTGTGACACGAAATTACATATATCGAATTTTTGAGACTTTTCACTCACCATCTTACCAAGGCCAACTCTGCTGCTCGTAGCACCTTTAAAAAAAGATCACATGTTCGCAACATGTTTTCCTGTATATAGCTAAGTTAGTTGGAGATGGGAACTAATGCACTACAGAAAATGCTTTGTCGGGTTTTTGCATATTCTGGCTACGTAGTGTTTGCGATGCAACCTTTACCTAGCTTAGTTGCTTATGTAATGTTCTGGCCGCATTTTCCTCCATATGACTCTTTGGTGCATGCTCAAAATGGTGTACAAAGACGCTGTAGGGCAACTTTTCAAAAATTCTCATTCACCTTTCTCCCTGAAAACAAACATAAAGGTATTTTGGACAGTTGTGCTTGTTGGCTCTTCCTAGGAACGTCAGATTTGCTGGATAGTCAGACAAGAATGTGTTATTGTCGATACATATTATTCCAACGCGGCATGGTAAATCTTTCTTCAGTCCGAAATTGTTGGAACTATTGCAGTGGGAGGCTTGCAGTAGATATAATACTGAATTGTTAGCTACTAGAGCTCCTAATGAGCTCCTTATATACTACACAATGTATCTAGAATATTCTACCAAAAGTACTAAATATATCTAAGTATCATGACAAAATGAGTAAGCCGAAGCTTCGGGAATCTTCTAGTTTAAGCTTGAAGTTGCAAATCCCAACAGAAATAACTTCTCTTACCCTTTACTGAAAGCTCATTTGTTTTAAGTCTACTTTTCGCAGCAAGTGATTTTTGCAAAACATCGCTTTGGTATTCACTACTGAATATATTCTACTGGCTTCACTTGAAGCAATCTTCAGAATTCGGGTAGTTCGAACCAGTGACACCAAGCATTGCAAAGATGGTGTTGTCCAAAATGTTCTAGGGATCCATCAACATTTCCGTCTGCAAAAAGCTGCTGTCCTGCAACTCTGGAAACGAATTAGAGCTATTCTAATACTGTAGCACATGTGACGTACTTGGATTTTGCCATAACCTGCGGATCGGTCAACCAGGAACCTGCTCCTGATAAAAGTTAATCGCGGATCGCTGAGAGTCTCGAGAGAAAAATACCTTGGTAATCCGAAACAAATGCCTTCTCCTTAGTGAAACGATACTGAATATGTTGCAAGAAGCATAGGAACACCGCAATACGATGTTGCTCGTCGGAGCCCAAGTCAATAGGCTGAGGTGTGCCATTGCACACGTATTTGACAAAGTCATCCTCTGGCAAAAGCCTTTCCACCAGGGCACAAAATCCATGCCAATCCTTTGGTTTGACAGAATCAGGCTTCGAATTCATCACGACTGTGGCCTCCACAAAGTGAAGATCTGGGATTGGCCCAGGAGGTGTGCCAAGGGAGGGTGCTTTGCTGAGTACCATATCGAGGCTCATGTCATGTAAAGTGTTCGCCCACAACATGGTGTTTGCCTCTCGAAGGATGCAAGTTCTTTCGAAACTTTCGGTGACCCTCCTGACATCTCCGCTCCTGTTAACTCCTTGATATGGACACTTGATACAGACATTGCCTTGGAGTGCCCGCGGAAGTTGAACTTCATGCAAGGCGATGCCGACTTGCAGGATACCGTGGTGCGCGGTCTTAAACGAGCCTGACCCGAGGCGTTTCTCGGGGCCTTCAGCCCAGTCCACGTAGATATGACCTCTGGTTTGAGAATGAAAGGCGAAATTCGGTCTGGTGATGATCTCAGATCGCAACTGAGGGATATTGCATATTTCAACCACATGTTCTGGCTTTCCTAGTCACATTATAAGTATCGGCGAGATTTTCAATGAAATGAACTTACCCGGTTGAGGTTGAACCTCTACATACGTCCCTCCCTTCTGAATGATATCTGGAATGGCATTGAACCACCTTTCGCATACACTTGGCGTAATATCAGGACGGACACGCTTTTGCCCTCCCTCAAAGTCCGATGATGGAGACAGCTTTGTTGGACTTAGCAAGGAAAGAGGCAGAATGAGGAAGGGCTTACTGATCGTTTCGAAGATGATTTCGAGGAGGAAGATGACTGGTCATGTCCCTAAAGAAATATGTCAGCCTTGGCAGAGATCTAGACACTTTCATTCGTACCGATGATACTGATGGTGGAGGTCTTGTCGCTACTGATACCTCGGAATCGTAAAACAGAGTGTTCTTTCTGGGGCTAAAATCACCGTTATAATAGATAGCTCGCTCACTGACCTCGGAGTCACACTATATATGATCATTAGCAAGCTGACAAAGCGGCAGAAACATAACATACAATTGATGGCTTAGGGATAGCTGCACCCTTCCTTTTCCTTATGGCTCTCTTTACAGGCATAGACTGTAGCTTGTGTCAGTTAATACCAGCCATAAAAGAATGAAGGAACTAACTGTCAGGGTAATTTCACCTTCAGCCGCCCAAAGGTCATATTTGTCGGTGGTAGCAGGTTTGATGACCATGTACCAATTTTCCTGGGCAGGTTGAACGAATTTGATCCCACCTACGCCTTTCTTTCCACCGTTTGTCAGACCTTTGTAAAACAACTCCGTTGGTTCGTCAGGATCCCCATCAAGTATTGGGGTCCACCCTGAATCAACCAGAAAGAAATCCCCAGCGACGAAAGAAAACCCTTGGACCTTTGGGTGGTCATGAATGATAATCAACAAGCTTTCAAGGACAAGGTTTGTGATGTCGCTGCGGGAAGTCGCAGGCGGAAACTTCACACCCCATTGTATGTTCTGCCAACAGTGAGGATTTCGAAAACAAATATGTAACAAGGATTCCATACCCAGAAAGAAAGTCCTTTTTTAGTGCCATTTTCTCTTTTTACCTGAACGAATACCTTAGCCGATTCACCACTTTGGCCCTCCACAGCCCATCAACGATACTTTTGGGTGTCACTTTGGTGTCGAATGTGAGCCATTGAATAGCCAGTCCTTAAGGAACCTTTCTTTAATCCGGAGGGTACTGCAACTGGCAACCTGGCCTCTGGGTGAGCTCCTTAACGTGGCAGGAATTCAGGGAAGGAAACTAGAACGCTGAGTTGAGATGCATACCTTTCGCTTTAGCATCCTTTATGCGACGGTCAATTTTGGCGGCGTCAGGGATCGTAAAGACATCTCCAGAAGATGTGAGACTTTGCTGGAAAAGCTTTAAGAGAACATTGGCTGCGGCTTCCGCTTTGTTCTTTGCCTCGAGAACTTTCTGTAGCTCTGCTCGCGATACGGTCGAAACAGCTGGAGATAGCTTTGTAGTTGCTAAGACAATTTTAAGTATTGATTGACAGAAACAAAAAGGTTCTCACAAGAGGAAGCTCGTCCATCGACACTCTTGGACACCTCTCTAGCACGTTGAGTAGCAGCATCTATATGAAACGAATATCTCGGTAATAGAATCCAACAAATGAAACCAAGGACATACTTTTCCGAGCAGCGAGACCTGCACAAGCACGGCAGGTAGTCAACGTTAAGGTCTGAGTCCCAAGTTTGCTTAAAGTAGCAGGTCCATCCACAGCGAGACAGGCTTCAATTTGGAACTTTTATTCGTTAGGCTCGAATTTGTAGGGCTCTCCTGTTGCGGAACGCTTTTTACAATGCATGTATTGACAATGATCTGGACTCAGATCGGGAGCGAAGGTCACGTCGAACACATCTGCATGGTCTTTCCAGAATTCAGCTTTGCCGACAATTATTTAAGAATAAAGCATACCTGCACCTCCAGGAAGAAGGTACCGAATGTAGAAGTTCGAAAGGTCCCGGACATTCAATGAATCCAACGTCTCTTCAGCCAAAAGAGGTCTCCATCTCCCCGCAACATACAATTTAAATGGAGCGGACAATGTGCACCCTGCCTGAGGTTCCACGGCGAGACGTTTTTGGAGTACGTTCAGGACATCACGTACAGTGAAATCGTTGTCTACCCCTAGGAACGTAATATCAACACCGAACTTCAAATCTTCGTTTCTCGTCACTTACTAATGGGCAGAGTACGAGGAGAAAGGCCTTGGATAAAAATTGTATAACCTGCGCCATCACGTGCTTTCTCAGTACTGCCAGCAGGTTTGCGGACCGATACCGGGCCTAAAAAAGAGGAAGTTTCAGTATAAAGGACTCCAAGTTTACATGTACTATTTACCTCGGTAAAAACACAGTTGCGATATGAATATAACGCAACATAGAAGGTTAGTTCGTCGGTAGCAGCAGGTTCCTAAATTCGTGACCCTTGATTGCCCATTTCAAACAATGAACCTTACCAATGACTAGCAAAATTCCTGTGACGGTGAAAGCGACAATGGATAAGTTGCTTTCAACCATGTTTAGGGTTTGAGCGATGTCAAGATTGAGAGGATCGTCCATGAAAGTGTGGAGATGTCCTTCCGTTCTCTCTGGCTTATATATCTATTTGCGGCTTTTCCAGGAAGAACTTTTTCCATAAGGCTTTGTATTTTTTAAATTATTATTGAAAACCTATGTAGCCATTTTAGCTAAGAGGAAATCTGTTTTGTGCCGCTATTTTCGGTTTTTTGGGTACTGTCATCATAAAAGGCAGGGCTCCCTGCCGGTGACATCTTTGGTCTGTTGTAAACTTTTTTACTTTCATCATTTTCGAAAAAGCAATCATTTACGAGACTGTCCATCAAAGTTACGGAGAAGTACTTCCATTCTACGTATCGCGTGCAGCAAGCAATAGCCCTTTGAAATTCATGAAGGACTTCCACAACCTCTGTTCCGCAGCGCATCTTTATTTGGTCCTGACAAAGTTAGAGACCGGACCTCCCACTTTCTATAGTTCGTATTCCGACTTTCTTTGCGAAGTTCATTAAACATGCCCAATCAGTACTTGCCGCTGGGTAAGTTGCAGCTTTCCAGGTTCCTGTTTAAATTGAAACAAAAACCAGTTCCAGAAGAACTTATTAGACCTAGATTGGAGGTGCTATGGAGGATGGAAGGGGGTATGAGCGACATCGTTATGTGCGAAGAATTACAGAAGGTTTTCGATACGTCAAAGTACTCATTAGGGCAAGTTCAACTTTTTGACTGCTTCATATTATTCACATTGTTTGCTCAGCCTATCCAGCTTCAAAAGAATGAGGAAGCGCATGGGATTTTTAAGCACAAGGCAGCAAAGGCACACCATTGAAACGATCGCCGAACCTATGGAAGAGTTGAGGGAGTGTTTCCCGAAGGCAGGATTCTTTGAATTGAAGAAACATTTATGAATCGACCACAATCTACGCGTTTCTAGGTTCATCCTCCAGCTGTGACCACTGTTACGCCCTCACTAACATGGTGGGCAGAGAGACAATCAAGAAGTGGACTCATGCGAATGAGCCCGCGCTCGTCGCCAGACGACTTCGAAAGGGCATAGTGCGGAAAGTATTCTATTGTGCCGGTGTCAATGACCTTTGGTGCTTTGATCAACACAACAAGTGGAAATACCGATTTGGTCTCTGTCTTCACGCTGGTGTCGATCTGTTTACTGGGGTCATAAAATGGATGAAGATATGGTGGAATAATTTGAATCTGATTTTGATTTGCAAATATTACTTGGATGTCGTGGAAGATCTTGGATGTGAGTACAACAATGTCACCTTCGCATCTTAGAGCTCAGGAATTCTGCAGATGGCCTGCTTCTGACTCAAAGTGACGTCGGTAACGAAAATGGAAACGTAGCTCGGGCTCACACTTTCTTGCGACAATGGGCTGATCCGGAGTTATCTAATACCGTACAACACCGTTGGATGGCAGAGAAGAAGAATATCCCATCTGAGATAGTTTGGAGTGTACTCCGTGCAACTTTTAGCTTCGGCTATGAGGGTGTCCTCCAGTTTGGTGTGGAAGAAGGATGGTATGATCCGAAGGTCCCTTTGGAAGCGTTAGTCTCTCTTTTCTCGTGCATAGCAGCTCACATATCGGTCAGTTTGGTATTTCATTACATTTTTATTCCTTGGCTACAACACGAGCTGGATAAATACGTCCTCAAAAACAACACAACCAAAAAAAGACACAATCGAAAGGTAGCCCGTCCAAATGGCATCCCGTTGCTCATCGAGCAGGCCCCGGAGCAATTCGACGCTCAAGATTACAAGGTAGAGCTAAACAGATTCATCTCCAACAATTTGTGAAAGTCCATTTGTAGGTCACTTTCAGCCCTGATTCCATTCAGACCGCAAGGTGACTTTACGCACCAGCTGATCATCCTGTGTTGGAACTGGTCCCAGAATCATTTCGGCGATGTGCCGAGGTCTTTATGAACGAGCTTGGGAATCCCGAAATAAGACAAGACTGTGTCTGGGATATATATCTTGGACTGTTGGGCAAGTTTCGTGAGCATAACATCATCACCGTAGATGAATGGGATTTCTTCGTCGATAACAACTATGACGAAGAAACCCCAGAGGACGTGAATAACCCTTTGGTGCTAGGTATGTTCACTCACATTTTGTCATTCATTTGAAAGGTCTAATAAAGCGATAATCAGAGCCACGGAGGAGTGAAGAAGTTGAGAACAGTCGAGAATTAAGTGAACAATCGGGTGAGGAGGATTTTGAAATATCAGGAGAGGCGCCTAGGTTAGAGATGTCATTAGAGGACTTTTTGCAACATATGCAAGTATAGACTTCGGTATTTCGAAATACACATATAAGCATACAGACATCGAAAGGAAGACAATAACTATTCTTAAGTCAGAGAAGCCCCATTGCAAATCCAGTGAATCTGGATGAAATAAGACAACTAAAGAAAATTTCTAATGTATCTAAGACATGAACCGCAGTCTATCTTGCTCTTTGTAATGGTAGTGGAAGCAGAAAGGAACAGGCAGGCATAAAACCTGGGCGAATCGAAACATGCAGTGCAACCTTAAATCCTTCACGCCACCAGAATCTCCGGCCAGTGAAAAGGTGTGACTGCTAGATACCAGAGATAAAGTGGACTTCCGAACCGAGATGAAGATATTGCGGATGTCGTTCTGCAAGTGGGGCTATATAAGGCAAAAATGGCAACTCAAACCAAATGCATTGAAGACTTGAAACAACTGCGAACCTTGTCTAAGGGCCTACCGATTTATGGTCAACAATCTCAACGAAACCAGGTGAGTCCGGCGGAGCATCATCCTTGGGTTTTGTTCCTATGTAAGCCCTGCCATGCTTCTGAAAGTTCTAAGATCTGAGCAGTGTAAACATTCCCTGAAGGTGGTAATTTTTTCGCTTTCCCAGATCAGGGTGTTGTCAGTTAAAGTTGAATCTGACTGAAAAAAAGGGACAGATAACATCACTGATAGATAGCGCTCCATGGAGGAATTGTTTACCATGATTTTACAGTACCTCGATGGGTCTGACATGAATGTTTCCGCGAAGTGCAATAAATATATACCGCAGTCGTAAGAATTCGTTTGCTTTGGCACCTGTTCTATCAATAAGCTTCTTGCCTTATTCCGTTCTGACACTTACAGAGGCAGATCACGTGATGGGCTGCAGTCGTGTTCCGCACTCCTTTCTTGTCCAATGCTTCGAGAACAAGGTATTTGGTCAACGCTGTCAAGGTACCCCCATGTTTGGAGCCCAGCGAATCCAGTGTAAAAATCTGTGTTCTGAAATATGACTAGTCAAACAATGAATCTGATGTCATAAGCAAATACTCTTACACGTCATCGTCTTTAGCTTGTCGTGTTTCAGAATTACTCCTTTGTTCACCTTCAACGTCAGGTTTGAGTAACGTCTCATTCCCTGTTTCAGCAGGCAAAATCATACGCCCTGGATTGTAAACGATAGCAAGGTACCAATGGACGCTAGGGGAGATGGTCATGGTCAATCCTCTGAAACAGGCGTCAACTAAATACCCTTGGTGTATCGGTACGATCAAGTACGTCTTGGCAAAGATATCAATCTTTGATGTCCAACGGCATACATCGTCATAGTTTCTACAAACCTTTGAGCAAGTCCGAGGTACACGAATGAGAAAACGTCGTACTTTTTGAACTTTGGGTACCAAAAAGGACTAAAAACGTGAATCTCACTTGCGATTGCAGGATTATTTTCTTTTAATTTTTCGTGCGAGAGCCTGTAAAAAAATGTCGACACAAAAAAAGAACACCTTGATAGATACGTACAATAGTGCTAACTCTATAAGGTTATCGTTCAGATAGACACCTGGTTTCAAGTGATCAAGGTCACTTCGTCCGATATTTACACCACCGGTGGTCCCCCAAGGATAGACCAGCACTCTATAAAGAATCATTCACAAACTTTCTAAGAGATAGAAAAATACGAACAACTCATCAGGCTCATTTGTTCCAACTTCCAGCTCTATATCACCATGGGAACTGTCAGATAAAGACCCGCTGCTAAACAATGACTGAAAAATTAGTCTTTACATATGGGTGTAGAATTCTCACCGACTACGAGGCTTCTTAATTGGGTGATCCATTGAAATTGGAGTATCCTGCATGTCGTCAACTGAGTCGAAATGGTACTCCACGATAAGTGTCAACCAACCTCGGCCTTTCTCTTCAACGTTCGGCTGATGCCTGTATGAAAGTCTCTCAGTGACAGCAACTCCAAGTTAACCTTGGGGCGCGTATTGCGAAAGTCTGGTTCTTCATCGGTTGAATCATCAGATGATTCTGTTGTGCTTTCTTCGTCGCCTTCAGGAGATATACAAATGGTATGTGGCTTTGAAGGCTCTACAGCGGTCAATTAGTAGTGATAAATCGTTGCACGTTAGGACATACTCCAGGGCCTAAGACGATGTGCCTGCATCAAATATGAATTAGAAGTGAATTATAGACGTGTCGCAAAATGCTAGTGGGGGTTGAGACAAAAAGTGATGTAAGTTTAACGGGGAACGATGTCTTCTGATGGCCGAATAACGTGACATATATGAAATTAGCATAGCCAGGCGCAACGGAGTTTAAAATTGTTATCTTAGGAAGCAATATCGAGAATAAGAGAACATGCGTCATCAGCGCTTGGATCGGCTAGGCAACAAGGACCGAAGTTCGTGACCGGTGATCGCTTCACGGAACCATACATCACAGCTTCTTCACGCACAACGGAAAGCACTGGAACTAAATCCAATGTAGGTGAACGACAGCAGGCAAAGTGAAAGAAGAACTGCCAATTATTCACGCACCTTATAGCAACTAGAAACATCCCTTATATTGGCTACGGCAGGAAGACTGATGCAACGAATTCAGAATTTTTGGGAGACGACAATTGGAACCACAAGCCTTTAGAATGCGATGATGATAGATCAATGCTCCACAATCAGAGTCATGCAACAAGAAATTGCAAGATGAAGGTCTAGACTGGTATTCTGGACCACGATGCGGGGCAAAGTACGCTAAGACTACTGATGTTGTGATTCCATAGTATAATCTTACTGCCTAGTCTACTCGCACTTTTGTTCCCCATGTGTGAAGCCAGCGGCTCCCTCCAGAATGAGTGTCCGGTTGTCGGTAGGTGTTTGTGAAATGATGTCGATGTGCAGCCTGTAGCTCCAGATCTACTACAGGGCTTGATGGCTTCGTCTGTGTCCTTCTTGTCGTTGGGTTATCCCATACCATCATTCTTGGCGATTCAAGTTCATTCTCCTATGACATTCCATTCTGTCCTGACATGATAAGTGGCTGTGCCCCTCAATCGGGTCAAAATTTGAAATATCATACTCGAGCTCGATGCTCTGCTGACCAAATGAAAGAGCATCGAGGAGCCTTGCCGGAACTTGTCTCAAGGTCATGGAAAGAATGCATAAGGGACAGTAATAGGCTTGCACACGTCTACCTAGTGTGACCATGTCCGCTTCTGGACTATCAGCGATTCACCATTGATATATCCCAGTGAAAAGTCGGTCGAGGCGTTCTGAGCCAAATCAAGCCGGGAGGAAATGATGGATGTGCCCTCACTCCACTCGATGTGGTTACCAACTCAGATCGAGCTATTTCGAGCCTGGTATGTCATGGGTTTTCCATTAGGCTTCGTAGGGCTCGATCTCATTGCTATTATTATTTTATTATACTATTAATGTACATGAAATGATTCAAATCCTACGACGCTACGCCACGGCGTTGGTCTACGGTACCCTTCCCACTGCACCTACAGCTGGCTTCTGTCCTGCTTGGATGCTTCAATTGGGTTTCCTGGCCTGAAGATAGTATCAAAATAGAAAGCATTAGAAAATATTAAATCAGTACATATTGATAGGAATGACGATTCTATGGTTACTAAAAGAAGTGAGCGAAAACAATAGTAGCAAGTGCAACCTAGATTTAGCGAGCCCAGAAATATAAGCATGTATGAAGGAGGACGTACCGTGACCACACCCAAGTGATGCATAGATGGCATATAGGGCGACTGTACATCTTAAATATCGAAAAACAAGAGCACAACGAGACGTACCTCAGAGGCATCCAGATGTCCTGCTATTCAAACGAGATTCCCGAGGACGTATTGCTGCTGAGGGTGTCCGAACCAAGCGCATATATCCACCCTTTCATGGCAGTTTCAATCTGTAGAATTGTATCGCTAGGCTTCGCATCAGTTTGCCAGTAAGAGGCCAACATGAGGAGGCTATAGCAGTGAGAGTGTGAAGCCATATCCTGCGATAATACAGGATCCGGGTGTAGGGCGACAGTGAAGACGGCGAATAGGCTGGAAGGCGACGGGGATGGTGGTAGTAGAAAGGAAAGAGGCGTTCAGCACGTCACCGGACGACATTCACGTGTGCGGTCAGATCTACCGGCTCGACTTGGTCAATGTGGTTTGCACTCATGAAATTCGGCGTATTTCAGTTAATGATTGGATTCAGAGAAATTTGACTCCGGTATTCTTGTATGTGCTGAGTAGAAAGAGGTGTAGCTGTGGAGTTCAAAGCTTTCTTGTATACGCCGCTTGATCCGGCTCGACCACGCTACATGGTATTCTTTGCGGCTTGATTTGGCTTTTGAACCCTTTTCTCTGCTTCGAGTAGCTACAATAAATGAGGTCGATCTGACCCTGCTTCTCTAATGATTTATGCGTGAAAAGCGCACCGGTTTTGGCCCTGAATTGCTTGACAGGAAACTGAACTGAATCTATGAACTGCAAAATTGAGATCCATTAATGTCAATGAATATTCATGCGATGCCACTTTGTATAATTTGTACGCAACATCCACCAAAGTGGGGGAAGTCGAAGCCTACGAAATTTCGAAGCTGGGTGCTGACATTGATGTCACTCAGTAACATCCTTGTGGCATTTTTACTTGTCACCGGTCATGCCTTTAAGCTATCGACACACTAGAGAGATATGGTTTCTTTGTTCTCGGAAGAATCGGTCCGAGCCACCTTTTGCTGACTTCGAAAATGTATCACTAGCGGGTTGTTTTAAACTTTGAAAACGTGCGTAGAATGTCAATGTGATGTGCTAGTAGATAATTGGGCCACAGTGAGTTTTATGCAAGGTTAGTTCAACTCGTTCCTCTACACCTTAGGTGGACCTTCCCTGCAAGGTGTTCCAAGGACAGCGAGAATTTACATAAAGTGGAGTATGGGTCTTTGGGATTGTTTATATGGATTCTTGAGAGGAATGGATAAGAATTGATGAAAACGCTATGGGTGGACATTCTTGGTTGCACTTTTC